AGACCAATCTGGTGCGGCCCAGGCCAAGTTGGACTTGGAAAAAAAAAAAAAAAAAAAAAAAAAGAGAGAATTACAACGGGTGCCTCTGTCTGCAATAATAATAAAATATAGGTACAATAATTGAATCATATTCGTGTTTACCCCAAACACAGGAAGATCTACCCTTCAAGTTCGAGTCGAAAAACCATGCCGACATGGGGAATATTTACTTCATGCCACGTGCCCATGCCTTCATCAATGGTGAAACCGTACGATGTCCACGCTGGAATTACTTTGGATTGTGCATGCACATATACGAGCCCTCGCCACGCAAAATTCTCGGCTTGATTGTTTTCTCCATTTTGCGGAGAAGGATCTTTCGACAGGGCTTTAGTTACCAATGAATTGAAAAAAGATGGATGCTGACGGGCCCATTCGAGAGCTGCTACTACCAATGCCCGGGCAACGCCTTTTCCTCGAAACTCCTGGCGCACTGCCAATCGACCGAGCTTGATGTACGGCTCTACGCCATCATGCAGAGTGGTTGCTCGGTCGGCAACGCTAACAGGCACTTCGGGCGGTGAAGGGAGAAAATTGCCCTCGCAATCTATTTCTGGGTACTTTGCACCTGGCAGAGGGTGTGGGAGATGAGGAAACGGCAAGAGACGAACTGTCCCAATGGGAATAATGGCACGCCCATCTTCTTCAGCTTCTCTCGTGGCGTAGGCCACCCAGTGACAGCACCGGGCATCATCTGCATCAGAGACATATCGCTGCGGCACGCCTTGTTCCTTGACAAAAACTTCCTCGCGGACTTCGGGCCCGTCAAGGAATATTCGATTGATGTGCGTTGCCTGTTGCGACGACGGTAGGTGTGGGATATAGCCATCCCGCAGGTTCGACAGGGGTCCTTGCAGTTGAAGCTTCAATGAAGGAAGCTTCTCGACCATGCTGAAATGATTTTCCGCCAAGACAAGATCAAAAGTTTATCGACCAGAGCGTTATTATAGTCTAGAACGGAAGATAATTTAGGTTTATTGCAGATTATTTACGATGAACATATGGGGGGATGTCCTACGTGCATATACGAATCGAACACCCAACTTATCGCTATACTTTATCGATGATATACAGGGCGGCGCGAAGTCTTAGCATCGAGTGAAGACGGGGGACAGGGGTCTTGTCTGTCACTCTAAAAGTGGAGACGGCAAGAAACGAGAATTGACCGTCTACTACCGTACGCCAATGATAACTAACGATGATCTGGAGACCGTTACTTAGACAATCATATCGTGCCATGCTCAGCTGGGTTCCAGCCTCCTTGGCGGCTTGACCGCGCCCATGTGCTTCTCCCTCCCGCGATTACGTTTTTCGCTCAACAGACGCAAATCGACAGCACTGGGAGTTTCGCCTCTCTCTCCTAAGATTATTACAAGACATCTTGTCTTGAATCGATTCCAGAACTGTTCACAACCTTCTACCTTTTGTTCCCTGTTGCGATCGACGGTTCCAGAAAGTATATGTCACTTTCGAGCGTTTGCGATATAAGCCGTACACGGACAATTTCCGAAACAATTAATTTGGACAATGCTCCTCTGTTTCAGGAGGATGACCAGTCATTTCTCGTAAGCACAAGAATGAATTTTTTTAATTAAACATTTTCAGACTATATACGCAATGTCTGCAATTTTGCAAGATCTGACTCTATTTTATGCATGCTTGGGCTTTGACTGATTTGCTGTGAAAAGCTGCGCAAAATGGGCAACCAAAACTGTTCCGTCGTGGACTTCTTTGCAAGCCGATCCATCAAGGACGATCTTTTGTGCTTGGACAAGTGGAGCGTGAATCAACAACTTGCGCGCCGTATCCCGCCGTTGGGTCCTAAATTCGAGTTTGGCTTTGATGCTGGATTATCAAAGTTACCCTACTCAGAGAACACATGTCTTTTAATTCAAAAGCAAAACATATATTGGAGCGGAGACATACCAACGACAAGAGCAAATGCCTTTACTGAAAAACACTCCTCGAAGCATCTTCCGAATTCGCGATACACTTCTTCTCCGAGCTGTCCCTCTTCACAGAACCCCCCGCAAAATAGGAAGGCCAGGAGCGTGTCCAACCATGGCGAAGGGACGGCGAGACTCAAACAGCCAAAAGCCTCTCGAAGGAATTCAGAGATCAGTGTAAATGAGAAGTTGTCCGCTGCCCCAAAGAGCTTGAGGAGTAGCTCAGCCCAGTCTTTGCGGAAAGTCAAGGGTATATTGGGCCTGAAGACATCACCATCTACTTGTACATCACCCTCAAGCAAGCGTAACAGCAGATGCAGCTCTACTTGGACTGATCAGGACGGAGTGTCAACTTTGGCGACTACAATCAGTGATGCTGAATATACACCGACAAAGCGATCACAGTCAGTACGCAGCCATAATCACAAGGACAAGTTCCAACATGTTCCGTTGCCAATCCCGCAGAGGCGAGGGTCACTTGGCCAAGACTGTGAACATGGCTTGCTCAATCCTGGAAAATACTGGCATCCGGTGAATGCAAGAGAAAATCCTAACTCGACTTTGACTCGGCGAAGACATTCTATTTCTACAGGCTACTCAACAAATTTTACTCATTCTCTCACTCCTGGGTCGTCGAGTGTCAAGAAGTCACGGGATAGCTTCCTTGTCCAAAAGTCCAATTCAGTTTCTACGCCCCGGAAGACGGAGACACGAACTCTTGACACCGTGGCCAGGCAATCAAACTCCCAGACTAATACAAAGAGTGCAGTGAACAATATCAAACGAATAAGGGCAAGTGGAGAAAAGAGTCAATCTATCACCTCTTTGACCTGTTCTCAAGGGCTCAGGTCTTCCTCGACTAAGAATAGTCACAATAATTCTCCAGGGACTGTTGCCCACAAACCACTCAGTCCTGCCCAAGGGGTAAAGCTAGTACGAGATCCGGAGAAAAGTCAGAGGAAACTACTCGTTGAGCTCTGGTTCACAACGCAAGCATTGGCAGATGGACTGGATGTAAGCCCAGAATTAGCAAGCAGTTGGTGCGATGCTCTTTACTACAGTCGACGCCGGAACCTCGATCTTGACCCGTTTGGAATGACAAAGTTTGCGCCCATTCAAGAAGCACTGAGTTGTGATATCACCAGAACGCAGTGGTGGAAGCTTCCTAATCCGGAACTAGTCGTGGCCAATGAATTGCAATCCATCATTCCGAATATGTTTGAGTCATTCTGGATCACCGATCCTAATCTCGAGGAGAACGCTATCAGAGTCGCGTCTGACGATCTCCTTCGCAGCACACAATTTTGCAGTGGAGAAGGTATTTTCGCGGACGACTTTGCAGGCGTCAAGGAAGGGTGTCAATTGTCAACCAGTTATGACGCAGATGGACGGCTCATGTACTCTCTTCTCATCACCACTCCGCTCATACTCCAGGAGACCGCAAAGACGCGGTATTTTCTCACCACATATATCAATATTACCAAATACATCAGAAAGCATGTGCTCGACGCCATTCTCGCGCATCATGCGCCGGACGTGTCCAGCAAGGAGGCAGTTGTTGATTATGCGGCCACTCGGACAAGGGAGACGAAGGACACACTACCGCGAATGCTTGACAGGTCCCATTGCCCGTCCTCTTCCTCTCTCCTAAGTCTCGAACGACCAATCTCCTTGATTGATTGGCTTGAATTTGCGCTAGAAGAAGCAGGCGACTCTCAGGAACTGGAACGACATCTTTCCGGGTCAAGTTCATTAGGTTCTCCCCGAACTTCTGATTTTGATTCAGCTCAAGAAAATGAGAACTCGAGGGCAAAGGAAAAGAAGGGCGCAGAGAGGCACGACAAATCATTGCCGCTACCGGGCGAGATTATTGAACTTTCAGGGTTCATTAAACAGCTGAAAGCACTTCACAGAGACTACTTTATCTTGGCGCCTGGACGCACAAGTGCCTTTTACGAAGTCTATTACGTATCGCCGCACCTCTATGAGACCGGCGAATGTGTTGACGGTCTGCTGGAACAGACCTTGCCTGAAACTCGACAGCAGCTCAAGCATGCTTGGGCATATCTTAAACATGTTTCTATTCAGATTAAATGGGGCAAACGAGGGGTCGATAAAATGCTTTATTGTACTCCATTGTATGGACCTGGGTTTTCTTGCTGGATATGTTTTTTGACGGATGCTTGTATTGGAGATATTTGGGAGCGACCAATTTCTTGAACTGAATACTAATGAAGCCACGACTGATGAGATCATGTTTAATGCCTTGTGTCTCCTCTCTTTCTTTCTTTTTTACTTTCTTTTCCTTGGTTTACTTTTTTTTGGGGTTTCAGCATCATTTCTTTATAACTGTGAATACTCAGTGACAGAGCGATGGGGGTAGGCTTAATAAATGATGAAGACGAGTGCGTTACGTCAAATTTTAGATATCCTTTTGATGTTATTAGTTCTTGAAAAGAAATTCTAGTAAGTTTAATCATTCTGAGCTGCAGTCGATTACGAAATATAAATTTTTCATTTGTATGGCATGATGCAGATTTGTACTGCTGCCATTGACTTCGCCTTGGAGAGACTTATGCAAATGCTGTAAGATTGAATCACTTCTGAACATTCAAAAAAAAAATGCTGACTAGGACATGATAATCTCCCACTCATTAGTTTCAAGACGAGGTACATTGTGTGTGAACGACAGTGGAGTTGTTGGTACAGCGTGCACTGTGTATATCGATTTATGCCGGTGAGGTCCGGAAGTGCGGGTTCAGCCAATCACGAGCAGTTCGGCTCGCCAAGCTCTTCTCGACATCCATCCGTCCTCAATCCCTCATCTTCCCGGCCCATCGTGTGAGAAAAGGAACGACGAACGATCTCGTTGCCCATCGATACCCCCATTCAATCGTTCCAATTGAGGTCCGGGAATACCTCATCGCTCCATCCCTTCTCTCCCTCGATCACCTGCGGCGGACGTCTTGACCCTTACGACCGCCCCTTTCAAAATGTCTCTCTACGCCTCGCGCATGGTCCTGAGGCAATCTCAGATGGCCTTCCCTCGCGGCATTGTTCTCCGACACGCCTCCACCACCTCCGAGGCCGCGCAGGCAGCCACCTCAGGCGCCGCAAAGGCTCAGGCTGCTGCTTCTTCCGCCACCTCCAAGGCTTCCCAGGGTCTCTCGCGTGTCAGCTCCTCCGCCGGCCCCATTCTCACCAGCGCCGCCAAGAACCTCACCCAGACCCTCGGACGCATTGGCGGCCGAACAGGTCGCGTGATCGCCTTTGTTGAGTGTAAGTTGTTGACTATTATCATCGGCACCGATGCGCCTTTGCCAATGGCTTCATATTCGATGCATTGAATTGGTGGCATGCCAAATTCGGTTGTTCGGCATGGCATGGAACATCCGCTTTGCTCGAATCATTTCAATTGATATCATGGCAGCGCCAATGTTTAAGGTCTGAATTTGTTGCTGACTAGAGCGCTTAATACAGCTGTTATTCCCCCTACCATCTACTACTCAAAGGTCGGCATTGAGCTGTCCAAGCTCGTCTTCCAGGGTCAGAAGATGAGCCCTCCGTAAGTTCCCATAAAGCCGCTCACTACAATTTTCGAGATGGCCGCTGACTTTTGTCCTCCAGTTCCATTGCGACATTCCAGTCATATTTCCAGCCTCTTATCAACGCGGCTCGTCACCCCGCGTCTTTGTTCACTCAGACTACCACTGTCAACAGCACTCTGCAGCCGACCAACATCCTGAACAAGGTTCGAAACCTCAACAAGCAGCAGCTGGTCAGCGGTGGTATCGTTGCCGCTGAGGTCCTTGGTTTCTTCACTGTCGGTGAGATTCTCGGCCGGTTCAAGATTGTCGGATACCGGGGCGTCGACCACCACGCCGAGCACTAAACGATAGAGAGGATGGATAGTTGAAGAATAAAAGTGGTGGCTGTTGAAGACATAGCGGGTAATGTTGTGGTGGCGGATTCCAGAAAGTGTGTTTTCACAGGATTTTAGAGATGAATGGATGGCTACGTCAAAGAACGGGATATCTTGATTTGCTGGGGTTTCTCTGGATTTTTACTAGTCAAACCCATCGTGATATCTCACTGCTGTACCGATATGGATTTGCACATAGCGTGCCGTGTGGGTTCATTGTGTTGATCCATTGTAAATTAAAGATATCAATGAGCAAGGCACAGCTAAATGGTCAACCTGAATTATTATTTATTATTGTTATTCTTCTTCTATAAGTGGTCCAAGATGATATATCGTGGATGAGATCGGAGTTTGATTGGCGGTGATTGGATGGCTCGGCAAAAAAGTGCCTGGCTGCCTTTTTCGGGTATTGGCGAAAAAAGTCGCGGAACAAATGTTTGGGATTGTCCATGACATACACAATTGCAAAAACACAAGAAGGTGACAGCTTACACAAAAAGTTTTTCGTGTGACTTTCACGTCACTGGTTCAGCTGCTTCACGTTGAAGCTGATTTCCTTACCTGCGACCGGGGCCGTCGTCTTCCGTTATAGCGACCACCTGTTTTCGTGGACGAAATGGATCCGTTCAAGTTATTAACACGATCAACCAACTTGACCAAAGCCGCAACAGCGTCGAAGAAGACGGCGTCTCAGCATACACCCTCGACCGGGCAGAATGCGAACCCTCAGCTTTTCGGCGGAAAGGATGACGACTCGTCGAGCAACGCAAGCAAGAAGCGCAAACGGGGCAATCCGAGCGCCGTCCCAGACTTGGTGACTGAAGCAGAGCTCGATTTCTTTGGCGACGGCAAGAGCAAGAATGTTTCCTCCAAAGAGAAGGATGACGACGACGCAGGAGTGCCAAACGAGAAGAATGAGACATCGAAATTTGCAAAGGATACTTTGAGTGAAGAAGATTGCAAGAGAATATTGCGGTCTCATAAGCTCAAGATTACACTATTAAATGCGACTGAACCCGCAGCAGCAGACAATGAGGGCGAGAAGAAGTCGAAGAAGAGGAAAAAGGAGCAGGCTACGGAACATGCTAATTCGGGAAAGAAAAAGGCCCACGTTCAAGTCTTTCCTCAACCATTGACCTCTTTCAAACAATTACGGAGCCGGTACAACATATCGAGGCGACTGGCAGACAATCTTGCAGCGCAGGGTTATACTATTCCTACAGAAGTGCAACTTGGTGGGCTTCCTTTGCTGTTGGGAGATATTGGTGGCTTAGAGGGCGACAAAGGCGCGCATACGAAGAGCACCACAAAGCAAAGCCTGGCGGACGTTGATCTTTTGACCGTTGCTCCCACGGGCAGCGGCAAGACGTTGGCTTTTCTCATCCCGGTTTTGAATCAAATTCTGGCAAGAAGAAAAGCGGTCAAGGACAATGTCGAAGAGGAAGAACTCGAGGGGCCCAAGGCTATCGTCGTAGCCCCGACGAGAGAACTGGCCAGCCAGATTGTCAACGAAGGAAGGAAACTGGCGCTGGGAACCGGTATCCGAGTCACTGCGATGCGAAAGGGCATGAAACCAGCTGCTACTTTCCCGCAGGACGAAGAGGACGAGTCTGCCGACGAGGAGCAAGAGTCAGGCTCGGATTCTGACCATTCCGACAGCGACGAGTCTACATCCCAAGAGCACAACCAGAACAAGAAGGACTCTAAAACGAGCAAAAAACAACGTCCTGTCGTCAAAGCTGACGTTCTCGTCACCACTCCTCTTCTAATGCTCCACGCTATCTCGCTCAAAGGACAATCCGCGACCGCCAGTATGCCTTCGGTCCGGCACCTCATTCTCGACGAAGCAGACGTCCTGCTTGACCCTCTGTTCCGGGACCAAACGCTGGGCATCTGGAACGCCTGCATCAACCCGTCACTCCGCGTCAGTCTCTGGTCCGCGACAATGGCATCTTCTGTCGAAGAACTCGCCCTATCCACAATCGAATCACGCGCCATCACTCTCCGTCTCTCCACCCACGCACCACTCGCCCGACTCGTCGTCGGTCTTAAAGACTCCGCCATCCCCAACATCTCGCACCGCCTCATCTACGCCGCCACCGAGCAAGGCAAACTCCTCGCTCTGCGGCAGATGCTGCACCCCACCTCCTCCATCTCCGACGACTCCTCCGGTCCTCCGCTCCGCCCGCCCTTTATCGTCTTCACCCAAACCATTCCCCGCGCGGTCGCCCTGCACTCTGAGCTGCTCTACGACATTCCCCTCGAAGCCGGCGGCTCGTCGCGCATTGCCGTCCTGCACTCCGACCTCTCCGACACCCTGCGCTCCGACGTCATGGCCAGATTCCGCAACGGCTCCGTCTGGGTCCTCATCACCACAGACCTCCTCGCCCGCGGCGTCGACTTCCGCGGCGTCAACGGCGTCGTCAACTACGATTTCCCTTCCTCTGGCGCTTCCTACATCCATCGCGTCGGCCGCACCGGCCGCGCCGGCCGCGATGGCGGCGTCGCCGTCACCCTCTACACAAAGGAAGATATCCCCTATGTGAAAAACGTCGCGAACATTATCGCCGCCAGTGAGAAACTCCGCAGAGACGAACGCCCCTCGCATAAGGCAGCCGGTCCTGTCTCCTCGCAAATCTCAAGCACCATCCAGCCTTGGCTCCTCGATGCCCTTCCCACGCCGTCAAAGCGCGATAAACAGCGCCTCAAACGCCGTGGTGTCGAGGCTAGAAGATCAGATACTGCAGGACCCGGCACGGAAGCAGGAGCAGGAACGGGAGCACGAGACGGCGGAAGCAAGTCCCGCATCAGTACGAAGAGCGGCTTCGATCGGAAATTGGAGAATAGACGCAAAGGCGCAAAGATGGCGAGCCAAAAGGCGAAAAAATCTTCCTCTTCTTCTGCTGCTGCTGCTGCTACTGCTGGCACTCCTGCTGCTCATGAAGAAGACTCGGATGGGAACGAGTGGGGCGGCTTTGATTAATTGCACATATAGACCCCTTTTGTTGCATTCAGTAGTTTTTTTGTAGGGTCATTATCAAAAAGTTTTCAAATGTCCTGGGCATTCGTCCTCGCATATTGCCCATATTGCCATATTGCCAACTAAAGTTCTTTTAAAAATTCTGAAACTGTATATGTAATATCTCAAGTATAACATTACGAGACCTGGGAGGTTGTCCATGGGAAAAAAATTGTGTTGTATAGATGCATATCTTGTTATCCTGTATATATGTGTATGTGTATATACGTTCTACTCTTATTGTCTAGAGACACCAGGAGGAAAGGAGGGGGGGGGGGGGGGGGGGGGACCCCCTCTTTCCCCCCCCCCTAAAAAAAAAAAAAAAACAAAGCAGAAATTTGCACGACGAAAATTGGAATAATACTAACAGGGACCCCGAAAAATAGTTTCTTGTTACGCTACAAAAAAGGCTTTTATGCACTAGAGTAGGTGAAGTTTGAACACTGAAAGCAGATTTAGGGAATTAAAAAAAATAGTTTAAAAGTAGAAAGGGAAAAGGAAAAAGGTGTTTGATTGTCCAACTAGAGTCTGTATTCTTATAGTAGTATAACTGTATAATATTAGTTACAGTGCATTAAATAAATGGTTTAAGCCCTTAACCCTATATCAAGTAATACTGTAATAATTAGACCTTATAATGAGTGGAATGAAGAAGAAGAAAAAGAAGAAGAAGAAGAGGAAATGATGCTACTTCATTTGCGCAAAATAATAGCCGGAAGGATCGTCGGAGCAACCCACCTCTCATCTTCCATGTGCCAGATCGAGTATTTTCTTCACAACATCGTCTTCCATCTTCTTGGAACGTTTTCTTTCAGCCTCGAGTCGCTCCGCGCCACGCTGGACATAGCCGAGATGAACACTGAGCGGGATATCTGTACCGTCTCTACGATATTTTGTGGCATTGGTACGTTCGTGGAGATTTTCGAGTCCTGCATGCATGGTTTTGAGTTTCATAATGACGCCAGTAACGTGGGCCCAGACGGACTTGCGGTTCTCGGTGACATGTCGCAGAAGGCCGATTTGGCGGTCGTAATCGGAGAGTTTGGATCTACTTGACCCTCCTTCTCTGCTGCCACTGCCTCGGCCGATAAGATTGGAAAGACGCCACCCTCCCACGGCAGTGCTGCTGGCGCCGGTAATAGTATTCCATATACCGGTCAAGGTCCACAAATGGCCAAGGATCTCGTCTCGGGAGAGCTGGACCTGTGCGTTGTCTTCTGAGGCGAACTTATAGATGGAATCGAGATGGTTTTCCAGGGCGTATAAGAAGCCAAGAATCGTATTTGCTTCAATAAGAAGAATATCGATTTCGTCTTGGACGTGGTGCAAGTGTTTGTGATACTGCGCGACAATCGCCGCTTTAGCCCTCGCGCGGGGGTCGTGGTAAAAGGGAATGACGGCACGAAAAGTCCGAGAGAGAACTCCAGGCGAGCCTGGTTCCAGTGGGATGCGGTCGAGAGCCTCCTTGGTCGATTGAGTATTTGCAATGACCATGTCGGCCGCGGAGCCGATATGGGTGTTGAATTTTAACAGAGCGTCGGAGGCAAGCGATGCAGTTTGGATGAAGCCGCTCAATTCGAGGAGTATTTTGCCTCTAGAGAATAGACGTGTTAGGCGAGAGGGAGAGTTTGAAGAGTATAAAGGGTGGGGAAATGAAAAAAGGAAACCAAGAGAGGATGGGTTATTCTGTAGATGAACTTACCTGGACGGAAGTTGACTATAGCGGACTTGCGGACGCAGCTCCCTGATACACACTTCTCCCAGTTTCATGGCGAATTGTAATGATACGGCATGCGGGTTGGCTGCAAGAACTTCTTCAAATGTGGACTGAACCTGCATCAGCTTGCCGAAGTCGACTGGCTCTGCGTTTTCAGCGGGCGGCTTAGGAGTAACGGGCAAGCCTATGGCTGTTCCATGACGACAGAATGGAAGATTGAGAAGCCCGGCACCAGGGATTTGGCAGAGCGGTAATAACGAAGCATGAATCGAAGCTGCGATAGAGCCGGTGACAGCCGTGGCAGCAAAGTAGAGTATGAGCGCAGCTAGAGCTAGGGAGAGTGGTATCTTCAAGAGGCGTAAAGAGGTTATCAAAATCTCAAAAGCGAGTCCGAAAAGACGCTGTGCTCCAGCTGCAGTGATGTCCAACATGTTGGCAATATGGGTTGTTTTGTTGTCTCTTTCTTCATCTTTTGGGATCTTATTTTTGCGGAGTTCTCTTCTTATCACGCTTCTTTGTCTGGAAGATGTCGCGTGCCCGCCATTGTTCTGGGTTCCGGATACTGCAATGGCCGAAGACTGGGGGATACTTCGCAATCGAGCAGAATGGCGTCTAGAAGCCGCAGGAGAACTATCGAAGCCTCTGTCGTTGGAGACCCAAGAGGTCTCCATTTGCCCGTCGTACATTGACGGCATGATTAGTTCTTGTCGGTCGTGACACTCGAGCCCTTTCCTTTCCCGCTACTACCTCCTCTCCGATGTAACCTATGGGTGACTGCTCTGTGTGCGGCAGACAAGGTTAGTGCTTGTGGCAGAGCAGCAAGTTGATCGCCCTCCTCACTCTCAAATGAGTTGTTGAAGTGAAAATCTGCTTCGTAGTCGTAATCGTCCTCACACAAATCTAAGCTGGTCAAGTGAGGCAGCAACGGAGAAGGGGCAGAAACAAATATAAAAGTGATCGTTCTAAGCGTAGAAGACAGAATAGTGAAGTTGAACTAATCATCTAAGAACAGACTACTGCGCAGGATTAACTGTGCTCTTCAATAGGCAATCCAAAAGCGGGAAAGATTCCAGAAAGATCGATTGATTCTTTGTTTGATCATATAGAACTGACGAGGCGGCCCGGTCATGGGAACCAGAATGGCTATATCGTCGACAACACTGCCGCCTAAACATCCTTGCCATCTTCTCTTTGAAAGATCAGAAACAAAAGAAGCAGAAAGAAGTTGAAAGCAAGAACAACAGTTGCATGTGACACGACCAAAACATGGGTTGTTTCACGTCAAAGGCGGCTGGAGAGGGCAACTTTTCAGTCAGTGAGGTAAGAGATCAGAGTACTTGAAAAATATAATACAATACTCTGAAAGTTAGGAGACGAAACAACCCTAAAGTTCTTTGAAAGAATCGTCAACTGCTTCAACAAACAACCTTCATTTGCGGGGCAGATAAAGTGAAATCTATAAAGTTACGTTCATTATTGGGGACAAGCGGAGTAATAACATATTAAGCGCTGCTCGCCTATCAACCAAGCGCAAAGGGGCCTTGTCGTTTATATAACCGCCCTAGAGATGCACCGAAGCTACTTTCCCCGGAATAATTGCAGACCGAATCCAAGCCTCAAGCTCCAAAAATTCCATGTCCAGGCCGCTGCTCCAATGCGTCTCGTGAGGACTGCTGCGCTGTCCCGGCTACGCCTGCGGCCTCTGCGAAATGTCACCCATACCAACGTGCAATGGCCGGCATTAATATCGCGAAGGCAATGCGCCAGCTGCGCCGACACGGCCGCATCACCGGTCACGCCTTCGTTGGATAAAACAACCCAGACTCCACCTATACCTCCGGCAGACCATCGTGCAATCGCAATTGATCAAGATCTCTTCGTCACGTCTGCGCTGAGTCCCGGATCACCGCTTTTCCTCCCAAATGGCGCTCACGTTTTCAACAAGCTGCTCTCCTTTCTGAGGGCCCAGTACAAGCAGTTTGGTTTCCAGGAAGTCATCACGCCGACCATATACAAGCGTTCATTATGGGAACAGTCCGGCCATTGGGAAAATTACAAGGATGACATGTTCGAGGTCAGCGGACGGGGCGCGTCCGGACAAGCCAAGGATGCCGAAATCGGCGAAGATGAAGAATACGGTCTCAAGCCCATGAATTGTCCCGGCCACTGCTTGCTGTTCAAATCACAAAGGAAAACATATCGAGAGTTGCCAGTCCGCTACGCCGACTTTAGCCCCCTGCACCGAAACGAAATCTCGGGCGCGCTGAGCGGCTTGACAAGAGTACGGAGGTTCCATCAGGACGACGCCCACATCTTCTGCCGGCCGTCGCAAATATCCGAGGAAATCTCCAAGACGCTGGAGTTCGTGGCTGTCGTATACAAGACTTTTAACCTTGGCCCGTTCAAGCTATGCCTCTCTACGCGGCCAGAAGACCACTACATTGGCACAGTCGAGGATTGGGAGCGTGCCGAGGAGCAGCTCAAGGAGGCTTTGGACCGCAGTGGCCGGGAGTGGTCGGTCAATGAAGGGGACGGTGCATTCTATGGTCCAAAGATTGATATCATTCTCAAAGACTCGGATGGAAAGGAGCACCAGACTGCAACGATTCAGCTCGATATGCAGCTTCCGCAGAGATTCCAGCTGGAGTATCAAGCTCCGGCTCCCGAGCTGGAGCAAAAGGGCATACTCACTACGGACAAGTCGCTGCTCGAGCAGAGTGGACCAGTCACACCGGTCATCATCCACCGAGCCATTTTTGGCTCCTTGGAGCGTTTCATGGCGCTGTTGATTGAGCATTACAATGGGCGGTGGCCCTTCTGGCTGAGCCCGCGCCAGGCCATCATCCTGACGGTTGGCAAGGGGAATGGTGTCGACGAGTACGCCGAAGAGGCACAGAGGATCACATCTGGCATTGGGCCCTCTTTGCCAGAAGGCAAAGTTGCGCCGCTTCCCATGGATACAGCCCAGTTCCTCGTCGATATCGACCAGAGCGATCGTCCCCTGGGCAAGAAGATTTCCGAAGCCAAGCGCAAAAAGTATAATACAATCATTGTCGTCGGCAAGCGCAGCGTCGAGGAGAACACGCTTGAGCTGGACGTCACAGCGCAACCTAATCAGCAAGTGACGCAGTCCGCTCTTGCTGACATTCTCGGGTCAGAGAATGCTATTGGTAACGGCCGGTCCGTGAAGCTGTCTCGTGACCAAGTGTATGATTATTTTTCGCGCGTGTCGAGCGCCTACGCGTAGATTTCCATGTAATTTATATTATTTAGAATATTGTCAATACAAAGCTCAATAACATAGTATAATTACTTTATCTGGAAATATATGGATGGCCTGGAAGGATTTCTCTTTTTCGACGTGGTTGTCAATTGTGGCGCAAGTAACGCTCCCCCATCGGAGCTGGACCTTGTCCCTGACAATCTCACATGTCACCACATCCCCCACTGGTCCGCCTGTCCGCTGTTTGTCTTCCCCACACCAAACATCCAACGCCTAGGTCAATAAATTATTCAACATTTACCATTCCCACGATCTTCCCATCCCACGGTCTCCCAAACCTACTACTCTACGGCCCATCAATCAGTTTCATCTTATCGACATTCGAACCAAAACTTCATCTATCTTTCGTGACTTCTATCCTTTATCGCAAACCAACCATCCAACCCTCCAACCCCTCGCTCAGCATCAACATACCCGCCCACAACCGCCGTTTCAACCCTCCTCTCTACTCCCCACAGCCCTTTCCGTCCTCTCATACCAGAAAATCCAAGCATGGCATCATCCTCTCAAACCCATCTTGCGCCTTCCTCTACTCCCTCATCATCATCCTTGGCCGCACCGGGCGGCGGCAGTGGCCCAATATCCCAACATTCCATGTCCGCAAACGCCGGCATGACGCCTGCCAACGACAAGCCGCGACTCACCGAGCAAGAGAAGAAGAACAACCACATCGCATCCGAGCAAAAGCGACGGCAAGCTATCCGCGAAGGATTCGATCGGCTGACGGAACTCGTGCCCGGTCTCGAGGGCCAAGGACGCAGCGAGAGCGTCGTGTTGAAGCGGACGATTGATTTTATGCGCGAGCAGCTCGAGGAGCGGCGCCGGCTGGTTGCGCGCGTCGAGGCGTCTGGAGGTGTCGTGAGTGAGGATATGAAAGTTTGATATGATTAGTACCCGTCATCATTCTCCGGAATTTTGTCCGATTGTCCCGGAATTTGTCCCGGTATATTGTCCTGGATTTGTCCCGGTATCCCGGTATATTGTCGCGGAGTCTGTCCCGGGGTTTTCATCCAGCATTCAGCATTCAACATCTAGCATTCACCATTCAGTCAAACGAAACGCCCGACTGCGTCCTGCGTTTGCGACGACGACCCGGTCACCACCCATCCCCGGATATCTAACAGGCCAACACAACCGCCAACCGCCAACTGCCAACCGCCAACAGACAGTCATGCACAACGCACAGAACTCATCTGTCTGACCTACCGGTTCCTATAGTACTAGAGGACAACAACACGACCTTGGACTAAACAATAATACTAATACTACGACCTCTGAATAGCGGCCCACCCGCAAACAGCATGGTAGTATAGCTCATCTCGTATGAATACATATCTTCACCCCCCTACCTTTCCGCCAGGCCTTGTTCTCCTGCCACCTCATCGACCGCTCATCGACCGCCCTGCCACTCACCGAGGGCTCATCGGGTCAGATGATGTCTCAATCGCACGTTGGCACGCGAGGATCTCCCTCAGCCAAAACCCTCCAGATGATCGGCCCCCTACATCTTACCCATTCTGGTTCGACAGCGGGAAGTTATCCTGGGATCAAGAGGGAAAGATCCAAGCCAGGACATTCGCAGGACATTCGCAGGGTCAAGCGACGGTACATTACAGACTACAGTGCCAACGAACGCAAATCTAGACAGCTTGACAGCTTGACAGAGGGGCGTGTTTACGTCATATAGGATGATAGAATCTTAGACTTTTTATAGATGGGACTTATAGATAAGAATCTTTAGCTTTTACAAGTACTCTTGACTTGATAGAGAGACTTTACACCTCTTTAAATTTATCGCGTCTTACGGTCGAGAATGCAAGTGCTTGACGAGTCACGGTTTTTAGTTCTTAGTTACGGAACGCAAATGTCAAAACTTGAATCTAACATTCATGTGCCGTATGCGTGTATATATATACATGGGTATAAAACCAAACTAACCTAGGCTTTACCACCTTGACTAAAATGCTTTGATGCGAGTATCGCTGGACTTGATCGAAACGATATGGGAGAAATGAAAAGGAGATATAAAAACAGGAGGAAAGAAAAAAGAGAGGGAGAGGGAAAGAAAGAAAGAAAGAAAGAAAAAATAATAGTAATGATAATAATAATCAAATGAGCAAGGCTTCTAAAAGATCGTAACGACGTAAATGGTCAAATGGCCTGAGTACTCTGTCCCTGGCGCGTATTCGGATTATCCGATTCTTCCCATGCCGAATCACTGACGCCATGGTCTTTATTCCGCTTGCTTGTAGAAACGTCTGCATCCCCACGGCCGAGACGGGCCATATCTTCCTCTGTGGGAGCGACATGCATCCAGACCTCGTCAGAGTCTGATCTGCTGGAAGAAGTTTGCGCATCAATCGGCGGGCCAATAATACTTGAACGTTTTACTTTGCGCTGCAAATCGGGCGTGACGCGTGCAGAAAATTCGTGTGGTATCTTGAGACGTTTAGCAGTCCATTTCGGGTCGGGTTTATGTTCGTCGGGTAATTCAGTGACGGCTTCTGCTTCGAGGAGGTGCTCGTTGTCGATGGCGCCCTGGACAAAGGACATTCGAGAGGGTGTAGTGTAGGACAAGAACTCGAGAGAGGCGTTCACGGTGAGGTCGAGGGCGCGAAGAGGGTTGATGGTCATTTTGAGGAAGAGGGACGAGAGCCGCGGATAAAGAACGGCAAAGTCGGACTGGGCATGATGCACTGATCCACCTGTAAAACGCTATTAGCAAACAACCTTATGGAAGCCATGGGAAAGATACAGGGAGCTCGCTTACGGACAGTGAGAAGCCAGCAAAGAGGGTTCTCGCTTTTAGCTTCTTTGAAAATAGACAGGACGGACTTGAAGTTCTCTGGCCAGTACATGAAAGCTTCAGAGTTGATGCCTAATAGAGGAGCGCATATTCGATGTTCGGCATTAGATGGCTTGAGAACAACACTGTGCAAAAAAGGACGCAATGATTAGCACAGAGCCCTTGTGAGAATGGACAGAGTCTATAAACCTACCCCCAGATATCGTAGATGATGCCCTGTGATACAAAGTCGAACCGGTCAGGATGTCGAAGTACTTCGACTGTCGTTGCAGCACCAAACGAATGGCCCACCATGGTCACCTTGTCCACGTGAAATCTGCCAGTCCAAGAAGCCCAGTCTACACCATCAAGTCCGCGGGAACTAGCGTCAATCCGGTTGGCTCTTCTCAGGTTTTTCTGGGCAACAAGCTGCCCTTGCCCGTTACATATCAGACACATGACGCGATACGCTTCCTCAATCTCAGCAAGACGCATCTCAATCTGCGCTGCCCTCAGTTCATGGTCAACCTCTCCCTTTCCTGTCGGATCAGTATCGTTGGGATTATCTATATAGAGATAGGTTAGCAAGGTATTCGAAATATGCAAACTCAAGTTGATACAAGGCGGGGGCCCTTTGGCTTTCCGTTCACAGCGAAGAACCGTGTCGCTTACCCTTGGGAAATATATAGTCCACATTGTCATAATCCCTTTCCTTCTCCTCGGGTGGATGGTCAACGTTTCCATTTGACTCCATTGCTTCTCGACTGGCCTCGGTATTCGGCGGATGATTCACAAACGACCGCGGACCACTTCCATCCCGATGCTCAATCGCACAGACGACAAAGCCGTAACTGGCAAACTCGGAACACAGACTACTGTAATTTGTTCGTGTTCCTCCAAGTCCATGGCTGAAAATGAGTAAGGGCAAGCGTGGTGGCTTTCCCTCTTCTCCAGGTGGCGGCTCGCCCTCCAAGTTCTTCACCTCTGCCCCCACGGCTCGAACGTTGAGGTCTGGCGGCCAATGCGCGGCCAAGGGAGCATTTCTGAACGCAACAAGTTTCGTAAACCACGCAGTTGAAAGAAACCATAGTGTTGTTGGCCATCTGGGAAGGCCGGCAAAACGGGCATAGCCTTTGGCGGATTTTCTACGTGGCCGTTGTAACCAGAGCGCTCGTGACCAATTCTTATATCCTGCCGGGTCAGGGCCAGTGCCTGACCCAAACTCGGATGGATAGTAGATTGTAAGTAGGACTGTTTCCAGCTCTAGTAGATGATGATTATTACGGGTTATGTGCGAAACGGATCGGGGCTTTTCGACTGGTATCTCCATATCCATGGTGCCGACCTAGGTTGGCCCGAAAGAGCGTCAGTCTGAGTCCAAGGGCCTGGAATGAAACTATATTGTCTCTACCTACACTATACGGGCCTGATGTTCTTGGGAGTTTTCCATAAAAAGGCACCCGGTCGCGAAGGTCGCGTGGTGGCCGAGACTTTGGTTTTTTGCTGTAGGGGACATCATTTGGTCGACCATGGGAGCTCGCATACTCTGAAAACCAGGAGAAAAAGGACATTGTGTACAGTTACAGATGCAGAAAACAACATGAATACGGGGAGAGCGCTGGAGGAATTATGAATGTTTGATTTTAGAGTTAGACGATGCCGAAGAGCAAGTCCCGCTTTTTCTGAGATTGATGGTGAACAGTGGGGGGGGGGGTGAGATCTATTGATCGATTGTGGAGAAAGATGGGTTTTCAATTGCATGCCATTGTAGCAGGATGAATATTTTTGCGAAAGGGGTTTTCAATAATATACAATCATTGTGATGGCATTGGCACGCGAGATAGGGTAAAAAGTACAAAATGCCATAGCGGCGGTGGAGAGGAGGAGAGATATGCATCCCATGGTGGGATGAGGTAAGAGGACGGACAGTTAGTTAGAAGATTTCGGTGAAATTAAGTCTGTACTGACGTATTGTTCACCCCGGAGTGTCCTCCGTTCCCCCCTTCTGGGCCCTCTAGCGAGCTCAACTCCATCGTGCCTTCCCCTTTGAGAGGAAACTTCCCCACTAGCGGGCACAAACGGAGCGGCACCTTGGCGGGTCTTCCGAGCACAAGAGCTTAGTTCGTAGTCCTCGTCCAAGCCTATGGTTAAAGGCCATAGCTTAAAACTTACGATCGTGGTTATCCTGGTATACTGTCATACGACATCTCCGTTTACCCCGATCTCTCTGCCACATACTTACCTTTAAGTATGTTAACCTATCTCCGTTCGAGATGGTTACAAATCAATCTAATCACTGCAGAAATCAGAGATAACAACCTAACCATTCACGGAATTAAGGGCTTTGGTATTGCTATCAACATTATTGTTGGATCCAGAGATAAAACGAAGAACATGACTCTATTCCGAAGGAAAGGGGGAAGAGATGAAAACATCGAGTACATATTGCATAAAAACGACGAATGTCAGAGATTTCTTCTCCATAGGGAAGAATTCCTGGCTGGCGACTGTGTAAGTCGTCAGATACGGCGAACGACCGCCGGAGATTATTCACAGCCGCGATGCTTTTCGAATGAAAGACCCAAGAGCTAGCGAGAATTCAACTCTGCATTTATGGAGTAGTTGGACATGCGTGACGCTTTTTCATTGCTTTCCTTTCCAACCCTTTCAATGTCCTCGTGGAAAAGAAATTGAATACATTGCAATTAAACATCGTGTCGAACCGGTCAAGTTTCTGTGAAACATGATCAAAGGTATGTCATGCCTTATCAGCCCTCTTGCAAAAACCGTTACCCTTCTCCGATTCCTTGCATCATCACATCTCAACCCGCAATAGCTCCACAAGTTCCATAACACTCTCCTTGGCCATCAAATATGAGTTCTGAGCCCTGTCTGCTTCCAACTTTGCACCCATCCAGGCTTTTTCTGCGTCACGTGCATGGCTCAAGGCACCCACAAGGAGCCGAGCGGCCTGGAGAAGACTCTTCTTTTGGTCAGCATCATGCTCCGAGCGAGCCGACTGCAAGATTTCCATGGCGAAGGATGTTGCTCTGGCAAATTTTGCTGAATCAAGCAAATTAGTGCTCTTATTAGTACCCTCAGCCAGCAATGTTGCAGAATGTTTCCGAAAATTTGTACCATCGCCGTCGTTGAGACTAGGACTATTAGAACGGAGCATTTCCTGCATGAAGGACACAGATGGGCTAGTAGCGGACATGGTGCTGTTGTAAATCGTGGTGTGCCCTGATCTTATGGGATTATCTTCTTCGATAATGTGACTTTGTCTCCAAGAGGACACTTTTCGATCTAGTAACGCTGCCTTGTGAGAAGTAGCAATTGCATTTCGTCTTTGCTCTTCTGAATCATTGTACGGAGAAGATTTTAACGCAATATGAAGGTCCTGGTCGCCATTAGGAAGGTCAAGTTGGACGGAAGACACGCCTTTAGCAGCTCCCAACTCATTCTGGATTGCTGCAAAATCCTTGGACCGACATTCCCCAGATATCTTTCCGGTTCCAGCTGCAACCTTGTCGTTTCTATCATCGACAGTTGATGAAGCCAAAGGACTCTGCTGCCGAGAACTTACAAAATTGATGTCAACGCTTGAAGCTCCACCGGCGAGTCTAATCCCAGAGTTTCCCATGGTGTCAGACGAGCTATCGCTGGAATGCTCCTCAACGTCCTTGATTACAGGTGACTGACTCTCAAATTCTTTTTGCATATGATTCTCGGTGATGCCGCTACTCGAAACTCGGTTGGAGAAGGACTTCTGATGTCTCTTCAGGCCATCATCTGAACTCAGATCTTCTGCGGCGATATCATCTCGACGCAGCGGTTGAAAGCATATGTCAGAAGAACGTGAGCCGTTCTGGATGCCTTCGTGACTAAGTGAGGCTGATAAGTCTTCTTTCTCAGTATTCATGCTTTTAAATTTCCTGTTCATACTTCCCGTATTATGCCAACTCGTCCGCAAGTTGCTTGCACCGCGTAACTTCTGTCCAAATGGGAACTTCACTCGTGAATCGAACGTACTAGCATTCCGGACAATGTTCTGAATTCCCTGGATTGAAGGGGTGCGAGGCAAGAATCTACTACCTCGAAGGTTGCTCTTGCTAACGTTTTCTTTATCCAAATCCGAGTTCCCCATAATAATTCTATCAGCTTCTGGCGCAATTCGAAGGATAAGAGAAGGATTGGTAGCCGAAACATGTTTAAGTCTTGCGTTGTGGGCATACAAATGTGATGGATCAGTATAGGATGCTGGCTTTGTGGATGTCGCGGAGAACTGCATGGAATCTGTTGTGACCTTGCTCGAAGGAGAGCAAAGGTTAAGCTTGGCATCGTCCTTGTCATCTTCCAAAGTTTCCTCTTCAAATATAGTGAGGGTTTGAAGATTATCGGGTTCAATCATGGTAGATTCGGTGGACTCGTCCGGATTGGAGCAATTCTGAGCCATTAGTGACATGACTGTCTTCCGAAAATCGGGAATTGAAACTCGTCTATTCTCAATGCTGAGAAGTTGAGTCGCCTTGTCAGACCCTTTTTGGCGAAGGCGCCCTGTAACGGGTCTCTGCATGGACTCCATGGCTTCGGCTGAGGAAACGTTTAGGTTGCAGTTTGCTAACTGTGCATACTGACTTGTTGCAATATCACTGTCTTGGTTGAATTGCGACGTGTCGTTTGTGCTGCTGTCTGAAAACTCTGTGTAAACGATATTAATTCTATATTCATGCCTGAGTATGCTGTAGAATCATACCTTCTGCGGGCATTTTTTCAACTCCATCGACGGAATCAGAGACCGAGAGCGGCAAAATAACGCCTTTATCTTCATCAGCTGGATGAAAAGCCTGCGATGATTTTGGCATTGGTTGTAGCGGCAAATCTTTGATGATTTTTTTGCCATCGTTATTGATATTCACAGTTGGGTTGACCATTTCATCTTGGCTCACAAAAGATTCATTCCCTCTCGGATCTTCAGCATGGTCCAGCGACAGCGAAGACTCAGGAGTCAAAGCCGGCCAGTCTTCCTTTTTACCCGGTTCAGTAGACGACTCTCGACAGAGGGGAATCTCCGTCGCATCAATCAAGCTTCTTGACATGAATACTGCAGTTGACTCAAAGGTGGAAGGCAATTGAGGCAATGGTTTCTCGACTTGTAGCACTTGGCGAGCGTGATGTTTCCAGACGGGCAGATGACTAGAAGTATGCGCAAGCTGAGTCCTGGAGTTTCCCACCAGATCTCGCGTCAGAATTTTATTTGGATGATCTCCCATGACGCGTGTGTGTATTGCTTCAATCTGATCGCAGGTGAGTGAATGGACTTGTGTGGCAGGGCTTACCCCATGCTTCGAACAAACCAATAGTACCGACAATTGATCAATTACTCTGCTGAAAGTATAGAGCTGAGTAGCAGCTCTGCCTGACTGTTCTTTGAGTAGAGTATGCGTTATGAGTTCGCGTGTCGAAACATCAACTGCCCTCCCTTTTTGGGCGCGTCTGAAAAACGTGTGGCAGAGAAGCTATTGTTTGTTTTTGAGAGCGTAGAGGTGAATAGAGCTACATCCGTGCAAGTAGGTAAACATCAGATGAATATGGCGAATTTGATGAAAGACTAGCAGTTCGTGCAATTAAAAATAATGCAAAAGAAGTGAGATAGCAAGACCATGTGATTATGAAGCCTGGTGAGGCGGGAAAAACGAATAAGACACATAGCCTCCTCATAGGTACACAAATGAAACAGCGTAGCCGATCTCGTTCTTTGTTTTGATTCTTGCGTGCCAGAGTGGGAAATAGTAGGTGAATGTTACAGTAGTGAATACGGCCATAAATTCGTGGGGGGAAAGAGCTAGTCCTAAATCTATACGTAATTCTTTCGATGAGCTGCAGCGGAGGTTTTAAGATGTTAGGACAGTGTCGCTTCGAAATTTTAGAAATATGATGTCTGTAGCGAACCAGCAATAATCCATCATGTCTTGCACATGCCACTTGAGAATGAAATCAATCGTTCCAGCACAGCTTCTGGCTGAATTGGTAAATTGTAAACATGGAGTCTTTCGCTCCCTACAGACGCAACGGCAGGATCAATGATAATAGTTCTTTGCTCCATCTTGGGTTTTGCATAGGTATGATGAACTACGGCATATAGATCTTCTTCAGTAGAGAAGGTGCCCTAAATAGTGCAATCACAAGTAGGCGTCCGTTGAGAATGATATATTTTGACCCGGAGTCGTGTTTTTCCATTTCCGCTTGTTGGATCCTTATCAAGGTTAGACACTCCCATTTAAGCTTTGAGCCAACGAGGGGCCTTGGCATCAACCATGACGTATACCCCGGCGTGTTCTCCGTCCACTCGCTCTTGAGGTACGTACTTACTCAGATACATCTTATCCGTTGCGCAGATAAGCGGATAAGACACAGAGAGCATTTCAGACGTCTTTTTAACGTTGTGCAGCCATTTCATGATGGATTACAATCACGTAGAAATGGAATACGGATGCAATTTGGAGCACAATCCAATTACGGCTAGGAGTGTTACTGAGGGGTGCTGGCAATTGGGTTCAGGAAGGGTTGCGTTGATCGTACTCTAATCGGATTAGCTTGTTCATGCTTGGCGGTAAATGCCGCTTCGCCCTAGAATCGGGCCTTTGCTCAAGTCGCCCTTTACTCGCAGTCCCTTTGATTTCGTACGAACTGTCGCAATGAGGGCGACGCATCGAATGCTTCGTTTCGAACAAGAAGGTCCTCGGAGACGGAGTGTGTGCTCCGAAGCAGTTGATCTGATCGGCTTCTGGATGCCTGTGCGTGGTCTCCTTGCTCTACCCTATCCCCTCATTGCAGGATCATCGTTTCCAGAGCATTGGCAAATCATGGGGAAGATAGTTATATTCTGCTACTGTTGGTCGAGGGTACGCAGTAGACGTACTCTGCGCCTAACCCTTTGAAAGTTAGATCCGTTAACCCTCCGTCGTGTGCCTCGTTCCCACCAAGGCGGCGTGGGATACCGAAAGGATACCACCCTACGGCCTAATCAGCCGGAGGACGTCGCGTTAGCGGCGGAACGACATTTCCAAGGGAGTGCGGCCGAACGGGCTTCACGCTGCCAATTCAAGTGTTCGTACATGCCCAGTGGCCTGTGGCGGCGACGGAGTCGTAACGATGACTCTCACGAAACAGTCCAGCGACAGACCTAAGGCTGATCTACGAGATCATCCATCGCTTCCTCTAGGTTAGACGGGACCAAAGGAGCTCGCCTTCGTCGCAAGTTGTGGTCGACTATCTCATGCGTGTGGGTCCTGTGCAAGCCACCCAAGGGGCCTTAAGATGCACAGTACGTGTGCCAGACAGGACTTCAACTGTCCCCGTAGGTAGACGAGAAGCCATCGAAGGTCTACCGTCACTTACAATACACATTGTCCAACCGAGAGCTCTTTCTGTAGCATGAAGACGCTCGAAAAACTTGGGATAAATCTCACCACAATCAACAAAGGAACGCAATGACGAATTACCGAGTATACGGGGCCCGATCCCAATAGGTCCGGTTTGCAAGTGCAAATAGTTATGTTGAACTTGCCAAAAGCACGTCCTGACGTCCGCAGCAACCACCACACCCTCCTCGAGCCCACAAGCGAGCGACGGGAAAAACGTGGCGAGGGACGATGGCTCGCTTAATCGCCGACGAACTGGATTAGCTGTAGACCAAAGGTAGAGAAGCCGTCAGTATGTAGCAACGGCCGTGTTGCAAGAGGCGCAGAAAGATGAAGCCGCAACGATGACGAGAATCCGAAGAAGTCGCCGGCAGGTTTGAAGCCCACTTTCACAAGATGAATCTCTAGTCGGAAACCTCGAGCCCTCCCGTGGGGTGCACCCATATACTTTGGGTCGTCGATCGCCCATCATGACGAGGTGCGTGCGCGGCAGAGGACATGATCATCCTCTCGGTCCCGAGCGTCAGGTACCGGGTACCTAGAGACAGCACTTTATTCCTCTGAGGATAAGGCGTCGGATAGATGGAATAATAAAGTGGAGTCTCTGCCATAACACGTAAACGCTCTCTCAGTCGTGATGGACCTGACATCAGAACTCAATCTGGGTCAGAGAACAAGTGGCTTCGACCAGAGATGGTGGATTAAGATGGTAGGTAGGTACACTTGTGACGCCTAAGAATGCCACAGTCTTCTCTACGCTGGCACCCACTTTCGTCGCCGGATATAGTGTGGTCAGTCATGTTCATCCATCTTTCGGCAATTGAGTCATACCAAGGCGTCTAGGGAACATGCTGCAATGGGCAATCTTCTGAATTAAACAAAAAAGGAGCGCCCCAGCCCGTTTCTAGTCAATTGCACTTTGAATGTTTTGTGTGAGTATCGATATGATAGCCATGATTTGATTATGATGATGGTGACGGTGTATCAAGATGGATGGCTGGGGCGGAATTATGCTCCATCCCGTTAATCTCGATGGCCTCCGTTCATAACCCGCCCACCCCTCTTTGACTGCCGTCGAAGGCTATCCTGTCCTTTCCTACCGTACTCTGCTTCTGAATGGTCCACTGAGACGACACCAATCCGATCCCAACCAGTTCGTTGCCCCCCCGGTCGCTCTTGGTGACGGCGCCCATGGAGTAACCCGTAGACGCTTGGAAAGTCACATCGACATATGCTCAAAGGGGGCGCTCGACGGTGTCTCTCGTTCTGAGCGTCGACGTATTTATCAGGTCTAGGAAAGGTTGGGGCTGTTGATATATCTTTAGAGTAGAGGGCCCGATGGCTGAGTGCACATATATGAGCCACCTGCCAGTAACTGCCAACTGATATAACCTACCTACCTACCTACCTACGTCTCGTCCAACTGCAAAGACTTGTCCTCTCCGCTACGCCGTCAGAACTGCACCTTAGCTTCTCTTTCCGCCATTTGCAAACCTCGTCCGATAAAAAACGACGTTTCATTTGCTCCCCATTCTACGCCCCCTTGATTATTGCTGCTCCTCGAGCCATTCATCATACAGGCCCCCTGGACAACTAGGAAGCCTGACCCCCGGTTGCGCATAAACCTTGGTCGGACCCAAGGTGAACGAATCACGAGCCTTGTGGAGGCGAGCAGCGAGACCTTTCTTAAGGTGCCACTTTTGCCGAAGCCGGACCCCATCTCACTTGGGCCGGGCGAACATTTGGACTTCTTTCGTACTTGGGCGATTAGGTAAATTAGGCCCGCGAAACAGACCAACTGAGGTCCAGGTAATTTCCATTGCATTTCCGCTACTGCGAGAAAGGTCAGCGAACCCGTCTTCCTTGCCAAAAGCTCGAAGCGCTGTTTTCGTCGGACTTTTTTCCCAAGTGTCAGTCAGTCACTCAGTCGCTCACTCACCGGTCTGTCGTTACTAAACCCTCGGCAAGGCGGCATATTATTATTATTGTCGTCTTTGAATTTCCCCTGCGCCTGTTCCCTGGTGATTGCGACAAGGAAACGTCCCCCTCGGTCTCTCCTCGACACTCTTTGGTGTTCCAGGCGACAGGTTTCCCCATTCAGCTGGGCTGGAAATTCCAGGCGTCCTTCTTCGCTCCATCTCGGCCCCGTAACCCTTTGGAGGGGCCCTTCTTTTGCCGCCATCCTCGTTCGCTCAGCGTTCGCTCGCGGTTGCATAACCGGTCGCCACGCGATCATAATAGAGCGACTCTCCACCTCCACTACCCTCGAGGGGACCACACATACTAATAATCTCCGGCTTACCCACGCCTGCCTCACATTTACCCGTTGAGCCGCCACTGCGGGTCAGACAAGAGTAGCCAACCCCAAAGGACTCTCTCTCCTTCGGTGTGATTTTCTCCAACTTCATTTCCATTCTTCCCAACTTTTCCGTCCGACGCCGAAAAACTGGATTCACTCGAGAAGACCCCTCCTCTGCAATACTCGCCTCTCAGTGACCTCGGAAGGAGTTCCACTGCCGAAAGTACCCCTATTGGAACACCACAATCGCCGGATTTTCCTTTTGGTCGTCGATCTTCGAGAGAAAACGAAGAGTCTCTTTCCTCTTGGTTTCGGAAGTCGTCCGAGCTTGGCTTTGCTCATACCGCTCATCTCCCTGACTCGACCCTGCTTGAGCCCGATTTTGAGCGCTCCGTTTTCCCTCTCTTTCCCGAGTCGCCGCCACCGCCGTCGCCAGGGCGATATCTGTCCGTCATGGCAGGTACCGCTTCGCCCATCGACATCGCCACTCCGACGAGGAACTCTTCTTCCTCACCGAGCAACTTGAATCCTCAACCCTCAAATTTGACGACGGCGTTGCAAGGTGCTGCTGCGAGAGAAGCACGTCCGACCCCGGCCGTCAACATCGGTGCCCCTAATAGCCATGATTTCGCATCAAACGCCGGCCGCCGGGAATCTGTCGCTGGATCTCTTGGGGGCATGGGATCGCATCAATGGGGTACCGGTGCGAAGCCGATTTCAATGAGCAATGCAAATAGGGATAAAACTAGAAGAGAAAGCTTAGCGGGGAGTTTAGTAGGGGGCATGAGTTGGGGTGGTGTCTCAGTTGGTAGTTGGATTCGGGACGAGTAAGTGTCTCTCGCTCATGCATCTGAAGGCTCTCGAGGGCCGTGCTACAGTCGGATTCTGCGTCATGCTTGTTGCTTAAAGGGCCCTTTTGCTGATCCCATGCTTGCTGAAACAGCATTATCATGGCCGGAACCTCGCCGTTTACTTACCAATCACCCTCTTTCCACTCCTCCTCTTATCTTCCGAAACTCGAAGCCAACTTCATGCGGGATTTCTCATGCTGTGGCATTACGCTAGCCTCACTGCACGATTTATTACAACATTATGAAGAAGCGCATGCGCAGCAAGTGCCCCCATCGCAACGCCCTTCGCAATCTGGCCAAGGTGCAGGACCGAATGGCCTTATCAACAGGGGGCAGACACCGCAACACCTTCAGCCGCCAAACCCACATCAGCAGAGTCGGCCTGGTCAATCAAATCATGCGACACCGACTGGCATGCCTCTTGGAGGTCCAGTGAACGGGCAACAAACACAAAACGGGTTTGGAAAGCCGTTAACAGTCACTCACGAGCTGGATGCTGTTGAGGATATGGAGATGGACGACGTGGATGGCAATGATGCTACACCGTCACCGTCGGGTCAACCGCAACAGGCCCAACAATCGCAGTTTGGCCAGAACAACTCTTCGCGAGTCCCATCCCTCAGTCTGAACATTACAAATGCGATGCAGAGCCATCAAGGCCTCAAGTCATCTCGGCCGTCGACTCCGGCTGCCGCTGGCGCACCAGGGTTTCCCTTCCAGAACAATCCTACTGTTTCTTCCGTCAATACTCCCACCTTTGGTGCTCAGCCGATGCGAGCAAACTCACCAGACTCGTCCGTCCCGGGTACACCAGCTGAACTTGATAGTGATTTCGTTGGTGGCCTTCCCGGAGATCTGCCAATGGCCGGTAATCCGATGCAGGGAGGTAACGGCATGTTTGGATATAATTTCGGAAATGGTAATGAGATGCTGGATCTCTGCATTGATGAACCGGCAAAGCGGCTGTTCAGCCCTAATGGCGGGTTTAGTAATCAACATCACTTGGCTCAGTTCAGAATGGGTGGCGCCCAATATGGTAGTGAACTTGCACGTCGGATACGAGAGCAGCAGCTTCTCGCCGGTCTCAGCGGCGCGGCTCCGGGCATGCTTCCTGGGGAAGAAATCAAGCCCTTCCGTTGCCCAGTCGTAGGCTGCGAAAAGGCCTACAAGAATCAAAACGGGCTCAAGTACCATAAAACTGTAAGATTTTCGTGCTTCTGTGTTTCACTCTCCTTTGACACTAATGTTTTTTTTTTTTTTTTTGCAGCACGGTCATACGAATCAGCAGCTCCACGAGAACCCAGACGGCACCTTTTCGATTGTCAACCCTGAAACGTCGGTTCCATATCCTGGAACGCTTGGGATGGAGAAGGAGAAGCCTTACCGATGCGAAGTCTGCGGGAAACGATATAAGAACCTTAATGGTCTCAAATACCACAAGGCACACGCGCCTCTCTGCCACCCTGATCTTAAAGTTAATGCAGCTGCGCTTGCAGGAAGTCCACTTGGCATGCAAGGTGTCAATGTCAATGTGGCAGGTGCAGGACTTGCTGGCATTGGGGAGGAGAACATGGTCCAGTGATTTGTCCATAATGATCCAACCGTATTTGCATCCGACATAGCGGCGTTCTTTAGGTCATTGATTTCTCCTTTCTCCCTGACGGGCTCTTTTTTGCCCTTTGACTAATTTCCCCAAAATTGTTTTTCTATACTCTGGACTCTTTTTGCTGTTCAGAAAAACGTTTCCCCATGCTGATGGATTATTGATTTTGAAGACTTGCTTCCTCAATTTCTACTTGGCTACTTGCATTAATTGGCGCCAGGGTGGGCGTATTGGGCCTCAGAACGGCGCTTCATTAAAGGAGTGGTCGATGTGTTTACGGATTTGTTTTGTCGTTTTTCTCTCTGCTCAATTAAAGAGTACCTTTTTGTGACGAGTTTTCTTTAATTTCTTGACCAGTGTTGTTATGTTTCATGTCGACTCAAGAAAAAAGCAAATTTCTTTTTACACCTTCGCCACTTAATATCTCTCATCGTCTGTTCCTTTCAAAATTATGCAGACAGTATTATGCATCTCTCAATTTCTCAAATATTTCTTACTTTGCGTGTGAGCTCTCGCGAAAATCGTCTACAAAGTGTTGTGATTGTCTCTCTTTGTCACGAATACTGATCGACAAGGTTGTATTGACTTTCCATGCAGGGACAGTCCTCCTCGGCCCCCCACCAACCCCAAAAAGTAACCATGATGAACAGGGTTTTGTCCATTGAGATGAGATTGTGCCTCGTCCTACGCATGCTTTTCGAAGGGATTACAGGGGCATTATCGTTGGATGACGTATTGATTTAACAGTTGCCTTGATTTGACCGCCTCCCCGAGAGGTGTAAGAATCTATAGCTCTTGGCAGTGCAGTGTTGATCGAGATCGATGCATGTGCCTCTCAGCTCGTCAAATCGCCTTTTTATCAATTGGATAAAATGCATTCCGGGTCCACCGTAGACAAACGGTGTCGGACTTGTGACAGACATGGAAGACACGCGTGCAACGTAAGCAGAACAAGTCTTGTTCACCTCATTGGCGACGACCAGTCCCGTACCATATAAGTATGAGCTGTCTGCCGATCATTCTTTCCCTTTTCTTCATGGCATTCCGGGATCAGCAACCTGAAACTTTCCGGAGTGACAGTCAAGTCGACAGCGATCTCAAATCTACGTAGAGGAGAGTTTCAGCATTCTCTGTATCGAGGGGTCCCCACCCGACATCCTGACATCTCTAGTGTACAGACGGGCTGAGATTCACCTGAATCAAATCAAATGAAATTCCGAACAATATGACTGACCTTGGTGAAATAGATTGTGCATACTACAAGTGATTCCACTCTTTACATCAAGCGATATAGACGCAGGTACAAAAACGATATGCGTCGGATTCTTTCATGGTGACTTACCTAGATACCAGGATACGCATGCAACACCACAGTTACTTGTTCGCTTTTCAACCAATCGATGCAGCTCCATCGGCCTCCGAAACCCCTCCCATCTGGAAGCCCCTCCTTACACTTTTACAACGCCCTTCTTTTGAGCATAATCAGCTCCATTGATAGCGATTTCGGATGACCATCCAACAAAAACGCTGTGGTTTAAGTTGTTGCGCCCTCAATAAACCTTGTTTCGCCCTAATAGCGTTTCCCCTTCCACCCGTCGCCCTCTCCCCGCCCACCCTTATCTACAATCGGTCTCGTCTATCAACAATCAAGGGACGAACACGGATCAGACTTCCAATTGATAACTGAGGCCACGCAAACACTCGATAAGTCCGTTCAATGATGAGTGCCGCCGACAGTTCTTCCGCGGCTGTGCCAGTCCCGTTAGCTCCACCGCCGTGGAAATGCAAGTGTGAAGTTTATTGGATTCCTTACTATGCGCGAACGCATGGATCAGACGTACCTCCTGTTGGAGCGTATGCCCCATTAGAAGCGGCTTGGCCTCCCTTTGCTGATCCGGCAAAAGCGGGCTCTTACCGCGGTGGACTCGGTCTGATACAGATTCTGCGATACATTGATTCTCCAGTTGGTATGCATGTCTTGTGTTTCTGTCGAATGCTTTGTCTCCTAAATTATTGTCCGTGTCTTGTATATTTGTGATGGGGCATTTGGTGTATGAAGAGTAACTTGAAAATGAGGGTGTGATACCCCGGGAGCTCGATTGAACGGAGGAGCTTGCTTTTATTTTTATCAAATGTGCATTTTTTTTTCTGGAATGACATTACTTTGTTTGGGGATCAATTGTCAAGATATTAATCAGTCATTGCAGGCAAATATGACGAGTTGGTTCTCGTTCCAGGATATTTTGACGTTCCTCTGAAGAGTCAAAAGAAGGGTCAGAAGAATCTCCGCGTCACCAGGATATATGTCAGTCAAGAAGATACGGCTTATAATGGTAAGTCCGGAATTCTTTCTTTTCATTTGCTTCTGTTTGTTCGTCGCACCTAAGCCTGAGATGTTTGGTGATTGACATATTCTCCTTCTGTCGCAAACTAATATTATATCCTTTTAATCGCTAAAGGACGCCGCAATTGGAACATTCCAAAACACCTCGCACGCTTCTCTTTTACAAATATATCTGCTGGATCATCTGGGCCAAAATCGATAAAAGTGGAGATATTCCCACCTGATACCGCAGCGACTGAGCCATTCTTTTCGACTACATTACAAGCATTCCAATGGCTGCCATCGTTTCCCTTTTCAACCAAGTATATGCCAATGGATATTACATTGGTGCAACCTCCTCTGCCAGCAAGCAATAAGCCCGGGGAAGAAATCCTTTGCGGAACCAATTGCTGGTTCAAACTCTTGCCTGAGGGCTATACGCAGAAGGCCAGACTGATGTGGGTCAATTATACGAATGTGAGCTCTGCAGCAGATAAACGGCACATCAATGATGACCATAACACCCAAGAGAATGATATATCTACGGAAACGGGCCGAGAGGAAACTGCATCCGTGACGAAATGGTGGCCAAGCCTCCATCCGTGGCCAGTCGGCCTTTGGATGGATCAAGCAACTTTGATCTTTGGCGTTCCAGATGTGCTGGAATGAAAGTATAGGTGTTAAAGACTTTACCATAACATGAAGTTTCTCTACGGAAAATCAGTTTCGAGACGAGCCTAAATGCATGTGATGCTATGAAAGGCTTGGTATACAATCGCATGCTGAGTTGAGCTATGAAACGGATTGATTGTTGTGATTTCAAAAATCATTGGCCAATGATCAATAACACTTTACACAGGGTAATACTACTATCGAGTGTTTTTTTGCTTTGCTTTGCTATAGTAATGCTTGCTATAATGGAGCAATATATGGGTACTACTGTAGTTTGGCTTTCCAGTTAGAAACGTTGGACTCGGTAACTGGGGCCCACCGATGTTTGGATGGGACGGGGCGAGGGGAGCAAGACCCACTTGGCCCAAGGTTTCCACTAAAAGATCATTTACCGTAGCTGCCAGTCCCTCTGTAAGTTTGGCGCCAATTTACCTAAAAGAATGACTTGGTCTCGCTCTGATTAACCGACAATGGTAAAACTTTGTGGGGATGAGATGCCAACGCTCCCCAAGGAACAAGCCGAACTCGACCCGCCCCAGTAGCAAATGGCAGCACTGAAACTTAAAAAAACTAGTGACTGTCCAGTTTCGCCCTAGCATCTCCACCCTGGTTGCGGCTCAACCTCAATGATGACGGCGTTGGAGCTGCTGTTGACAGCTATACACACCAACAACAAGCAACATCTGCAATACACTTTTGACCTTGTGATTCGGCAAGTCAGCGCTTGCTTCTTAGCTTGACGACTCCCTTTTGCGACGCAGGACGAACCGCTAGTTGCTCAAGTTACATCCGACTCGCAATTTCTCTCCTTATCTATATAGTCTTTTCATTCGTGATCAAATCATATTTAGTAAAAGGATTGCACCCCAGCTTGCGCAGATGACGTCCACTCACCAGGACTCGTCCACGTCTGCTTCGGCCCCGGCTTTTTACAACTATCCTCAGCCCAGGGCCGGCCCTTCGATACCATATGACAACCCCAAAAAGTCCAACCCTGTTGTCAGAGGTTATCCGCTGAGCATAGGTGCCATTGCGTATTGCCCCACACTATCACCCCCATGTTCTTCAGAGCCTGTCTGAATTAGAACCAAGTTTCCCCACAGAGACGCTGACGTCTTAGTTGATAGTATCTCTTCATTGAACTTTGTGCAAAACTACCTGTGGAGCAACGCTGGCTTCGACGCTCTGCGCTCCATTGCCATCCTCGACTCCATCCAACCCCGGTATGACCCCACAGTCGTTCCCATTAGCCAGCCCTCGGAGCTGCATACCTCTGCAACCAATGGATTTAGCTCGGTGCAACGAGAGGGTAGCAAAAAAATTTATCACTCGGTAGCCGATTTCCACGAGGCATACACTTCGGGCAAGCTCACGCCAACTGCCGTGGCAGAAGCACTGCTTCCCTTAATTCGACGTGATGGCCCCAAACCGGGAGAGCATTCTACAGCGTTCCTGGAAACAAATACCGAGCTGGTCCTCAAGGCCGCCAAAGAATCAACAGAGCGATACAAAGCCGGGAAGCCTCTTGGACAGCTTGATGGCATACCGGTGGCTGTAAAGGACGAGGTAGACTTGTTTGGCTATTCCAAATGCCTCGGAACGGCGCGTGATTTTACAAATAAAGATGGCGCAACGAGCTGGTGCGTCAAGAAATGGGAGGAGCAAGGCGTAGTAATCCTTGGAAAGCTCAATATGCATGAACTCGGATTAGGTAGGTCTTCTTACCCAACCCCGGATTCTCCCCGGGCCCCCAGCGCGCCTGAAACTGACCCGAGGCATTATAGACACTACAAATAACAACCCGATCAAAGGCACGCCATTGAATCCGCACAACAATCATTACTATACCGGCGGCTCCTCTGGCGGCACCGCCTATGCAATCAGTGCGGGGTTGGTTCCCTTCGCACTCGGTGCCGATGGTGGAGGTAGCATCCGTATCCCCGCCAACTACTGCGGCATCTACGGTCTAAAACCCTCACATGGACGAGTGTCCATCCGACCAACTCCCAGCCTTGCCGCGTCTACCGGCGTGGCAGGCCCCCTAGCCAACTGCATGGCCGACCTGGAAATCGCATACCGCGTCCTGGCGACTCCAGACTCCGGAAACCCATCGTCGGCGCTTTTCCCTGCCGCAGGCCACTCGAGCCAGGCGCAGCAGAACCAGAGCAAGAAGACCATCGGTATCTGCAAGGACTGGTACTCACGTGCTGAACCAGAAGTCCGCGAAGCTTGCTCCGCCGCCGTGCAGTTCCTGGAGAAAGAGCTCGGCTACCAAGTCATTGACATCTCCATTCCCTATCTGCCCGAAGGCCAACTGGCACATGCCATGACCATTCTGTCAGAGATCGCATCCGTCATCAAGGGCAACGTCAAGGGCCTGACTGCGCCGAACAAAGTCCTCATCAGCGTCGGCTCCAAGACCCCCGCTATTGACTTTTTGCAGGCGCAGAAACTCCGCTGCCTGATCATGGAGCATCTGGCTCATCTCTTCCAGACGCACCCTGGCCTGCTCATCGTCACGCCCACCACGCCCAACCCGGGCTGGCACATCTCTGGCGGCCCCGGCGATCTCAAGCACGGCGTCAGCGACGGAAACATGTCCATGCGCAACATGGAGTACGTCTGGCTGGCTAATTTCACCGGTCTGCCCAGCCTCAGCGCCCCAGTCGGATACGCTCGTCCGCTCAAGGGCGAGGGCCAGATACCCATTGGCATCATGGTCACAGCGGAGTGGGGCGCCGAAGACGCTCTGATTGAGTGTGGGAAACACCTGGAGAACTATCTTCATTCGAAGCTACCAGGCGGACAGAATCAGCCCGCTACGTGGGTTGATGTTTTTGAAAGGGCGTCCCAAGCTACGTCATAGCATGTCTATGTATTAAATCACTAAGGTACCTTATCTGCATGTTTTTTCTTTTCTTTTTCATTTTTTTTTTTTTTGGATGGGATACGGGATATGAAAACTTAATTTATGTAGAGAGGCAATCTTAATAAAAAATCATTGGAGCTGTTGTCCAACAATTCCAACAATCACTGATATGGCCGTTACGCTCGCAGTATATTTTTAAAACTTCAGTCTAATAACGTGGAGACGAAAGTCCTTCTGGTTTTGGATTCCCTCATTGTATTTCCTTCTCTATATAAACGTAATGCCGTTTTAGATACCTAGAATCAGGCCAAAGCTTCTTTTGGGCTTGTAGGTAGGTACAACCAGTCTTGCAAAATTCTTTATTTCATATCAAGAGAGCAACGTGGACCAGCCACATGCGTCTGCTATATAAAGCTTTCCCCTCACAAAACACAAAATGTATCTTCTACTTACCTCAGTTACGCACCCACAGTGAACTGTGAGAACAAAATGATCACTTCTGCTTATTTTCCTTCCTTTCCTACCCACCCCTCCCCCCCCTCTCTCCCACCCCCCAACGCCACCACCACCTTGAGAACACTTGTACTGAACTAAAGTGAGAACCGAAGCGGAATGAAATGAAGGTAGAGTGAGGTAAGGAGAGATAAAGTAGGTTTACAAGTCGACGAGCTCGTCGTCATTTTCCGCTTCGGCGGCTTCGTCTTGAAGTTCCTCGTCGGATTTGAGGACGTCGCGGATCAAATTGAGCGTCGCGCGGAGCGGCAGACCGACCACATTGTCAAATGTGCCGTCTATCCGCTCGACGAGGATAGAGCCGATCCCTTGGATCCCGTAGCCGCCGGCTTTGTCGGCGCCTTCGCGTGTGCGGACGTATGCGAGGATGAGGTCGTCGCTGACTGTACATTACGATATGGTTCGTTAGTAAATGGGATGACATGGATTTAATGTCATTGTGAATCACGTCGAACGCGTAAAAAAAAAGAGAGAGAAAGTACTGAAAGGAGTCGTCGAGATAATTGGGATGAAATGGATATAAATGAAATGACAAAAGGAATAAGAAAGAATGAAAAATTAAAAAACAAGAACAAAAACAAATTAATAATTAAAAAAAGGAGGGAAACGAACCATCCTTTGAAAACTTCACAGTCGTCTCTTCCACTGCAGTCTCCAATGCATATCCCGGATCTCTCGCGCTTTCTAACGGCGCCATGGCCACCACAGCCGTGTAGACCTTGTGTTCGCCGAAATCCCGCAGTCCTTTGAGCATATCGATATGCTCCCGCTCGCTGCGCGGCTTTTCGAAAATGTCGCCCAGATGGCCCACGACAACCGTGTCGGCAGCCAAGACGAGCGCGGGCTCGCCCCGCTCTGCGTTGTTGATTTCCTGCGTGTATACCGTCATCGCCTTCTGCGTGGCCGTTGCCCGGACATATTCAAAGGGAGACAGCGACTTGGGGAGGTTCTCGGGGACCGTAGAGGGAACTATGTCGAGATTGTGCAAGCCTATCTATTCCGCCGGGTTTTTTTGCCCATGGTCAGTCAATGTTGTTGTAATGAATTGGCTTGTTCCGTTGCATCAGAGTTGTTTATTGGCATTGTATGCAATTGATCTCGAAAAAGGATATATGGATAGAACGGGGGAGGGTGGGCTCACTTGTGCGAGTAGCATCTTCCGCCGCGGCGACGCTGAAGCTAGTATCACCCGCTTGTCCCGCAGGAAATTCAATTCAGGAATATCCAAGGGAAACGGAGCGCGGAGGGGACCCTTGAGGGGAGCACCTGGCGGCGGTATTGCCGGTCGTGTGGCCTGTTGCTCGGACGTCTCGTAGCTGGGAGGCGCATCTTGAGGCGCTTTTTCGTATTTTGCGTCTGTCATTGTCCAGACTAGTCCGCAAGGTTTTGCTGTGCAAAAAGGAAAAAAGGACAACGGAATCTCAATTGAGGTTTGGGGCTGGCTCCTGGTAATGAAAATGCTGGGCCCGGTTGTTGATTATTGTATTGTGGGTAAGAGTGTGTGTGGTTATCTCCTATACCTGGGTGGCCATGTGCGTAATTCGGGGGGTTTCATGACGGATGGTAAGTGGCTCATGCTAGGGGGAGATCCAGCCACGTGTGGCTGACGCGGTTTGGTGGGGGGTATTTACTACGGTGCTCTAAGGGGGCGTGATGTGCATTGCAAGAAACACAAGGGAAAATACTGCGGTAGATGGCGACAATGGGGCTATTTTTACAAGGATTCGAATGACGGGAAATTTTCGGAAAATGTAGCTCAGATCCCTACATCTCAATTCATCGGATGAACTTTGGCATCTGCCAGCATTATCAGATCGCCAGGCACTATGTTACTGTACTCACTGATCACTGATCATTATAAAAGCGCCTCGACTATCAACCGCGGCCCGCGGTAAAACGATGGGGCGAAGGGGCGAAACTAACGTAATTCCCAAGCGACCCGAACACCCAAGCGACCCGAACAGGCAGATATCCCATACAAATAGGCAATTTTTATGAAATTGATATCTCAACAAACACTTGTTGTTTTAACTTGAAATTAGGCATACTGATTCTCTAGGGGTAGATATATACATACAAGGAATTTTGAATATTTTTGGTCAGTTTTATAGATAATTTTCTTAATTTTTATGTATTTGAGACTAAAAATAGTATATATTTTCTATTGTGAAGGCTTTGATCAAGCATGCTTCCTGTAAATAAGACAGGTATCTAGTATAACCCTCTAGACCCCATGACAGAAATATCTATTCAAAATCTCTTATTGTTGTTGAGATATAAGCATACATTTGTACAGGATTTCAACCTGTTCGGGTCGCTTGGGTGTTCGGGTCGCTTGGGAATTACGTTATAGAAAGTCTGCTTACATAACGGTCATGTTGGTTGGCATGATTAGTGTAGGTTCGTCATCTCGTTCGGCATGGCTTCCAGAAGTGTTGCCCCTCCGAGCTCGCGCTCTCCGATGCTTCTTTCGGACGTAATGACGTTAAATTGAGGAAATATGTTTGGAATCGACAGACCCACCAATCGCGGAGCTGTATCCGCAATTGTAGTGTTATTTGCGAGATTGAAGGTTCGATGAAAATTGTATGATTTGTATGAATTAGAAATCAGCAATGAAACGCGTGTTTTTTCCCCATAGCAATACATAATTTTTGAGAATATATAAAAGGTATTTGAAATAAAACGACAGATTGGAATTGAAGATTTCCAAGTCTATCTTTCCTGCTGAATAGATTTGTCGTGTGCGTTTGAATATATTTTACCTTCACCGAATAATTCCAACATACAATCTAGCGCCATGGTTCAAAACAAGGGCTTGATCTTCAAATCGGTCCCTGAAGGCTTGCCAGTCAAGGGCAAGGACCTTGTCATTGAGGACAGACCGATTGATCTCAACGCTCAACTTCCAAAGGATGGCGTGCTCTTGAGGAATTTCTACCTCTCTTTTGACCCCTACCAGCGAGGTCGAATGCGGCCGGCAAATACCAAGTCCTATGCGCAAGCATTTACTCTCGGAGAGCCCATCGTCAATGATGGAATCGCAAAGGTAGTGAAGTCTGCCAACCCGGCGTTCAAGGAGGGAGACGTGGTGCTTGGTCATTTGAGAACGGAAGAATACTCTGTTATTCCAGGTGACAAAATTGGACCCGTTAAGCTCAGCAAGCTCGAGAATCCTCGCAACCTCGACCCTAAGCTGTTCCTGGGTGCTCTGGGTATGCCTGGCTTGACGGCATATGCGTCATTTTATGAAATTGGAGAGCCCAAAAAGGGAGAGACAATCTTCATCTCCGCCGCGTCTGGCGCTGTAGGCCAAATCGTCGGGCAGCTCGCCAAGCATGAAGGACTAAAGGTCATTGGAAGCGTTGGTGACGATGCCAAGGCCAAGTTCATCACTGAGGAGCTCAACTTTGATTCAGTCTTCAATTACAAGAAAGAGAAACCGCTGGATGCATTGAAGCGGTTGGCCCCCGATGGAATCGATATTTATTTCGAGAATGTTGGCGGAGAAACTTTGGATGCTGTCCTAGAACAAATTAATAACTATGGACGAATTAGTAAGTCAAATCTCCGCCCTATGATTCATGAAGATTATGATTTGTTCGCTGTAACGATTTCGTGATGCTAATGTTACCATCTGGTCTGCAGTTGCTTGTGGCATGATCTCCCAATACAATTCGAAGCCAGAGGACAGATATGGTGTCAAGAACCTCATAAAGGTATTTGAGAAGCGGCTGAAAATGCAAGGATTCATTGTCCTCGACCCCCAGTTTGGCCAAAAATGGTCACCTGAGCACCAGAAGAACTTGCAGCAGTGGCTTGATGATGGGTCGTTCACGGCCAAACTCAGCGTGACTGAAGGCATTGATAATGCAATTGACGGCCTTTTGAGTCTTTTCTCTGGCAAGAATTTCGGAAAAGCTATTCTCCAAATCGCGGATTTGCAAGAGGTACGTTTCATGTGCTTGTGAAATGCATTCATAATGAAAAAGCCCGCTAACATTGTGACAGTAATACCAAGACCATTTTAAGAAGAAATGTATCCAGGAATAGGTAGAAAGGCGCCAACGAATAATGTATCATATGAGAATTGATAAAGCATATATCCATTCCGAAAGGCCATCATATAAGAAATTGATCAATTTGTGATACGGTGACATGACTGCAATGGATTCTTTCGATAAAATGAGGAGTGTGCAAGGGTAATTCCAATATACTTCAGTCGGTGATATTAAATGAAGAAGCATATTTGCGTACAAATCACTTGAATGCAAGGATGCAGCATGAAAAATACGTGAAATGCCATTTGATGGCGGAGAGAATAGGGTGATTGATGCCCGAGTTCGGGAAACGCTAAACTACAAATGGACAAAGAACCTGACTATGCGATAAAAGAGAGGATGAACTTCCAAAAAATGCCCCGCCATTTATCGGAGCAGATCATGAGGTAAAGAGTCATCGGTCCAACACCCGTCCTGTTTATACCATTCTCAATTCCCTACCCACCTTTGCAAAGGTTCAAGGGAATTTCTCGCCAAAAATGGCTTCTCCATTCCTGCCACAGATTGACCTTGCTTCATTCGACGCCAAATCGAACCAGGGACTGAGTGCCCAGTCGATTTCCCACATTGGTGCTGCTTTCGCCGCTGTCGATCAAAGCAACCTCGACAATGCATTCGCTCTCCTGCAGCAGCACTTGAGCAGTATTGCTCTCCATCTTGACGTGAAAGCGCTCTCGATTGAGGATATCACTTCCTTGCTGAACGCCGGCGCCGCCAAAGTTTTTGTGTCATTGAACCAGCTGAAAGAACTACTCCAAATTAGCACCATTGCTCAGGAGAGAATTATTTTGGCACTCCCTGGCCAGCAGCGGGCAAACAAGGAAGAGATTATCAATGCCATTGGCGAGACTCAAGTCGGCGTTTTCTCGCCGCAGGTCCTGGATGTTGAGCTGGTAGAGGCCTGGCTCAAGGAGCTGGGCTCGACTAGACCGCCAGTCTACGTTTCGCTCGCAACCCCGAGCCTTGAGAATGCTCTACGATTGCTCAAGCTTGCAGCCATCCCGATCATCCCATCGACACAACTGACGACCGACGCCGCATCCGGAAAAATTCCCGTCGCTGACTTGCTCCTCGCAAATGCCAAGAGTGATCGACCTGATGGACTTTTCACAACATTGGTTGTGGATGAGCGTGGAGTTGCTTTGGGCTTGGTCTACAGCAGCCAGGAGAGTTTGGCTGAAAGTCTGAAGACTGGAAGAGGTGTCTACCAAAGTCGGAAACGCGGCCTGTGGTACAAGGGCGACAGCAGTGGAGATATTCAGGAGCTCGTCAGCGTCTCGCTTGACTGTGACGAGGACTGCCTGAAATATGTTGTGAGACAAAAGGGCAGAGGTAGGCATCATTCTAATTAGCCTCGAAACTTTCCCTACTGACGTGCCTATTTCAGGATTCTGCCACCTGGCTACGCCCACCTGCTTTGGCGACTATAGCGGTCTGTCAAAACTTCAGAAGACTCTCCAAGAACGCAAGGCTTCCGCTCCTGAAGGCTCCTACACTGCACGCTTGTTCAACTCACCACAGCTACTGAGAGCGAAGATCATGGAAGAAGCCGACGAGCTGTGCAATGCACAGACCAAGGAAGAAGTGGCCTTTGAGGCGGCAGACTTGCTCTACTTTGCACTCACCAAGTGCGTTGCATCCGGAGTCAGCCTAGAGGATGTGGAGCGCAGTCTGGATGCCAAGAGCTTCAAAGTCAAGCGTAGAAAGGGAGATGCCAAGGGCCAGTGGGCTGAAAAGGCCGGCCTTTCTGGCAACGCTCCTAATTCTGAGGCCAAGGAACAGATCAAAGAGGCGGCTTCCATTCCTAAGAAGCCTGAAGATCCCGCTGGCTTTCAGGATGGTCAAATCAGAATGAAGCGTTATGATACAACTACCATCTCTGACGCAGAATTGGAGAAGATTCTTCGCCGACCCGCTCAGAAGTCCAATGAGGCAGTCATGGCGATTGTCAAGCCCATCATCCAAGCTATCCGCGAACGCGGTGACGCTGCTGTTCTGGAATACACTCACAAGTTCGAAAAGGCCACCTCCTTGAAGTCACCTGTCTTGCGCGCTCCTTTCCCTGAGCACTTGATGCAGCTGCCCAAGGAGACTATTGAGGCCATCGATATCAGTTTCGAAAACATTCGTCGCTTCCATGCTGCACAGGCTGAAGAGAAGCCTCTCAAGATTGAGACTATGCCCGGAGTTGTCTGCTCACGATTCACTCGTCCCATTGAACGTGTTGGTCTCTACGTCCCCGGAGGCACTGCCGTGCTACCTTCTACGGCTCTCATGCTCGGTGTCCCGGCTATGGTTGCAGGATGCAAGAAGATTGTTCTCGCCTCGCCTCCGCGTGCGGATGGTCGGCTCACCCCTGAGGTTGTTTATGTTGCTCACAAGGTTGGAGCCGAAAGCATAGTGCTTGCCGGTGGCGCTCAGGCTGTCGCTGCGCTCGCCTACGGCACCGAGAGTGTCAGCAAGGTTGACAAGATTCTCGGTCCTGGTAACCAGTTCGTCACTGCCGGAAAGATGTTTGTCTCCAACGACACTAGCGCTGGAGTCAGCATCGACATGCCCGCCGGTCCCAGTGAGGTCTTGGTTATCGCCGATGCGGCCGCTAACCCGGCATTTGTTGCATCTGACTTGCTCAGCCAGGCAGAGCACGGAGTCGACTCGCAGGTCATCCTCATTGCAGTCGACCTGAACGAGTCCCAGCTTGCGGCGATTGAAGAGCAGCTTCACGTGCAGGCCATGGCCCTCCCTCGTGTAGATATTGTGCGCGGCTCGATTGCCCACTCAGTTACGCTCCAGGTCAAGACTATCGAGGAGGCTATGACATTGAGCAACCACTATGCCCCAGAACATTTGATCTTGCAGCTCCAAAACGCTGCAGATGTTGTTCCTCTGGTAGAGAACGCCGGAAGTGTTTTCGTTGGCGCATGGACACCCGAGAGTGTTGGAGACTACTCTGCAGGTGTCAACCACTCATTGCGTAAGTACCGAAGTTCATACACGAGAGTATATAGATAGGTACTGACGCAACGTTCTTTTTTAGCGACCTACGGCTATGCTAAGCAATATTCTGGTGTCAATCTCTCCTCCTACCAGAAATCGATTACTTGCTCAAATCTCTCCGAGGAGGGTCTCAAGAATGTTGGTGGTGCAGTGATGCAGCTCGCCAAGGTTGAAGAGCTTGAAGCCCACCGAAGAGCCGTCAGCATCCGACTTCAAGCCATCAAGCAATAGACTATACAATTACTCGATGATAACTCACGATACCAAAAGAAAGTCTCAGTGTGACTGATTACGAAGAAAAGTTTTATCATATGTTTGGATTTAGAGCTAGACGGTCCCATGTACTTAAATAGCTAATAAGTCCTATTTGTTCCATTTCCATCTGTATTTTGGGTTAAGCGGTGTACTGATTTTCTAGCGACAATAAAATCATCTTTATTATACAACTTCTATAAGTATTTTGAAAATTTCTAGCTATTGTCGGAAATAAATATTCTGGCGATCTCCATTTTCTCAAAGCGCTGTCCGAAGGCTAGCGCCTTTAACCCCAAGCGGAATATCAATGTCAGACAAAGAACTTTTCACCACAGCTACTTTCAGAAAACTCATTATGCAAACAAAGAGATCCCAGTAGTTATTACTTGCAAAGTCCTGGGAACATTTTCCCTTGATTTTCCTCAACTCTGATTCTGAACGTCTGTGGACATATTCTGACGGCGATCCTAGAACATCTCCCAGCAGACTCGATCAACTTACCTTGGGTAGTCTGATCCTTCCAAGGGATTTTTCCATTCTCTCAATATCAACTATTCGATCTTGTTGCCTTTCTCTTGGCGCATCAGTTTCAGAATACTGGGGTTCAGATTTCTCGTCGCAAGTGATCGAGCACAACCAATCCTTACTAACGACAGTCAACAATGGAACAATCCATTTCTCTAAAGAAACTCGCCGAACCACTTTTTACTGCATTTAGGGACCGCAGTCAAAACTACGACTCTCTCGAAGAGGAGGAAGAAAGTATCGCGTCTCAAGACGACACAAGCCTCGACGACTCTATTTCAGTCAATGACGACGAAACGCCTCAAGAAAAACTTAGGGCTTCAAACACCCCCGCTAGCGAAGAGAAGACCAGCTCCTTCAAGGATTACTTTGTCCGACTTTCCAGAGGCAATACGGAGCCATTGCCGCCAGCAGAGGTCCTCACCAATGCCCAGCAAGGAAACTCTAGCGGCGAACTTGCTCCACCACCTAGTTCTCTTCTTCGACAATCTGAAGCCATCTCATTTGATTCAATTTTCAAAGCAGCCGCCGCACAGCTGATTCGCAATGATCCGAATCGACGCAAAGCATCCTCTGTTCCACGGATAAGTCGGCCTCTTGTCCAGGAGACGCAAGCACAGCGACCAAAGACTTTACCCCAGAAGAAAGACGCTGTTCAGAAGAAACGCGTCGAGTTCAGGAAAACACCTTCTGTCAGAATCATCCGAAACAACACGACCACCACTGCTACTAATGCATCGAGAGCTTCAGTGGCCGCCCGGGCTCCATCTACGTCTCGTCCGTCCATAGTCCTGCAGGAAACCCAGACGCCTCCTAAGAAAATTTTCAGGCCCACTCCAGGACAAGCCGCGTTCATGGCGACGGGGATGGGCCTGTTTGCTCCGCATCCGCTCTTACCTCGCTCCGACAGCGAGTTTGAGAATGGTCTGCACATGCTCAAGGAAGCAGCGCATGATTGGGCGCGGAAATGGTTTGGATATAAACTGTTTGACAGCAGTGATGCCAACTCCGATGAAGACTCGGAGAATGAAGCTGATCCAGGGCTGTCTCGCAAGGAACAAAGACAAAAACAGCGCCAAGCCATCCTCTTTGAACTATACGATCTCTGCGAAACGCACCCCGAGTTGGTCAAATACGCTGGGTGGATTGCTGATGGGCATTATGGCTGGGAAGAGATTTTTCTTGACCCGGACCAACGGGCAGTGCTTGTGTATGGTATTCTGGGCAAAGTGTTTGAAGTGCATGTTTTTGGACGCCTGCTTTTTGGCGGAACGCAATCGCAGGTAACGGCGTTGTTGAGTCTTGAGAAAGAATCTGCGCATCGTGAAGGTATTGTATCCCCCTGATCCATTCTTCAGCATCCTCCTTCTAAACCCCTATATTTTTTTTTTTTTTAATTAAAACTCCATTTCTCACCCTTCCTTGCGAAGGATTGTGTACCTCAATTCCCGTGTTCTTCATCATGTGGCAAACAAGTTCAAAAACTTACCATGCGTAGGCTTCAAACGCACAGCTCTCCGCGCCGCAGCAGTCAAAACGTTTCTCGGAGACGACATTGTCCCGCCTGCATTTGAATCCGACGTCGAGCAATTGACTCTGCGCATATATACGCTTTTATCCTCTCTGCTGCCCCGCAGTTCGTTTACTTCGACCACCACCACCACCACCATCACGACGAATGCCGAATCAAATCCTGATCCAGCAGCAGCAGCAACAGCAGCAACAGCAACAGCAGCCACCATATCCCCCGTCATCAACCAATTCGTATCCTCGCTGCACGCGCTCGTTCGCCAGGCGGGCAAAATCGCAGTAGACATGCGCCGCGAAGACACAATCTACTACATTTCGCCTACATACAAGGACGAAATGTACGACGGCAAGGAAATGCGCGGCATCAATTTCACCCCGCACAAGTGGGGTCCCAGGTCGGACGAGGAGCGGCATCGCCGGAGATATGAAAGGGAAGCTGAGTCGAAGATGGAGCGCCTACAAGCGGACACGAAAACGGAGCGGCAACAAGACAAGTCGAAGACGAAGCGGCAACAACAGAAGTCAGCAAAGGACATCGAACCCAAACCCAAACCCTGGGATGAAGTAAATGAGGGAATACCCCGCTCGAGCCGCCTGCCGCTTGTGAAAGTTGTCTGTTTTCCATGCATCACGGCATATCGGCCAGGAAGTGGCCGCGAAGGGGGCGAAGATGACGGATATCGCATGCGGATCATTTCCCGCGCGGACGTGTTCTTGCATTGGGGCTCTCAGAGGTCGACGAAAGTGCGGGTAACGACGGAGGGAAAGGAGAAAGCCACGAATAGGCCGCCATTACTAAAAGATCCGAATGATTTGACGTTGGTGGAGTGGCTGGAGAAGATTGGTGAGGAGAAGAAGAAGGCGGGCGGGAAAAGTGCAGGGTGTGTGGTAATGTGATGTGACATGAGATGAGATGGTAGATTAAAGACGAGAGAGAAAAAGAGAGAGGAGAAAGAAAAGGAAAGAGGAGAGGGGTGTAAGAGATCCGGTAGCGATATAAAGATGATTTGGGGGGGGGTTTGCATGTTGTGCTCGTGCATGGGTGGGCAATGGACGACTATGGCTATAGGGATGAATTGAGGTGTTGATGCTGTCAAATGGATTTAAAGATTAGGGTATTTGCTCCCTTCCCACGTTGTCTATTATTCTCTATTTCTTATATGCTTTTGGTTTTCCTTTTTATGAATTATTGGTCGACTCTGGGACAATCAGCCCAGTTATGCTCTTTTGATGATGGAAATAAAGTGACCTTTCTTGAATGGTTTGGAGTTGAGATTATATGTTTTTATTGGAGTGGGTAGCTAACGAAATCTATCACGCGCGTTGACTTCTCCAGAGCTCTTGAACCGGTAAGAGCATAGTGTCCAGTAAATTTGCCCCCGAATTTCTAAAGATCACCTTGGGGGGAGAGGGCATGCGCATATTCTCGGACTCTCTAGTTAAAGAGTCCTCTTACTTCCTTGTGACAACATAGTAGAGCCATGACTCGCGATGCTGCGTGATTCTAATTTTGCTTACCTGTCAGCCAAGGGTCTTGCAAAAGTTCCTTGGCCGTTGCTCTCTCCTCGGGCATCCAGGTCAGAGCCTTTCGCAAGAACTGGAGGAAGCCTGATTTATTTTCTGATTCAGTCTCCAAAGCCTCCAATGTCCGCGCGTGCGGAATGGGTGCAGCGCCCAACCACTCCCCTGTGATGATGGTAGTTAGCAAAGATAGTGTGGAATAGAGAGTCTTCGCAATCTATTGTTCCACATTTCGAGCTTGTTGTGGTGGCCAACATACCTTGGTCATCCCAAAAGTCAGATTTCCTCTCCGGATTTTTGGCTAGGAATTCCCTAGGTGGTGGTCCCAACGCGGCAATCAGCTGAGCGAGGTGAGCAGCATCATTCGCATCGCCATTTTCGTCACGCGCTGTGAAGAGCCTATTTGGTTCAAGGAGTTCCCACGCCTATTCTCAGACTACTGTTAGCGTAGGAGTAAGAAGGCCGTCAAGTTCGGATGGAGTCTATACATATTAATAAGAAAATTGGATGAATTAAGACTTACCGTGAGACCAGCACTCCAAACATCAACTGGATAGCTCCATTCTACATGAAGCAATATTTCTGGCGCGCGATATTCACGAGGCATAATCTCGCCGCTGTGTGGCCCTGGCCCGATCGCCGCCTCGCCAAAGTCAGATAGTAGCAATGGGCCATCCTGAATAGTCGCTATGAGGCGCGAGAGATAGATGGTCCGATCAGGTGAGACTGGCTTGCGGGTCACCGGCGATGTCATTTCTCCTTCTTCGAGTCTGTGAAACATGTTGTTATCGGGGCTGCCTAGGAGCATATTGCCGTAGTGGACATCTATAATCATGTCAGCGATAGAAAGTAAAATGATGAATTAGGCAGACACAGAAGGAATTAAATGAAGGCGCGATACCGGTATGGATAACCTCTCCTTCGGTATGTAGAAAGTCCAAAGCCTCAAGCAGCTCAGTCATGGCGCCTCTTACGACCTCTTCATGAAATCCATTTGGTTGAAATACATGTTTCATGTCGAAGAGGCTCATCTGTGCTGCTTCAAGGACAAGAATGATATGTTTGCCATGTGGACCGGTGATTTCAAAGGAGTCTAAGAACCTCCTTATATTGCCTCGTCCTTGATGTGAACTCTCTGCCACCCGGGGGGAGATATGATGATAACATGGAAGTTCGCGGTGCACCAATGAGCTATTCACATACACCTTCAGTGCGACATACAGATGATCTCTACAAAATTTAGCTGGACATCATGATTTCAAAGCTCGCTCGTGGACACTGACCTCAGATCACGAGCCAGCCAATTAGTCGAACAACTACCAAACCCGAGCTTTGTAACTACTTGGTAGCGATCTTGGAAAATCTCACCCATTCGAACTGGATAGAATCGATGTTCGCGGTACTCATGCAACTCCTTCTCTTCCACCGGACGATCCGACTCGAGGACTTCGAACCCGCTGGTAGGAAGCGACCGTGGCTGTTCTAGTGTGTTTGACCCTGCTGTTTCTCTGGTCGAGAATGATCTGAACAAAGATATGATGGATCTTCGTGGGAAGGGCACTCCCAGTCTGGGATGCACAGGAAAGGCAGCTTGAATCATTGGACCATTACCCATTCTGCTTGGTCGTAAATAAGTTGCCAACCAGAACGTTCGCCTCATTTGGGACGCCATGTCTGAACGAGATCGCAGCAGGCAAATATGTCAGCTATATTTCGAAACTGCAAAATCATCATCATTATCAATATTTTTCTGAGGACGTGGGCCGTTATTGCAGATATAGCGAGATATTTATGGTAGAGAGACTCACGCAAACAAAGCTAAAAAAGGGTAAACAATCTCGAAGATTTTGGCGACCCACGAGAAATTATCATCATTAAGCGCTTTTCATCAAGGAAAACTAGGTGGTCGAAGGATGGACACAGGATAATTGTATAGGAAGAAGATTGATTTAGAATTTCAATTGAAATTAGTTATGATGGAAATTTCGACTGATACCAGTCCTGCCTAGCGAAAAAGCCAGGTGTGCGCGCACCAAGTAATGCTTGTTTATTAAAAAGGTTATGAAAATGGTTTCACTCCAGCCCATGCGTACTCTATAATCAGTGTGCGTAATACCGTAGATGCCGCTGTTACAATTCATAACACAATTACCGAGATCCCTCTTGCTGGGATCCTTGACTGCTAAGTCCTACAACGTTTCGCAAACTTCCGAAACTGAGGACGTCGCGAATGCGCGTGGCACCCGAAAAGAGCATGCATAGCCGATCTATGCCGCAACCCCATCCCCCAGTGGGCGGGAGGCCCCATTCCAAAGCATCCAAATAACTCTCATCGACACGAGCTTCATTTTCCGAGTCTCGATACTGAGCTTGCTCAACAAATTTTCGCCGCTGCTCAAACGGGGAATTCTCCTCTTCGTATGCATTGACAAGCTCTCGCGCGCCGACAAACAACTCTACACGAGTGGACACGGGTTGCTGTGTTTCTGGGTCAAGGAAAGACTTGGAAAGAGGAGAGAGACATTCCGGGTGATGAGTGATGAAGGTTGGACTGTCACACTGCGGTTCAATGTACTCGGATGACAGCCGGTCAAGCAAACGCGGGAGGGTTGGCGGGTCAGGTATAGGTATGGAGAGCTTGTGGAAGATCTGAAGAATATCTGAAGTGGCAGTAGGCGAGCTCAGATCCGGGAGTGTTTGACCAATAGCTGCCTCAATGGTAGGAATAAACGCCAAGCGCCGAAATGGCGTCTTGAAGCTCACGGTTGTAGGGGCCAACGAAGTAAACGTTGTAGCTTTAGCCTGCTGCACTGATTCTGCCATACCAGACATCAGTTCTTCCGTCATTTTTATGAGATCTTCTAGATCGGCGAATGATTTGTAAAATTCACAGGTCGTGAACTCAGGATTATGCGTTGGATCCAATCCTATCTTCAAGTTATTTCATGGCCCGTAGGAAGCTTAAGATTGGAAGGAAATTTACCCTCGTTTCGAAAAGTTCGACCTATTTCAAACACACGATCCATTCCGCCTAAAACCAGCCGTTTAAGCCATAGCTCAGGTGCTATTCTCAGCGTGATTCGTTGCTGCACAAACTCGGTGGCGGTTGTGACAAATGGGCGAGCTATGGCTCCACCAGCATCTCCGGCTAGTATGGGTGTTTCCACTTCTAAGAAATCCCGAGCCTGGAAATAATCTCGCATATAGCGTATAATATGCGATCGCAAGCGGAAGGTGTCGGCAGCTTGTTTGTTGACGAGTAAGTCTGTGTGCCTGTTTCGAGTTCGTGTGCTCTCATCTGTGAGGGAAGTAGGGAGCTGGTGCAAGCTGGGCGAGAGAAGTTTAGGAAGCTCAATCGCTTTGATAGAAAGCTCTCCCCGCTTCGTTCGATGCGGATGACCAGTGATTGCTATGATCTGTTAGAAACCAGAAGTAAAAACTATACGCACGGGTCCATACTGAAAATGTCTCCTCGCCGAAGAATGTGATAGAAGAGTTTGAATTGTTCCCTGGTAACGCCCGTACTTTCCATCTTTTTCAGATCGCACAGCGCCTGGAGTCTAGATCCATCTTGAACAATGTCCAAAAATACGAGCTTTGAACCTGCTATTCTGGACGAGTGGACCCTGCCTGAATTTGTTAGCAGAGGCATCCGAATTTAGAATTCGAATTCTCGTCGAACCTCGTACAGTGACGACCTGGTCGTTTTTCGTCTCTTCGGGCACAAGTGAATCATAGTTTCGCCGAAACTCGTTGCAGGTGATAGCTCGGTCGTCGTTGAGGACTCGTGGATATAACTCAGTACTTAATTTATTGAGTTCCTTGTAACGTTGTTGAACATCGCCCGCTTCATTTGAGAGATATGGCGTAGCTGCCTCAGAACCCCTTCGCCGAGTAGCATGATAAAATCTTGCGTGGACGGAGCGAGCTGCTCGAGTAGGTCGTGGGAGGTCTCTCCATAGATATGGCCTTAAGAAGCGGAGGCCTAGGCCTGCCATACTTTCTAGAGTCAGTCCCAATCAAGATACACAGTTGAAGGGTTTTGATTCTGGCTTAAGGGTAAAGTTCAGATATAGAGAAAGGTATAGTCACTGGTCTGGAGACCCAGATCTCATTCGCAACGGTTCTTGAAATAAATATTCATCATACAAGCAATTGACGGCAGGAATGCTGTGTTTGAAAGATAATACATACACTAACTAAGTTTTCGCCGTCGACTTGGCTCAAAATCAGCTCCAACGTTTGAACGGAAATCTGTATCGTAGTAGTGTTCTGCTCGAACTTTGGCGCGAGCAGTCTTTGCGGGAGAAGTCCGCCGAGATGGCCCAAGCTTCTAATTTCTCTTTGGGGGATCAACGACAACCAGAACCGCAGCAGCGTCACGACGGCTTCTAAAACAACCTATTCGCAGCTCCAACCACAATCGAACAGCCTTTACTACCTGCGAGTCCTGGTCAGAGCCTTGGAATATAATTTGTTGTTATCTGCCTCAAATCCGTCGCCTCATACAACCGCCCTTGGTACATCATGTCTTTCCTTTTCGGAGGCCGCCCCCAACCCTCCTCGGCGGAGAAAATTGCCGCCGCAGAGACTGAAGTTGAGATGGTTTCAGACATGTTCAATAGGTATACACTGCGCCTATCTCAGCATATCTAGCCTTAGAAATTTACTTATTGCTGACAATCCCAAAGACTGGTTCAATCCTGCACGAAAAAGTGCATTCCTACCGACTACCGTGAGGGCGATTTGAACAAAGGCGAGTCTGTCTGCCTAGACCGTTGCGTCTCAAAATTCTTCGAGGTCAACGTCAAAGTTAGCGAGAAAATGCAAGGTGAGGCGGCCGGACGAGCCGGCGGCATGGGAATGGGCATGTAAGCCGTTAATGTGTTTGCACGGCGGATGGCAGATATTTTCACGGACAGCAGTGGACAAAATGTTTTCATTGTCGGTACGGAAGCCCATGGGGAAGGGGATTTATTGTACATTTAAAAACCAATTGGCGTCACGGGGATGCAGGGATCACTGTATGTCTCGGGTTCAAATATGCTAAGATGCCTCTCTATCGGAAATGCGAATTTTTGGTATACCAAGTTCTCATCAATCCTCAACGCCCTGCTCCATGATTTGCAGCGCCCATCTCCCCAAGCCAAATAAACACCTGATTACCAATTACCCTTTGAGTATTAAAGCGCCAATAAAGGATCTCTCCCAATTCCAAAAAGCATTCTGACTACCCAATGCAGCCAACCTTCTTTACGGCGTTCCTCAAACATGAATTCCTGCGCTCTGGCCTCAAGCTCTTTGACTGCCCGTTCAAAGTCAGTCACACCATCTTCGACATCTTCGACTTTGGAGTGTAAGATCCCAAGCTCGTATTCCAGCTTCTGGCTCAGCGTTTCCACTTCTCGAATCTTCTCAGACAGATGCAATTTTTCATCGGACAATAGGTCGTTCGCACCATTGCGCAAAGACTGCAGTTCCTCCGCTCGTTGGTATAATATTGAATTCAAGTTTTCTTGCTCGCCAGTTGCCTGAACATCCAGGCTTTCTGTGGCGGCTAACTTTTCCTCCACCCAAGCCCCAACCTGGCTATCAAGCTCCATCAAGACCTGACGCATTCGTTTTGCTTCTTCAGTAAAAGCACTCTGCCCAGAAACAAGCTGCGAGACATCTGGTGTGGTGACGGGGCCATCGGCCGAAAACGTTATCTCCTTCCAGCACAAGATGGCATCTTCGGCCACACTGAATGAGAGGTGCCTAGGCCATCTGGCGTCTATCCTTGATCCCGACCTGTAATCTTGAAAGCGCGTCATACTTTGAGTTCGCCTTAGGAAGACGCCAATCCCTCCATTGATCAATCCCGTTTGAGCAATCGGATCTTCTCTTCCCAATTCCCCATACGCGGAACCAGTCGTAGACTGTTCCCGTGATAGAGGCATTAAACGCTCCTCGCGCGTTTGGAGGTATCCACTGGCGGTTGAGTCTTTCCGAGCGCCCTCACTTGCGACTCTATCAATGCCATCCTGCGAGGACAAATCGAGACCGGCGGAGACCTGGTAGGGGAGCCCAGGGGTGAAGACTTCAAGCGTCTCAGCAGACGGTTCTTTAGAATCCTCAACCATGCCAGCTCCCTTGAAAGACCGCTCAAATGGATCATCCCCTGCTTCACTAGGACTGAGTGGAGGAGCAGATCTAAGTCCGTAGAAAGATCCCATGGGCTCGGCATCGTCCCCAAGATGGTTGCGATCAGACCATTCGGAAGGTCTACCATCCTCTTTAGAATGCTTATGATGGCCCCTGAGCCCTGATCTCCCAACAGCATCTTTGATTCGACCAAGCCCACTGCGCGCATCGTTCATCCGACCGGTCATACTTTTGAACATGTTCTTCCGTAGCTGTTGATCTCTGTCGCCCCAATCTAATGTATTTTGTGAATTCGAAGGCATACGGGTAGGTAAACCGTCATCACGCTTCCTCCTGCCACTATCCATGTCAAATGAGTCTCCTCCTTTATTAGACCATCTGTATCCGCCACCCTCATCTTTTAGAAAAACCATTCCTTCCTGATCGGATGTTCTTCCTGCCAAATCGCTGGACATACTCTTCATTGGCTTACCATACCATAGCCATTTTGCTCTCTCGCCATGTATGACTTGAAGAAACGTATCGATGTCCAGAGTCTCGACTTCAGCAATACCGGCTTTCTCTCGAGCCCCCACCATCTCCATCATCATTTCTCCGCCCTTGCCACTAAGTTCTGCCACGGTCGATTTTACCGCCTTCGGAACGAGCCAACCTTCCCCTGAGGCAGCTTTCGCAGTAACGCGGTGAAGCCGGTCAAGTGTCTGACGATCTAGTCGGCTCGTTTTTGGTAATTTCTGTGATTTCTGGAAGTAATATATACCCCGTTTCAAACTCTGTACGTCGAAACAGTCCTTGGCTACCGGCGCACCATACGCATTGAGACGATTTCTCGCGCCCATAAGCATGCCCACAAGGCCGGAAACGGTAGTTGGACCCAGAATACCATCACTTGGCTCCACATTATAAAATTCGGAGCCCATCTCCACCCACCAATCATTGACTGCACGCTCGGTAACATCGCACAAAAGCCCGTCGGCATATTCTGGGCCAAGCTTTCCAAACATTACCAGTGCAAACTGACAGAACTTGACCATTTCTATGACAGCGCTGTAAATAGGAATGCGCTCGCTGGTTTTGTACAGTTGATGGAATTTGGCCTGCGTAGCCCCGCTGGGGGTGGTCAAGCTCAGGCCCACTCGCCCCGAACAACCCAATCTTTTCAGATCAACGTTCACAATGAAGTCATCTCTATACTTTCTTGTGTCACCTTCCGGAACCGGGATAACAGTCAATGCGGAAGGAAACCCGCTGAGATTGGTAACCATCAAAACACCGAGAGGTGTCTCTTTCCGCCGAGCGTGAAACTGAGACACAGCTTTGAAATATACTCGCAGCCTTTGAGACCATGCTTCCTCATTTGTTGGAACACTCAGGACGCTCACAACAACTGAGTGAGATGGATCCCCCGTGTAGGTGGTGATCACAAATGTCGGGTGAGCACGGGAACATGCCCACTGCTCAACAAGATAGAGCTCATAACCTTCAAGCCTTTGCCGACGCTGGAGAACTGTTGTAGACGGGTCTTCTTCAAGATATCTGATTTGGACGAATTAGCAATTCGTCGCTGTATTTGTTTGATTTGAAGTACCTGAAAGCCACCGGGTCTGTAAAAACAAATCTTTGATGGGTGGGTTTTATGAACGGCGCTCCATCTTCAGGTCTATTTCCAGATAATTGACGGGATCCCTTTAGACTCTGTGTATGGGAAATGACATCCCTCGAGCCATTAACCGTAAGTATTGATGGACCGCTAAGCTGCGACTGTTGCGCTGTAACTGAAGCTTGAGGCGAGAGCATCTCAGCCATTACGACGGATGCTGTATTGAGTAGGTAGGGCGCAGGGCAAGTTCAGACCTCCTAACATAAACGAACACTTCGCTCGGTGACACCTTTTCCCATCGAGTCGGCTTCTGGCCTTGGAACATAATGCACCAGGTTGTGTGTTTGCTTGAACTTGATCATCTTTCACATGGTGACGTTGTGTCTGGGCGTTGAGCATAACGGCGCTATTGGTCTCTGCGGTATTCCGTTTACTTATCGCTCCGATAAACTAACTGAGAAGTCCAAAGGCGCCGCTCTGGGGAGGTGCATCATCCGACCAAGTGTCTCATAGTCTATGCCTTCTTCGTCCGCAAAAAGTTGCTCAGATGATGAAAAGCAGGTGCTTCTTTCGTTTGCATTTTCTTTAAGGACTTTTTGTCATCAGTATATATAAGACTTGTGTTCGCATCTACGGAGCAAGAGCGTCACTGTCGACCTTGACCTTCTTCCTGTCCAGTGTACTCGGCAGTAGCTCGCCGACGTCTATACAATGGAAGCCCTTAACAAGGAGCACGAACGGCTTTGCAAAAAGAGCAATCTCTCCCAAAGTATATCTGATATCCAAAAGACAATAGACACTTTGGTCACTGCACGAAATACAATAGAGAAAGGTAGGTTATTACGGAGAAGCTTCTCGGGAGCTCAATCCAGTTCGACTCGAATGCTCCAAGCCCGTCATACTATTATCGTTGTCAATTTGGGTCCGGTCTAATCTATATATTGTTTCCAGATTCAAACGCGACTTCTCTAACAGTTGCCAAGCTGCAAGGTTCCGTCAAGCAATCATTTGACAAGATCAATGATGATTTGAAAGATGTTCATTCTGGTTTAGGAAAGTACGTCAAGGCTTTGGATAAGGTTCGACCACCGTTTCCTGATTACTGTATAGTTCTGTTAGAGGGCTGTCGAGGAGCACGATCTGACGCATTGCAGAAATTCAAAGATAGACCCATCCCAACTAGCGAATACGATGCTCTTTCATCACACCCTTCTTTGATTAATAGAGCGATTGCGATGCATCTGCTGCGAGAAGGGCAATTTTCTGTAGCTTCAACTTTCATAAGGGAAGCAACCGCAAACCCGCCTCGGGTTGATTCAAATACGGAACCTGCAGATGGCTCTATTGGCTTGCCAAATGACCTTGGCATGGGACCTCTAAAGTCAGAATCGCTGCAGGAATTATTTGCAGAAATGTATTACATCCTGCATGAACTCAGAGACAAGAAAAATCTCTTGCCAGCCATTGAGTGGGCGAAGGCTCATAGCGCTACATTGGAGATTCGCGGAAGCAACCTTGAGTTTGACCTCAGCAGGCTGCAATTCATTTGGCTTTTCATGGGCGGGGACCAAGGCAATGGTCAACATGGATCGTTTTCCGGTCCTCAGAAAGCGCTGGACTATGCAAGATGTGAGTTCGGAAGGTTTCAGGAACGATATCTGCGGGAGATCCAGCAACTTGGTGCAGCGTTAGCATATGAGCCGAATCTTCAACAGTCACCTTATCGGCTGGTTTTTCACAATGATCATGCCTGGGAAGAGGTGGCAACTTCGTTCACTCGGGAATTCTGTTCTTTGCTCGGTCTTTCGGCCGATTCGCCTCTCTATATAGCCGCGACCGCTGGAGCTATTGCGCTGCCAACCTTGTTGAAATTACAATATATTATGAAAGAAAAGAAGACTGAGTGGACTACTCAGAATGAGTTACCGGTAAGTTTTACCTGTTACAGAGATTGGCAGTTAAATTCTTATTCAATTCACCGTTCAGGTCGAGATTCCTTTGCCACCGTCTTATCATTTCCACTCGATCTTTGTCTGTCCAGTTTCAAAAGAGCAGACAACAGATCAAAATCCGCCCATGAGAATGCCATGCGGCCATGTGGTCGCACAAGAATCGCTGATGAGGCTGAGCAAGGGGAGCAAATTCAAATGCCCCTACTGTCCTCGAGAAAGCCATCCTAGAGATGCGAAGAAAGTCTTTTTGTGAGTCATTGCTATTCTAGTTAGGAGAAAGATGCAGGTATAATATGGCGAAAGGTTGGCGTAGCTAGTGGACTGCATTTTCAGGGGCATATTCAAGGAGTCAAGGTAGCGCTTTAACTTGTGGTGTTGTTTCTGGTGGTTATTTGGCTACTTTTTACCAAATTCAATCTGGCGAATATTCATTATTTTTCATGCCACTCTTAGCCGGCAGATATAGGGTTCGTCACTGGATAATTGAAGGACTTTCCCATACCATAATGATAAAGAAACACAGAAATGTCCAAGCGGGATTTCCCCATCACAGTGATTCGAGTATTTCTACATTCTGTACGCGACATCTATCTTGGTGAAGGCAGCAGCCACAATCGAAATTCACGGGAAATTATGCTGAGACAAATGTACAAATGCAAAGTCCAAAAGCCAGGGAGGGTTTGGAGTCGAGCAAAACAAAAGAATTGATGGTTATTCGATAGCTGGACGAAATGACATCAATTGAATTTCTCGCTACTTTGGGTGGCCCGTTCGCGGTTCGCCGTAGCGCAACCCTTGTCTTGTCCTCCATCATGTGAAAGTCACTGTTTAGAAAAGAATTTCGGGGGCGCCGCTGCGCATTGAAGCAAAATGACAACGTTAAACGCATATCAATCATCCGACCTCTCGCTTCCCTCGGACTCGTATATCTATTCAGTCGTTCCAACTTCCACTGGACTTGCTGCGATATCTTCGGACGATTCACTTCGTCTTTTCGGTCGCGAGAATCTGCGGCTCCTTTCTGGCGGAGTGCTGAAACGGGTCCATCAAGGCGTCACCTGCTTGAAAGCATTTGACGAAGGTGGAAATATTCTGGCTACCGCAGGAAGCGATGGGCTGGTCCGTACTTGGGATATTAGATCTGGGGGAAATGTTCACACTTTTGACAAAGGTGAGCTTGACTCGAAACTCACGCACACGCTGTGGGTGACCAGGGAATTAATTTCATTCACACATCAGGCTATAATGGATCCATTCTTTCACTAGAGTGCTGTAGCGCAAGCTCTACGATCGTCGCCGGTACGGAACTAATTACAAAGCCCAGAGAGGATCCACAAGCCAGTGTGATGTTCTGGTATGTGCTGTTCAGGAATATGATTGACATGCGCGTTGCTCGCAATGGAGAGCGACTGACTGACTGGCCAGGGATATCAGATCGACCGCGTCTCCGCGTCAAAAGTATACGGATAGTCACAATGACGATGTGACGGAGGTGATTACAGATGATGCTTTTGATACTTTACGTTGCTAATTTCTAATAGCTCCAATTCCATCCTACCAATCATTCTCTGCTTGTGTCAGGCAGCACGGATGGTCTGGTCAATGTCTACAATTGCAATATTACAGATGAGGAAGATGCCTTGATCCAAGTGATCAACCATGGCTCTTCCATTCATCGGGCAGGGTTTCTCAATGACAAGGATATCTTCGCCCTCAGCCATGACGAAACGCTGTCAATGTACCAGCTCACAGACCCAGACAATGAGGACGAGGCACCCAGTCCTATCGTTTTTGGCGACATCAGAGGAAGACTGGGATGCGAGTATGCTATTGGTGTGTTCATGACAGAAGAAGGTGCGATCCTGGGAATTGGCAACCACAGGTAAGAAGTTTTCGGTCTCTGGAGAGGAATCGGAATTGCTGATTTGCTGCTTATGAAATCAGTGAGCATCGCCTAGAACTCGTCCGTATGGATCAACGACCACAATGGACCCTAGACCAGATGCCTACATTAAAGCTGACGGATGCCCATGGTGACGAAATTGTTCGATCACTGTATATTGACACCAAGGTAGGCTCTTCGTTTCAGTTTAATTCCTTTATGCTAACTCCACCGTACAAGTCTTCCACAATCTACAGTTCAGGTGAAGATGGACAAGTCCGAGCTTGGAAATTCCCCAGTAATAAAGAAGAAAATATGGATGGCTTAAAATCTTCAGACGATGGCCATCTGAGCGCTAGGCGGAGAAAAGGAGCCTCAAAGGGAGGGAGATTCAACCCTTACTAAACACTGGCCAAGATTTCAATTTATAAAGATAGCTTCATTCTTCAAAGGAAAATATTCCCCACCGAGAAGAAGATAAATATATGAAAAATGATGAACGTGGAGACTTTTTATGTTGATGATCTCCCTCTTGAATTCAATTATGAACAGTCTAGCTTTTCTCTCTGTAACGGCCTGTTGAAGGAGCGGGATGTTAGTTACTGGGTGAGCAGGAACAGTTCCCTTACTCGCTAGTTGCATCATACATGCTCGGCAGGAGTCGGTTCAGCTAGCCGAGAGCTCATGCCAGTGACTGGTGGGTGACATGCGACCAAGTAAACCAAGTAGGCAAGCTGTCCACATCTCGTGAGATGCTATTTGTGTAAGAACAACAGGGCTACCTCATGTCTAGGCTCCTTTAATATAAGGATTGTTTGCATCTGATGTTCTCCATTCCTAGTATCTTCAACCCGTCTTGGGTCACTTAAGACAGCCGTCATGAGAGGTCGGCAGCTTCGGCTGCTGCCGTTACTGTTTGGTAAGCTCCAGCGGTAGGCGCTCATTTCAATCCCAATTCTAATATACTATATTTCCGTGCAGTCATCACATGCGCATTTGTACATATAGCTTGTGGACAGCAAGAGGTCTTGAATGGCCAACTGCAGCGTCATGAAGCCCAGCAAGCTCCCGAGTTACAGCTCGAGCATCCGAAGCCCGTTTCACACATTGGTATCCCCAATGACGAAAGACGAGCGAGTGATTCAAGGGAAGCGAATGGTTAGCAGCTCTTCTCCGGAGATCTTCTGAAAATGAAGAGACTTACAAAGTATAGGTGCCCCGTTAGTGGAGGAAGCGCTTGCCCTTCTGCGGTCACTTGAAGTCCACCGCGATGGTTTTCCGATGACAAAGAAAGGCTCCAGTTTATTTGGCGGAATCTTTTATTATGCGAAAGAAGCATTCGTTCTTTTGTTCATGAAAGATGCACCCCAAGAAGAGGAATCGAAGACGTCGAACGTGCGGGCCACCGTGGATCCCAAGTTATTGACCGCCGTCGAGCTCTTAAAAGCTGCATCCGATCAAGGACATGCAGAAGCAGGCAACATATTAGGGGATCTGAATTTCTGGGGGAATTTTTCCTACCCTCAAAACTACAGCGAAGCGTTGAACAGATACTCGGCGGCTTCCTTGAAGGGCAATACTGCAGCTCAACACATGCTCGGGTTTCTTTATGGTACAGGTTTCGGCGGAGCTGTAGTGCAGGATCAGGCCAAATCTTTGTTGTATCACACTTTCGCTGCTTTAAGTGGAGAGACTCGTTCAGAGATGACTGTGGCGTTTCGACACTACACGGGAATCGCCACCCCTCGAAATTGCGATGAGGCGGTATTTTATTACAAAAGGGTCGCCGACAAAGCGGTACAATATTTCAGGTCTGGGCCTCCGGGAGGTCGAGCGTTGGTCAAGGATTCATACAGACTATCTGACGATGACGGCGGCGTTTATGGGGAGGGAGCCAGTGTTGTTAGCTCAGGAATAAACGCCAACAGAGGAAGCCCAAGCACCGAGAGTCAAGCGTCCATGGACGACGTCTTGGAATACTTGGATTTGATGTCAAGAAAAGGAGACCTGAAAGCCACCTTTGGACTGGGGAAACTGTACTATGACGGCTCAAGAGTGCTGAGGCAAAACTATAGAAGGGCTAAAACGTACTTTATGATTGTCGCAAAACGCTACTGGGGCAAAGATGGAAAGATCATTGCTGGAGGCGGACCTGGCATCGAAAAACTTGCTTCAAAGGCCGCTGGATATCTTGGTCGAATGTTCTTGCGCGGAGAAGGAGTAGAGCAGAATTTTGACAAAGCACTCATCTGGTTCCGACGCGGCTTGGCGAACGGGGATTCTCTTTGTCAATACAGCATGGGACTCATGTTTCTCAATGGTCTGTCTTTACCTAAAGATCCATTAAGAGCAGCAGACTATTTCAAAGCAGCTGCAGATCAGGATTTCGCCCCTGCTCAAGTACGTTTCGGGGCGCTCTTATTAGACCAGGGCGATGTCCAAGTGGCAACGAAGTACTTTGAACTAGCAGCTCGGCACGGAAACATTGAAGCCTTTTATTTTCTTGCTGAGATCAGTAACCAAGGCATTGGACGCGACCAATCGTGTGGCGTTGCAACGACTTATTACAAGATTGTTGCCGAGAAAGCTGAGGCTATCCATTCCTCATTCCCGGAAGCAAACCATGCATATGAAAGCGGCGACAGAGACTTTGCCCTCGCTACGTATATGATGGCGGCAGAACAGGGCTACGAGACAGCTCAGGCAAATGTTGCATACATCCTCGATCACAAGGAATCCTGGCTGTCCACCAATGTCTTCTCACGCCTAAGAAATGCAAGACAGTATGACTCTCGATTGCAAGCTCTTGCGCTGATTTATTGGACGCGCTCCGCAAAGCAATCCAATGTTGATTCGATGGTGAAAATGGGAGATTATTACCTTGCTGGATTAGGTTCAGACCCTGACAGCGAAAAAGCCGCTGCTTGTTATCAAACCGCTGCCGAATTTCAGCAAAGTGCTCAAGCGCTTTGGAATCTGGGGTGGATGCATGAGAATGGAGTCGGTGTTGAGCAAGACTTTCACTTGGCAAAGCGATTCTATGATCAAGCATTAGAAACAAACTCAGAGGCTTATCTTCCAGTCACGCTAAGTTTGCTGAAGCTAAGAATGCGAAGTTTCTGGAACACTGTCACTCATGGCAGAGTGAAATCAATTCAAAGCGAGCCAGGTAAGCGCCAGCCTCCTTTTCATTATTTTTCTCTTAATCTAATTTCGAGTTTCAAGTGGTTAAAAAAGAATGGTCGGTTCGTGAATGGATCCACAATTTCTTAGCGGAAGATCAGAGCTACTATAACGAATTGGATGATGATGACCTTTCAGATCCCAATGGTCAAGAAGGGATGCCCGGAGGCGATGAATACTACGACGATCTCGATGGCGGTATGATGGAGAGCTTGATCATTATCGGTCTTGCGGCGACACTAGCGTTCCTGATGTTTTACCGTCAACAGCGGCAATTGAATCATCAAAGAGCAGCTGAGCAGCAAAGAAACGCTGGTGGTAATGCTGCAGGTGAAGCTGGCAGACCGGCAGTTCCTGGCCAGCAACCAGATGGTGGTTTCTTCCCTCCGCCAGGAGATCCTGACTTCAATCGCTGGGTTGCTGGTGCTGTTGCACATTGATTTGTTGATATAACAGCCAAGCGGTTTCTGATTGCAAAAAAAGAGCAAAAAGTTGAGCGGCATGTATACAAGCATTATGGGTTATTGCATCAAGAGAGGACGTTTTACTATATTTGACCTGCAGGCTAACGGCGAGAATATATTGGGCTGTACCCAAATTGCCTGCTGGATCGTAATTTTCCTTTCCCCTATTCCTTCACCAATGTAGATGATTATGACAGGAGAACAGAGTAAATTGTATTGTTTTCGATGAGATGATACTCTCATAATTGTGTACTTCAAGCACCGCTTCAATAGCTTCTCGTTATTTTCGAGCCTCTGGATGATGTAACATATTGGCCCTACAAATTAGCCTAATAATACGGAGTACGAAGCGTATCTTCGACAGAATTCGTAGTTCAATGCAGTTAGCAGACCGAAAATATCTCTTGGCATCAGCCCCACTACGGTTCGGGGGTGGGAACGTAAACTATTGTCTTCCCGCAGATAGAACTCTAATTCCCGGTAATGAAGTCTCGGATCAGCGAACTTGCTACCTAAGGTAGGGAGCAAGGCCCTGGAGTTTCGGTGAAAATCTTATACGTACCTGTTCGCTACTACCCCACAATTCGATAGGACAGCTCCCCCGAATACTACCTCACTATTTTACTGCTTACCTGTTGACAAGTTAGGCCAATTTGATACTTTACCACGAACTAGGTTATAGCCTAAGAGACCTTGATTGGAAGCCCACGCGTCATCACACTTGTATCGGTCAAGTCTAATTCGCAAAAATTGGCCCTGTTTTCATCAAATTGGGCCTTTTCAAGTCGAAATACGGGGGTCAGCTACGGAGTAGCTACAGACCTCCCAGTTATGTCCACTCCGGCTGCGAAACGACAACGCGTCGAGGCGGCATCGCGAAAGCTCTGTCAGCCTTTTCGGTCACCACTTAAACGAGCTGACTCGAAAAACAGTGACGGACTGGACTCTTCCAGGAAACGTGGTGGAGTCTCAGCTACGCGGCCTGCGTTTGTAACAAGTCTGCAACCGAAAATATCAAGTGCTGAGTTAGGGGCATTCGTTAATCGCACTGGTAAAGACGGCCAGGATATAGAAGATGAATTATCGTGCGCAGTCTCGGCATCTGAACAGTTGCTGAGGCAAAGCAATACATCAACCAGCTTTGCTTCGCCCAGTCAGCAGCGAGTAAAGGTAAAGCCCTCTACGACACCTCTCAAGCCAAGCGGTCAGCGTCCTTTTGTCACTCCTATACCGAAAATTAGGACCTTGAGGTATCAGGAAGAAACGCCTAGCTCGTTGAGCAAAGATCCAGCACTGGCAAATCTCTTAAGGGCTCAACGAAAATTAGAGTCGGAGATACGTGCTGCTCGCACGGAACTTGAGACTTTTGAACAAGCTCGCAAGATTCAAAATGGGAGGCGAGATCAGGAGCTTGAGGGATTGGCCCTCAAATGGAAAATGGTCAGCAGGCGGGCAGCAGAGGAAGTATTCGAGGGAGTGCAAGCGCGAATAAATCGCATGGGCGGCCTGGCGGCCTGGAGAGACATGCAGAAAAGACAGCACGAGTGGAAGGACGCGGCCTTTATCGACGGTGCAGCTGGTGAGATTGACGAGAGCCAAAGGGACGCGCTCTGTGCTGAATATGGCATCGACATCAATGAAGTCGAGATGTCTCGTGGAGAATCTCGAGATACGTTACAAGGAGATTATGATGATAACCAAAAAGAGGTCAGTGGGAATACTTTCACAGCGCACTGAAGCGGACAAAATTCGCTGAATAATGATTGAAACAAGGATTTCACCATGGATATGATGCTCAAATCTCTGAACATTGATCTCACTACAATCGGGTATGACAAGGATCTGCAGCGATGGGTGGATTAGGTTTGGCGGGACAGGCCACGCGCTGGCACCTCATATTCTGTGGGTATCAATGATCTGCGAATGAACCACGAAGTTGCGCACTAGGTTATCGCCGCGTTACGGTACTTCACATGTATTGCTACGGAGTTTGAGATTCGCTCGTGACCCAATGTCCCGGAACTTCCAGCACGGTCTGCCAAGGACCGTGCCAGCAAAGATTGCACCATCCGGCTGTTTGGACCTGAGTGGAGCTGAATGCGAAATTGCTGACAGCTCAAACAATTTTCTTTTAAGCGGATTTAGAGTTGCAAACGCCGTGATTCGTTCAAGCGAGCTCAGCTGGCAAGGATTCAGGAATCATTGAGAAAAAGACTGCGAGGATCCACTACAATTGCTCATACGGGAAAGTCCTAAGCTTTTGCCTGGGAGACCAACAAATAGCGCGGGAAAATGTGAGAATAGAATAACATGCCGAGACTTTTTCAGGATCGGCAGCATCCAGTTTTAGTTTGCGCACCAGATTTAGGGCTAAGTTATTTGGCGTTTGGTTGTTAGGTTGCAAAAGAACGGGGATGGATTGATAAGCAGAGCTCAGGCTTGACATGGTGGAGAAGCTGGGGGAGCCATTCCCCTGCCGTCTCCAGACTAAGACATTTCCATTGGACCTTGTTAAGGTTATTCTTGCCAGGGATCGTTTAATGGCGAGCCAATCACCAAGCGATAACGGAGCGATTGTCGTAGGGAACGCGGGAAATAAACATCCCCTGGTAAAGGCCCTGTGAGATTTCCCTTTGTCGACATAGGCCGGAGGGATTGCAACCCCGAACGCCGTTAGCGTTGAGTCAGATGCATAGGGACAAAGTCTATGATTCATAAGCCAAAATGCATTCCCTCATCCACTTATCTACTGATCCTGTCTGTCCTTGGTGCCCCCAGGACGCTTTGATGCTAGCCTGGCTTGTTTAGTTTCAGTGCCAAGGGATCACCCAATGCGACCGTATGGGACGCTTCGCGTGGCCCCAGCTGTGTGCTGGTGGGTTTAGTGATGCGATCTGGAGAAAGAGAGAGTTTTTGATATGCCCGTGCTTCTATAGTTTTGGGCGTTGTAAGGCGTCAGCGCTACTCAGTGCCAAAACCGGTGACAATGCATCCCTTACTCTTGATGATTACATGAGCTTTCTCAGTGACGGAGCAAATTGGCTCCGCTGGTGCTGATGTTTAGCTTGTTGGAATAAGTAAGCTTTGGGTTGCATTGTTCTCCTGTTGATCTCTATATAATATTCATAACGAATACGTGTTTCTACAGTGGAAGTGCCTCTGCTGAGCGACTGCACACAAAAACCATTCTTGGACTCTTGTTGCTCTTTGAAGCCCCATACAGTGTTTTCATCTTATCTTATTTGCCTTTACGGATTGGAAACCTAAACACCTAGCTTGATATTTTCCACCACTTCAAAGCCTGCATCCCTTCGCAATCAGCCATGGCCTTAACCGACGAGAAGAGGGTTGAGGCAGAAAACAGGGAGACTAGAGACGGATCACCGGTAGACCCAGAAGGCTATCTCAAACCCGATGCAGAAGAACCAAATGGCACTTCCGGTGAAGGATCTGTCTCTGGGGACTCTGCTCAAGCCGAAAAAGGAGTGACGGAGCAACCTGCTGAGGAACCTCCTCGAAAAGTGAAAGGATGGGTTTGGTTCACAGTCGTGCTGGCAATTCTCTCTTCCTGCTTTTTGTTCGCCTTGGACAACACCATCGTTGCCGACGTACAGCCAAAGATTATTGAACGGTTTGGAAACATTGGAAAGCTCCCTTGGCTATCAGTCGCGTTTATGCTTGGTGCGGTCGGCACTAATCTTATATGGTACGAGACCTTGTCCCTCAGCATATTTTGAACGAGGAAAACTGACCACCAGCATAGGGGTCAAGTCTTTGGACAATTCAACGCCAAATGGCTCTATATCGGCAATCTTACATTGTTTGAGATTGGCTCGGCCGTTTGCGGTGCCGCTCCGACCATGAATGCTCTCATCGTTGGGCGTGCCATTGCGGGTGTTGGCGGTGTAGGGACGTATATCGGCGTGATGACCCTGCTCTCCATCAATACTACGGTGAAAGAGCGCCCTGCATACATCGGTCTCACCGGACTCACGTGGGGTGCGGGCACTGTTCTTGGTCCTGTCATTGGAGGTATGTTCCATTCAAACCATCGGTCTATGATACCTGGCTGACTCTTTCCCTCTCGCCAAATAGGTGCTTTCGCAGATAGCGGCGCGACATGGCGCTGGGCTTTCTACATCAACCTCTGCGTTTTCGCTCTCTTTGCACCAGTGTACTTGTTCTTCCTGCCTTCATCCGACCCTCGACCTGGTGTTCCTTATAAGCAGAGGCTGATGGAACTTGACTTTGCCGGATCAGTCCTTATTGTCGGTGCATTCACCTGCCTGGTCATGGCCATTGGATTCGGTGGCAACCTCTACCCATGGAACAGCGGCCGAATTATTGGCCTCTTTTGCGCCGCTGGTGCTTTGTTCATCCTGTTCGCTCTTCAACAGGGATTCTCTTTCCTGACAAAGCCGGAGAGGCGTCTCTTCCCGGTCCACTTCCTCAAGTCTCGGAGCATGTTGATCCTCTTCGCTCTGATCGCGTGCGGCGCCTCGGCGGCATTCATCGCCATCTATTTCATTCCGATTTACTTTCAATTTGTGCGGAATGACAGCGCTCTCAAGGCTGGAGTCCGACTGCTCCCCTTTGTCGTGATGCTTGTCTTCTTTTGTGTTGCCAACGGCGCCATCATGGGCATGACCGGCTATCACGTACCGTGGTATCTTGCTGGCGGGATCCTCGCTCTCATTGGCTCAGCTCTCATGTACACCGTCAATGAGAATTCGAGCACCAGCCGCGTCTATGGATACAGCGTGCTCATCGGCATTGGCACTGGCATGTACATCCAAGCCTCGTTTTCTGTCGCTCAAGCCAAAGTTCCTCCGCAGGAAGTGCCTCTTGCCATCGGATATATCAGTTGCGGACAGCTTTCTGGTGCCACAATCACATTGGCGATTGCCAATACCGTCTTCCTGAATCTTGCTGGCAAAAAGATACAGCATATCCTTCCTCACGTGCCGTATACACAGATTCAAGCTGCCATTGCCGGCGCAAGCTCCACTTTCATCAAAACGCTCCCAGATGAGGTGCGCAAGCGAGTACTCGCGGCGATCGTCGACTCGATCAGTACGGTCTATATTCTAGCCATTACAGCGGCGGCTCTCACAGTTGTTCTATCTCTGGGCCTGAAATGGGAGAGATTGTTCCTTGGGGCTGCTGCCGGCGGAGGATAAATTCGTCTGGAATCAAAACTGACACATCTCCTTCTTCATAGCTTTTCTACCCTTATACCCAAACTCCACTTATGTTCAATTTGCCCAATGCTTACGTTATAATGATTTCCTTTTTATTTCCTTCTAATTGTTCAAGAAATTGCATAGTCAGGTCGGTCATGTTTTGCTAGAGTTCGATTTTTGAAGTTCTTCCTACTACTCATAGATGAGATGGGAACAGTGGCTATCAAAACAGCTGTGGAAATAGTGATAGCTGGAATATAACAAATACATCTAATCCCTGCATCTATCATCTTCAAATAGTTTGCACCCGAAACCACGTAAACTCGCTCTTTTCGTCCCAATGTTACGGCATACGTTAGCCAATCTACCCGACCTCGACCCACTTCCGTCCCGGCACGTCGGGTTGTCAGTTTCGGCAACAGGCGGGCAGCACGGGCCAACTACGCCTAAAAAAGAAACATATAAACACCGTCAGACGTACGTCTACCTTCAAGCATCATCACCACCACCACCAACCACATTCGACCTTGCTCATCTCCAAATACTGCCCTCCGAAAAGCTTCATGGTTCTCACTCGGGAAAAATCAAGCGGCAGGCGAATTGAAAAGATGCTCGAAATCCGGGGTGATGAGGAACCAAGCACAATTCCATAGACGTCCGACGAAGTTTAGGACCAGGCACGTGCCTTGGCCTATCAGGAGTTGAGCTATTTTTGACCCTTCCAGAAAGGGAAGGAAGCATCCATTATCATCAAACGTCTACCCTTGGCCATCATCTCCACCTCGAACCAACGCTCGATCCATTGGGGAAGCTGCTACTGTACGAGAAGCTTCAGCATCATGAATTCAGGAATCTGAGCCTGGGGGACAAAGATGCTCGGAAACTGGGGTGATGAGGAATTCGAGCTGAATTGTGTAGACGTCCGACGAGTTTTTGAATTAGGCACGTGTGTGTAGCCTAATTAGGTATTGAGATATTAATATCACATCCAGAAAAGGAAAGAGCCATCTGATAATGGTCGAACGTCAACACATGAGCATCTCCACCACCAGCACCACCACGATGTGACGGTGCTCATACCAAGGATTGCTCCCGTACGAAAGGCTTCATGATCAGTAGATGGAAGCGTGAAGCTCAAAGAAAGATGCTCGGAAACGGGAGTGATCAGGAATTCGAGCTGAGTTTGTGTAGACGTTCGACGACAATTTGAGGTCATTTCCCGATTTGGAAGCCGCGTTCGAAGGCCGTCGAACGTCTATAAATAGGTATCACCAACAGCCACCGCCATAATTACATATCTCTTGGTGCTCTGGCACCAGACCAAAAGGCTTCAAGATCTGTAGACAGAATCGTGAAGCTCAGAGAAAGATGGTCGAAATCCCGGGTGATGAGGAAACTCGGCTGAATTGTGTAGACGTTCGACGATGATTTCGATACTGTCCCGATTCGGAAACTGCATCTGAGGATCGTCAAACGTCTATGGTTCGAGTATCAACACCACCACTGCTACTACCACCACCACCACCGCGGCCGCGGCCATAGTTACACCTATCATGATACTCCCCCACCATACGAAAAGCTTCATGAGCCTCACTCACACAGATTGAAGCCAGAAGAAAGATGCTCGGAAATCGGGGTGATGAGGAATCCGAACATAATTGCATAGACGTGCGACGAAGATTGAGATGATGCCCAATTAGGAAACTGCGTTCGAAGTCCATCCTACGGCTTAAGTCCGAGTATCTCCACCACCACCACCACCACCACCACCACCACCATACCATGCCCATCACCATCATGACTACGCCTCTCGTGATACCCCACACCGTACGAAAAGCTTCATGATCCACATATAGAAACATGAAGCTGAAAGAAAGATGCTCGGAAACCGGGTTGACGAGGAATCCGGACAGAATTGTGTAGACGTCCCACGACAATTCTGATATCTTCCCAATTAGGAAACTACCTTCAAAGATCGTCGAACGTCTAAGGTCGAATATCTCCGCCACCTACACGCCCACAACCACCACTACCACCATAATTACACCTCTCATGATACTTTCCTCCATATGAAAAGCTTCATGACTCCTGTCCATAAGCATGAAGCTGAAACCAAGATGCTTGGAAACCAGGTTGATGAGAAAATCGGGCTGAATTACATTAGACGTTCCACGATGAATTCGATACCGTCCCAATTAGGAAATCGCCCTCAAAGATCGTCGAACGTCTAAGGCAGGCACGAGTATCACCGCCCCACTTCAGGAGCCGCTTATCCCAGCCTTCTCCTGTCGACGACAAGCTTCAAGGTACCGTCCTTTGAAGCTCGATCCAAGATGCTCCAAAATTGGGGTGATGAGGAATTCGAGCCGAATTCCATAGACGTCCTACGATATTTGGCATCCGGAGACAAGGCTAGTCCTACAGTAGCCAATCAGGCAGACGCGGCATCATGCATCTTTCCATAAAAGGAAATATGCTTCTTCATCGTCAAACGTCTACCTTCAGGTAACTATCACGAACCTCCCAAAATACCATGGGACCACCACTTGCCTCCCCAACCCAGGATCATCTTGGCTCCCTCTGCCACCCCCGTATGAATAGCTTCAAAAAGGGACTCGTCTTCGGAAGACTGAGGAAGAAAGATGCTCAGAATCATGGCTGATGAGGGGTTCAGTGCTGAATTGCGTAGACGTTTGACGAAAGTTTGGGCATATGTCCTAGTTGGGATTAAACGGGCAGCTTGTAAGTCAGAAGAGCCAATCACTGTGTCGGATAGAGTGGATACGGTCCAGAAAAGGAAATTCAGAGAATGTCGTCGGACGTCTATCTGTCTTTGCGTGAACACGGCAACACGCGGAGAGCAAGCGGGAAGCATGCGGCGGAAGCTTTGAGGACTTGGGGCCCTGTGGTCGGGTTCTCTGCCGGACTTGGAAGCGGGTAGATGCATAAACGTATGTCCGCGGATTGGCTCCCGATTGAAATTTTTACAACTTGCTTGAACCGCGCGTACATCTTTCTATTACCACTATGCGTATTATGGAAATGGCAAAATGCTAGTCTGTGCAAGACAACTTGGTGGGTTTGTCAGTTCCAATATATCACCAGTATTTCATTAAAGAGAGAATAGGCATCGAGAGTTCCTCGTTATTGTGATATTTTGATGAAGAGAGTGATTGAATTCCATGGCTCATGGCTTGAGCGCTGTCCTTAGTTACTAATTAGAATGATGAGCCCAACCGACATTACAGGCTCCGAGAAATGTTGAGAAAAGACTATAATACATGAAATAGGATGTGAAGAAATCCGCAGAATACATTTCCTAGACCAGTTCGCCTCCCAAAAGCAAACAACGCGATCAAAAGTACATTTCAAACTGGGGTATCATGCAGTATCTAAGACTTGAGACCTAAAAGGCCTCTGATTTCAGCGTAACTTGCGAGCTCGTAATCGGTGGGCCGTTTCTCGACTCCTCGATAACGGATGGGATGCTGGCCTTCACATCTCTTGAGGCAAAACCTGTGCATGGCAGTTTCCTCATGCAGCTTCTCATAGCTCTCAATAGCGTAAAGCCCATCATACCTCAAGCCTTTTGAAGGTCGGTAAGGATTCTTCTTGGGCAAGGCTGCAGAGCGAAGGACTCGAACGGGGTTTCCCTCATCGCGAGATTTGAGAAGATGGCGGGTGCCCAGGCTAACCTTGCCAGCACTTCCTGACGTCCCGCAATAATAGATGGTGTCACCCTCATCCTTATCGTCATAACCACCTGAGGAAAGAATCACGGAGAATGCGCCTTTGTCTCCGCTGCCGCAAATACCTGCTTCGACCTCTCCATGGGCGCCGTCTCTCATGGCGCAAATTTGGAGCGGCCACCACTGTCCATTCACAAGCTCATTCTCACCAACAACTTTGCAGTCCTTGCGAGCAAAATACTGCATATCGAGTCGGTGACTAGTCCGTTTAGCTCCAGTACTGGAGTTCTTCTGTTCGGTATTGACGCCTCGGAGAAGATGAGGGTCAAACGCTCCCGCATACCAACGGAGAAACAAAGCACGCGCATCAGCCTGAATGTCCCAGGGATACGTGATATCGTCCGAGATGAGAGGGAGGCCCTGGTCTTCCAGTATCTTCGACTTCTTGATGAGCACACCCGATAAAAAATCAAAAAATTCCATCTGGTGGAGCCGCTTGCGCATCTCAGAAAAGATTGCGTCCAATTCTTCGGGACGAGATGCCGCCCTTTGAGCTTTCTTTACCAGTGTCAAAATCTGCTTGATGGCTTCTAGGTCCGAGCGAGAGAATGTCTCTCTCATATTTATATTTTCGTACCATGCCGCAGGATTGGCAGTCCTGCGCGTGTCAACGGTTCGGCTAGCAATAGCATTAGTATTGAAGCCGAAAATCTACGTTCCATTTAGGTTGAGCTTACATATTTGTGAAGCTGGTTTTATTCGGACCTCTTACTGGCTTTTTGGATGGCGCAAATGGCCGGGCCTGATTGCCATTGGCGCTGGTAAGCTTTCTCTTGACAGGTCTCAAACTAGCATACGAATTCGAAGTGGCAGCAGCTGGTGCTGAGACTGGCGGTTCTTCTACAGACTTCTCTTTAACCTTATCAGGCTGCGAATTTCCGTTCTCCTTGCCAAGCTCAGGGTTAATAGCAGGTGAGCCGGTTGTCTTTTCCACGGCTTGAGATTTATCTTGTGTCAGACTTTGCGACGTCAAGTCCTTCTTTTGACGCTTCTCCCAATCCTCTCGATTTTTAGCCTTGGCGGCTTCAATTTCCTTTTTAAGTTGCTCGTAGATATGCTCCACACTCGGAGCCTTTACCTGAGACATTGTGGCAAAATGTCACGCGAGCGAAGCGGGAAAGCAGAGGAAAGGCTGCTCGTGGCAAAGAACAAGCTATGCTAGCTGAAAGATCTATTAGAAATTCCAGGCATTTAGGAAATTTTAAAACCTTGACATACTTACTTGACAGTAACGACTTTTGGACACTGAATCCTTTTAGTGTTCACAGAGTGGCTCTTCGGTTAGTATGGATCGGGGAGAAGCAATGCTGATACCCGTGTCATTAGCGAGTGATCTCGGGGGAAAACAATACAAAGAGTCCGAGGCTCATCCAAGCCCATAATACACACAGTGCAAACTAAGAATAATCAAAGACTGTGTCACTTTTGATGGAAGTCCACTACCACAGGAGCGTGGATGAACAGTTGCTGAAGAAGGGAAGTCTCCTCCTCGAAGAAGATGAAGTAATGTTTTGGAAGGGTCCTGTTAATATTCACCGCCTTCGCTTAGCTCGCGTGGGGTCGGGAAGCAAGGACTTTAATGGTGGATATTCCCGTGCAATTAGTGCCGATCGTCCTCTCTTCAGGTTGAAAGACACACCAAGCAATAACATCAACGGTACAGTGCTGTAGTAGCGAGCTAAGCATTTGATGACAACTAGGTCGACACATTTACACAGCCATTGCCCTTAGGTCTACTTGAGATTCTCATTTCATATGTCATGGATGCTCCGCAGAGGCGTCACTGCCCATAAATTCACCTTGAGCGTTCCTGCAACTACTAAACCCTTTCTGCCGCCTCGTGCTCCATGGATTCGCACATCGTCAGAAGCGCAGAGTTGGGCTTGCCAGCGGCGGCATTTGATGACTGATGTAATTCCCGGACCTTTGATTCCACCGACTGTCTTTACAGGACTTGTCTTAGGTCTTTGGTTCTACAAGTGCTGTATGATGGTGTTGTTCCAGAATAAGATTATATATATGCCAAAGTGAGTCTACACCTCGCGTGAAACCGGAATTAATTCTAAGTGTAAACAGCATTCCTCCATTCAGTCGTCAAGAGACTTTGGAAGATTACAAGAGGGCCACCTCTCCCATTGAATGGACAGAAGAGAGGATCAATTCTTTGGATGGGACGGAGATCGCCCTTTGCATTGGGGAGCATCCTGGGTGCATTGCAAATTCCCAAGGGGCGAATATTCAAAGACATGTTGTGATAGTATATTTTCAGGGGTGAGACTTTCCGGGCCGGAAATAAGATGATTGAATTTGTCAAGCTGTTAACACATATTCATAGCAATGCTTCTTCTTTGCCTCCTAGGCTGCCTTTCCTATCAGACGTCATCAAACCTCTGAGCAATTCACAGCCCATGGATGCAAGTGCGACTCGATATACGATTGTAGCGGTTTCTTATCGTGGATTCTGGAAGTCGCGCGGAAGAGCTTCCCAGAAAGGTATAGAACTCGACGCTGCAGCAGCCTTGAAATGGGCACAACAGCGATACGCACCAGAGGGAGAAGATACGAGATTTGTCCTCTGGGGTCAAAGTATAGGCGCTGGCGTTGCCTCTACTGCTGCAGCACAAATCTTCAGGGGCCAGGGAGTTATTGCAAAGAATGCCCAGCAGCCACGCTTGACAAGCGTCATCCTGGAGACGCCATTCACCAGCTTGCGACAGATGCTCATAGCAATGTATCCTCAAAAGTGGCTTCCCTATCGCTATCTTGGGCCATTTCTATGGAATTGGTGGGACAGCGAAGCTGCACTGCAAAGCCTCGCCAAATCGGAAGGCGGGAAGAAACTAAAATTTCTCATCATCCAAGCAGCAAATGATGAAGTGGTACCGGCGGAGCATGGCATCGAGCTCGAGAGGCTGTGCAACCATCTGGGACTGCAGGTTAAGCGTGAGGTAGTGCCGGGGACTCTCCACACTGAGGCCATGTCTCGAAGTGAGGGGCGTCGCATCATCAGTAATTATCTGCTCGAGGAGGGAAAAGCGTGAAGATCTCAACGGTAGCTAGTAAATGGCCTACGTGCATAAGCTACACAATACCGGTCTTGCCAAAAATCATCACTGCATGCAACCAATCAGATCCGATGCAATGCAAGGCATCAACTACCTGACCTTACATACGATACCATTAAAGGTACTGTGTGCCGTCAGAGAATCTAACGTGGAAAAATCGTCACATGCTCTTATGTCACAAAGGGGATTGGGTATGTCGAGCAGCCAAACTGTACTGCATCTGAACGGCCGGGTTTCGGGAGTCTACCACCATATACTTGGCGACTGTAGTGGGGGGCGTTTGACGTGAGACATGCATAAGTGTACCGTAGGCAGCCAAGTGGAGAGGAAAGGCCGCTTAACATGCAGGCTGCAAGGTACAGGAGAAAGTATGGAGAAACTCGAGTTCTCCCCCACAGGGGTGAAGGTTGTACGGACGCAGTGTGTTAGCCAATAGGTGCGGCGACGGTATGCTTTCCAATTGGCACATCCACCATTTTCTACTATTCGGCATTTCATCTCGGTCATGCAGGATACCAAAAGAGACGCTCCAGATCAAAAATATCACCGTCACTGCAGTAGCGGTCAGGTTTGGGTCCTTTTTGGAAGGCTATGCGAGCACGCATGGTTAAGGGGTGAAATAACTACTATTTTACCATAGCAAGCTGCCTTGATCGATCTGCCGCTACCCGCAATCCTCATTGGCGAATGCAGCGGGAGCGATTATAATATGCCAACGCCCGAGGGCCCCAGCCAGAGGAGTTGAAAGTCGCATTCTTTGCCCACCGAAACCCCAGGCACCTGATACCGCGCTGAGTCACATGCGCAGGCGTACCACTTTACGCGTCCCCCCCACACACCCACCGCGTCTTCCGTTGCCTCCCTGTTGCCTCCCTGCCGGCTGCACTTGTTACTTTGTTTGCTTTTGGTGACTCCTCGCTGCCTGCACGTCCCTGAATCTACTACATACGCCACTGAACAGGGAAGACTGTTTTCCCTAGGTAGGTGTATTTGTAAAGCATGGGTACCCGACCGAAGAATTTCGAATAGTATAGATGCGTTGCAAAGCACTCGCTTTTGACTAAATCATATAACATTCTCCCACATCCTTCAACTTGTCCTTTGCAAATACTCGCTTCAGCATTTGCCTTTTCCACGTTCTTCTGTTCAAGCTTCAGGCATCGCTCGTGATTACCAAATAGAGTCCTGCATTTCTGATGTAATTGTCCCGTTCTTACCTCTGTCCCTGATCCGGGCCTTTCGGTCGGCCGGCGGGCCAGCCAGCCAGCCAGTCAACACCCCTCTCGTCCATCAGTGCATCAGTGCTAGATTCGATATTCCCAGGTCAACATGTTTGGCCGAAAGACAGGGGGAACCAGCGAGTCCGGTAGCTTTTCCAAGCATCCTTCGGGCAAAGTGTCGTTCAAAGCTCGAAGGTCTTTTCGAAGCCATGTCGGTGGGAGGCGTGCAGAGAAGCCACCCAAGAATCCACCATCTCATAGGTAGGCCGGAAACCACCTTCATTGCCCTAACCAGCAGGAAAGCTGAGATGTGTACGATACCTTAGCAGTGCTTCAGGAGATTCCATCGTAGCTCTCAATGTCGGTCCCGAGCGACGCCTCTTCGCCGCTCACGAGGAAATCCTGGTCTCCTCGCCATTCTTTGCTTCGTGGTGTCGAGGCCAGTCAGCCTCGCTGTTAAAGAACACGAATGCGATGGCAAAACAAATGGACTTGCCGGACGAAGATCCCGAAATCTTCTCTGCCGTCCTCGAATATCTCTACAAAGGCGACTACTATCCCCGCTTAGAATACAATGAGCGTAAACACACTTGGCAACTTGAAAATTCATCGGGCAATGTCCATGTGGAGGGCAATGAGGAAAATATAGTGGAGCCTGTGATATATCACCATGGATCAGAGGGTGTGGTGTCAGTGTTGAAAGAGACTGCTATTTACTGTGCTGCCGGTACGAGATTCTTTTTTATCCCCTATCAAATCTCTTCCCTGTCTTAGGACGGTTCTGGGCTAACGATTGGGTTGGTAACTTTTGTTTTCAGAGAGATTTGGCTTGGAAGGCCTAAAGCAACTTGCCTTGCGCAAGCAGGGCTTACAATACGGAGTCTCGTGCAGCACCATCCTCACTAGTGCTCGCTATGCCTACGCGCATACGCCTGACACGGACTCGAAACTTCGAGCACATTACATTGCCCTCATCATTCGCTCGCGCTCGACTTTCAAACGAAGCGGGACGATGCAAATGGAAATGGATATGGGCGGGAAGCTCTTCTTCGATCTCTTCGTGGCCATGTGTAATCACATGGACGATCTAGTTTCCATGAGGTAGTATGGACTGTGCTTTTTGGTTTTAATCACACTTTTTTTCTTTTCGACTTCGCGTGTCTATTCGTAGGGAAATTGAAGGCAAGAGTATTCCTCGTGATTAGGCATGCATGGGAGGGCAAAGAATGGGACAAAAAAATCTTGAGTATTATATAGCGCGCTCTTTTCTTTTTTCTTTTCTTTTTCTTTTTCCTGTGTTTCCACGTCTTGCTGTCACACAGGTCTTCCAGTTGCAGCACGTCAGGAAACTACTGTAGCAGTATATCCCAACTCCTATTATATTTCGGCGCTTTTTTTAGTCCAGCATTTTTCCTTGGAGAGACAAATTGACAAAATATTTTGAATGATAAGACGAGTATATATATTTGTTCTCAGCTAAGGTGCCATGTCGGTGTTAAAGCTAAAAGACAGGTGTATCTGACTATTCCCGATAGAAATGGCAATTCCGGGCTGAAGCCACTCTCCGCATTACAAGGAAAAGATACACCAGCTCAAGAGTTAAAGGGGTATATAACTAGAATTTGCGCGCTCAACTTCCCATGTCTTTCGGACAGTGTGTCAAGAGCAAGGCAGTCTCCTAACCTGCACGTGGAGTAAAATATGGACGACCGTAAGGAGCCAAAGCTCCTTGCTAGGGATCATCAAACTTGCCGGATGCTCACTTGCTTTCAAAGACGAGAACTGAATCAAATACCTCGCTGCTAGATATTGTCAAGTTGGGCAAAGGTTGAGCAATGACTTGCAGCATAGATATAGTGATACTAGCAAAGAATCTCTCTCGATATGAGAAATTCACTTTGTTTCTTTCTTCCTCATTCGGAGCGTAGATGCTCAGAGAAAAAGCATCTGATTTCGTATGCCGTGAAGCTCAGATGAGGCGAAGAACAAACCAGCTGAATCGGATGCTTGACGCATACTCCACAAGCTCCGCAAACCTCTGGCTAGCTCAGTTGCCGCTGGGCATCTTAGGAATACATTGCAGCTTGGTTCATCCTGGCAAACTGAAAATTTTGGCAGGACAAGAACGGTGTGACATGGGACGACGTATATATAGCTCGAAGGCGAAGGAGAGCAAAATTTACGGTGGAGTTATTCAGACACCGGTGCCCGGGAAGGCTGTTCCGCCTTTGCTCAACACGACTATGCCCCGCTCTCGAGCAATGTAGCCCTTCATGAGACCCTTTATACGAGTTTCAGCGCGAGAGTCGAATAATAACTGTGAAGTACGATGAGGGATGTGGCTCCTTACCTTGTAAATCATATTAGCGAGCATGCACTCAACTTCGTCTGTGTCAATGGTTTGTCCAATTTCACTGCCGATCCGTATCGCAGCCGCGAACTCGGCAACAGGAACACGAGTGCGTCGAATGGGTGCTCCACCGTCCTTTGGCGTCTCAAAGCCTCCTGCTATGAAGACTTTGCGGAGCAAATTTCGCAGTGCAATGTCACGGCCCCGCTCAAGAGTAAGATAAATTCGCCGCTTCACGAATTCTTCCTCGCCAGCAATGAGGGCCTTGTCGTAGCCGGCAAGATCGCCCTTCTTAATACATTGGCAGATTGGCTTGAAGAGCTGCTCAAGATGAGGATAGGCAGCCAATAACTTGGCACTGGGAAGACTTTGGGTAGTTAAAAGACGGCATGGGATTAGGTAAGTAAGAAGCAACCTTGGAGAGGCGTCAATGGTTATTTTCTCATTATCTTGAGTGGTCTGGCAGATGCACATACTCGCGATTCTTCCGGGCGTCCTTGTGGCAGAGCGCCAATGCGTAGGTCAAAGCTTCTTCGGCCTATAAAGTATTGGTGTCAAAATAAAATGGTATCGAATGCTTTACCAGAGGGTCTCACTTGAACATAGTCTTCTTCAAGAAATGAGATGACTCCCACATAATATTTAAAAGTGACAATATGTGACGCCGGGAACGATTCGAGTACTGGCATATCCGTGCGGTTTGCTTGTAAGGCCCTCAAGATATTTTTTGATAAGGGAACAGAATTCAACTGTAGGGAGCAGCCAGCTCGTTAATAACTTTTGAAGGCAATAGAGCTTGAAAATGACAATCTACCTTGAAATATGTCTTGAATAGCAGGTTTATAACATAGTAAAGGCCCCATTTCCGAGACTCCTCCAGAGGCGCTCTAGGGGTTCACTTAGCATAGAGTACAACAGGGGCATGCCCATTTGCTGATATGTGTATTCCTACGTACCGATCACTAATGCACAATGTGAAAATGCGGTTGATCACTCTCGCAGCGTCTTCAAGCTTGTCATTCTTTCCATAGTCGCTCACAATATCATCTTGGAACCCGGAGCTAAAAGTGACTGTTCCTCTTCTTCGTGCTTGGTCATCAGCTTTGATGGCAAAGGTACGAAGGTATTTTCCGGTGACATAGAGGCAAGGTAACGTCCAAGCCTCAAAGTCTGCACTTTGGTAGCCTTTTATGAGCAGATTTGCCAATTCTTTCCAAGCATCATAGACCGCTGACCATGTGCCAGCCCTAGCATCGGTCTCTGTGGCTATTACTTGACCGACAGCTTTCCAGTAAGCAGCATATATGTCCACCCATGCGTTGCCCTCGGCTTTTGATAACTTGTATCCAGTTTGCTGATATATGATGGCAGAGCGAGCATCAGATATTATTCTCGTTTCATTTGAGCTCGTATAAATATCGTACAGCCTATTTGGGTCTTCAGGGGGAGCGACAGGGCTCAGGGTTGACGACAGAAGCGGACCAGAGCCAATGCGCTGCGCTTGTTTGAAAGTCTCGAAAACACGCTGCATTGTTTATGTCGATGCTGCAGAATATTAATGACTTAAAAAAACACGCCCGTGTGACCTAAGACTTCAAGGAAGAATCAAGTCGAAGCACATTAAGCGCAATAATCTTCCTTTAACTTGTCGGTGTCAAAGAGAGCTCAAAGGATGGTCCGACTTCCACTATGTCGATCGAGCTCCAAAGAACGTAAACTGAAGAGACGCTTATGACTAAGCAGCCGATAGATGACGGATGTCAATAAGGCCGACTGCACTAGAGCCAACTCTAGTTAGCATATATTTGGCGAAAGGGCCGAACGAGGGCACACACTTGACGAAGCCCTCAAGCGAATTCTTGCACGGCCGAACCGTGAACGATCAATCGCCAGCGACAACCTCGACAACCAACAACGCCGCACTTCAAAGTGAGTTTCGCTCCGATCCGCAAATATAATTCTGATACTAACTGTCGCAGATGGGTAAGCATGAATTTTTTATTTTTCCGAGGCATTTCTGGGGGCAGTGGAGGTTGGGATAGAGCAATACCAGGGATCAATGTTGGGAGGAATTTCCACCGATTGCGACATGGAACGAACTGCTTTGCTATGGAAGAGACCGAGCGACAATGTGTTTAAAAGTTCTGGGACTCGAATATGCAACCGGTTCCGCGATATATTCGACAATTTTCTTCCACCGTTTCGAGACATCTCGGACGAGTACACGCTTTTTCGTTCACCACGATCACGATGCGAACGCTCGAAGATGGAAATCCCGCTTACTCTATTACCTGCCGCTGCCTTTACAATTGTCGAATGATATTAGAAATTACGGGATGAAGTGCTGATTTCGTCTTCAGGTCGTCTTCAAGAGTACCAGGTGATCGGGCGTCACCTGCCCACCGAGGCCAACCCCACCCCGAAGCTCTACCGGATGCGCATCTTCGCTCCTAACCACATTGTTGCGAAGTCGCGATTCTGGTACTTCCTTACCAAGCTTCGGAAGGTCAAGAAGGCGAACGGCGAGATCGTCAGCTTGAACCAGGTACGTCTTGCTGGTCCTGCGATTCTGCGAATTGAAACGTCAAATTGCCAAACGAGACCAGTGTTATTAACTCAAGTCGCAAATTTAGATCGCCGAGAAGCGTCCCCAGCAGGTCAAGAACTTCGGTATCTGGATCCGCTACGACTCCCGCTCTGGTACCCACAACATGTACAAGGAGTACCGTGAGATGTCCCGTGTGGACGCCGTCGAGGCCATGTACCAGGATATGGCCGCCCGTCACCGGGCTCGTTTCCGGTCGATCGCCGTACGTCCGCCCACCGGAGATATTCCCCTGTCCCAAATGCTAATGCTCTCCCTAGATCCTCAAGGTTGTCGAGCTCGAGACTGCCGACGATGTCAAGCGCCCCTACATCAAGCAGCTCCTCACCAAGGACCTCAAGTTCCCCTTGCCCCACCGTGTTCCCAAGGGCGTTGGCAAGAAGCTCTACGTTGCCAAGCGGCCATCAACTTTCTACTAGAGGATTTGTCGGCTCGATTGGGGGGTTGGATGAATGGAGTGCTGTGTAGTTCAAATACCTAGCTACTTCGCGGCGCAATCCATAGCAAGTTTCAAAATAGTACTTTTTTTGAACGCTGGGTAACATTTGATTCCTGGGATCATGCATCGAACTCGTGACTCCCGAGTAGTTGTGAAACGTATATTTGACTATGTTTTCTCTACTGCAATAATACATGTATTCCTCGCAATGAGTTCGGCGGGCAGTCTTGCGAAATATTCATTATGTATCGTGTAATAATATGCCCTCTTAAGAATTGTCCCAAGTCTTCCCCAGATTTGAGGCTGAATTTTTATCCTAAAAGGGTTAGCGCGGAATCTGCCGATGTTCCCATCTAGAGCTCGTCGACTCGTGGCCTTTAACTCCTTTAACAGGGACTCAAGCGCGACTGTACATCTGTCAATCTATCTCTTTGCCCCGCCTGTCAACACATTGACTCAGTGACGGTGCCGACTCAAAGACTTTTTCTCTAGCCATGGTGAGTCGATATTCTGCTACCTGTTACCCTTCATTGCCTCGTCGGCGAGCTGCGACGCCCTGTAATTACCGGTGCCGATACCTGTCCGCAACTACAGCTTCCCCTTGGGAGTTTGTTGCAATGGAAGACATTCTGATTTCTGGATGGATGATGTGCTTTTAAGCTGAAAACCTCCATTGGCTCATCGCTGTCTCCAGAGGATTCTGTCTGCTCTTGTAGCGGCAAGGCAAAAGACCAACATGAGCAGTGACTGATAATGAATTCATAGTCTTCCCCACGACCCAGCTCTCCCGTCAACGCGCCCGTGGGCTCATCCACTGCTCGTCCAGCTTCGCCTACCCCTCCTGGTGGTCCCAAGACTGCTATTCGCAGAAAAGCCGCCGCAGACAGAGCTGATAAAGTTGCCAATGCGCGGCCAAGCAGCACTCGTGCCGCTGGTGCTGGTGGTAGCAGCAGCACAATGTTGAGTTAGTTGCCCAGGTTGTTGTGATATTGAGAACGGAGCCTCAGTTGAAACGCCACTTTGGCGTGTCGAGCCCAGACGGATCGAAATACAATGGAAACTTGAGGCTAATTGTTTGATTCTTAGAGCTGTACACGGATGAGTCTCCTGGCCTGAAGGTTGACCCCTTTGTCGTTCTCATGCTGTCTGTTGGTTTCATCGTTAGCGTTATTGCTCTGCATGGTACGTCTTGGCACCCTGTCATTCATGTATTCTATACCCAATATGCTGACTTGATTATAGTGATTGCCAAGGTTTCTCGTAAATTCTCGTCATAAAGTGCATCACTCGGTTCGAGACAGGATGAAGGGGCGGTTGATTATATCCAGATGTCAAAGACAAGCTTTTTGCGGACGAACTGCCGATTGCATTATTTGATATATTGTTTTGACGGTTGCATTGAGGCTCTGTACAATAAATGCTTGTGTATGGCGCTAGAGGGCCGTTTCTTTGGCTCATAAAATGTTTTAATTTCTTCATTTTTTTGGCATGAGTCCATTCCATATCTTGAAGAATCAATCCGGTATTCAGGGCTACCAATTCAATCGTTGGATATGCAGTATCAGTTTATGTAGTGACTTGATATGTGAACTTGTATATGGAGCTCTGGATGCTACTATAGCTTGTACAGAAGACCAGTATTAACGAGCTATGCGCCCAGTAAATCAGTATGGTATAACGGTTCGATCAGTTTGAACCATCATGTATCCTATGCAGCTTAATGCTTTAGATGTTTGAAACAGGATGATAAAACAAATTGATCAAATCCGGTATTCTGAGTTCTACGTTCTAATCACAAACTTATAATTTATACATTTTGATAATTCAATTCCTGGGTTAAATATTTCTTTACTACACGAACTCATTTATTCAGATGAAAGAATATTTAATATTTCCAACAGTCACAAAACATCTTTACTCTCCAGATAGTATCCTATTAATGAAATAAAGGACTAATATTGTACGATCCGGTTATTGATTTTTTATTTTAATTGGAAGACTCTACGCAAGCACATTAACCCCAGAGCAAAATGTTTATACTCCCTGTACTCTGTATATCGATTGAGATAGCTACCTTATCTCCGTGGTACAGAACCCTCTAGAAAAAACAGTTCCACACTTTCGACTAAAGGACTAGACATACACCATACTGTGACTTACTACAGAGTGAGTCACAATTCCTCCTGTCACTCGGCACTTCATTATTGCGGTCGAGAAGTGGTTGGGGAACCAGGCCGCGGCAAGCTCATCATGTTCGTCCAGGATGGCGTGGCGTCGGCAGAGGGAGAGAGTAGCCACGCTAAACTTGATTCGGGGAGTGATAGACCGCAAGAAAGAGTGGAGAGGAGGGGGGGCTCGGGGTCGAGAGGTCGAGGGGTTCAAACGAGGGTCCCAGCTGCTCTTTGGCGGCATCATCAACAACAACGGATAAGAAGACCGGCTAAGTTACCAGTGACTTGTAACTCTCGTAAGGAGAGGTAAGCCAAATTACTGGCCGTATAGTTGGTCTTTGGCATGACAATATGTAGAACCCACCCTTGTGGTTCTGTTCCCGCTTCTACCTGCCGCAGTTATCTTCGCCCGAAGAGGTGCGAAGGGTGTTTGGCACCAAGCATCTCGCCCCTCGCACGCTATACCCCACAATGGCAAAGCTACAAGGTAAGTTAACGGGACAAATGTTGCGAATGGGCTTGTGTAATTTGCTGTGAACGGACTTATGACTTATCTACGTCAGGATTAATTCATGAGTAGGAAAAGGATAAATAGTCTCGTAGTGTCGTAATCTCCCAGTCTCCCAATTCGCACTTCTCTTTCTCTCTCTCTCTCTCTCCCTTAGCAGAATTCACTCTTCATAGACGGTAGTTTGAAGACCCCTGTGCGAGTGTATGTATGACGCTTAGCTCTCCACTCGACCCATGAGCTTGATATATTGACTGAAGGGTCCATTTCAGAGCAGACAATTACACAGAAGCTTCGAATCCCATAACCAAATCGGCAGGTATAGAACGGAATACAATGGCATCCCCTACGATCAAGCTGAACAGCGGCTACGAGATGCCCCTCGTGGGCTTCGGTCTGTGGAAAGTCACCAACGAGACGTGCGCAGACCAGGTCTACAATGCGATCAAGACGGGCTACCGTCTCTTTGACGGTGCTTGCGGTACGTAATTCTCCCATCCTCACATCCTCACATCCTCACATTCTCCCATCCTCATCCTCCTGCTCCAAATCTCCCTCTTTTTTTCTATTTCTAATGTGACAATCCAAAATCCACAGACTACGGCAACGAGAAAGAAGCCGGCCAGGGCGTCGCACGCGCGATCAAAGAAGGAATCGTGAAGCGCTCGGAGCTCTTCATCGTCAGCAAGCTCTGGAACAGCTTCCACGACGCAGAGCACGTCGAGCCGATCACGCGCAAGCAGCTCGCCGACTGGGGTCTCGAGTACTTTGACCTGTTCATCATGCACTTCCCCATCAGCCTGAAATACGTCGACCCTAAGGTGCGCTACCCGCCGGGCTTCACGTACGACGGCAAGACCGTGGTGCCGGGCAAGGCGAGCATCCAGGAGACGTGGCAAGCCTTGGAAAAGGTCGTGGACGCGGGCCTCGCGCGCAGCATCGGGATCAGCAACTTCCGCGCCGTGCTCATCATCGACCTGCTCCGCTACGCGCGGATCCGGCCGGCGACTCTGCAGATCGAGCACCACCCGTACCTGACGCAGCCGCAGCTGATCAAGTATGCGCAGGGCGAGGGGATCGCGGTGACGGCGTACTCGTCGTTTGGCCCGCCGTCGTTTGTGGACGCGGGCATGGACAGCGCCAAGGGTGTGCCGTCGCTGTTTGAGCACGATGCGGTGGTCGAGGTCGCGCACAGGCACAACAAGAACCCGTCCCAGGTCCTGCTCCGCTGGGCCACGCAGCGCGGGGTTGCGGTCATCCCGAAGAGTAATAACCAGAACCGCCTCGCGCAGAACTTGCACGTCAATGATTTCGATTTGTCCCAGGAGGACCTGGACAAGATTAGTAGCTTGAATAAGGATTTGCGATTCAATGACCCGCCTTCGGTATGTGATATCCATTCTTCCCCCCTCCCCTTTCTTTTCTTCAGTGTTGTTTATGTTGGATATGTGGTCTTTCCCCGTGTGTATGGGTGTCTGTGTCTATGTATACTGACTATAGTTCTCTCAGTACGGCGTCAATATCCCCATCTTTGCGTAAATGGCGATCTAGTACCTGTATGTCAAAATGGGCAATGTGGAGGGCTTGGTCGGCTGCTCTTGATCTGTAATAAGCTACTATTTACGAGATACGATTTGCCAGCGTAATTAAAATGCGATAGCACATTTTATACCTTCTGAGAATTTTGGTGGTTCGAACTGCGGTTTCTTTTTTGGCTAGCCCTGCTCAATGCGAATCGCGGAAAGAATGCTTTCATTGCTTTAATATCTTGGATCATCTCTCGTTTATCGTAGGACAAATGAAAAGAAAAGAAGAAAGAACAAGAACTCAAGAGATGCCGTAAAGAGATAACACAACCGTATATATGCCCGTAGAAGCAATGCAATACGTGAAATAAACGCCAGACCTCTACCATCCATTCGAAGCCAGGGCATAAGAAGGGCGTCGATGATATCTCACCTGTCCCTCGGTCATATAAATCATTTAATCAGTCCTGACAAATGCTGTAAAGCCAGACGAGAATATGGTCAGCATGTAATTCTAACAACTCAACACCTAAAGCAAGCAAGAAGACGAAAAAAAAGTCCATGAGAAAAAGAAAAGGAAACAAACGAAGGGATTATGGGTCATGTCAATAGGGTAAAAAACGTACTGGCATCAATCTGCCTGATCCGCGGCAACGCGAGGCGGACTTTGTTCCGATACAAGACCGGATTCGTAGTCTGTAAGGGGTTTCCCTCAAAGTAGACAGTCTCGAGCTCTTCTTTATCGCCAAGCTGTTTTTCTACTTCGACAAAGGAAGATAGTTGATTATAACTTGCCCAGAGTTCTTCAAGATTTTTGAGGGGCTTTAGCTCGTCGGATAAACTCGTGATTTGATTGCTTGATATGTCGAGAACGCGAAGAGACGGACATGCAGACAAGCCGTCAAGAGAAGTGACAAGGTTATTAGAGATGTATAATTCCTCGAGCTGAGGAAGAGCCGAAAGACCGCTCAGACTAGTCAGGCGGTTGGCTTGGATAGAGAGAATTCTGAGATTAGAGAGCGATGAGAGGTTCTAGGTTGCGTTGCGGGCGAACATGTTAGCCATGGCAAAACAAGACACTTTGGGATGTTGATAAATAAGAGGGCGAAATGGTACCTTGAGCTCAGTAATTTTATTCTTGCCCAGCCAAAGTTCTTCAAGACTGGTCAGGCTGTCGAGGTTCTCGATCTCCTATACAACGAGTAAGCTCCGATCAACAATTATGCTCCAAATGTTCTTATGGACGCTCACTCTGATACGGTTTGCGCCGAGCTCGAGGTTTCTTAGTTTGGTCAAACCCTCGAGACCTTCAATTTTTGAAATCTTGTTTTGCACAAAGTACAAGTCCTTCAGCTCTTTCAAGTGATTTACCCGCTTGATGTGCTTGATTTTGTTAAAGCTTAAGTCCAAACTTGTTAGCTTTTTGAGGCCATCGAGTCCTTTGATATGAGAAATGAGATTGTCATATAAATCCAGGTCTTCTAAAGTGTCGGACAGCGATTCTGGAAGTTCAATCGCCGATATTTGGTTTTGTCTAAGGCATAGTCTCTACATCGGAAAAATATCAGCATAGTGCTTTCTTCAGCAGCCCACGTTCGATTAGAATTAATAGAAGCTGGAAATTATACAGACATACCAGAACGCTTTTAAATCGTTCAAGGCGAAGTGCCGGAATGGAAGATATGCGGCAATGGACAAGGTCAATCTCCTGCGATATAGCAAAAAACTGTGGTTAGCAGCCATCCAAGCCGCAAATGAAATTAAACATTGGTTGATGTGATGGACGAGGGCATCTCACATCGGTATCAGGCTCGTAGTCATCCAAAAGATCTGCTCGTCTTCCCGTCAGCAAAATTCTAGGAATGCCAAAAAAATTCTCAACTCCTTTTGTGTTCATATCTTTTTCCACCTCAGTCAAAGCAGTCGAGGCCTGGGATGATGTCGAATTTGGTGGGCGGCTAGTCGCCAGTTTGAACGTCCTCGAACGGAAGACACACCGTTCTTCCCCCTTCACTTCCCTCTAGTCGCCATGCTAAAACGATATCCAAACCTCCCTTTGCGAGCCATATACCAGCCACTTATATAATGCTTGTCTCTCTTGTAGCAATTCCAACCAATGTCGGGACCATGACCCCCCAAAACAGAAAACTCCGCTCACCTTCATCAGCGTCAATTTGCTCTACAGGTGGAGCATCCTCATCGGAGTATTCCGGGTCTGAAAGCGCTTCAGGGTTCGTAATCACAGCGCGGCGTGGGGCGACCCGAAGTTTTCCATCCCACCCTTTACTGTCGCGTGGTTGTTGGTGTTCTTGGTGTTCTGGGTCTTGAGGGGCTGAGATTTGTGTCTGGACCTGGGGAGGCTGCGATGTACGCTCTTGAGACTGGTCCGGGGATGTCATGATGACGAAGAAATTAAAAACGCTGGAAAGTGGTTCGTTGTAGGAAGATGATGCACTGTTCGGCGGCGACAGACCAGTTACCTCCGACTAAACATCAGATGTCGAGCTCGGTGAGCGAGGGGGTCTGCAGTGCGAGAAATACACGCAGTATCGAACGGCTGCGAAGTTTATGACAGCTTTGTGAATGTATCTCTCAGCTTTACATTTCCGGCTTCTATTTTCTGAAGAAGAAGTAGTCTGTACTCACGCAGAAGTAGTGGTGTTGCTGAGGAATTATTTGTTGGTAGCTTAAGCTCGCTGAGTTCCGGTGCCGCCCTTCGGCGTGGGGTGGACTTAAATGATTATCCGGGCCGCCAACCAAATAAAGCTAGCTTTGATCTTGGACTACAGTGCACAATGGATACATATTTTGGATACAATAATGCGTTTCTTTCGACAACAGCATGAGCTCATCAGATCTGGGGGAAAAGAACCACTCTATTCCTTTAAAGTCCTAGAATATTGGTCCGTTTTGGTATGCAAATCAAGCTTGTACATGATTGCAGACTGGCAACACAGTTAGTCTCATGTCACTATCCTCCTGGCTGACTGTCCCATTGTTCCAAGCACACTCATGTTTTCACGGATTTTATGGCGATGATATTACTTCAAACTTCAGAAGCGAATCATTGATGGCAGTGATCAGTCTTGATTTGTAACATGGGAAAGACAAGGCTTCATTTAGGCTAAGCACACTCAAGTATGGAAGCCTGACGTATATTGAAACCCGTATTTCATTCATTTTCATAACAAAAGGGAGTCTCGATATTGCGAATATATTTATACTAGTGATGGTCTTGATAGGAGGTAATTGTTCGGGATGAGAAACGTTTGTGATGTGTGATTGCCAGCCTGCCAGCTCACCAGCTCGCATGGGCGAGATTAAAAGGAAAACACTTGTGGATGCGAAAGATGGTTGAAGAAATCAGCCGGCTGAGAATGGCAAGATATTATTATGCCGGTATGATGTCAAAGCCTGGAAAGTAGTAAAGTGAACAATGTGATAGCAGGGGGTTATAAGTTGTACATGGAAATTTTTGACAAGAGCACATGGATTCAAGGAAAAACTGGGGAATATGAGCCCGCTCAGAGGGTGTATTGAAGAGCGAAGGGAAACAATAAGAGAAAAAGAAAAAAGTGAAATGATGGGGGCTGCAAGTATGCTAACGACAATTGGGATGCAAAAACGATAGCGACGAAGGGAGTATCAAAAATGGATGCAAAGACGCGAGAAAAAAGCACAAATTCCAAAGCAAATGTTCATTTTTCACCTTCCTTTTTTGGATATTCCTCATTTTGCGGACCTCAAATTCCTAGGCATATTTGTTCCCTAGGCATATTTACAACCTTGTGTTCCGCCCTTCATCGGGCATGGCTGACAATTGTAGGAAACATGAGGTGAGGAATGCATTGGCAAGAGAGAGTGAGAGGATTCCTTGCAAGATCCAAGCCATCGAAAGGAATCGTCATTTCAGATTAGGTTGTAATGTTGATCGCAATAGTAGTAAACAATGCAGTCTAGTCCAGGCCCGTGTCGAATGATTGGTAAACTCCGCTTTGCTAGTGGTATCATCTGCATGAAAAGACAATATGCGAGCTCAAAGACCCACGTCAAGCACTAGACTGACGTCTCTGACTTGGGGCCCTGCTAGGTCTTCCAAGACCGGAATAAGGTCGAGTAGTTCATTGTCGTGGGCGTCCGAAAACCAGCTGCTGATAGGTACCGCATGCTGAGGGTGAAAGATGTATGAAGTTGGAGAATTATCGATAATTATTGTTTCACGGAGGTCTCGGCCAACTTGGGAAAGGTCCTATTTCCCCATCAATGAGAATGAAACCTAAAGAGACGCAAGTGGGAGTGGGAACAAACCTTGACGTAGTTTCCTTGATGATTGTAACAGCTCTCACGGAAAAGGCGATGATGCACGACGTGATGAATATCCAGTTGATCGAGGAGAGGATCACCGTACTAAACAAGGATTCGGCGTCAGAACACGGTTGGCTGCAGTGGCATTAAAGCTTCCAAATACTATACCTTGGAGACAGAAGCTGTGAAGACAACGACTTCATAAAGTTCCCCAACGCGCTTCATAAATTGATCGACTCCCGGTCTCTTGATTACGTAGACATTATGATATTGACCCTCAATCTCGACTGGAATGGTAAAATCGGCTTGGTGGAGAATCTACAATACCCCAAAAATTAGCCAGTTTGCCAACGGGACGGCGCTTGCAACTTTCTTACCTTGAAACTGCTGTGCACCAAAGTTTCGTCGAGGTCCAGCACGAGACATTTCCGGCCTTTGTGCTCCGGCAAAATCGGAGGCAGAAGCCATTTCTGCTTGTCTTGAAGTCGGTCACCAGACTGCGCGTCCGCAATAAACGGTACAGGCAAGCCTGAGCGGTCTGCCAACGGAGGTGGTGGCGGGAGGTCAACTGTGGGAGGTGGCGGAAGAGGGGCTTGAACAGACTGTTTCCCAGGAAGATCATCGGTGGGAGGAGCATGAGGAGGGATATGGGGTGCTTCTGCTGCCGCTACTGGTGGCGCATCTGTCATTTCAATATCGCTGTCTCTTCGAGCTTGCTTGGGCGTTCGGTCCGAGATGGCCATGTCATGTCTTTCTTCCTCTGACGCTTCAGCAATGGGTTCTTCTACAGCAACTTCGTCATTTGACGATGACGCTTCCGGAGGTAACACCACGCCCACTCTTGATTCATGATGAGCATTCTGCTCTTGTGACGGCGTGGGATGCTGTTCTGGCGTGCGCTCCTCGACAATGACCTCTTTATTCAAAAGTACCGGCGCCTCGGCTTCGAGATTGGACTTTGACTTTTCAGTTGGAACATCTCCGGTCAGGGGCTTCATAGACTCGTGGCTTTCGGCTTCCGGGAAGGTGGAGTCTGTCGAGGCTGGGGGAGCAAGTTTCTCCTCGATTGGATCACCCGACTCTGCCATGCTTGACTCGGCTGCACTTGGATCCTGCTTATTCACAGGGGTAGGCTGTCTGCTTCGAGTTGGCCGCAGCTTTGTGACGCGTTTTGAGGGAATGGCTGATTCACTCGTGTCGACGGTATTCCCATGTTCCGGAACACTGCAGCAATTCAGAAGCATCAATAAACGAGCGACGCCAGACTTTTTGGGAGGTTCATTCGTCTTTTCGGCTGCTGCGTCCAGTGAAGCTGTTTGCGCAGCCTTCTCACCGCTTGACCTATGTCCAAGTCGCGACCTTTGACTGCTGGCTTTGCTTCCATCACGCCGCCTCGGAAGGCTAAGCCTGGATCCTTTTCCTATGCTTTCAGCCGTACCGCTTGCTGTTGCTCCTGTGAGAGCGGTATTTGTCGGGGAGGGCTGTTGATGGCCCGACTGTGGAGCCGAAGGGACTCGAAGGGATGCTTGGTCCTGCTGAGGAGCAGCTGCTACGGGCTTGTCTGACGAGCTCCCAGTCTCGCCGCGAGCAGGCGTGGATTGCGCGGATGGGGTCCGGTGGGGAGGGTTTGGAGGATTGGGAGAAACTTGTTCATTGCCCGAACGAGGAACAGAAGATTCAGCTGTAAGACTCGTTAGATTTGCCAAAAGTCATTGCAGCAATACGACGAGCAATGTGAATGCATGGGTGATGAGATTCTCTGCAATAAAGTCTCACCTGCTGCACGATCGGAGAGAGGATTCAATGCTTGTGGACCTGACGGCGCGGAGCCATTGTCCAGCTTCTCTGAGCGGGCATGATCATCTCCGGTGGGTGCTAGATTATTGTCGCTCATGTGGGGCAAGCAAAAGCCTCAGTTGGGCTTCTGCACGCTCGCGATATTGTTCGCCAGACACTGCTGATCGGGGGTTTTCTGCCTGGCGTTGCCTCTTCCAACGGTGATGAGGCCTGAGGGAAGGTTGCGCTCTGTGCTGAGTAACAGTGGCCTCCCTGAGCGAGCTCGGGGGCGGGAAGGTGGATCGGGGCAGGTAAACGGTGGACAGCACGAAGGTGAAGCACAAAAGGCAGACTCAAAAGAGAAAGCCTTTTTTAAGCTTCTGTTTCCAGTGCTACTACCCGCGGGAGCCAAAGGGGGAGGAGGTTGAAGAGCGGGTTTGATCGCCGTCGAGTCGTTCAAGTTGGGTGTAGAGGTAACTAGGCTGGCTGGCTGGCTGGGTGTCCGGGTAGGAAGAGCTGGGTTGCGACCGAGGGAGCAAGCGAGATTTGGTTTGGGCCAGAGCGACTTGCGAGCAAAGTCAGTACTCCGATAGTCATCACTTGGTAGAGTAGAGCGTCTACTCGTTGCACACAACCCACCGCACTTGTAGCTAGCTCAGGTAAGTTGCTGGCTCGTCGAGAAATCATCACTTCGCTTTAAACTGGGCCTGACTTGACCTTGATTCGACTAACACTTCTACTACTACTACTACGGAGGTGTATATCAGCGGTGAATGAAAAGAGGCCTCAGCTACAAGGACCAGTAGCAGCAATGTGAACAACTCCTCTTTACCGCTAAACCTGCTCTGGCGCTCGCCACGTCCGTCCGTCCACGCGAATCGTCCAGGATGCTTGGACCAGTGATATTCTTCGTACGCCAATCTTCCGTCCAGAAAGGCGGAGACTAGGACGCGAAACGGCGTCTCTACATACAGGAAATAGGGTATTGTGTAAGGTAGGTACATGACAGTGACAGAGGGGATATAGTCCTCCTTTCCCTACGATTGCTTTTAGTTCAACAGAGCCTATTCTCACAAAATAGAAAGTCGTGGATAAGTTGAATGGTGGCAATCGACCCGGTAAAAGATGCGGTGTCCTTCCGTGTCATGGGTGAATGCATGAGAGAATCAAACTCTCATTCCTTCCTTTCAACCGGTCTTGGCAGATGATAGGGCTACAGTGATGAAAAGAATGACAATTTTTGAATAAACGGCGCCGAACATGCCATTTTAGATGCCGGGGAGAGCGTATCCAGCAAATCTGACATACGTAACTTATAGGTAAACCCGGGTTTTACAATTAACTGGCAAGCGAGGCAAAATGTCGTGAGTTCACGAGAATGCCCTTTGAGTTCCGAGACGGTTCAATCCTAGCTTGCCTTCCCTTTATTTCTTCTCTTAGAAATGTATGTTGATCTATGAACTCTGAAAGTTGAACGTGTCTATCGGAAATAAGGGGTAATTATTGCTGAGAGGTTTTCACCGGATATCGGAGACGGTAATCCGAACATTGACTGCGCGATACAAGCGCTGGGATGTTCGGAACCATTTCCATCATTATTATTTTCATGGGCCAGCCGGCATAATTCATTTCACAGCCAGGGAATTCACAGCCAGGGAAGGTATTGCGTATAGCACCCTCGGCGGGTGGCTACAGAGAATCAGCCCCCATTACCATAGTATTGCCCGTATGGCCCAAAGACTGGGCTCATTTGGAGAACGACCCAATTAGAAGTCAGAAATCAAGCCAGGCCCTGTCGTATACCGTAAGCGGGGAGCTCATGCCGGCGCGTAAATTCTTGGTACCATCAGGGACGGGGGAGCATTTGCAGAGGATAGGCCAGAAAGGGAGAGGGAAATTAGGGATGCCCAAAGCATGATTAGAAGCAGCAGGGGGGACCAAAGAGAGGTCGGAACAGACAAGGATTAGAAAAGCAGTTCACCAAGAACCCACATCCTACCCTGGGGAAGTCGCTGAGAGCAGGATGATGGTGATGAAATATGCTGCTGCTGCGGCAAAATGCAAATGAGGACAAAGCAAATGGAACCGACCATTGGTTGATCAACTCTTGACTGACTTCATATTATTTGATCGCCTTGCCGTCTCCCCATTGGGGCTTAGTTGAGTTTTGGCACCCCAGAAGGGTCTGTGCCAAGATGGCCCAAAGACACCACCACGTTCAGGTACGGAGATTACGCCGGCGATGAAGTCTGCTACAAGATTTAATGGATCTCAATAAATCCCAGTGTTACTGCAGGCTGTCTGGCAGAGATTTCTGTGTTTCAGTGGAAGACAATTTATGTTATCTTTGCGTTTGGTACGGCGAATATGGTATATTATTATTTAATTTGAATATGCCTAAATTCTTGTTTATTACTTCAATTCTGAAGACATTAACGAAATCCTCTCGATAACAACCAACGATGAGAGCATTCTTCGAATTAAAAAAAACATATTTCTATAGTGCTTGCGTATCATCCATTAAGTCATGTTTGAGCCATTTGAAGGATTTTCCTTTGCTACATCTTGAATCTTTATGCTACAGATCCAAAAGGTTGATGCTCAGAACAAGGCTCGGCACGTGATGGCTTTCGCTTAGCTGACGGACCGAGGGTGGATTGAAGCAGAGCGCGGACCTCGGGCGGAACGCGGGGGTAGCGAATCTGGGGTTGCCGGGCAAGAAGCCGCCTGGAGGCCCTTTTGGTGTCGTGCCCTTTACCACCACTATAGGAGACATGTGAAATCCCCAAGCCAATTTTCAAACGAGACATCTACCAAACGCAACATTACATTGTCCTATTCATACTGTGCTGCGCTTTTGTTGGGAGAAAGGTGAGGGTCCTGAAAAACCCACAGTGCACACCATGAGCTAATAGTTAAGGCGCAGGTCACACTATAGCTGACAATGTGATGCGACTTACCAATTTCCCTCGTCTTTGACAGCTTATCAAGGACGGATAACTGCTGCTAAAATGGCTGTGCAGTCAACGCTCCGAGCATCGAATGACCCTCTTGTCACATTATATAACCATTATCTCGCAAAATTTCGATCCAGGCTCCGACGTACAACGAGAACAACTCGGCTACTCGCGACTATCAGCCTCATATTATCCATCATCTCCAGTAGCTATGGATTCAGCCGGTGGTGGAGGAATCGGCGCGAGGAGAAGGAGAGAGGCAAGCGATTGCATCGACGAAATTCGGGGCTAAGAGGCAAAGATGGATCTCGAACGATATACGTTCCGTACAAATCGTCCACGGCAAAGGTGATAATTCATCCCACCAAACCAACAACATTCGATGCGCACCGACGGCTCTTCCTGAATCCACCTCGAGCAGCGGGGCTTGGAAACAATGAGTTGACACCTCAAGTTCCTCCCCCGCAAACAAAACCGGGGCTGAACTTGGCCTTCTTACATCAATTTCTCAGCTTGCTCAGCATTATGATGCCTAGATGGAACAGCAAAGAGACGGGACTTTTGGTCAGCCACGGTGGCTTTTTAATGCTGCGAACGTACCTATCTCTAGTGGTGGCAAGATTAGACGGAGAAATTGTGCGAGACCTGGTAGCAGGAAATGGCAAAGCATTTCTGTGGGGCATTGCAAAATGGCTCGGAATTGGAACCGCAAGCTCCTATACCAATGCCATGATCAAGTTCCTACAATCCAAGGTGTCTATTGCCTTTCGGACCCGACTCACGCGCTACATTCATGATCTCTATCTGAGCAGCAACCTCACCTATTACAAGCTTGCAAATCTGGACGGCGGCATAGGCCAAGGGGCCGACCAATATATTACACAAGATCTTACACTTTTTTGTGCATCCGCGGCATCGTTATACTCGTCTCTAGGAAAACCTTTTGTCGATCTCTGCGTCTTCAACTACCAGCTCTTCCGCTCCTTGGGCCCTCTGGCTTTGACCGGTCTTCTCAGCAATTATTTCCTGACAGCGACAATTCTCCGACGCTTATCACCTCCATTTGGAAAACTAAAAGCCGTCGAGGCTCGCAGAGAAGGCGAGTTTCGAGCCTTACACGCTCGTTTAATTGCAAACGCCGAAGAAGTTGCCTTTTACGGCGGTTCTAGCATGGAAAAGCTGTTCCTCGACAAGGGTTTCAAAGAGCTTAAAGGCTGGATGGAAGGCATCTACAGTCTCAAGATACGATACAACATGCTTGAAGACTTTGTACTAAAGTACTCCTGGTCTGCATTTGGCTATCTAATCACTTCGCTGCCCGTATTCCTCCCCGCTTGGGGTGGCTTGGGCGGCGTGCTCGAACTTGCTGACAGCGCTGAACGGGGTCGCCGCGAGCGAGGCCGAATGAAGGAATTCATCACGAACAAGCGGCTCATGCTGTCCCTGGCAGATGCTGGGGGTCGAATGATGTACTCCATCAAAGATCTCTCTGAGCTGGCTGGCTACACGTCTCGCATTTACACACTCATATCAACTCTGCATCGCGTCCACGCTAATGCCTATGCACCGCCTCGAGGCACTCACCCCGACATATTTTCTCTCTCCGATGTTCAAGGCACGATCCAAAAGGGCTTTGATGGAGTACGTCTGGAACACGTCCCCGTGGTTGCGCCTTCTCTTTTCCCGCACGGTGGTGACGAGCTGCTTGACATGCTCTCCTTCATTGTCCGCCCCGGAGAGCATCTCCTCATCTCGGGTCCCAACGGTGTCGGAAAATCCGCAGTGGCTCGTATAGTCGCCGGACTATGGCCAGTGTATCGTGGCCTGGTCAGTCGTCCACGCAGTATTGGCATGGACGGGATCATGTTCCTGCCTCAGCGCCCCTATCTTAGCATCGGCACCCTCAGAGATCAAGTCATTTATCCCCATTCCGAAATCGACATGCGTGATACCGGCCGCGGCGATCGTGACCTCCAGCGTGTCCTCGAGGAGGTTCGTTTGGGATATCTCGCTGACCGAGAGGGCGGATGGGACTGCCGCAAGGAATGGAAGGATGTCCTCAGTGGCGGAGAGAAGCAGCGCATGGCCATGGCCAGACTGATGTACCACGTAAGTTACCACACAAGCCTTTTCTTCTCCAAGTTGCTATATTGTCATTCCATTCTTTTCCACTATCTTTTTCTTCCGCCCTCCCCCCAAACTTCTATCCGGTTGGACTTTTCGCTGACAGGTAACCTGCTTGTCTCCCGCACAGGAGCCCCGCTACGCCTTCCTCGACGAAGGCACCTCGGCCGTATCATCCGACGTCGAAGGCCTACTCTACGAAACAGCCAAAGCAAAAGGAATAAGTAAGTCATTTTCTTTTCCTTTTATTATTTTATTTTTTTATTTTCCAACTCTCTTTGCATCTTTATTTCAGTCCATACCCTAGCACACCGTGTCATATCATTCCGTACATTCCCACAAATAAAACTAATACAATCATACTTACAGCCCTCATCACAATATCCACCCGCGCCTCGCTCAAGAAATACCACACCTTCAACCTCACCATGGGCCTGGGCCCCGACGGAATGAGCTGGGACCTTGATCGCATCGGCACCGAGCAAGAGAAACTCCACGTCGAGCAAGAACTGCAGGACCTCCGCGAACGCCTCGCCCAGGTCGAGCACTGGCAGGCCCGCAAGGAAGAAATCGAGCGCGAGCTCGCCAAAGTCTGGGTCGATGGGGGCGATGAATTGCCTCCGCCGCCGTATATTGTTGAGCCGGAGGACCAGGACCAGGACCAGGACCTCGAGCGGGACCTGGACCAGAAACCGGAAGCACAGCCGGAGCAGGATCTGTCTAGTGCTGAGGATGTGGGTGAAGTTGACTGAGCTCTTCTTTACCTCCTCCTCCTCCTTCTTCTTTGACATCCTCTTCTTCTTCCTTTTTGTTTTCTTCTTTTCCATTATATATACATCTCAACATCCTTGTGCAGTTCTGGTAAGAATTATTCTGGTTTCTTTTATGTCACTATTTGAGCGCACTCTATTTCTGCTTTGGCCCGATCGTATCATTCTCTAAATACATCGTGGATAGCGCGAAAGCAATGCTTTCTTTTAGGGGTGTTAAGTTACACGACATACAATCGCGAATGGCATTGCGATTTTTTTTTGGACAGCATTTGCTTATACACCATCTTGCCTTTTTTTTTTCTTTTGCGGTAGCAATCTCGTCAGGGGACTTATTTTGCGCAGCGAAGCTGGGGGCGTTTCTATCGGGTCGGTATATAGTATATAGTACAGCGAGCATATCAACGAGTTGATTCTTTTACTTTTTTTCTCGCTGCCTCTAAACAGTTATAGCACTCCATTCGAATTGAAGGGAACAGATAAACGCGTGCGAGAAAGGCCAGTGCGCATGTAGTTCGAATAAGCCATATATAAGTGAGCTACGCCATTGTCCTAGAAGACGCCGCGCAAGCGGTAATCGATGATAAAAATTTCTGCCTGAAGAGAGTCTCGGAAGAAAATAAGCAGAATGATGATGAAACTGGCCACAGTAAGACAACGCGCACAATGGGTACTCGGGGGAAAGCAAAACGCAATAAGCAACAGTTCATACATGGTAGGAAAGAAAAAACCATGAAACGCCCTTCGTGCGACCCAAGGTATATATTGAATAATACAGATTTCGGAAAGACAAGAAAGGATAGCATGAGGTATGAGTAGATAAACAAAGAAGACAAGGAGAATCAAATATAGAAGATGAAGACAAGGGGAAAAAAAAAGGTCAGGAGACAAGGAAGAATTGATAGAAAATACAAGTTACAAGGGCACTGTTTGTGTTGGTAAGTGGCGCGAGATTTGTCGGACTTCCGGGGACGTCATGACCCTTGGCCCCAATTCTGATAAAAGCACGAACATTGGCTATTTGCACTTTGAGGAGAAAGGCCATTGGTAATGCGATCTCCGAGATTACCATTGACGCTTTCGCGACACATCGGGACATTCTGGCCGCCATTGACGACCTGCTCGACCTCGACCGCGAACGGCCAGGGCTCGAATGGCGTTGTTGTTTGCGATCCTGATGAGGCCAGTGAAGCCTGTCCAGAGGATGGATATGTCTGGCCCTTTTTCGTATAAAGAGACGCCTGAAAGGTAGTGGCGTTGTAAAAGCAGACAGACTGTGCATTGTCGGATGTCAGGGGCGCCGAAGGTATAATGGTCTTGTCCATAGGAAGAGCAAAGTAATACCGCTCCGTCGGAAGGTCGGCGTCGAGCAGAGTCAACGTGACATTGTCGAATTCAAGGGCAAATGGGTTCGCGGTGGATGATATGGTAAAATTTTGCGGATGGGATGGCAACGGGGTGATGACCCAGTTGAAGATGCTCGTTGAGCTGCTGGGATCCTGGGCAAAAGTCGCGTATGGGTAACAACGCCATGTGGCTGGATTAGATGTGCAATTTGTATTCGCACTCTCCAGAAACGTGGTCAAAGTGAAGGAGCCTGCCGGGAAAACTGTCGAGCTTGAAGTCGTAGCCGGTGGGGTGGTGGTAGAACTTTTGGTGCCCTCAGTAAAAAGAGATGGGAAAAAAGAGTGATGAAAAATAATATATGAGCTCACCTGTCCTTGGGATGTTTCCTTCGTAAACCAATGACTAGTCCGACGACAAGCCCGACAATCAAAGCAATGACAATAATTGCAATCACACCAAGCCTTTTCCATCCTCCACGCCGGGAAATGAATTCGTTGCTGCGCAAGTCAGGACGCTTTTCAGCATTAGTCCAAGCTTGGCTTAAAAACGGCGTATATGCCGGCGGTGGGACGTCATGCTCCAGGTGCGTGAGACTGATATTGCTATGTCTTGTGAATGGCGATGCCTCTAGTCTTCGAGGTTGTGTGTTTGGCTCAATTGGCCCGGGCCAATCATTATTTTCCGATATAACAGGAAGCTGAGGCAAATTGGGAAACGATCGAGACGCCCTACTGCTGCGCAAAGGGCTATTATTCAAGGAGGAAGCCATTTGCTGCGAAAAGGAAGAGCTCGTAGAGCCAGTGACGCGAATAACAAGGATGCAGAAACTCGCAGAAGAAGTAGACAGGGGAAAATGGAAAATTGACTGGAAACAAGATATGGCAAGATGAGGGGAAGTTCACCTCAGGTGAGGGAGATCGAAGCGCAGATCAAGCAGCAGAAACCCATCGCTGAGACATGTCCCAAAAAGAGAAGATGTGTAACAACAACATTTACGAGATGATGAACCCAAAAATCAGAACCTGAGAGATTGAACGCTTTTAGCTGCGATTTTCCGGGCATGTGGCCCAGGGACATTTTTCCGTGTCCGCCGTCCAAACGTGGGGCTTGGAAGAAGCTCCAGGGAATGGTTCCTTGGCCCGATATCGAAACTGGGAAATACAGGCGCGCAGCTTCTCGACTAAACTTAGTGGTTATTGATCGCACCAGCTACAGCCAACCATCTTCAGCAGGCCCTCGTCCCGCGCAGGCTGGACTCTTCGCTCGTTTGGGAATCTAGAACCCGTCGTAGCGGAGGAGTATCATGACGGGTCGCTCGACCGAATCATTTCCCGCAGATTCCAAATGAGGGATGCAAATTGACCTCATCCAACATTGACTTTTTGTCTAAGAACCCCTGTCTCGTCGAATGGTGTGGGGAAAGGCACCAACTCGTATTATTGTTATTGAGACTATATCGAGTAGTCTCTTGGTCAGCCCCAGAGTCATAAATTATGCTTTCCCTGTAAAAGTGAACCCCTCGTACCTGACATGCGAACACCAGATGGCTGCTGCTTCGAGACATTCTGGGCCGTAAAGATGGAGATGAGCTGCATGTTTCTTCCCCCCACAAACGTGACAAGCAGAGACGAATTACAGAGACGTTCTGCACTCAAGTCAAGAGGAGCAGACAGAGTATTTTTTCGCCATAGCAGTGGATAACTTGCTATAGGCAATTAAGCTATAGCTTAGTTAGGTTCGAGTGGAGCATTTAGCCTGAAGCCTTTGCTGGCTGTAGCTTTCAACTCTGTTCGGACGGGTAGATCCGAACTTCTGCTGTTTGCGCGAACGTCATCTCCTTTGAGCTACCAATTCTCGTGCGAAGCTCAACCCTGAGCAATTTGATCTTTGCAATTTCGCTCCTGGATATATTAGGGGCATGATTTTAAAAGATGATAAAAGCAGTATTTTTCAGCAAATTTCTTACCCGTGAAGGTACATCCACTGATTTCTGTCGCGACCCATATGCGTCTAGGATCCATTTCGTACTAATTCTTGGAACCACCAGGTCCACGAGTGATTCATCAAGTCCCTGAGGGAGCAATTGTTCCTTCTCCCGGCGCGACGCAGCCCCCCCTCTTCAACTTTTCCAACGTTTCCGAATACATAATTCCTCGGCAGGAATTCTGCGATCGCTTGGTGACTGTGTGCGCCAATCACCACCGTATCTTAGGCTATCCCGTATGGATAAGCTCGCGCAAGTATGACCGGAATCAGCTCATTTTCAACTTTTCTATCGTGCTGGAAGAATCTGCCGATATCAGCAGCTACAGAAGTGTAGTGAGGAAGCTTGCGAAGCTCTTCAGGAGTTTAGAGGAGCAAGGAGAATTCGTTTCAAGGGATTGTTCAACCAATGGCCCGGGGGGAGGCGGAAGACTCTACGCCCTTTGTGAGATGATATTGGAGGATCTGAACAATTACTGCGAATGCATGATTCCCATAGGTATGCGGGTGGAGCTCTCCGTACAGCCACGTCTGCTAATGTCCGCCACAGACGAGTCAAACACTCTCAATATCAAATTGTTCCCAACATACCCACCTCCTCCACCGGTCGAGGCATGGCACGTGCCCCTGTCTACCGTTCGACTCGAGTCGCTGGTGGATGTCAATTGGGACTTGACAATGCGAAGAGTAAGGCTAATCTCATATTGTCTGCGTTAGGTTCTATATCACTAACCACTGTCGCGAAGGTCCTTCCGCATATCAACGGCATCAACTCGGTCGCGTTGATAGCAGAGCTTGCCGATTCTGACCTGAGTCTGACGAAGAAAGCGCTTTCCCATCTCCTTTACTACGGCTGTCTATTTCTGTTGGATATTTTCCAATTTAGCGCTATATATGCCCCGACTGCGTCAATTTTAGCTTTAGTAAACGATCCCAGCATGCAGGCCGAATGCGCACGGTACATTACTGTGCCTCCCCCGGGCCCACTTACCACCAGTCCTGGCGATACCAGCCTGGACCCTGTCACAATTATTGGTCTATACATGTCTCTCAAGCAAGGACAGCCCCTCAAGCATTGGTGCATGGAGCATGCATTGCTTTTGCATGCCGTTGATGTTCGTCGCTTCATCACATTTGGCATCATCAAAGGTTTTCTTTATCGGGTTCACAAATACGCTATTGCCTCGAACCCCGCAGATGCCACTCCTATACAACCGGCATTGGATCGAGGATCACAAACCGCTGGACTTGGCGGCCTAGCCCCGGGCGGTGATCTTCCACTGAAGAAGTTCCTGGATGGAAGACACTGTTTTGACCAGATCTGTACCGAACTTCAACTGAGCGAAAGGGAACTCTTGACCAAATTAAAGGCTTACGGAGACGTGCAAATTGTTCATCGCTGAAGCGTTGCAGACAGCTGGACATATACGCAAATATGCAGAGGCACCAACGGCGAGTGCAGCGACAAAAATCCTCGTATGATTATGGTATTTCATAGATTGGTTCATTTTCAGCGATTACAAAACAGTCGCTTGACTAAGGTAACGTCAAGGTTGCCAAAAACATTTTCGGATATCAACTAACAAATGAAACAGTCAAGGTCCTCCAATATCACCACTCGACGAGGGCTTCTTCTGCACGATCCTGGTCCCAACTGGGGATAGGCGTGACCGACCAAGATGGCGGCTGCAACCTCGGGTCAGAAGAACCGACGTACGATTTCTCCAGCTGACGATTTGCAGCTGCCCACTCAATGCGGTGTAGACTACGATCACCCTTTGAGAGTTGATTGATTTCCACACCGCGGTAGAAGACTCGGTTCCGGTCCTTATGATCGTCCCATTCGCCGTTACTTACTGCAAGCTGTTGCGCGACCGCCTGCCAGTATTTTTGAGTTTCAAGCCGCAGAGACTGTGCCGTTGGCCTCTTCGTCGGTCTCCACTCAACACACTGAGCAATCAGCTTGCGCAATGGCTCACTATAATCAGTACTTTCAAGCAGTGCCATGTCAGCGACGTTGTGGTTTGACACTGCTACCACTGGAACAAGTGTTGCCAGCTCAAACATAATCGCGCCAATGCCCCAAATGTTAGTCCATGCGGACATTGCGTCAACCACTTCCATTTGCTCCTGCATAAAAAAAAAGAGTCCGATTAGCTTCTGGAAGCTCAGGGTCCTGAAAAGTTCGAGAGGCTAAATATGTAGGCACTTACCGGGGCTTTGTATCCTGACGTTCCGGCGTCTAGATAATCAAAGGGATTTGCCCTATCTTGCAAATGGGTCTTCACTGCAAGTCCAAAATCTCCAAGCTTTGGGATCGGATAGGGGTACGGATTTCCTCCGTCAATTTGAAGATCCGGATCATCCATCAACACTATTTGTTGTTCTGATCAGCTTCACCAAAATAATTGCTCTTCCACCCAAGTAGTAACAGAGAGAGAAAAAAAAAAATCGTACCGTTCTCTGGCTTGATATCCCGATGGATATACTCGTCCGACCACATTCTTATCAAATTACCCTCGTCATCAATCTGCCCTCCTTCCATACATGACACTGCATTTGCCAGCCCAGCGAAAATTTTCCAAAGAAAAGGCTCCGGTAGATAATGCCTATCATGCCTTGATATTAGCATCTGTTTCTCCCCTCCTTTTAATCCCCAACATGCCGAAGCCGAAGCCGAAGCCTAAGCCTCGGATCTACTCCCCCGTTGTACTATAATTACTATCATTACCTTACTTACCCCCAAAGTCGATAATTCCTGATAAGCCGCTTCAGCGTCCCGAACGGACAATACTCCAAGTACATGCGATGTTTCTTTGCTTTCTTGAAGCGCCGGTACGCCATCAGGCTGACAAAATTCGGACACTCGCACTGCGCGAGTTCTTCCATGGCGATCACTTCGTAGGGCTTTTCCATGTCGAATCCCCTTCTTGTCAGATCTTGCTTGATGACCAGGTGCTATGCTCCTGCCCCGTTAGCCATCCAGTATCTTTTTTTTCTTTTTTTATTTCATCCACATCTTGTTCTCATCTTATTTTCGCAAATCCAGGATCCCAACGTAAAGGTTCTCTTCGGGATTCTGTGACGGTTACTCACCTCCGCTGCCCGCCCGTCCTCGCTGGGCCTCGTCCACAGCCCAACAATTCCAAACCCGCCTTTGCCCAGGATTCGTTTCCCTCTCCAGCCTTCTCCGCCCCATCCTGCTTCGGACTCGATGAATGTTGTCTCTTCATCTTCGTCCCAATATTCTTCGTGCGGAAGGACATCGGGGCCGTCGAATGATTCGTCCTAGTTTTTGTCAGTTTATTTATCTCCCTCTTATCCTTTCCAATATATTTATATTCTTTTTATATATTCTTTTTCCCTTTACTTTTTTTTGTCTTCTATAGTCCGTCCCATTCTCAATGAGGCTCGAAGGTGAAGGGGAAAGGGGAGGGGAAGGAAAAACATTGGGTCCGTACACTGTTCTGATCGTCATCCTCGTCCATAGGCGCAGAAACTGGTTCTGGCGCTTTCATGCCCCATTTCGACCAGGGGAATTCTTCGACCGGTGGCTCGGGCGCTTTCGTGCCCCACCTTAACCAAGAGTTTTCTTCGGACATTCTTCTTTCTCTTCGTTTCGACTCGATTTGATTTCTCTATGCTTTTCTTGAGCCTCTTGAGTTTGAGCCAACTGATGCACCGTTTGACTCTCCTTTCCCCGCCGCGATCAACTCAACGATGCTGGCTTAACGCGGAGTATACGACCTTTTTTTCCCTGGACTTTTGGGCTTTTGGACTTTTGTTGACTGGACGTTTCTCTTCTCTTGCCTGTCTTTTGAAGTTTTGGGCTCTCGATTCTTGATGTCTATCGTATCAGGTTCAACCTCTCCCAAAAAAATAATAATGATAGACGGTAGAGCTGAAAAGGTCTCCGCAATATGTGCTTCCAATATGTGCGAGGTATTGAATCCAAGACTCCAGGACTTGTGCGATGATTCAAGAATAAGGTTGGGGATAAAAAGCAGTATATCCAGAATCCGGGATGTTGGACTCGAGGTCGTGATAAAAGAAAAGAGAAGGGAAAAGAAAGGAAGAAGGACATGGTTTTAGTCTTTTGAAACAGTCTTTAAAAGAATCGTAATATCGTAGCCCGTCATGTCTGGCCTGGGGGGGAGCCAGTCATTAAAAGTTCTTTGTTGTGTTTTGGCTTTTCCTGGCATTTTCGCCATTTCGCCATTTCGCCATTTGGAATTTTGGTACGACTGAGTCGTACGAGTCGTATTATTCGTCGCGTCTTTCATCTTTCATATGGATCAAAGAGAGTTTAGTTTTGTCAGTCAGCACAGGCGTTTGGCATGTCGCGTGGACGAGTCGCTCTTGTCAGCTCTTTGTTGTAGTAGGGCACTATATCGGGGGTCGTTGTGCAGCATGGCGTTAACTACTCCGGTGGACTTAATGGGTGATTGTTTAAGCGAGCCATCGCGAGATAGATTAGTTTCTAGCGAGGGCTTTGTTTATAATGGAGTCAGACTGCCTCGGGAGATAATTCCTTTGACAAATGGAGTGGCATTCGAGATACAGCCATCTGAGGCTATTTTAAGAACTGCGATTCAACGATTAACGAATGAGAGACGATATGGGAATAAATAATTTGTAACGGCCGGGATAGCTCGAATAGCTGATCGTGGTAATGCAACAAAGCTCCCAAAATCTAGTGTCCTGTACCGCTCTCCCAAAAACGAACGCCAAGTAATTTTAAAGCTTGATATGCCATGACTTTGGAAATACTGGAAAGAAAAGCGAGCATGCAGCATGTGACTAGCAGACAAAAGCATAAAGCAAATAGGTATCTTCATAAAACACATTCGATTCAGAACAGAATAAAAGCAGAGTAACAACGATGTTAGTGCATACAGCGGAAAGACGAGATGGCCGCGGTTAAAGCAGGATGTGATCAAAGAATAACCTTGACTTCTCCTGCTCCCATGGTTGATCTGCGACGTTTCTTCGCCGAGCGACCCCACGGACCATCATCCCCGGACGATGACGATGCGTCGTCCCTGTCTTGCCGAACGGATCTGGAACCTGCAGCGAGTTCATGGACTAGTTGTTCTGCGGCGGGGTCTTCGGCCTCGATAGCCGTAGGAGAGGTTTCATTACCGCTTTCAGTGCCATTTTCTTCATCAGACTCTTGCTGCGCAACTTTGACCAGTTCGCTATTAACGGCGGGAAAGGCGAGAGAAGCTCGTGGGGCTTCCGTGGCTTTAATGGCGGCTGCCTGCTCCGATTTGCCTGCGACACCTTTGAGGACCCGTATTGCCTGTCGCCAGGCAACAGGATCACGGGAACTGTCGTAGGAGCCGACCTCTAGACCATTCAATGTTTCCAGGTCGAGCGTCTCTACCCTGGAGTTGGTCCAAAGCCATGCCCTCCCCTCCGGAATACGCGAGTCATTGAGACGGGAAAATAAACGACCTTGCCGAACACCAGGAAGGTCAATATTGATAGTCTTTCGAGAGAACCATGCCTTCATTGCTTCAATGTGGTAGAATCGACCGAGTATTTGCGTATATGGTACTTCCCAGAACTTATCTGGACGGTGGAGACCATACCACGTGAAGCCCTCCATACAAGCTGGAAGATTAGTAACCGGTGTCGGGTCAAATGCACGTCTTGGATCCACTGTATATGCCTTTCCGACAATGCGAAGAGTAGTTCTGTAATCGACACCGCCTGACTTATGGTCGAGATTCGTAAAGTTGAACTGGATTGAGGAGATTCTAAGAGCATCTGATATGTTCGACCATCCTCCTTGTGGAAGGAGTCTCACGACATCATCGACATAGATGGCTTCGGGACCCAGAAAAAGCCCTTTGCAGAAGAGTGTCGCATTCGGCCATACCCCCCTCATATGGTATTTTTCAATCAACGAGGAAGATGCCATGACAGTCAAAGCATTCTTGATGGTGGGGTGCCAGTCGTCTTCTGGAGTGCCAACAAGAAGTTCTTGCCAGAAGTTGAACGGTCGGATATGATGTAGAGGGATGTAGCGATATTGTTTCGAGTACCCCTTTTGCTTGCCGTTAGGGTTAGGGAAGCATTCAACTCGGAATCCGGATCGGTTGACAGCAAATTTCTTCTTCGTCTCCCGAATGAGATCTTCAGGCACAATGGCTTCTTCGGGGACCTGAGCCACCGTTCCTGCCATCCATCCCGGATAACCCTTGAACACCTCCTCTTCTGTGTCAAATACTTTGTAGTGACTGGTTGACGGATCCATGCGTATCTCGCCTTCCAGATGACCAACGAAGAGCACCAGTTCAGCCTGCCGGGGAATGAAAGAATGCTGGCTTGTGACTGCTTTTATTAAATTTGGAAGAATCCTGCGCTCCGCCCTCCAGTCCATGCTTTCGTCTTCAATAATGTCCTCGTCAATGGAACCTTTGTCTTCGAGCTTTTCAAGAAGCGCAGCATATACGTCAGGAATGCCTTCGGTCTTGGGCATCTCTTTCGACTTGCCATTTGTTGTTGTTCTTCCTGTCAATTATCAGTACGGAAAATACACGAGAATCTTGCTGAGTATGAGTTTACTTACGGCCTGTCGGCACTGTGCTTCGGGGTGCTGTGTTGCACAGGGAACATTTGCAAGTGGCAGCTCCTGGCTTGTAGTCCATCAAATATTTGAAATGGGGATAGAACCTGTTCGGAGAATCAAAGTATTTGTTGCTCGGATGCCCAAAAAGGTACTTGTCGGTCTGAAATTGGTTGGCGCTTGCAATATGGTATTTCATCTCAAAGTGAACTCACCAGTCTCGGCCCGCTTGGTCTTGGTCTCTCAGCCAGCACGTAACCAGCGGGAAGACGGTCCAACTTGTATTTCTCCCCTGGTAAAAAGTAAGAAAAGGAACAAAATCGCTTCAGAATCATTTCAAAAGAATTCGAAAAATGTAGTGTTTACAGCTTCAAAAATGGCTCCCCTACTTCGAAAAAAAAATATTATGGCATGTGGGGGGAAGCAGACATTCTTGATGCATCGTCTGCTTTCTTTTTGTGTTTCGACAAAAGACAGAAGGTAAAAAGAATGAAAGAAGAAAAAGAAATTTACAAAAACACGAATATCAAAATTTCAAGGAATGTCAGAACACGGAGGCAAACAGCATAAGCTCTTCTATATCTCCACTTGCAAAAATCTGAAAAACGAACGGCATAATAATTGAAGCATGCAAATATAATTTTCAATTATGTTGAAAGTGATCAGTACCTGGTCGAGCTTCTCCGCGATCTTCCATCCATTGCTTCGCAAGTTTTTCCAGATATATTGTCGCTTGAATAATATTGAATGGAGGCACTTTTGGCCGGTGTGTAGCATCACCATCGCTATAGCCGTTAATGGGTACGACCACACTACTTCCAGGCGGGCTTGGAGCCATTGTGAAAGCAGCGACTGGTCCTATTTATCGTGCGAGAGGGAATAAAAAGAATAAAGAGGCGCTAAATGATGAGAGACATTCTGTTTGGTACGGATCGTATGAGCAGAGAACATGTTCCTCGTGTGAGTTGGAGGAAGTTCGCGCCTGGCGTCCAGGGAGGGGCCGAACCTCCAGCTCAACTCGCTTAAAGTGAACTGGACCCGCCGAGGGAAGTGTATAGAGGCGCAATTCAGGCTACTATACCTGGATACTATCTCATGCGCCTCGAGGCGTTGTATATGATTCAAGATTCACCATATGTTAGTTGTGATCTATTTTGATACATATTGCAAATGGCTACGACAGCTAGGGCTTTGGATCGGCCTCATAAAGCGTACGGTATTCGTCGAGCGCCTTGAGAAACACGATGCAAATAAAAAGATCAAATAAAATAGCAAAATTAGGATAGAATAGAACATTACTAAAAAGCCCGAGACTATCACGGTTCATGGGACCCATATAAGAATAGAATGTTAATTCAGATTAGTTTATTTCTTTCCCTGTTATTTATTGATGTAGTTAAAAGTCCAACGAGTCGGGGCCATGAACGGCACGAACTCGCCTACATTGGGGTCTATCGTTTAGTTAACGTTATATGCCGCCAGATTAACCAGCGCCATATGTGCATTCATCCTGGGCGATTTGCAGAAGGAGATTGGCTCAAGGTCCCACGACCGTTTTATAGCGGATTCAACTTCGACATTTAGGATCGAAGAAATGCTCGTGCGGTTGGTATTACGTGCGAGGGTACACAGGGACACTCTGAGCCTAATAATTAATTCCGTCCTTAAGGGCGCTATTGACAGTCCTGGTGTAGATGCTCTAGTCTTACCAACCTCGGAGGAATATTCAACCATCCCAAAAAATATTCTAGCGATTACCTGGCCAAGATTATCACAACTCGCGCATGAAAACCAGGGTATTGTCTTATAAAATAATTTGTTAGAGAATACATTGATAGAAATGATCGGCAAAGTCATAGCGTATGAATCCAAATTTGCTACATAGCAGATGCCCGGATATATCTACCCTCTTTTATTAAATCTCCCAACTCCAAACCTCATACCCGTTTGAATTTAATGGACGTCCATTATACCTTTCAAAGAATATCAAGCCGTACCCAAACTCCTCCCAGAAGATCACAATCATGAATGCCCATGTCAGGCGATACGCAAAAATAAGCAAGAATGCGGCGATTTGGAGTATGAGCGCCCTACTCCTCGGCCTCATCCCACTTTTCCTTCTCGAGTGAAATCATTCTCTTCATATCCTTTTCGGAGAAGATTGATTCATCGGTGGTCGGGACCCGCGTTAAGCCCTCTTCAAAGACGGGACCGATAGAGTTGATCCACTTGGCTCGTCGTTCCATTAATTGTCTGGCAACATCTCCGATGCCTGGTTTACTGACACCTGCCGCGCTGTTGACGTAGTGGCTACCACCACCAGCACCACCTGGCCGTTTGACATTCTTCTTTCCTTTACCAAGTGTGCGAGTCCGTTTCAGATAGGCTTGGCCAACTTGATTATCCAGATCATCAAGGATAGTTTGAAACTCTTGATGGGCCATGCGTTCTTTTGCAATCTCTTGAATACGGGCCTTGCGAGATCCGTTGATGATGCTCTGGTTTTTCAATTCCGCTTGTAGAAACCGTAGACGTGCGGCAACCTCGTCGTCATAATGAGCATCGTAGTCAGGCTCATCGTCGCCAAGGAAGCCTATATAGCGGAGTTCCTGCTTTAAGCGCTCATCCATTTGCGCATAATCAAGTTTCGATGTAGAGACCTTCCAGTTGGCTTGAGTAGATTCAGGTAGGAAGGCTGCAGGCGGCTGCGGCTTCTCCGATTCACCATTCATATCAAAGTCTCCACCAGCTTCGCCATTTGCGAGACCATTGAGCACGTCACCATGGCCTGTATTTGCTGCTTTATCATCATTGGACGAGCTGCGGCTCTCAGGGCGCATGGCAGCAAGCAGGCGGGTTAGAAGCGGGCCAGCCGATATTTGTTCGGATTCGGCTATCTCATCAGTCATCTGATCCATACTACCGCGGGGCTGGTTAGCAGGAAGTTTATCACGGCTCGACTGAGCCGCATCTGAAGCCATAGAGCCATCTTCCTCTGCCCATATTTCACTGTAATGGCGACGACCACGACGAGGCATAACAAAAGGTGTGGCCCGATCACCCTTAGAGGAAGTTAGCAAAAGTTTGCAAATATCGAATTTCTAGAAACGCACTCTTTCTTTCAGAAAAGCCATGTCCTCCTCAGTTAGAGGCCGTAGATATGGATCAGCATAAGTAGCAAAGGCATTGGCTGTGACCTGGTTGGCAGGCTTTGCATTGCTGAAATCTCTATCTGGCGGGGTGCCTGGGATCAAGTCATGAAGATCATCCTTGGGATAAACGGCCACAGAAAAGATCTCCTTAATCTCCTCTTCGCTCATTCCTGGCTTAACATCTCGAATATGATAAATAGTGGGATCGTCAAAGGTCGACGGATCAGGACCAAACGTCTGGTACTGAGGAACAGCGGGAGCCGGAGGCGGTTGATGAGAGTCGGAAGAGCTCTCTGACGATGCAGGTGAGCTTTCTCTCTCTTCTTCCTTTTCCTCCCTAGCATCAGCCGTCGGTGACTGCGGCCTCGATGGAGGAGAGAGGGAAGACGCACTCGCCGAGGCAACCTCCCTCTTTACCTTTCCAGGAGAGGTCCCACTCCTCTTTGAGGTTCTTCGCTGTTCCGGAGAGAGGGACGCATCTAAAGGAACGGTACAATTAGCCGAGTCCTGGGTGGTTATTCTCATGGCTGCAGGCAAAGAGAAAAAATATATGACAAGAATGAGCGCAAAGGAAAAGTTGAAAATTTGTCAGCTTTAGGTGCGCAAATGATTGAAGTATGGTGGAGAAAACCATGAAGCGAGGACTGTGCTCCAGCAAACTATGGGTGAAGGAAGGAAACCAAAATATTCTTCTACCTTTCATTTCCACGTCGGTGCCATCTTGGCGGGCTACACCATGAGCTCCATGAGTGAGCGGGCGCTCCTCGCGTGGCTTCACCTGATCTTTCTTCCTCTTCAGCTTATTTGCTTTCTTTCCGCCATCCTCATCTTCTCCGTATGCGGACGCTTCCCTTCTCATCTTCTCCCTACGCTCCTCATCCGCTCTCTCCTTTTCTCTTTCCTCCTCAAGCCTTTCCTTGCGTCTTTTGGAGAGCTCTCGCATCCCGCGATCACATGCCTGACCCCTTGTCTCGGCCAGTTGAGCCAACATTTTGAGGTCGGCCGAAAGGATCTCGAGATTTTTGGAGTCAGGAATTCCGCCATTGTTCCCATGCCTTTCCAGGATATCGTCATACGAGATGTTGGTAGGAACCATTAAATTAGATAACGCTATATCGAGAATAGCTGTGTTTGCTGCATTTGGAGAAGAGAATGCGCCGCTGCCGCCGATTGAACTTGGAGTGGTATTTCGACTTCGTGATCTGCGGGCGTCACGACCCTTTCCTTTCCCTTTGCCTCCAGTGGGTGGCATCATGCATACGATATCGAAGGAGCAACAGATGGAGAGGAAAAGCAGCAAAGTATGAAGCAATTACAAGCAGATAAGGACAACTCTTTTAAATCGATTAGGGCGTAGAGTTTCGTTGAAGCGATGATGCGGTGGGATTCTGCCGTCAGCAACGATGATCTATGATTGGCTCATTGTGGATAGTCAGGTCACGTGTAGAAGCGAAGAGCTGATGGAGTGTCCGGGGGAATCTGATAAATTTAAACGGGGAAGTGGCTCCTCTACCAATTTGATTGGCTGGCATGGCACGCGTCACCCGCACAGGCGACATTCTAATCACCGTCCGGCAATTTCCCGCTGTTTGCCAATGACAACAACACATGACGGTAATCAAATCGGCAGACGCGGGGAAACCTATCCAGGCATGGAATAAGTGCATGGTATTCGAAATCCATTAAATCTCAAAATTAGCCCTATTTCGATCGGATCTCCGCTCTACAAAGAATATCAAACCCCGTGGAATCCAAAATCGTGATGATAAGTGAAGTGCCATCCACTCTACCAAGGTATCTGGATGTGGACAGCGTTATCGAATACTAGCGCTCCCTCCGTCGGAGTACTTACCTTGGTTGTGTGCGGGTCAGTACTTTTCTCGTACCCCTTGCAGGGGTCCGTGCGATCGTCCTAACCAAGCTTTTGCCAAGGACGCCCCAATGCTAGTTGCCGACCGTCCGGGTCTCCGCCAGGCCGCAATGCCATTAAATCATCTTCGTTCCCCCCATTCTCATACTGCAATCTACTGCGACTGTAATGTATTCTGGGTCGATGCTTTACTTGCTGCAGCGACCCTTCAAGCAATTCTGGCATCTTCCAGCATGTTAATGCTGTGCAATCATTTGAATGTGATATTATGCTTTCCTTCTTCTCAGAAGGCGCATTATTTACTTCCTCTCGCCGCCCTCAGCTATCTTGATTGAGCCTGCTGGCAACTGATTAGAAAGGCTCTGGGTCGTACGGTCGGATACCATGGGTAGGTCATGAACAATATATTTATTAGCATTTTCTCATTATCATGTCTTTTCTGCTTTGTATTCAACCCGTGTACATTGTTGTGGAATGGACATTGGATTATGATAACACAACTAATGCCATCTTCGCAATCCTAGCGGCTCAGGACATAGAAGCTTTTGTTGTAGTTGTTGAGAATCAGGAGTGGTCTAATGGGCCTCTCCAGGTCGTATCCCTCGAGGTAAGATGATCGGGTTCACATCAAGTCATGTCAAAAACGATCGACTGACAAAAGCTTTTGTGTCCATTATAGAACAGTTCCGAGTTTCACTATCGTCTGGATGGAGACATCCGTACACTCTCATCGGACACAGTCCAGACAGGCGACACTATAACAGGCTTCCTTTATGTACCAGATATCGACAAAGCCGATGTTTGTAGTAACATCGCTCAGCAATTCATTCCAGCGAATGCCACTCGACGTGCTGATCTCCCTGGACCGGACTTCAACCTGATCGGCCTAGTTCCGTGGATTTCAGCCAATTGCACTCGTTCATATCTCGAAAGTGCGCACGGCGATCTGATCAAGGCACTCCTCATCTACCCCACCACTCACCAGTCTGCTGAACCGCCCGATCTCAATGATCCAGCATGGGGTCTTCAAGACAACGCTATGATAAGATCTCAAAACAACTTTCCCATTTACGCCATACCAGGGCAGGCTGGCGATCAAATAATGCTACACCTCAGCCGGTTTTCTGGTAATATGACGGACGTGGAGTCCGCGGACAACCTTACCTCCTTCTATGACCCAAGGGATTATGTTAGACTTTACGCAAGTATTAATACAGGTCGGTAGGAAAGGTTTGCCATCCACATTCAACATGCTGACGTAAATAGGGACCCAAAAATCCGCACCAAGCTTTTGGATTTTTCTTGTTATCATCTTCGGCATCTTACTGGCCTCCGTGGTTCTGATTTATTTTACGTTGCGATGGGTGCAGCGAAAAAGGCGATTAGAGCTGCGCAGCCGAGTAGCAAACGGCGAAGTCGATCTTGAAGCTCTAGGGATCAAACGCCTGCAAGTTCCGGCCGAAGTTGTTGAAAAGATGCCGATTTTCATCTACACGGCCCAAGACGAGCAGGCTGAGACGTCAAACCGAGAACGAGAACGTTCGCAGCCACCGACAGAGGCGCTTTCAGGGAATGACGCGGGCAACCATTCGAGTTCGTTTTTGGACCACAGTCCCGACCCTGGTGCGACATATGAATCAGCCTCGTCTTTGGAGGCGTCACAATCAGATGCAAAAGTCGACGATGCCGTAACTTCAATGAGTACCTCGTCTGATGATTCTTCGGCCGGGAGAGGTTGGAAAAACGAGTTTTGCATCATACAAGATCCACGACAAGCCGCTCGTTTAGGAAAATTGTACTCTCAAAGTACCTGCGCAATTTGCCTCGAAGACTTCGACCATAATAGATCCACCGTTCGTCAACTCCCATGCGGCCATATCTTCCATCCAGACTGCGTGGATACCTTCTTATCCGAGAGTTCCAGTTTGTGCCCAATTTGCAAAAAGAGTGTTTTGCCCAAAGGATGTTGCCCTACCGAGGTGACTGACTCTATGGTCAGAAGAGAGCGGCAGGTTCGAAGATTAAGGGAACGAATTGACCCTCAGTTCGAGGGCAGCTCCCCATCAGAGATACCTCGAAGAGCTGCAACCGCAGGCGGAGGGCTACATTTCCTCGGATGGAAGCTAAGAGGTATCATGGGCGGATCGGGAAGATTTCTAGAGGGCTCATGACACATCAGAAACGCATCACTGCGACGCACAACCCGGCTCCTCGCTTTGAGAGGCTCGCAGAAATGCCGAGATTGCCAAACAACGAGTTTAATGGATATACGGACGCCGAAATTCCACTGCCGATGGTGGTGGAATTATGTCCAATGAAGACGCTGTCGGCATTGGAGTAATGCACAGTCTCTGTCACACGTACTGCGATTATCATATGACGGCGCAACGAATTTCTTGAGGATGAGAACGTGTTTTGTCTTTGCATACTGGAGAACTGGCGTTTTATAAGTTGCATGGATATTGGCGCATGATGTGGATGGCGGGATCATAAATCAGGCTGATTTTGTTTTTCATTTTGATATTGAATGATATCATAAAGCCAAGTATGCACGCATGGCGTTAAATAAGGGTGCATCTTAGCGCGCTCTTACAGCTAAAAAAAGGATGGCATAATGATATCGACATTAATGTTGAAAGTTGTAGAATTATGCAAATTTATCGTGCTTGCCTTTTGCGCGCACGTCCAAGATAGCCTCGTGATAGTCGCCTTCTCGTCTTGCCCGCTTTAGTCGCCTGACATCATCCTCGTTGAGACGCCGACCAACAGCCTCCTCGAGCTCTTTTCGGCTAATCTTCTCCTTTGCTTTCTCTTCCTTGTTCGCTTTAAGTCGAGGCTTGAATCTGGCCTGCATTCTGATCCGTAGCGTGGAGCTGAAATTAATCGTCTCGCCATCCCCGCGGATTTCAGGCCCCGATTTGCCCTCCTCGTTCACCGTGAGGAAAGTGTCACGCTGAGTTTGTAGGCTCATCATCCCAGCCGCATCTGGTACGGGTATGCAATTGAACGCTTCTTCCGGAGACACTGCTTCCTTTGTCGCAGAGAAAACCCCAAACTTATCGCAGCCGAGATATCTGCCATCAAAAGAAAGATAAAAAAAATATTAGCGCCCCGGAGCTTCTTCAAGGAATGATATCATGCCAGAAGCAAATGTCTTCAATTATGGCTTCTATAATTCTAGCACCTTAAACAAACACATAAGAGATGGCTTTGTTTCTGGAACTTACTTGCCGTGATGACCTTTAAATGTCCACGTCCCTGACCCTGCAACGGCGTTGGCTCGCCATACTTGTCGAACGTCATGAGGCTCTGCGGTAGCGGGATTGCCGTCAATAATGTTTTCCAATACGCTTGCGAACACCTTGCCGTTAGCATCGCAAGCTAGACATGTCGCCGGCGACGTCGGCAATGTGAAGATGACTGGGCCGGCAATGTCGCCTGGAGCTTCAGCTGTTACCCAGCTATCGTCATCGTCAGCAGCGACAGCCGAAGAAGATTCGGTGACCAGCTCCTTGGATGGTCCCTGAGCGGAGTCATCGGCTGCTATTGTCCGCTTTCTCTTTTTGGGCTTATCCCCTTTGAAAGTCAGTGGCTTGACCATAATGGCAAAGGTTCAACAATCCGTTGTTTCTATTAACCAGCTCTTGTTATGCGACCGGCTTGTCGTCGCGAACTTGCATTACCGACGAATTGCCCCGAAGGCGGTGAGTGAGAAACACGCTAGCACACATTAGGAAGGTTGTCCTCTGATAGTCGGCCGGCAGAAAACTACCCCACGAGGGGTCTCCCCATCTGATCCACCGTTGGGAGTTTTCCCCGACTTGATTCTACTACATTTTTTCTTTTTGAGACCAGTCATTTGTGATTAATATTCGGGCTTCATATTCTGCATAAAACAAGACTTGGATAATACTTCATAACACAATGGCGGCGAATGGCGTAGCAGCCCAAGCGGCTGTATCAGTCAGCCTAGAAGAGCTTCGTGCAGGCGAGTTTTGCACTCTCTTTCAATGTTACCCAAGGTATATTAAAGAAAAAGCATTTAACATCTTGATCAGGGACTGTCCCATTCTCGAAATTGGAAGACGCTTTCGGTCCGTCTTCTCTAGGAATCCTTGTTGTGAAGGATCTGCCATCAAAATTTGTGGAACTACGACAGCGCTTATTATCTTATGCTTCTTATCTTGCCAATCTACCAGAGTCGGAGCTTGGTATGTATGCTTTTTACACCTCCCATTCTCACCTAATATGTTATATTTGCCATGGTCTCTACATATTTGTTTTTAAGTTTGATGATAATAAATAATTATCTGACAAGGCCCCGACAGCAAAACTTGAATGCGCGGAAGCGAAATATCTTGTTGGATGGTCCCTGGGCAAGGAAACGCTCAGATCGGGCCACTACGACACGTTAAAGGGCTCTTACTACGTCAACTGTGCCTTTTACACTGACCCGAACCTCCAGTCTGCGCCTTCGGAAAATTATCCTTCTTTTCCTGAATATACTGCGCCCAATGTCTGGCCCGCGGAATCTGTTCTGCCAGGCTACCGCGCGACATTCCAGGAACTGTGCACACTCATCATCGACACGGCAGTTTTGGTCGCACGTGCGTGTGATCGGTACGCCGAGGCCATGATTGAAGGGTATGAAAAGGGCTATTTAGAGAAAGTCGTACGCACGAGCATGACGACGAAAGCGCGGCTGTTGCATTATTATCCACCGCATGAAGAGTCATCGGATAGTACCAAAGAGGAAGAGAATGAGGATGATTGGTGCGCTACGCATCTCGATCATGGCTGCCTTACAGGCCTCACTTCAGCCATGTTTGTCGATGAATCCACTGCCTTGAAGAAGGAGTCGAAGGGTGCTTACGAAAATGATGACGGTGACGGTGACCTTCTTCCACCGCTGGAGGAACTGGCTGCTTCTCCTGACCCACGAGCCGGGCTGTATATACACAGTCGGACAAATACTGTGACGCAGGTTCGCATTCCACGCGACTGTCTTGCTTTTCAGACTGGCGAGGCCCTGCAGGTCATTACTCAGGGCAGATTCCGCGCCGTGCCGCATTTTGTGCGCGGAGCCCGCTCGACCAGACCGGGATCAAGAGTTGCTCGTAATACCCTTGCGGTTTTTACTCAGCCGAATCTTTGGGAGATGGTGGATGCTGGCAAAAAGCAAGATTTTGCGGCTTTTGCCAAGGAAGTGGTAGAGAGAAATCATTAAATAGTCATAGTAATATTGAGACTAGCAGAGGGAAATTGCTCATGCATGCATTATGTAGAGTGTCTAATTTTATAAGCAGAAGATAGATGAACAAGTTTAATATTTGAAATCTAAGCGCTTCAGCAAAGCAAACATCGAATAATGTCACTTGAGCTCAAGTCATCAAACATTGGGTGCCTAGGTCGACATAATCAGGCTGAATCCCTCAGGTGCTTTTCTCCGTGAAATGAAAGTTGGAGAAGAAGACCACGAGTCCTCGACTATCGGCGATGCTTGAATGCGATGGTTCCAATTTCCGTGTACTATTATTCTTAGAGTACCGTGATCATCGTTTCCGTGTTCAAGCCGAAGTAGGCATCATTGAGAGATTTCGATTTAAGAGGCGATAACCTCATTTGACTCGGACTGACTTTCATCTACCACCCGCATACGGTACCCCAGTTCCATGAATTTGATTACCGCCGTTCCAATTTGCGCAATATATCCATCCATGCGAGCGGCAGCCGCGACTAGCAATTTGCTTGTCACCACGTCAGACTTCTTATGCACAAGAAGTTCGCCTAGTTTTTTGGTATTTGTTGCGGCCATGAAGATGTAGCCGACTATAAAGGGAAGTTGGCTTTCTACTCCCAGATATCCGGATCCGTAAATTGCTTGGAGCTGTTCTCTACAAGATTCATTAATTGAACGGAGAAGCGTCCAACAAAGGCGATGCAGGAACAAATGGTCGAAATTAAGTTCCAGCGTCTCGCCTACTAGTGCGTTCCGAAGATGTTCCAAGAGCTCTGTGAGGGTGAGTTGACGCTGCGGTGTGGTCGTCGCTCGATTTTCCTTTGCGGTTTCATCTAGGGAAAGCTGGTAAACACCTTCACTAATTTCGTCCTGCTTCCACTTCGATTTGGAAACTATTTTCTCCAAATCATCCTTTGTCAGATCCATTTGGCCAAGGTCGTAGCAGTAGCGACCTTTGAACATCTGCGCTACAGGTGCGAGTTCTTCAATGCACTTCGGCCCTCTCTTAGAAGCTTGCAGCTCTCTGCTGCGCTTGCTTTTGGCGAAAGCCGTGGCGGAATAACCCATAGACAAGGAGAATCGTCTGAGATAATCTTCGGGATTGTCGGGTTTGCTCCCCACAAACACATTGCGATGCAAGTGCATGAACATCTCCATGTCCTTCCACTCCTTCTGGAGGAGCTTCTCCTGTTGCGCAGCATTGTACAAGTGACAGGTATACAAAATCGAGCCCCAGGCATTGACAAAGACAATGCTAATTTCTTGATAGCGCGCTTTGAGATTGTATGCATACAAGCCGCAGAAGAGTGGGTGAGACCTCAAAAGTTGAAAAGCGTCCCCTGAGAGGCGCCCTACCCTTCGTTTTGCTTCCATCATGGCATCATTTTTAACCCAGTCATGGATCTGTAGTTGCAATCCCTCAAAAGCCTTATCGTTTGATCGAGGCCAATTCATGATTCGGAGCGACTCGTGAAACTTCAATGTCAACTCAATGGACTTGCCAATCACCCGTCCGACCTTTTGTAGATCATCAAAACCTCTTGATACCCCATCCCGCAAGATGTGATGGATATCTAAGTAAACCTGTGTCGAGAGCAAAAGTGACAGCGAGATCTTTTTTGTTTTGAAAGCCGTCCGGAGACCCCGGGTGAGCCCATCTTCCGTGACGTCACCCACTAATCCCAAGCAAATCATACAGAACTCTGGGAGTATTTCCATAAGAAGGATTTTATCTTCCCTGAACTTTTCGCGTGCTGTCTTCTTTGATCGGTCACTGACGGGATCGTATTTCCCGCAGAACCCAGGTTTGTACTCCGGAAGGTAATCTGGTTCAAGCATGTCGATAAATCCTCGCAGAATCTGATAGGTGGGCAACATGAATGTCTGCGATGATTCGTAGATGCGGAAGTTCATTTCGTCGTCTGGATACTCCTTAGTATCCTGGTCTTCCCCAAGGCGGGAGCAGAGATCAAGAAAATAGAGCTGAAGCATTCGCTCAGCGCCACCCAATTTTTCAAAGAGTAATTAGGCATCTTTCTCAATGCTATGAGCTATTTCCAATGCAGTGTCCGTAGTAAGAGAGGCGGCAACCAGATCAAAAACCCCTTGGCGATAGCCCTCCCAAGTTTGGGAGATCACTGAGCGAAGGTTGCTATAATCTGTCAGAAGAAGCGTAAATGCAAGAAAGGCTTCTTCGGCATCATCAAATCTCTCAGCTTCATAGTTAAGATCGGGAAGCTGTTGAACGGGAGTTGGAGAGACATTTGGGGCTTGCAAAAATTGTCTGGACGGCTCTTGAACGCCTAGAACGTCAAACGCGTTGGTTGAACTGGCATCGGCCGTAGGACTTGACGGTGGCTGTTTCAGATCGGAGGGTATCTGAGAACGCAGTATGTCTGATACCCTTTCTAGAATCGAGATGAAGAAAGTATGCTTTTGATCGGATCGTTTGTCTTTGTGGAAGACTAGCTCGCCATGGCTTCGTCGAACTGCAATCGCCCGGGTTATGGAACGGACAAAGTACTCAGGTACAGTGACTGCAGGGCTGTTATGGTTCGCAATATATTCGGCAAGACGGACAAAGTCCTGAATCGCAATTAGACGTGCTGGGGCTTTAGAGGATGGACTGGAACGCTCGGTCTCTGGAGGGTGTGATGCTTCAGGAGCTGCCTTCCTAACTCTCCCCTTGAGTCTCCCTGTTGGTTGTTTCTGCTGGTGTTTTTGCTCGCCCTCTGGAGATTTTACAAGAAGGTCCACCGTACAGCCAAGCTTTTTGGCAGTCGTTGCAAGCCAAGATGCCACCACATTTGTGTCCGTTTTGTATTGCAAATAGCTACTTGTTAAGTAGGCGGTCAGCATTTTGTCTGGATTGTTGATCTTTGTTGCAGTTTGCCTCTCAGTTGGTCCTTTTATCGATTTGAAATGTTCAATGTACTGTGAATGACGTAGGCTTGATGAATTGAACAATTCTCGATTGGTTGTTCAAACAGAGATGGTAACGCCAAACAAAAACTGTAGAGAGGCAGGTCTATGCCACGGGTGGAATAAGAAGTGAGTGTATAGAGTTTAATTCTTTGGCAAGAAAAGGAGAAAGACAGTCTGTTCTTCAGGACTAAACCTTGAAAAGGCAGTCCTAATCAACAAATCATCACTCGACGCGGGAAAGTGGCGAAAACCCTGGCTATAAGATATTTTCTTATTTATCAAAGATTCGAGAGCCCTGTATATTATAGCAGCATACACACAGACAAAGCTGTTCTGATGTCAGGATTGAGTTGTGTAGACGGGCAAAGCAGGACTACGCAATGAGGATCGTGTTGCTACTCGTATCTTCCGAGACTACTAATTGCTGGCGAGGCCGCTCTATAAGCTCTAGTTGTATAGATATTGGTCTAGACTTGCATCCTCGTACGTCTAGTCCCACATCCTGCCCTTGAGATGTGATCTTTTACCCTTTTCTTCTGTATGTCATGTTATGCCGCCCTAATCAGGGGCGATGTCCATCACAATCAATTAATGGCTTGCTCACCCCCCGGCTTGGGCGTCAACTGCTAAAGGTCTTCCGCAGGTCACATGATCTCATGAATTCTGTCAAATAAGGTGGGTTGCTCTGACACATGAGAAGGTAAAGAAGACTCATTCTTGGGAGAACAAAACCTTTTGCGTATGGTCACAGACACATGTGGATCAAAGGATGGAAGTCTACACAAACAATCACTTGGTGATATCAGTGCTATAAATGGTCATGTGATGTCGGATATATTGCCGACAGACGATTCTCATATACGGTAACTGACAGTTCCTAAAAGTGCAATTGGCGGCCACCGGCCCGACAAGATTGTCTTAGCGCGAAAGTCTGTCTAGAAGAATCTCTTTGCCATCCGATCCAAAATCCCCGATATTATTACGGATTTGTCGCATATCTTAACTCTCAATCGACGTTGAATAATCTTCTCGAATCTGAGAACATAAACGAGAGCATATCTTTACATTTCCTTCCAAATGTCCTCCGTTATTGCCATCGGCGCTGGTTTGGCCGCGGCCGCCTTCTTCGTACGTCCTACCTGACGAGAATGCATTGATTTTTGCCCGACACTTCATTTTGCTCGGATTCGGTGATTCTTTTCTCAGTCATGATATTGTCATGCTGACCTGCAATTGTCATAGGGTCGTGCGGGTCTCGTTGCCCTTCGTAGATCTCGTGGCGCCGCTGGTGCCCTTGGCCAGACTTTCTACAAAGGTGTGTTTACAGATACTTCCTGATGTTTTAAAGTTTAGGGATTTGTATACAAATGGAGGGAGAAATTTGAGAGAATATCGCTGATGCTGATGTGTCGTATTCTAGGTGGCTTTGCGCCAAAGATGCACCGCAAAGAGGCTGCTTTGATTCTCTCACTCAAGTAAGTGGAGACCTTTCAAATAAACACACTCTTAGCATCCCTTCTCCCACAATGAAGTTTTCGAACCTCACTCCTGAATCGTGCGGAGGCTTGGATCATTTCATTCACTAATGGTTTTCTAATTTCAGTGAACGCGGCGTTACAAGAGAAATCCTCCGAAAGAAGCACCGACAGCTCATGTTGCTCAACCACCCTGACCGAGGTGGAAGCCCCTACCTTGCCACCAAGATCAACGAAGCCAAGGAGTTCCTTGAGAAGGAGACTTCATAAAATGCGCGCGGTTAATGACAAAGGGGGCGTGCACGGAGGCCGAGACGTTCAAAATCGAGAACTGGAAATAATATTGGAAGCGGATGGATACGGGGTTCCCTTCCGACGCGGGCCCATTGAGGGTATTTGAAAATGAAGCTACGGCTACGATTCAGCAGACTTCGCTTTCATATCCTTGATGAGAGTCGAGCACTCGATCCCTCTCTGGATTCCCTCAACAACCGACCTCGACAACGCAATATCACGATGCCGAAAAGGGATCCCGTGTCGCATTCGATCTGCTGAACCGTTCGACTTTCTTGACATCGCTTCATCTTTCACGCTATCCCTTCATCATTTGTCTCCAACAAGCCTCGATTCCCAGCGGAATGCTGCCGACTCTCCAGTTACACATATTCTGTTCCGCTCATCTCCTTCGAAAACGCCTCTCTTCTCCCTCCGGCGCATTTCACATATTCACATTGTACTTTTATCCCTCATCCCCACTTATCCCTTTGCTGCTGTTCAGGAGGACACGTCCCTTTCCCAAATGGGAGGCCGATTCTCTATTTTCTCTATGCCTCCATCTCAGCATTCTCACAGGTGCCGCTTTTTCCCACATCTACCTGTTCTCTTATTATCATCATCACATCTAGCGGATCAAATTAGGGGAACTCATTTGAAGCAGGGCGTTTTAGGATATGGCTAGCTTCTCTTGCATAGTCATTTGTATTATTTATCCGTCATCACATACTATGCATTAGTATAGTTCCAATCAATTTTTACCTCCCAATCAACTTTTACTTCTCATTGACTCAGGGACTTTCCAGCGCTTTTTACCGCAATGAACTCGTGATCACTCATCTTCTACAGGCTCTATGAACGCACATTTCAACTGTTTGATGGCCAAATATGTCAAATCATTTGAGAAAATCAGTATGTAAATGAGTGAATGCATTGTTTTTTCAACCGAAAAAAGAGTACCACCCCTATGTCAATCTCTTTTTTAATTCCATCAAGCGCGCAATGCCCGCGAATAGTGTCTCATCCATGCATTGCTCCGCGGTCCACGAGTCTCCTACCTCGCAAAATAAGCAAAAGAAGAAGAGAGAAAAGAAAGGAAAAAGAAAAAAAAAAAAAAACCCCCCCGGAAACGCAATTTGACTCCGAAATCCGGATCCAGATCCGCAATATCCCAACGCCAATCGCTGGCCATGCAACGAGCAGTAGAACAAAGCAAGAAGTGTAGAAGAGCTCGTAACGTGAAGAGGAAAAGAAAAAACGGAGAGCTCGCAATGTGAAGGGAGGAAAGGGTGAAAAAGCAACAAGCTGGAAAAGGAAGCAGAGAATGTGCTGGAAGGAAAGCGTGGACTAGGAAAGAGAGAAAAGGTTCGATCAAAGGGGGAGAAAAAAAGAACGCCATACTGTCATGAAGGAAGCGAACCACGGCTTATACAGGTCTTAGCTTTCAGAGAACGATTTTGAATCCCGATGTTATCGCTTTCCTGGCGTCTACGAGCCCAAACCGGCAGATCTGACAGGAGGTACCGCCGCCTCATGTATGGTAGTCACGGTGGCTCGCAGAGGAGGGAACGCCTGACCGACGCGTAAGCCGCTGCTGAGATCGCCCAGCACGCCTCGCTCAGCGGCATCTTTGAGCCACTGTTCCCATGCTTCGTCCATCACAACGACATCGGCGCCTCGCTCGCGTGCGGCGGCCGCAGCGAGGAGACGGCGATTCAGCTCGACGCCGACGCTTTCCAACTCTCCGTCGTCATCATCGTTGTCGTCGTTATCGTCTTCGTCTTGTTCGCTTTCGCTGAGCATGCCCTCTGGCTGGGCCACGGGCTCGGGGCGATCGATTGGGACTGCGCTTGTATTTGTGCTTCTGTCTGTGTTGGGAGTGGTGGACATGAGAAAAGGAGATGTGTATGATAGATATGTCCCTGTATGTGTAGTAGACTCTGGGGCGTCCACAATAGGCCGATCTACCTGGGTTTCTGTATGGCTGACAGCGCTCTGCGCGGGGTTTGTAGTCTGCATGGACCTGGCTAGAGGGCAGGCTTCTAAAACGCTTGGTGTCTCATATAATAAAGACATGGAAGTTGGATTTGCAGATGCAGAAGCGGATGCACAAGGGCTCTGAGGCCGAACCCAAGGTTTGATTTCGTCGCCAGTCGTATCTCGAACGATGACGCCTTCTTCCTTTTCGTACCGTTCTCGAGCCCATTTGGTGCCCTCCCATCGACACAGACTCGCGATTTCGGATTCCGTGAGCCCAAGCTCGTCAAAGGCTCGGAATAGTCGTCGATGCCACGGAAACCGACGTAGTCGCATGCGATGAGGCCCATAGGAGTAGTTGAGCCCAGGGTAGCGAGCCTCTGTGCTGTCGAGAGCGCCATAGAATGTGGTCGTCTCCAAACGCACTTCAGGTACGATGTTGCGACTGACGTGTGCGGAAAACGACGAAGGGTCTGCTGGTCGTGGGTTGGGAAATAGATGATTGTAGACTAGTTGGGGAAGAGGGATGTTTCGACGCATGATGCCGATCGAGTAGTTCGCGTTATTTAAGGGTTTGAGTTCTGAGGATTCTGCCCCGTCGAATCAGACGGGCTGTGTGCCAGCAGTGCTTGGGCTTTTGTCGGACAAGGTGTAAGGAAAAAAAGAGAGAGCCCTTAAAGTGACTATGACTGGCTGCTCTAAGAGTCTGAGGAGGCTCTGCTCTTGCCACTGGTCCGGAGAAATAAAGGACGAGGGGGGCGGTTAAGAGGAAGATTGAGTAGCGGCAGTTTGTTTGTTAAATGATGCGAGGAGAGAGTGTCGATAGCGATGATCAATATTGGCAGCCAAATGACTCGTTTGGCGTGTCACACTGCCGGAGGAAATGCGACTAAACAAAGGCACGGGTCACTGCTGAAAGTGGCCAACTTTATTGTTGTTGTTGGGCCCTCACAGGTTCCTCGTCGTGTCACGTCCTTTGCAGGAATGTTGTGATGCTACTATATATGCTCTTTCGTTTGTTTCGAAGGGGGGAAAGGGTCCCCTTTTAGTCTCAGGTACGCGAGGGAACAGCGCGGTTATGATTACCTATTTATATAGCCCATGGAGAAGACGAGTTTTTTCGTTTCGATTAATTATTGCTAGTTCCTCTAGTACGACGGGTAAAACAGACAAGACGCAGCCCACTTCCCGTTTGCTTGCTGGGCACCAGTCCCACCTTGCACTTGCCATGAATGTTGGCTGGGTGGATCAAGAGATGATGGACGCAGCATGAGGCACAAAGAGCACTAAACCCATCTCCGATAGCAAATAGCAACAAAGGACTTGAAGATAATACAGGGGACCTGGAAACTTTAATGCACGCAATAAGCACAGTGGGCAACGAGGCTCTGGAGACTCGAAGGCTGCTTGGAGACACGTATTGACCCGATATTGACCCTTAGATTTGCCATCTTTTTGCCAGAACTTTCTGGCCCGCTTCATCCAGCTTGGCAGGAGCTGAGAAATCCTCATTCATGGCTAGAAAGAGAAGATTTGTTATCGTAATCGGCTCGATTATACCGGTCGGGCGGTTTGACTCCTAACCAGGATGTTGCAGGAAGTGGGGTGGCTCGGTATGTGGTAATAGCCCGATGCATTTGCAATTATCAAGCGCGGCTTTTTTTTTTCTGGGCTCTAGCGGCTCTGCCGTCGACCGAATTTTTGCCATGGACAGGCATATCATTTTTTTCTGCACGAAGGCATCAAAGAGTATTAGTTGTTTGCCCCTTCTTCGACAATATAATCCCTGCCAAAAGGGGAGCGCCGTTGTCACACACAAGACGGACCACGGTTTCCATGAGACTCACGTACTGCAAATGCAGGATAAGCTGCAGACTCACTCAAGCAATGCCATGTAAGGTGTGTGGTGTGTCACGCTGTGGCAGCGCAGCCCAAGAGTCACAAATGATGATCCAAATTCTGCCGAATCCCAGCGCCATTCAAGGGTTCTCGGTCTCACCAAACCCCCCAATCAGAAGCCATGGAGCACATGTCCCGGACCTGGGCGGACAAGCCATCCGCCTTCATCTTTGCAGCTAATCTGCTCGGCGCGAGTCTAAACAAATCTGCAGCACACAGCAGGAACCGGGCAGGCTTATCAACGGCGGTGTCCTGTAACAAATCATTACCTCTGTAGCCCCGAAGCAATGCTGAAGTCACGATGGTCTGTATCTTCGCTTTCTCCGTTATAGCCCTGCAATCAGGGGGCACAAGGGGCGAAACCGCAAAGACTTGCATGTCTTTTCCTTGGATTGAAATCGAATACAGAAACGCGTCAGATGATATGTGTCGTCAGTGCTGTGTACGAGTATCTAGCACTTGGTTAACCCTCGCCTTGCTCAAACACGCTAAACGACCAATCACTTCTCGTGTCTTTCGATTGACCGTTGTCATCTTCTGCTTCTGAATCCCCGATGAGAAAACATGAATCAATCATGAATATGAGAGCAATAAATGATCCCCCATAATATCAGAGAAATGCGACCTTGCGAGTGCCAATGGTCGGTTGCCTTGTGGGCTGCAAGATGCTTCGCCGCACCGTTAGAGTCTTGTCTCGGACCGTGCCGTAGTCCTTATCCCCCACCAGCCCAACTTTATGCCTACGGAACGATTAACCTCGTCAAAGAATCTGCTCGTAGATTATTGGACCGCAGCATCACTGTTTCCTCCATCGACCAATGATGGTATACATATGTTATATTAAATATTGATGCGTCCATGACGCCTCTTGATGGGACTCAGCCTGGGGTCCGTGCCTGTTTCGGTCTATGAATAAGCCCTTATGCATACATGGCAGGGAATAGGAAGAGGCGAATGACGAATGATACCTAACTTTCGGTCATGTCGACCTTCAAGGGTCTTGTCGCTGGTACAGTACAACGTATATTTATCCTCCAACGCAAAGCTAATTGAAGATCAAGAGTTTCCTGAGATTAGGAGTAAGTCTGTTTGACGCAGAATTTGAGAGCAATAATCTCCTTATGCTGAGGTTGAGTTCCCAGTCGATTATTTTCGAACCATTACGGGTGTAACGCCGCCATTGGTTTGTTTCCTTAGCCATGTCCACAGTGATCATCTCTTGGGGCTGGAGTCTCTCAAAGCTCCATTTATTTACTGCTCCGCTGCTACCAGAGAAGTATGAATAAGCGCCAAAAAAAACTTTACCATCCCCATTTGCTGACGCACAGTAATTCAGTTGTTGCTACGCTTGGAAAAGTATCCCCATCGCATGAATTTTGCCAAGGGCATCCTCGAATGTCGCAAGCAGCATTATAAAAATCTGAAGAATCTTCTTGTGCGTAGCAACATATTTATGAGCAAATTGAGGATAAAGTTCTAATGTTCTGCAGAAGTCCATACCGTTGGAAACACCAACATGTTTGGAATTGTCACCGGGAAGAGAAATCCGCGTGACGCTCTTCGATGTAAGTGGAGCCTGTGCCTACTGAGAGGAATGAGATTGCCTGACGGCAACGAGGCCAACCATTGTGTCGGGGCTGTAATGTTCCTAATTGAGGGTGAGGGGAAAGCAGTTCTTTATACCGGAGACATTCGAGGTAGGATCCCCCGCATGACCCAACGGGGTATTTGGAAACTGAGTTGGTATGCACAGCTGAACCCTGGTGGGTTAATACGCTTACGCGGAATCCTATTCTGCTTCCATACACTTTGGGAAGCCGCCGGCTAGATAAAATATACCTTGACACCACGTTTGCTACCAAAGCAGATATATACTGCTCCTTTCCTACAAAGGGCGAGGGCCTCCAAGAATTGCTCACAAGGATAGCGCAGTATCCGGAGGAGACAATTTTTCATTTTAATTCTTGGACGTTTGGTTATGAACAAGTATGGGTTGCGCTGACCAGTGCTCTCAGATCTCCAGTAGATGCTCACTTCTATTCCGTATCCCTTAAAATTAAATCACTGACTACTCGTATCTCTAGATGCATGTCGATAGCTACAAAATGAGACTTTACAAGTCCCTCACAGCTAGCGGTGAAGGTGCTCCAATACCAGAGGCTTTCGCATTGGCTGGGTTTAAGTGCGGCAACCGGCATCACCCCGGTTGCCTGACCAGCGACCCTACCGTGCGACTCCATGGCTGCGAGAGAGGCATGGCTTGTTCTACAGTGATGTCTAGTGATGTCGTGCATATTATACCGATAATTTCGCGTTTAGGGAATGGGCTCGAACTTCCGGAAGTTGGAGCTGGCGGCGGCCAGGGCGATTTACTACAGGTGCACGAACTGGAGCTCAGCGATACCACAGCCGTCGGTTCCCTCATGAATCTCTGTAAAACTCAAGTACACGATGTGGAAGCGTTTGCTAGGGTGTGCTCCTTGATATCGAAAGCGATGCTCTCGACGCGTCAAGTGCTGTCTCTCGAGGCTGGGCTCTTGAACAAAGAAAACACGATCCCGTTGACAGAATTAATTGAGCTTCTCGTCAAAGAGGCAGAAGAAGAAGAAACAAACAACAAATCTGCTGAAAATCGGACATCAGACGTCACACCAAAGCACGATGTTAAGATTCTGCCACGAAGAATTGTAAGTAGAGGCTTCTTTTCTTTCTTGCCACATCTCTCTGACGTTGCATGCCACTTAGACATTCCCTTACTCACGGCATTCCTCGTACGAGGAGCTTTGCCACCTCGTGGAAGCTTTTCATCCAAAGGATATCTATCCATGCACAGTTGTTGAAGAAGAGCAATGGAACAGCAGTCTCAGCATGCAGTCCCTTTTTGGCCATTTATGTTCCGGCAACGAATTCAGCCACGATCAGGAAATGCTCGCTGCTCAAGAGTCACGGGGGGTCGGGAGGGTTAAAAAACGCCAGAGACTCGAGGAAAGTAGTCAGGACGTCGCAATCTCTCCACACAGCCAACGAACCCAAACAACAGAGGCCAGCCCAGCAGCGTCACAGGAACATGAGCAGAACGCCACTTCCCTACTTCCTCACAATGTCGACCTTCTTACACCCACGCAAATAAACCTTAACGATCCTGCAATCCTTCCCGAAGCTGCTCAACACGGCAACGCCACCAGTAATGAACCGACATTGTCTGAAACACAGGCAGTAAGAGAACGCAATCAGCGCTTACACGCCATTCAGAAAGCACTCAAGAGCCGCATGGGTCGTAAGAGGGCAGAGACACCCGCAGGAGAATCGGCCAGTGATGTGTCATCATCCATAGAGCCGTCCGTGACCCGGAGAGCCAGCCCGCCGCACCTTCGTCGACAGAAGTCTACTCATGTCCGGCAAGACTTTGTTCCTTCTTCTTCTACTTCTCTACCAAACATTCAACGTGCCACTCCTGCGCCTGAATCTCGACCTGAAAATCAGGTTCAAACACGCTCCGCGGAGACATCAAATATCAATTTTACCATTGAGGAAACGCTCAATCCTGATTTATCAAGTGCTCAATCCCCTTCCCTTCAACATCCTGAAATTACAACATCTACATCTCAAAACCAAGCATCTCCCCTCTACCAGCCATTTCCTGGATCGTCCTCAGCGCCACCGAATCTCATCGACGACTCGCAATCAAGCATCTCTCATTTAGACGACGATGCAGATGATAGCGAGGGACCTATATCTCCATCCCGGCTAGAAGATCGCCGGGACGCGTACCGAGCGGCCTTGGCTACATTATATACTGGCGACAAGAGCGTCATTTCATGGACAGACTTTTCTCTATTGTCGGCGGGTAATAGCCACTCGCGTGAAGAGGAGGAGCTTTGATAATAAGCAAAACCCAAAAAGGCGTGTGTATTTTTTCTGGATTGTACAGTGGACGCTAAAAGGCGATGGCCAATATGAGAGTCAGTTTGCTTTGTAATAAATATGTAATCCTATTCATCTTCACCTGTATACTGTATATTATGTCTGGAGTATAGTTGTTTCAGAAAGTCAGAGATATACTGGAGCAGCAGCAGCAATTTGCTTCCAGGTTGTATATTATCATGAATTATCCTTGGCACCTTGCAACCTTTGCACGTTGCACGTTTCCTGTCTTACCAGAGGCAAGATGTCATGCTACAGCAGAATGAAAAGAGTAATGTAAATGTATTTCGTCACTGACAAATGTGCCTATGTTAAGATTAATAAATATCACTTTGAATTTCCAAAACTAGTAATATGGTATCATTGAGATTTTTTGTCTTTTACGCTTTTTGCCAACATGAACATCATGGCATATGTTGAGAAATTGGGTCCTCAAGTCAAAAACCCCCCACGCTTTAGAGGTCCAATGACTTGATCAGATAATTTTAATAGACGTAATAATTCTGAGTCAATGGCAAGGTCGTGGCAGGTGCGGCGGCGCAGACTTGGCCATCCGCTTCGACAGTCTAGAATGTAACATTAGATCGACACGTTTTTTCAGAATCTCCAGAAAAATACATCGCAAAGAGCGAAGGAGAAAGAAAATACAAAAGGAGAAAAGGGGGATAGGAAAAGAAAAAGAGGGAGACAAAAGTGAATCGAAGAAAAGGAGAGGCTATGGGTAACATAAACTCACATAGGATTCAGGATCGACTCTCATCCGAGGCATGGCATTGTTGTGCTTCATATCGCGCTTGCTGATATTTCGGCAGTTTTTCACAGCTCGAACGCGTTTCTTGAGATTGTATGATTGGATAGTACCCGTCGAAATGCTGGCTTGCGAGACAAATAAGACGCTAGTGCTGGGTACAAGAGGCTGAAGGGTTCAAATTAGCTTGCTGAATAGAAAACCTTCTTTCTCTACACGCTCTACGCGCTCAGAACAACAAGGGAAGTAAAGAGAAGATGCACGTACGGCAAACATGGGTCGCATAATTATCGGTTCAATCGTGGGGATCCTAAATCTTTCTGTCAGGTCTCCTTCTGGAAAATGGGTCGAGTCATGGTTGGTGCGTAACAAGACTTACGATCCATTAGGGTCACCCTGTTAAAAAAAAAGGATCGCGGGTTAGCATTGTGACAAGATCAACAAGGACAGAAAGAGGACTTACAATCTGACTGTAAGATATCATACCACCCTTGAGAACAGTGCTGGGTTTAGTGCCAAAGTTTGCTGGAGTCCAGACTACCAAGTCTGCTAATTTGCCGACCTCGACGCTTCCGATGATATGGCCCACGCCCTGCGCAATGGCCGGGTTGATGGTGTACTTGCTAACATAGCGTTTCACGCGGAAATTGTCTGCCCCAGTCCCCTCGTCCTCCTTTAGGGAGCCGCGCTGGAGTTTGTTCTTGTGGGCCGTGTGCCATGTTCGTGTGATTACCTCTCCGCATCTGCCCATAGCCTGGGAGTCTGAGGACATCATGCTAATCGCACCAAGGTCGTGAAGCACGTCCTCGGCGGCAATGGTCTCGGCACGGATACGACTCTCTGCGAATGCTACATCCTCTGGAATGTTCTTGGACAAATGGTGGCAAACCATCAACATGTCAAGATGCTCGTCGAGAGTGTTTCGTGTATAAGGTCTGGTAGGGTTGGTACTGCTGGGAAGCACATTTGGGTGTTCAACCACGGAGATGATGTCTGGAGCGTGTCCACCACCTGCACCCTCAGTGTGGTAGGTATGGATGACTCTGTTCTTGAACGCTGCTACAGTTTGCTCCACAAACCCTGATTCGTTCAAGGTGTCCGTGTGGATCAGACACTGAACATCATGTTCATCGCAGATGCTATGCCCTTTACTTTAGTTCCGTGATATGGCAAGAAAGACGACAAGGAATCAACTTACCTCAAGCATGCATCAATAGCAGCGGGCGTCGAGCCCCAATCTTCGTGCAGTTTAAGACCCGCAACTCCAGCAACACATTGTTCGTGCAATCCAGCTGTACCGCTATCATTGCCTTTACCAGTGATACCGTAATTGACTGGTAAGTTGTCGCAGGCTTGCAACATTTGCTTGATCAGGTTCGGGCTAGGAGTGCACGTGGTTGCATTGCTACCCGTGCTGGGCCCAGTTCCTCCACCAAGCATCGACGTAACACCAGAGCAGATGGCTTCATATGCTTGTTGAGGGCAAATCAAATGGACATGAGTATCAAAGCCACCAGCAGTGACTATTTTACCCTCGCCGGCAATCACGTCTGTGCAAGAGCCGACAATCATCTTGGGATCCACACCCTCCATGACATCTGGATTGCCTGCTTTTCCAATACCCACAATCATGCCGTGCTTGATACCAATATCTGCTTTGTAAATACCAGTCCAGTCAATGATAAGGGCATTGGTGATGACGCTGTCGAGTGTTTCCTGATCCGACCTGCCAGTGGCTTGACCCATTCCCTCTCGCAACGTCTTTCCGCCACCAAACGCACACTCGTCACCATATCGAGTAAAGTCATCTTCGACTCTGATCCAGAGATCCGTAGCACCAAGACGAACGAGATCGCCCGTAGTGGGCCCGTACATGTTAGCATATGCGGCTCGATCCATGGAAAACGCGTCAATAAAACCCATATCTCCGATTGGTTCTGGGGTGTGAAGAAAGCCTCCTGCTTGTATGCGGCGAGAAATCTCATCAATACGACTTGTATCAAAAACACCTTCAGCAATGCTATTGCCGCCCCGAATAACCTTATGGCCCGCGATCTCAACAAGGGTGACAGTCTTCGTATCTCCTGGCTCAAAACGCACGGACGTTCCGGCGGGAATATCAAGCCGATATCCATAGGATTTGATTCGATCGAATTCGAGCAAAGGATTGGTCTCGATAAAATGATAATGCGATCCAACCTAAAATTAAGTGATCAATTTCCAAAGTCCTGGAAGCCGTCTCCATACAGTATTCAAGTGACTAGGATGGATCATACCTGAATCGGTCTATCGCCCTTGCTCACCACCTTCAACTTGATCCGTCTCCTTCCCTCGTTCAAAGTGATCCGGCCCTTTTTCACTGGAATCACGGCGCCTGGCATCTTCTCGGGCTCGTACTCCGATGCATCAAGTAGCGGGAAAGCATCCTTGGGAGGGATAGGAAGAAAGCTCCCATACAAAGCTCTCTCGAGGTTCCCGTCATCGCTGCTAATAGGGTGGTGGACCGTTACAAGGAAGGTGCCTGAGGGGAATGTGCCCTCAACTTGAAGCTCTACCAAAGAGGAGACGACGGGAGGAAGGACGTGTCGGCGGCCGAGCATTGTCTTGCCAAGGGCCATAAGCTCAGCAACGGAATGTTTGCCATCTCGAATAAGCTGTAAAACAGACCGGAGTTAGCTATAAACTCAGCAGCTCCCACTCCAGGATAGTCCCGTACCTCATGAAGATTACTCGCAATCAATGCCTATCCATATGCAAAGCAATTGCCATAAGCGTCTCGAAATTCCAGTGTTCATTCGTAACAGTCCGCGCGCGAAGAACAGCTCCCGCTTCCCGCGTCCTGTGAACAAATTGACTCACCGTTGCTTCCACATGGTTGAGCTTGACACCTCTCGCAAGTCGCCGCTGGGCTAGCTGGCCAAGCTGCGATATGACAAGCTTGTCGATCTACTCCCCGATTGTAAACATTAGTCTAGTGGTTTAAGCTAGATCCGATAAACAGTATTATAGCTTTTACAGCGGATTCAAAGATTCAAGGAGCTGTAATTCCGACTCCCAATGCGATACCTCTTGCCATTGTCCTCTGGGGCATCTTGAATGGCATGTAGGAGAGCAGTGTAAATCAAAGCATCAAGTGAACTCACTTCTCGCGGGATTAGGTGCATTCTTAAGCTGTTGTTCAAAAGAGCATATGTATCAAGGTTTGATCTATCATGAGAAGAAGAACGGACAGTGTGATCGATCAACGGGAGAGAAATGCGGGGAATTAGTCAAGGGAAGCAATAACAGAGAGAAGGAAAAATAATGCAGGGTGCTGTCTAAGGTAGGTAAGTTAACCTGGAGATTTCCCAAGGAGCTTCGGAGGAGCCCGCCAATGCCGTTGATAGATAAACATGAACTGATAGCGGGGTCTCAAGGAACGTCCAGCTCCCCATGGCTGATCCGGGTTTAGCTGAAAACACGCTAAGCGAAGGTTTACCCCTCGCTGGCTCTTCGCGTGAAGTTCCCAATAAGTTACCAACAGGGCCAAATGCCTACTAGGTATGTACGAGTACGGAGCGTACTACTATCAAAGTGAGGGTTTCTGCCTGGTAAAGCTTTTATATAGGTACGATGACAGATCCAAACTTGCTTTCACGTAGGAATATCTGCCCCTTCAGCTAGCTCTCCATAGGGGGCGAAGTAGGTTATAGTGCTCAGTTCTGCCCTACAGCCTTAGGCTTGCTGCAAAGAAATGTCTTCCTCACCACCGGTCACACTGCACCATAAGACACCTCCAGTCCACTGGAGAGATCCTTAACCGCGCTCTAATCAGAACTAGTGAAAAGGCCCGTAAGAGCGAGGAAACAAAATCCTTGCCGCACATGCCAGCAAGTTTGAAGCACACGTAGATATTTACAACCAGACATTTCAAACACGTTCAATTATATCTGCAAAGCACAGAATACTCGAGGTGGTAGGAGCACACTCTTCTCTCTAACCGTGCACTTATTAACTACATTCCCAATTTATCCATGAGTGTATATCCTGAACCCCACGGCCTAAAACGTGCCACAAATCAAAGAGGAAGAGCAACGGTAAACAGGTCAATCCATCATGACACAATATCCTGCATATTGCAGAGCAGGTAAAAAAAGCAGTGACGCCACTGGCCAACACGCAATAAGGATCATTGACTCAACCCCTCCCCGTAACTTGATGAAACACAAGGATCAGGTTGAAGAAACCTAGTCGCGGAGATGCTTTACTCATTGACAGCCTCGCTCTTGCGCTTCTTGCGGGGGGCCTTCTCCTTCTTAGGCGGCTCCTTTGCAGGAGCAGCAGTCTCAGCTGCAGCCTCCTCGGCGCCCTTGGACTTCCGCGATCGCCGCTTCTTCGGCTCCGGGGATTTGATCTCAGGTGCCGCCTCCTTCTTGGCACTTGGGGGGAGAATCGGGGCAGATTTGGCAGGAGAGGGCTGCGCCGGGGAGCTGGCAGCCGCAGCACTGGCGGCGGTCTTGCGACGCTTGTTGACAGGAGAGGCAGGCTTAGGTGGGGCAGGCTCCTCTTCCTGTTCCTCCTCTTCTTCCTCCTCATCATTGCTGCCGGCAGAAGCAACGGCTTCCTGCTCAGCCGCCAACTGAGCAGCAGCATCCTCGGAGTGATCGGCCCCTCCGGTCTTGGCCTTGTATTCCTTCATCTTTTCTTGGTACTTGGCAAGATTTTCCTGATAATATTCCTTCCATTTCTGTATCATACAAGCAATCAGAGACCCAATCCCGGAATAGTCCATCATCTGGGAAGGGGGAGGGGAACACTTACGAGCTTGTCCTGATCGGACATTTCAGCCCAGCGCTTGGTGCCCTCAGCACTAATGTCCTTGGGACGCGCTCCTTCACCAAGAGCTTTCATAATGTCCTGGCGCGCGAATTGCATGTAGAGAAAATATGGGGTCAAGGGACGCTTGGGCGCGTTCTTGTCGTGAGCCCGCTTCTTGCGCTTCTTCTTCTCGCCGGCATCAGCGACCATACCGGGGGTGAGGCCGCGCTGCGCCAGAAGCAAGCCATTATCGCCGAGCGGGTTCGAGAGAGACAAGAAGTCCAAAGTTGGGCCCGCGCCGGGACGGCCAAGAACAGTGTTGCTATGGTTGATGTACGCACGCGACAAGTCCTGGACGGCCGATTGAAGAGTAGCAAGGCCAGTAACGACCTGATTGCGCGGTTAGCCGGAATACAAGAACAAACAGAGACAGGCGCAAAAGCAAAAAGTTGCGTAGAGCTAGAATTGTGGTGTTGAAGATGCGATCCCACAGGGAAACGCGACGCGAAGGACCAATGTAAACAAGCCAAGAGCAGAACGCGTATCGCTGTCGTGTTGGAAGAAAATTGGTAAACCGGAGGAATGAGCGATAGCGTGTAAAGACAATTAATAATAAAGATGAATGCGACACAGAATCAATCAAAAAATTCAGATAGAACAGGGGCTTCTCGTGAGACAAGACGGTCGCGTTCTTGTGAAGGATGTTTAACTGACGCGCAGTGATGAGGTGGCTTACCGAATCCCTGGTACGGATGAAATCCTCAATGCTGATTTGAAGAGTCGCAGCCTCCTTGGGCTTCTCTTCAGTCTTCTTAGGACGAGCCATGGTGTTATTTATGGGTTCCTTTTTTCAGCAGAAAATAATTGTTACAGAAAGGCAGAAAATGCGTGCGTCGCAGGAAGTGAAGCGTATGAAGGGGTGTAGGTGGGCGATCGGGTGGTTTTGGTTCGCTCTCGGATGGGGGAAGGGAGAGTGGAAGGAAGGTAGGTTTTTTTCAGGCCAGGGTGCGGGCAGGGCCCACTAAAATACGGGCGTGCCGACACCCCCAAACCTCGTTGATCTCGGTTACAGGTCCCATGCCCTGCTGGCTTTTTCCCTCAGCGCCTCACCGCTGACACCCCCCCCTCCGTCCCCATCGCAGCTACAACGCCCAGACACGGCCAAATCCCCATGTAGATCGTAAACATGCCACTCCGACTGTTTGTCTGGATTTCACCAAGTCAGATGATCGAGAAACTGTACCTGAATATGGCTGTACATGTGCAATGATTGCTTATATTCTTTCTATCCTATTCTAGATTTACCAAAAAGATATTTCTCCAGTATTTGATTTTGAGAAGAGATTGGAATCGAATATTGAATGCGGCAAATGAATAGTGGTACGTAGGTAGGTAGGGCCAAATGCCGACGTCAGTGAAACCAGTGGTGGGCGCATCACTAGGACGCCAATAGTGTCGACTGCCCACTGGCGACCTCTGAAGGAGGGTGGACCGAAACTTTCTTCTGGAGCGCGGGCAGTTACTACTCCCCTTACCCCTCCCTGGCAGGCTGGTCGGTGGTGAGAGAAGGAAGGACTCCCCGGCGTTAAGAGGGTAAAGGTGGTCACGAAGACTTTACTCGAACGCTCAACGCAGTTTAGCGGGCATTGGGAACATCGCATCGCACGATTGATCGGTCAGAACCTCGCCGCATTCAGTTAAGCCTTTTGGCATGGAGGTAGACGAGCGACGAAACAGCGGGAGCAGAGTGACTCCCAAACCAGTTAAGGAAATGATCAGAATTCCCATCGACGAGCCCGCCTCACAGTAGAAGAGAGCTTCAGTAGGCGAGGTGTTGTGGTGGTAAAGACTAGGGGCCATTCCACAGCTCTCGGTGCCGACTTTCAGTTATCTCTCCTCTCACCTTCAGTCATGCTCCCCTGCGAGTTGGTACGGCAGCTTTCAGCCAGACCCAGCTCCCTAAGAGAAACTCTAATTGAGGCGCTGGCTGGGGGGGATCTACTCGCTAGGATGACTTGTTCCTTGCCAGAGAACTCGCCTGCACGGTACTAACCACTTTACCTTGTTTCTATCATCGTTACTCCTCTCGCTCTAGTTAACCCGTGCATTTAGGCAGAAGGCCAGAGGGACGGGCAACACGGTTCAAGCTGATTACTTTCATCTAACCTCCCGTTCCAGCTTTGATCATGCCTGGTAATGTCCGGAAATGCCCTTGTACGATAGCTTAATATTAACTGCCAATATCTTCATCAAATTGGATCGGTTCACTGTCTGCCAACCCTCGATAGTCATGTTATCATTGTACACTCCGTTTGACATTCTCCTGTTCTTAACCATTGAAGCGGCTTAGGTATATTCTCCAAATAGACTTGGAATGGGTCGTATCCTGAATTATAACAGCATATCCCTCTTCCACCTCGCCGAAAGGAAATATTTTATTATTTCTGTTTCCGTTAGTTTCAGCTCTCATTTACTCCCATGCCTAACAGATCATTAAGTAGTCCGTATGGATAAAGCGCAACAGCCGCTTAGGCATCCGGCAATAATTCGACTCGGCATTTTAGAATCCCATCTGCTCGCACTCTTCTCCCATGCCGTCTATTTTTGATTTAATCTTCAGCTTAATCTCTTTTACGACGAGTAAAAGTCAAGTAATACATTTTATTCAGCAATTCCAAGCACCCTGTATATGCTTGGTATCAAATCAAATTGCAAAGCTTCGCGAGGATTTATTAATTTAATGTTATGATATTTATCCAAGAGACCCACGAGCGCTGGCAGTACAGTCATGAACTTTAGATGCAATTCTCTAATCTGCTGGAGCTGGACCTACCTACGGAGTAGGGCGAGTACCTTGGTTACGGCAAGTGTTGATGGTAATCTTAGCTAAGCGCAGTGAAGTGCGAACGAGATGTCGTGCTTGGTGGATCCTTACGTCATCCATTCGGCGTGAACCGGCGGAAATGAATCTCCCTAGCCGCCATCTTAACTCGGGATTTCCAACCTCAGGCTTTTGCTACGTCTTCATCAATCAATTTTCCTTGTGCACGGCGCTATAGATTGTGGACTCAATTGCAGTCAGCACCGCATCATATCATCATTACAGGAGCAATATCTATTTCTATTACCTTTGATTTTTAAACAATGTTCGCGCGACAAGCTTTCCGCAGCGTTCAGCCGCTGAAGAACGTAAGCATTCGCTTTTCCTTTGCAGGTTCCTTTGCAGTGTGCATTCCACCCTCAAGCCCACTTTGAGGCATGTTGTGTCATTTTTAGATTCATTGGACCTCAATTTGTGAGGATTCGGTGATATAGAGCAATTTTTGGGGGGGTATCGGTGCAGCTTGATCTCTGGGCTTTGCTTTGCTTTTCAGCGCTTGTTTGAGTTGTCTTGGATCTAGAAGACTAACATGATATATTACTAGAGCGTCCGTCACTACGCGACAGAGCCCAGCAAGGGCGGTTCTAGCATTCCCATCTACGCCGGTGTTGCCGCTGCTGCCGCTCTTGGTGGTTACTACTACATCAGCAAGCAGCCCTCCGCCAACGACGCTCCCAAGCCCAGCCAAGAACAGAAAGTCGTTCCCAAGGATGCTGGCGCACGTCAGAGCCTCACCTTCAAGGGTGGTGACCAGGGCTGGATCAGCCTGAAGCTCGATAACGTGGAGGAAATCAACCACAACACCAAGCGTTTCCGCTTCGAGCTTGCTGACAAGGACGACGTCTCTGGACTGAACATTGCCTGTGAGCAAAACTCTGCTGGATTACCCTGGGATATCTCCGCTAATCATCGGCAGCTGCTTTGCTCACAAAGTACAAGGGACCTGAGATGGAGAAGGCTGTCATTCGGCCGTACACTCCCGTCAGCGACGAGGGTAAGTACTCCCGGGCGAGAACGCTTGACTGCCACTAACACTGCACAGACACACAAGGATACATTGACCTTGTGGTTAAGAAATACCCCAATGGCCCCATGTCCGAGCACCTGCACAGCATGAACCCCGGCCAGCGGCTGGACTTTAAGGGTCCCATCCCCAAGTACCCCTGGGAGGCTAACAAGCACAACCACATTGCCCTTCTCGCTGGTGGAACCGGTATCACGCCCATGTTCCAGCTGACGCGGGCTATCTTCAAGAACCCCGACGACAAGACCAAGGTCACCCTCGTTTTCGGTAACATCAGCGAGCAGGACATTCTATTGAAGAAGGAGTTTGAGGAGCTCGAGAACACTTACCCCAACCGATTCCGTGCCTTCTACGTCCTTGACAACCCCCCTGAGGGCTGGACTCAGGGCAAGGGCTACATCACCAAGGAGCTGTTGAAGACCGTCCTTCCCGAGCCCAAGTCTGAGAACATCAAGGTGTTCGTTTGCGGACCCCCTGGCCTGTACAAGGCCATTAGCGGTACCAAGAAGAGCCCCGCCGACCAAGGCGAACTTGACGGCTACCTTAAGGAGCTCGGATACAGCAAGGACCAGGTTTACAAGTTTTAGAGGATATGAATAGACCTCTCTTTTCTTTTTTTTTTGAAATACTACTATTATATTATGTATTTTACGTCTCTTTGTCTCTCAGCGCTTTAACGCATAAGAGGATCAGTTTTTCCAGGCATTTCAACACACGCAAGATTAGAGATGAGATAAAATATAAACCGTCTCTTCCAGCAAGCAAGCGTCATGCTTACCAGCAGTTGAATCTCTGTGTATCGAAATAATATATGTCTACAAAGTCGGCTTATAGACAAAGAATGGCTAGGTAGGTAGGTATTTACCTAGCCAAAATGTTTCGCGATCGCCCGCGTGGAAGCCGACCAGACGAGCTCCTCGCTCGGAGCTCCCTCTTTACCACAACGCCGTCAACTTTCTTTAACGAGGTACTGTAGGTATGTCGCCCCTCGGCTGGTCGTCGGCAACTCTCGTGCCAGGTGTGCCAGAGTTGCGAGGTTGACATTAGGGACTCGGGAACATTTACCACCAGCCAGGCTGCCAGGGCCAGGCTGCTCTGCTCGCTTGCTTACCGGAGCGAGGGAGTCTCGCTTTACTCCCGAGTCTTTCCCGCGGCAGCAACGTGGGCCAACGCTGGTTGGGGCCTGTGAGCGGCCTGGCGGTTGGCCCGAGGCTGCCAGGTCTAGCAGCCTTCCTCAGTGCGGGGACTCGGTCCCTGTGTTCTCAACTTTTCATGGTTGTGGACCTATAGTCGATACTCGATACAGTTCATGCAGTCCTCCTGCGCTGCTTTACATACCAACTTTATTGTAATCTAACGTAACTTGGTTATTCCCAAGGGATGGGTTTTAGTGAGAACTTCAAAGAAAAAGAGTACATAAGGAGATTCAGAGTTAAAAGTATTTTTTCTTTTGCCAAAAAGAAATGTTCAACTGGATAAAATAAAAGAAAGAAAAAATGAGTCGTTCATGAATTTTTGTTCCTCTTTTTTATTTTTTATTTTTTTTTTCCCTCCTAAATAGAATGTTCAGATAGATATAAAAACAAAAGAAAGAAGGAAAAATAAGATAAAATCAAAAAACAAAAATAGATGATGAAAACGAAAAGGAAGAAAATGAAATGAAATAATAAAACACTAAAATATTAAACCAAATCAAGACACAACCGTACGACCTCTGTGACTAGTCTTTTAGTAAAATAGTATGATGGTTTTGATCTGACAAATGAACACAGTACAAGACTAGGTTGACTTTCACGATACGGAACCTACGGATTTAAAGTAGACTGGTAGTATAGAAGCTACTATATTGAGAAAAGAAGTGCAGCGAGAAGAAGGGGGGTATGGACTCATGGACTTGTGAACAGACGCCAAAAGGAAGCAAGACAGAAGTAAACGAAAGTAAGATAGAAGCAGCAGAAGCAAAACAGAAACAATGTCTTTTGTTCATATCCAGTATACCAGTTGGTACTGTGAAAGACACTACATTGATACAAGCTGGTCATACGGCTATTCCATGCAAAGGATACGAGTCATGCCATCTGTTTACCGTGCCTGGCATCCACGTCACAAAGTTCGGATAAGGATATGGTATTATAAGGCTAGGATATTGTACTGATGATTAGATTCATTGGAGTACGTACATTGAATTATACACTGGTGTCATAGTGAGGGAAGACAAGTTGAAAGTGCTTGATGATAGATTGAATGTACTATGTATTAGACGAAGAAGTCTGCATGGCACGAGCACACAGGGTCTGTAAATAGTGACAGTAAATATTGACGATAACTACCACTGGTCAGAAGGGTTTGGATATAACTAAAGCACCTCTAAGAACAAGTGCTCTCGACGGCAACGGGGCTGATGAGCCGAGGGCCCGATGAGCCGGCGCTTGCAAACCAGAGAGCAATTAGCTGCGAAGTGATAATTATGTCTTTCGACGCGTAGATGCTGGGGCACGGTGCCCTGAAGAAGTCAAGGGACGGAGGACACATTGATGTGTCAAGATGGTCGGCATATTAGACAGCTGTTATGGCATTTATGCTTCATGGCGCCTGTGCGTTTGCTACTTGGCGACTGACACCTTATAACGACGCTTGAGCTTCGTTCTGCTTCTTGGGCCGCTAGACATGTGGAGCAAAGTACCACCAGCTTTGGCCGGGATAACGCTATTTGGCATCATTGGTGCCAAAGGAAGAACCAGGTCCGTTGATCAGACCTAGTAGTATGTGACGTTCCATTTGAAACGCACGACATGGTAATTGCCAGAAAACGGAAAGAGCCATGTGAAGCTGACGAAGCATTTTTTCCCAACGGTGACACGACTAGTTGCTGGCTGAAGATTGAACTTTGAGAGGGACGAACGTCCCACCGTCTTCGCCAGTGGATTCAAGCGCGACCATCAGCTGACTGAGCCAACGAGTATCGCAGAGGACAAGAACCTGGATCCCGTCATATCAACTAGATCACAAGCACTTGCCAAGGCAAGACCTTTCTCAGTCGCCTCTTCGTTTTCTTGCGCGACCCTGAGACCTTCCTGTCCCATTTGCTGTTGGCCGCTTGGAAGCACCACGCTCGTCAGCGCTAGCGCCGCTTTCAACCTCATTCATCCATTCTCTGCCTTCGCCAGGGCTCTTCTTTCTCATAGTGCCAGGACCAACAGCAATGATCTCTTCCTCGCTTTCGCTGTCGTCAATATCCAGGAGGACGGGCATTCGGAAAACTTGGTCGTCAGCTTCTCCTTTGATTGGCTCAATAGTCAAAACATCAACCTCCTCGTCCTCCAAATCTAAGCGACGCTTATGTATCTCTTCGATGGGATGAATATCGAACTCGTCTTCGCGCTCGACATACTCCACATTCTCTTCCACTTCGGCGAAATCAGGTGCCAGTGCTGACCATCGCTGAGGTGTGATGATGGACCAAAGGTAGACACGGCCGGACTCAAGACCACAGGCAGCCACAAGGGGTCGATTGGGATGCCACTATGGATGTTGGTCAGAGACAAAATTTCGTATTTCGAGCATAGATAATAGACTTACCTCAACAACCCCAAGCTCCTCTCTAGGGCCCTCAAGTATCTTCACTAAGCTTCCGTGCCCGCGCTCCCACACGTAAATGTCATGATTCATATATGTCGAAGCAGTGACATACTCTCCGGTTGAACTGAACGCCACGTGGTTCCAAGACAGTCGATTCACAACGTCTTGGAACTTGTGCTCCACCTCTACCTTGATTGTGTCCGGATCGATCTCGCCCACGGTCAGATCAGGCATGAAAAGAGTCCGGATGATACGATCGCTAGAATTAACCACCATGTCCCGGCCCGAAGCGGTGAGACGAAAGTAGATCAACACATTGTTAGAAATGCGCGTAGAATAAATGGTTTGACATGTTGCAGTCTCGATGATATTCAACCAGCCCCTACTCGTGCCTGCTATGATGTGGCTGCCGGAAGCACTGAAGATTGTGACAGTGGTTGTCTGCTTGGCATCTTGCGCTGCCTGTTTCTCCGATATCTCCTCGCCTTCCACCTTTGGTCTCTTCGGCGCCGATGGGAGTGTTTGTTTTTTGGGAACTGTCGAGTGAAGATCTACGAGAACGGGTTGTTCTTCAAATAGTGAAGCCACAAATTTCAAGCTATTGGACGACGTTAACAAACCAAAGCGACTACTAAACAAGAAATGCGCATACGTACTGATCGAAAGGGTGAAGCTCTGCAATATATACAGGAGCTTCAAACCGCACTGTTCGTACTCGAGAACCATCGCTGAGGTCCCAGAGTACACATTTCCAGTCTTGCGAAGAGCTGAGAAGATAACGACCTTCTCGTGACCAACTACCGAGTATTAACCTCCTTATCATATTTTCCAGCTCCCATCTGGCATCCTACCTCAACGACTGTATCTGCCGAGTGTGGCCGCGTAATTTTCGAGCGACGCCATTCGTCTCAACGTCAAAAATCACCACCGTTCCGTCAACCTGCATACAGTCAACAGCATGCCCGTAAATATGTTGATCCATCCCAGAAATACCCTTCCAGACGCGAGGAAATCTCCTCTACGATTAAAGCGAATGCAAGTGCCATGTCCGCTTTCTGCTGTCAGATGCTTGTCAGCAATTGATAAAGATCACAAAGGTAGCCGGAGAACACACGTAGCTTTCCCGTCAAAGAGTCAGGGTAGTCCTGCGCAAGGACAAAAGGATCGACGAGTGAAAGATTCATTATGATTTTGTGGGTTAAGTTGCAGAGGGTAGAAGCAGCAACATTATTCAAGCATTTAGCATTTCAATAAGCATCGCTAGGCAGCTAAAAAGAGAACCAGAATTGAACTCGACAATACATGGTATTGTTCGAAAATTGCGTATTGATGCCAATGTCGCAAATAGGATAACAATATGACAATAGCTGTTGTCGTGAAGGCGGCAATACATGACGACTTCTGATTGGTTCGGCACGAATTGACGTATCGAGATTGTATTACATAATCTTATTGGTCGAACGTGCTGGAGGCCGACAGACAATATGATGCGGCTCTGCCTGATCTAAGCGAACTGCATCAGCGAGGTGAGGCGAAAGTTGATCAACTCCCCTTTGACAGTTACGTCGCTCCCTCTCAACCTGCTCTTCACCCTTCGACTCCATCGCTGGAATCATCGCGATATCAGTCAGGTGGTCGTCTGGCCATCGAGGGGTGATTTCGCATTCTCTTCCTACGACTTGGACGCGATTTCGACCAGGTGAAGGCGGTCGCAGGCGTCCGTCGCCTGATTTTTCCAACCACCGCTTGTCCCCTATCGCCCTCGGTTTTCTCATCGACGAAACGCGATAGTAATCATCGAACACGCGACGATCTTGGCAGATCTCAGTCGGAGAAAGTTCTGAGAGTATTCGATACTGAGGGCAGCCTTGGCTGGTTGTTCCCTCTCTTCCCGAAGAGGATTCTAGATTTGTTACTCGATACCTGGTTCACGGAGCTGCAAAGATGGCGAACCTTCACTTCCAGTACTCCAGCGCGCCTTTGCGCACCATCCAGGAGATTCAGTTTGGACTCCTGTCCCCGGAGGAAATTAAAAGTATGAGTGTTGCTCATATCGAGTATCCGGAGACAATGGTAGGCGTGATCTAGCGCCAGGCTTTAGCCCCAGTTCCATCTGACGGATCTGACTCTATCCCAGGATGAGCAAAAGCAGAAGCCTCGAGAAAAGGGATTGAACGATCCGCATCTCGGCACAATCGAACGAGCATATAAGTGCGCCACATGCGACGAAAATATGACTGATTGTCCCGGGCACTTCGGCCATATTGAACTTGCAACACCTGTCTTCCATATCGGTCTGCTGCTTCACAGGCCCTCTGGTCCGGTGGCTCTTTGATGGCTGACTTTTGTCTAGGATTTATGACGAAGATCAAGAAACTGTTGGAGGTGGTGTGCCACAATTGCGGCAAGTTGCTAGTAGATGAAGTTAGTCAAGCCTTAATATACAGGAGGCGCTTACTTGGGAAGAATACTGACAGTTCTTCGCACAGAGCAATCCGGCATTCGCGGAAGCTCTTCGCTACCGAGACCCTAAGCGGCGATTCGATGCTATTTGGAGGGTTTGCAAGCCAAAGTTGGTCTGCGAGACTGACGTTCCGATGGAAGACGAAGATTTTGGCGGAAACGGCTTAAAGGATCCCAAGAAGCACAGCCATGGTGGATGCGGCAATATCCAGCCTGAGATCCGAAAGGAGGGCTTGAAGATTATGGGTACCTGGAAAGCGGTCAAGGGGGATGAAGAGAATGAGGGACAGCAGCCCGAGAAGCGAGAGATCAAACCACAAACGGTTCTTAACATTTTCCGCAGTATTTCCACTGAGGATATTCGCAAACTTGGACTGAGTAATGATTACGCTCGGCCCGAGTGGATGGTCATTACAGTTCTTCCTGTTCCTCCTCCGCCCGTTCGACCTAGCATTTCGGTTGATGGTACCGGCCAGGGTATGCGTGGCGAGGACGATCTCACCTATAAGCTTGGTGACATTATCCGTGCCAATGGTAACGTTCGCCGGTGCGAGCAAGAGGGTTCTCCAGCACACGTCGTCAGTGAGTTTGAGACTCTACTGCAGTTCCATGTTGCCACATATATGGACAACGATATTGCCGGCCAACCCCAAGCTCTTCAAAAGTCTGGGAGACCAGTCAAGGCGATCCGCGGACGACTAAAGGGCAAGGAGGGTCGTCTACGTGGAAACTTGATGGGCAAACGTGTAGATTTCTCTGCACGCACTGTCATCACAGGAGACCCAAATCTTTCCTTGGATGAGGTTGGCGTCCCACGAAGCATCGCTAGGACACTCACATATCCCGAAACTGTTACGCCATACAATATCCACAGGCTTCATCAATTGGTCAAGAATGGGCCGAACGATCATCCAGGAGCAAAGTACGTGATCCGCGATACGGGCGAAAGAATTGATTTGCGGCACCACAAGCGAGCTGGGGAGATTTCTCTTCAGTATGGCTGGAAAGTGGAGAGGCACGTGATTGACGGCGACTATATCATCTTTAACCGGCAGCCATCGCTGCACAAAGAGTCGATGATGGGTCATCGGGTCCGCGTTATGCCGTATTCAACTTTCCGACTCAACTTGTCCGTCACCTCGCCATACAACGCGGATTTCGATGGTGACGAGATGAACTTGCACGTTCCTCAAAGCGAGGAAACACGCGCGGAGATTAGCCAACTTTGCATGGTACCGCTTAATATCGTCTCGCCGCAGCGTAATGGACCCCTGATGGGTATCGTCCAGGATACTTTGTGTGGTATTTACAAGCTTATGCGTCGGGACACATTCCTCACAAAGGATCAAGTGATGAACATTCTTTTGTGGGTGCCAGATTGGGACGGAGTCATTCCCCACCCTGCCATTATGAAGCCACAGCCGCGGTGGACAGGCAAACAGATGATCAGCATGGTCCTCCCGAAAGCGGTCAGTCTCATCCGGTCCAGCGATGAGGGCTTTTCACCGATCCATGACAATGGAATTTTCATTCATGCAGGAGAAATTATGTACGGCCTCTTCAGTAAGAAGTCTATTGGAGCGACTCGGAATGGCATCATCCATATTATTTTCAATGAGCTTGGTCCGCAGATCGCCATGAATTTCTTCAATGGAGTCCAAACTGTCGTCAACTATTGGTTCCTTCACCATGGATTCAGTATTGGAATTGGTGATACAATTCCTGATCAGCGGACCATTGAACAAATTGAGGATTGTGTTACGAAGCAAAAAGAGATTGTTGCTGAAATTACCAGAAGCGCTACAGAGAACGAACTCGAGCCTCTTCCTGGTATGAACGTTCGTGAGACTTTCGAAAACAAAGTGTCCAAGGCGCTAAACACTGCACGTGATGAGGCCGGTGACAAGACAGAAAAGAGTCTGAAGGATCTGAACAATGCAATTCAAATGGCCCGTTCAGGTTCCAAGGGTACAACTATCAATATTTCTCAGATGACTGCAGTTGTCGGACAGCAGTCAGTGGAAGGAAAACGGATTCCCTTTGGATTTAAATACCGAACATTGCCGCATTTTACAAAGGATGACTATTCCCCGGAATCAAGGGGTTTCGTGGAGAACTCCTATCTCCGTGGCTTGACGCCAACTGAATTCTTCTTCCACGCCATGGCTGGTCGTGAAGGTCTGATTGATACTGCGGTGAAGACAGCTGAGACTGGCTATATTCAGCGGAGACTTGTGAAAGCGCTCGAGGATGTTATGGTCAAGTACGACGGTACTGTCAGAAACTCTCTCGGTGACATTGTGCAGTTTGTCTATGGCGAAGACGGTCTTGACGGTGCACATATTGAGCATCAAAGAGTTGACATGATCACAACGTCGCGGCCCCAGTTTGAACACAGATATCGGCTTGATGTCATGAATCCGGAGAAGATGAAAAATCTCGAACCTATTGAGCTACTTCCTGAACTTGCCGGAGACACGGTAGTGCAAGAGTATCTCGATGCGGAATTCGAACAACTCGAGAAGGACCGCGAGTGGGTTCGGTCAGCGAGACCAGACGGGGTGGAAGACATTCCTTTGCCTTCGAACATTCTTCGCATTCTTGAATCAGCAAAGACCATTTTCCGGATCAAGGACGGCCATCGAAGCGACCTGCATCCAATAGAAGTCATTACTCGAGTAAGGGAGCTACTTGACAAGCTCGTGATTGTACGAGGAGACGATCCTCTCTCCAAAGAGGCCCAGGAGGACGCGACGAAGCTCTTCAAAGCGCAGCTTCGGTCCAGACTTGCCTACAAGCGTTTGGCTGTTGAATATACACTCAACAAACTCGCTTTCCAGCATGTCGTTGGTGAAATTGAGAATCGTTTTCTGCGATCTGCTGTGGCTCCAGGTGAAATGGTCGGTGTGTTGGCTGCTCAGTCAATTGGTGAGCCTGCAACGCAGATGACTCTGAATACTTTCCACTTTGCTGGTGTATCCTCAAAGAACGTCACTCTTGGTGTCCCTCGTCTCAAGGAAATTCTCAATGTTGCAACGAATATCAAAACACCCTCGATGGCGGTTTACCAGGAAGGTTCGAATAGACTGAATCAGGAAACCGCCAAACAACTTCGTAGTGCCGTTGAGCATACTACGCTTCGATCTGTTACGGATACTACAGAGATCTATTATGATCCTGACATTCAATCTACCGTTATTGACGCAGATGTTGATATGGTAGAGTCATATTTCATTATCCCTGAAGACAATGCCGATGATCCCAGTCGACAGTCAAAGTGGCTCCTTCGTATCGTCTTGGGCCGTAGGAAGCTGCTTGACAAGGGTTTGACTGTCCAGGACGTTGCGGCGAAGATCAAAGAGAACTACGCCAAGGATTTGGCGGTCATTTTCAGCGACAATAATGCCGACGAACAAGTCATTCGCATCAGAATGATTCAGGATCACAGCAAGGATGATGAGGATGAAGATTTGGAAGAAGATTTGATGCTCAAGCGTCTGGAGAATCATGTGCTTGATACACTGACTCTCCGTGGTGTTCCTGGCATCGAAAGAGCCTTTTTGAATCAGAAACCAAGAATGCGCATTAACGAGGAGGATGCCATGATAATGCGGACCTCGGATCCAGAGTGCATGGAATGGTGCCTTGACACAAGCGGCACTGCTCTTGGAGCCGTTTTGGCCATTCCTGGCGTCGATGCCACCAGAACCTATTCCAACTCATTTGTTGAGGTGCTCCAGGTTCTTGGCATCGAAGCCACTCGGGCTGCTTTGCTTCAAGAACTGACGCAAGTGTTGGCCTTTGATGGTTCATATGTCAACCATCGTCATCTTGCCCTCTTGGTCGATGTCATGACGTCTCGTGGGCACCTAATGGCTATTACCCGCCACGGTATCAATCGTGCTGATACAGGTGCTCTCATGAGATGCTCATTCGAAGAGACTGTCGAGATCTTGCTCGAAGCTGCTGCCTGTGGAGAACTAGATGATTGCCGCGGCATTTCGGAGAATGTCATGCTTGGACAACTTGCTCCTATGGGTACTGGCGAGCTTGATGTGTACCTTGATCAGAAAATGCTGGACACAGTCATCTCGGACAATGCTAGGTTGGGCATCATACCCAACATTGGCGTTAAGAGTGGTATCATTGCCGATGGTGCGGCAACCCCATATGACAGCGGTTCACCGTTACAGGAGGGTGGTTATCTCGGTTCTCCTGATTACGGCGCTTCCTTCTCGCCAATCGTCAATTCTGGAGCTGAGAGCCCTGGTGGAGGTGGTTTGACCGATTACGGCGGGCCTCAAGGGTTGATCGGCGGCTTGAGCCCGTATACTGCGAGAAGCCCTGGTGGCGGGTATTCGCCAAGCAGCCCCTTCAATACCAGCCCAACCTCCCCGGGATTCTCTCCCACCTCTCCTGCCTATTCACCTACTTCTCCTGGCATGAGCATCACCAGCCCACGCTTTGCATCATCGCCAGGATTTTCGCCTGCCAGCCCAGCATTTACACCGACTTCTCCTACCTATTCCCCGACATCACCAGCGTACGGGCAAGCTGGAATTTCTCCTACTTCACCATCCTACTCTCCAACGTCGCCAAGTTACTCGCCGACGTCGCCCAATTACAGTCCTACGTCGCCGAACTATAGTCCTACTTCACCAAGCTATAGCCCAACGTCGCCAGTTTACAGCCCGACCAGTCCACAGTTTGGCGGTGCAAAGCAGCATTCGCCGACATCTCCCACTTCGCCAACAAGTTACAGCCCTACCTCGCCAATGTACAGCCCAACTAGCCCGATGGGAAGCTACTCGCCCTCTTCCCCCAACTTTGGTGGATCTCCGACGTCTCCGGGGCCGGCGCCTTATTCAGCGTCGTCACCGAAGTGGTCGCCGTGAGTTAACTCACCCATTACCTTGACTTTACCAAGCTAACAAATGCATAGGACATCGCCAACTTATTCTCCTACGTATGTTGCTTCATTTTCGTGATTTTGTTTCGCCAACTAACACATCTTCAGGTCTCCAAGAGGGTAAATTCCGAGTGGCGGTTGGCTTGTCGAGAGATGAAGTTTCTCTAGCGCAAACTCTCCGAGACTGTGATGTCCTTTATGCAATGCATTTGCTAAGGTCGAAATCTGCCAATGCTCACAGTCCCTGGAGAGCTTTTTATCTTGTAATTCTATCGATTCAATTTTCCGTACAACATTACAGCATTTTGACGGGCAGGGATAGTTGGTTATTATTGCTTTCCCTTCCTTCCTCAAACTTTCCTCTTCTTCAGGCGTTGATATCCCATTGCATTTGGTATTTCTTTTCTCCCCCAAAATCTTGATCTATGAAAGCTCGTCAAAAATTGTGGTCATACAAGGGCTGCTTTTTATCTACCCACGTGGATCTTAAACCAAGGCTCTTTGAAGCAGAAGCGCGGCGTTCTCGGTTTTCAAGGCAGTTTGTGCTGCACTCAATATGCTTGAAATGTCAATAGAAACACAACTAAACATGGAATAAAAATGTTTTCTGGGAAGGAATATTCTAGTCTACTTTTAAGATTGCAATCCGGTAAGGTTCAAATTGCCGATTTTTTTCAACAGTGTATATTGAGATCTGAAGTTGGCTTTGATTTCATCGAATCAGGACGAGGAACGTCCGTTCCTAATCAGGGTAGCAGCCGTTACTTTTTGAAGCCTTCTCCAACTCGTAGCAAGCGAGATCAAAGCTTGACCCATAACAATCAACCCTGCCAATAATCCTCGCAGCACTCGTAAATATCATGGCAAACTCAAAGTAAGTTCATCAATAATTTGAAGATGACCGAGTGAAATTATTTTTTTGGAATGGAATTTTAAAAAGGAACCTTTAGGTACGAGTACGTTCGCAACTTTGAGCAGCCAGATCCATTGCTGCCGAACACCTGGCTCGTTGTCCGAATTGACGGACGAGGATTCCACAAGTATGTTCAACTGCTCTTCCACCCATGTATCCTGTGTAAACTCAAATGATGCTATGCAAAACTTTCAGTAGACTCAAGCTGATTATATCAGACTTTCTGCAAAATATGGCTTTGAAAAGCCAAATGATCGGCGGGCCATAGATCTCATGAATGCCGCCGCCGCATCTGTAATGAAAGATTTACCTGACATTGTCATTGCATACGGTGTGAGCGACGAATACAGGTATAGTTCTCAGCCAAATTCGAATCAATTGACCAATTTGCCACTCAAATTTGTTTCTACCTTTCTGGAACAACTTAAAAACTGACTGTGTTGCAGTTTCGTCTTTCATAAATCATGCACGCTATTTGAGCGGCGTGAAAGGTAGGTCATAGGTCTTTGCATATTATATACGCCAATAATCTATTCTGTCATACTGATATATCATGCTATCAGTAAATTGGTCACAACAGTCGTGTCGACATTTACTTCGTACTACGTCCATCTTTGGTCGTCTTACTTTACAAACGTACCTTTATCCGCCCCCATGCCATCATTCGATGGCCGGGCTGTCATGTATCCAACAGATCATAACCTGCGAGACTACCTCAGCTGGAGACAGGTCGACTGTATGTTTTTCTGCGGACTTTTTTCTTCCCTTTTATTCTCTTAGTTCGGTTTGGCATTGCCGAATGTCTCCGCAAATGCATGGGTCGAGCCTGCGAATTGCTAATCCGCGGACCTTCATGGTCGAGCGTATAGGTCACATCAATAACCTCTACAATACCACGTTCTGGGCCTTGATCCTATTAGGTGGGATGGGCGCCACGGAGGCTGAAAAAGAGTTGATGGTGCGTGCCCCCCAAACCATTTTGCCTTTCCACGTTATTTGTAGTCTGGGACTGCAATAAAAATTGCGCGCTAACATGTAGTCTGCACTTAATGACTACAGGGAACATATTCTTCAGATAAAAACGAAATTCTGTTCTCTAGGTTCAAGATCAATTACAATAATGAGCCAGAAATATACAAGAAAGGCAGCGTTGTCATTCGAGATGTACGTTGTCCCTCTTCGTTTACCAAGCTATTACTCGAAGAATATATTAGAAACCTCCTTTGCAAAGCCATATTTTGCCATTTGATGGCTAACGAAAAAATCAGTACGAGCTTGTTGAACCTAAGAAGTCGACTGCTGCCGTTGACAGCCCTGGCATGGCTGAGCAAGAATCCTCTGACGCGGAAAGGGGAATTTCCGCTCAGCTGTCCAAGACCCAGCAAGAGAAAGAGCGCAAACGGCGAGAGAAGGCTCGAATCACTGTGCAGCATATCGATATTATAAAAGACGAATTCTGGCAGAGGAGGCCGTGGCTGTTATCCAACAAACCCGGAAAGATACCCAAAGAGATATGAGCGGGGGCAGCTAGAAGTACGAAAAGCGAGTAGAGTTGAACGTTACGAAATAATGTATGAAAGTTATCACGATATGCTTCCAATTGATACATTGATTGATGATTTCGCCGCCAGGGCTGGTTCATTGTCTATTATACAGAATTGGATCTAGTCTAGGATGTCTGTTGATGCACCACGCTTATCCCCTTCTAACAACCCAAAAAAAATTCCGGACTTTTCTTCTGGTATCATTCCCAAAAAATGCCGGTTCGCTAGGTTCTTCAAGCTTTTATGATCCCCGAAACGCCGTCCATGCAATGCAACGAATGCAATATATACTGATGTCATGCCAATGCCAGCGAGGTGATGTGCACTCCATAACTAGGTCGTTACTCGCGCTTCTTGCTCTTGCTCTTCGTCTTCTTCTCACTGCTCTTTTCTTCAGCTCCATCGTCATCCCGTTTTCTCTTCTTCTCGGCCTTCTCCTTCCTCCCACTCTCATCCTTCTTCTCTCGCTTTTCAGTTTTCTTTTTACTAGATTCCTTTGATTCTTTTCGCGCTTTCTTTTCCTCCCTTTGTCGCTTGCGCTCAGCTTTGTCCACAGCAGCAGATAGCAGCTCATTTGCCGGATCCGAGACGCTTTCAGCTGGTGTTACCGATGTGCTTGCTGTTGTGATCGTCTCTTCCCTCGAACCAGGGGCAGGGGAGGATGCCGTGGTCGATGTGGAGGTCGTGATTGTCGAAATAGGCAACGAAGAAATTGTTGGCGTAGGCGTGTCGCCAGATACTGATGTTCCATTGGAGATGCTCTTCTTTGCGCGCTTTGCCTCCTTACGTTCCTTCTTTTCACGCTTCCGCTGCTTGCGCTCCTTTTTGCTTTCTTTCGACTCCTCAGTCGAGGATGTCGCTCCGGAACTCGTGGCGGATTCTGAGACGGAGACTGAGCGAGAAGCAGCTTCGCGCTCTAGCTTCTTTTGCTTTTTCTTCTCCTTCTTAGCCGCCTTGTCGGAGTCAACAGCGTCATCGCTTTGCTCTCTCTTTCGCTTTTTACTCTCACTCTTATCCTTCTTGCCCTCCTTCTTCTCTTTCTTGCCCTTGTCCTTTCCGCCACCAAGCTTTTTCACTCCATTTGTGCGCGTTTCCGAGCCACCGTTCACTATCCCTCCCTTATCCTCCTCCCCATCTTCCGACGTGTCGATTGTCCCGCTCAATCCTTCTCCCTTGACGAAGAACGAGTAAAGACCTGCTCGGCCTTGGACAATCTTCTCGAGCATTCCGTTCCCAGAAAAACTGACTCGGACCTCATCTTCGGATTCGTCCTCGCTGTCCTTTTCGGCCGGTGTTGACTTTTTTGTAGAACCAGTCGTAGTGCTTAGCCCCTGTAAGCTCGAATCGAACGCGCGAAGCCACCATTGGTCACTCTGCGTATGCTGCTTCTTGCCAACACCGAGCACGTTCTGCTTTTGCGACACTAGTAAAGGCTTCTTGAGTCCCTTTCCGGTCGGGTGTAACGAGTAACCCAGTCCACGCCACCCATGGCGCTTCAGATACTCGCCTGCATCCATCTTGGATGATATGTAGTGTTAGGAAAAGTGGTTGTTCTTCAAAATGTGGATTGCGCAAGGCAAATCCTTTGGTGTCTTCGGGCGTTGCGCCTCCAGAAAACGTGGGCACACCAGCGCCACAAAGTTCAAAAGGACTTGTGGTTAGCGGTCGAGTGTGAAATATCACGTAATGGTTTGTTCGAGGGAAATAGATGTCAAAATTGCATTTTTCAAGGAAACTTTGAAAGTGGTGCCTCCACAAAAAAGATGAGACCCGCCTCTCCAACAACGATAATGCGCTGTGATTTTTTTTGTCTGGGGTCTTTCGGCCGGAACTTTTTTGCAAACAAACTCCGCCGATAAGTTTTCCCGACGAGTCAGGGTTTCCCGAATCATTACCCGGCAGACTTGACCAGTGATCTGCTTTCGGTTAAAGTTGCATTTTAGAGAATATATATTGACTGTCAGTCGAGGATAATAGTAAACTCAAGTTTTCGAACATGTTGGAGCAGTCTCATCCTTCTTCAATATTTCAGAAATAGATCTTATTAGCTTTGCTCACCTTTGGTAATGCAATAAGAATACCTGAGAAAACTACACGTAGACTTCAATGCATTTAGTTGCGTTTCTTTACACCTTTTACTTTGTACTGAGCTCGCGGCACCAGTTTGATATTACAATCTTTTACTAGAGCATTTAAATCTACCTACCTAGTATTTACTTATTCTCCATAACATATAAGTAATGTATTTACAGTGCAACGTTGTGGAGCTGATTGTCCAGTAACTACAAGTGGAATGATTTCTCATCTCATACGCCTTACATTCTCGGCAAGACCTGGAACTTTTGCTCAGACGAGCATCGCAAACCTCCGACTCCGACGCCGACTGTGTTTCTGACGACTCTGGGTTTGCGGATCAAGCACGACACGACGCCAGACTGGAAAGACGAGCTCAGCTGCGTCTGTCCCCGTATTGGAACCCACTCCAGTAACTATACGCTCTATTTTACTTCTTTGCGTCACGAAATCGTGCCATTGAGTCAGTCTCTCTCGACGGCTTCATCGAACTTCAGTAAACCAGCCCTCCGATCACCAGCTCGAGAACATCACAGAGCTGCAGGCCAAAGCCAGACGTAACGAGCTTTCCCTCTGAGATATCCTTTGAAGCAAGGCTTAATTGAGACCTCCTACTGCCCGCAATCGCACCGTCCTTCATCACCCGTGTCAAGATGGCAACAGCAGCACCCAACCCGTCCACTTCCTCGTCGTCCAAGCCCGAGCGAGCTCCGATGCCCACGCGGAACCCGCTCCCTCTATCATCCGGCCAGGAACAGCAAGTCCGGGAACTATACTACAAAAAAGTCCGGCGGGCATGCGCGGAAGAGATTCGAGGTATGTCCAGGAAGCCGCCCCCCATCCCCTTCCCCCAGACTTCTTATATCACAATTTGTCTACTACCTTATTACTTTCCTCCTTTTTTTTCTACTCTACTTTTCTTATATCGCGCTTCGCCATCATGCTTCCCAGCTTATATTGACTGCTTGTCTTTTTATTTTCGTAGAATTCGCTACATGCGCGCTGAACCGCACTATCAGCGCAACATGGGCATGCCGGGACCAACGCCGGACCATGAACTCCTGCATGATTGCCCACGCGACGCGCGAAATGGAGGACGAGGCGCGCGAGGAATGGTTCGCGACGAGAATACAGCGCCAGCGAGCGCGCGAAGAAAAGGAGAAGAAGCGGATCGAGCAGGAGAAGTTTCATCGGGAATGGTGGGGTCTGCCTTCCGCTGAGCAGGAAGCTCAAACGCGCGAGAAAGCCAAGACAGAAAAGGAAACGAAGAGATAAACCCCCCTCCCCCGTTTTTTTTTGCCAAAGATTTACGGCGAATACCCCACTTCCTTTTTTTCTTCTCCTGTCTGCCAGGCTTAAGTCGTTTCTTTGTGTTTCTGCATGGACATGTGCATTGTATGGCGTTTCATCTCCTTTCTATTTCTTCTGTTTTTTTTTTTTTGAGCACAATTGGCTTTTTTACCCAGTTCCTTAGGTATCATGTACAATCTCCCTCACAGAACTTGTCGATATATTAAATATTCGGCTTTCGGCTTTCTCGACACCTTATCTAGAACCGGGTTGCGGGCGGGATCAAAGATTCAACGAATATCGTTGGTGGTCGAGTTGGAGAGATCTGTAGTGTGTATATTTCATATAGGGTAGTATATACGGAGTCAAGAAATAGAGTACAACTAGTATTATGGGTATCAAGATGAATTTCACATGTTGGGATGCTGTAGCGCTTGGTTGACAGGGCAGAGCTACTAAACACAGGATTTTGAAACCCTTATATACCCCTCTATGGAATATACTATACACTACTACCACGCATCTCAAACAATAGACCATTTTGGAAAAATGAAAGTCGGATATTTCACTGCACTTTCTGTCAAAATTTAACAAACACGCTGTATCCCCACAAAGAGTTTTTTTGTAAAAAGTAGACAACTAGACTATTTCAAACACTCGTCCGAAACGAAGTGTGCTTATTTGGACCAACTACCTTATGTCCATCCAAATAACTTGTAACTTATGACTACCATATCATACAATGAAAATATTCCCCATAAGAACCAACTAACTCAACTTGGCGCCCGCCTGAACTCCTAATATATTTTTCCCTGTTCCCGAGTTTAGCCCGTAAGATGAAAAGAAAAACAGCGCCGATTGATATGCATGAATGGAATACAGTTTTGAAGGTTCACTCTCTGCCAGTTCCCACGGCGGCGGCAGTAGCTGGTCGAAGACGCCGGCTCCAAGAATAACGGCGGCCGCTGCAAAGGAGGAGAGATGAGGCGAGAGAAAGAGGATGAGGATGAGGAAGAGGAGGAGAAAGAGAAAGAGAAAGAGAAAGAGAAAGAGAAAGCAAGGTGGCGCAAAGGATGGGTGAGGACAACGCATCCAGATCTACGCATCCGCCATGGCGCTATCTCTTCCCGCCTCGCCCTTGCGATCATCACCATCTTCATCATCAGGCTGCTCACCAAAGAGATCCTCCATGCGAGCATCTCCATCCTCTCCATCGCCTTCTTCTTCTTCATCTTCATCTTCATCTTCAGCCATATTCTCATCCCCGTCATCGTTATCATCATCATTCGCATCACTTAATTTCCTCTTCTTCCTGTCTTTCCCAGTTCGACGACCATTCGTTTGAGTCTGGCCATCACCATCAACTTCTTCCTCGCCTTCGCTTTCCCATTCTTCTTTCAAGCCCCACCCGACTCCAGTCAGACAGTAGCGCTCGGGGGGTAATCGCAGCCCCCACTCGCGCCCAACATTCGGCAGGGCCACTTTGTTCCTTTCCTGCGCGAGCTCTAGAAGAAACTCCTTGGGCAGCGAAGGGTTGAACTGGTAATTCAAGCGGCTGGCGATGCTCAAGCGCAGCGCAGGGAGAGAAACAGAGTTGAGATCGTTGGGATTATTCACGAGCCCCGCGCTGCCTCCTGCTCCTCCGCTTCCACCACCACCACCGCCGCCGCCACCGCTTCCCTTTCCGCCACTACCGCTGCCTGAAGAACCACCTCCCGAGGTGCCGTAGCCTTCAATGGTAAAGTGTAATGCGTCCTGCAGGGTGGAAGAGGTATACCGGTATGCAAAGTCGAGAAGCTGTAGCGGGACGCGTTCTTGATAGGCTGTGACGCCGAGATTCGCGAGAACCATGTGGATAAGCCGCGCGTCGCGTGGTCGCCGCGAGAGACCATCGTCGTTGAGTGAAGTCGCGGGAAACTCGGGCTGGGCGATATTGCTTGTTGATGAGGATGATGATGGAAGAGGGCCAGTAGCGCCGCTGGCGTTTGGTGTAGTTGCTCCTGTTGCTGGTGCTGGTGCTGGTGCTGGCGGTGCAGTAAGTCGGTTTTCTGTAGGCGCCTGGGGCCCGGAAGATGGAGGGCGCTGAGGCGCAACGCCGTTGGTTTCGGCCATGGGAGGCAGGCAGGACCGCGGAGGATCAGTTCAGAGCAGTGCGAGAAGCTCAGGACTCAGAAGTTGAGACGGGATAGATTGTTCAGGTAAGATTTGGCTTCGTATTCGTCTCAACAAGAGAGAACAGCCTTGAGGGATGATTGATTGCTTGGAAATTGTTGCCAGGTCCTAAGCTCCTTGGTGATGATATTGGTTCATCTGGTATCACTCTGTCAACTGAGCCTCAAGCTCGGACCTGAGGTTAAGCACCACGCTAAACCAAATCGAGATATATGCGACTGCGGTTCAGCCAGAAGGAGATCGTACAATAACAGATGAGAGACTTGAGTTTGAATGGCATGCAATTTTCTAATACAGTTCCGCAGCTCATAGTGAAATTATCAAATTAATTCTATAATATAGTGCTGTTAGGTCAAGTCCGAGGTCTTATAAGTACGCCAGATCCGAGCCCGAAATGCCATGCCACCAAATGCTATGCTATGCTATGCAGTAATAATGTAACACTTGCAAACGCCATTCCCGTCGGAGTGAAGATTTAATAAAAATTTCAGCTTAGGAGATGAGATTCGCGTTGAGAAAACAGTTGTGCTGCTCCCAAACCCGCCGCTTGAAATGAATCGACGTGCCGTCATTCCCTCGTCTCAGTATGCTCATTACTCCCTCGTGTCGCAGAAGGTACAGGAGTCCCATCGGCTGTATCTCTGCCCAGTGTGAGGCTTTTCACTCTGTCATCGAGGTCATCAACCACATCACTGGTGAGACCAATGTCCGCGTCAATGCTGCTGGCTTTAGGTTCGCCTCGTGACTCTTGTTCCTTATCGTCTTCGTTTTCCTCTTCACCATCCTCCTCGTAAGCATTGTCATCCTCATCTTCCTCAGACTCATCATTATAGTCATTTGACCTGAAGGCTTCTCCAGCGATATCGTCACCCTCGATACTTTCCAAGATAGATTCATCCATGTCCCCGGTCTCGTCCAGTGTCCTCTGGGAGACAAAACTTTCCCCAAGGTTGGTCACTTGATCGTCTTCATCAGAACCTTCGCTCCCTTCATCTTCGCTATGAACGCTTCCTTCCTCCTCAACATCCTCCTCGCTATCTTCACTTTCACTCGCAGAGAAATCATCCAGCTCGAGAGGTGTGTCTCTCCAATAGTTGAAATCGGTGAACTCCTCACCACCTTCCTTCACCAAAAGCCCTACAGGAGGGAAGAAATGATCAATAATTTCCCGCATGGAAACATAGCTACTCCTGTATTTGTTCAAGCTGAGGAGATCCAAAGAGACCTCTGCATTCGAGTTGATTGTGAAGATACGATTAGACGGTATGTTGACAGATCGGTAGCTTAGGGCATCCGTGAATCGATTACCAAAACCAGCATAGAATGGGTTGTGCTTCTGACCAAAGAGATTTAAAATGTCTCGTAGGCATGACATTTTAAACACTTCTGGCTTGCGAAGGTAAATTTCTCGTCGTAGGGCAGCATAAGTGCGATCGGGGCTCAGAATCACGGGGCCTTTGGGCAGTTTATAGCCTTCTTGAACAACCCCATTGAGATATGCTCTCGTAGTGTCTGCCTGTCCAACGGACCGACTGGTGAGGTACATGATATTGTAGCCGTTCGCCACAATGTCCGTATACAGTTTTGCGACCCCGACATGGGTCCAGTCACGGCCGATCATGTTCAACACGTGGCCCAGCGCATCAGACCTGGCAATGCAAGTTAGTTAAAAAAAAATGGCCTGCCGCATTTCTCCTTGCTGAGCGGAACAACTTACTTGGTTATCGTTCCGTCAATGTCGGAGATGACTATTGGAACGTCAAAAGACCAAAGGTAGATGAAAGCGTTGCAGGTTGATTTGTTGACACTGAAGCTCATGGTGTTGACGCCGGGCTTGAGATTGAGAGCTTTCAGCTGCTCACTTGTGAGACGAAGAGTTTTCGCATAATTACGATTCGGATCACCTGCTGTCGTCGCATTTGGAGTTTTGGGCGGCGTTACGAGCCCATCAAGGGCACCGTCTGATTCCCGACGCTGCCGGTCGCCAGGACCTTCAATTGAGGGCGTGCTGTGCTCACCATCGCTGTGGTAACCTGGATCGGACGCGGCGTCACTTTGAGGCCTGGCTGAACCACTGAGCAGCGCGTGAACCGCGCCAGCTGACTTCATTGCAGCTTCTTTAGCTTGTTCGCTGCTGTAGATCCACAGGTTTCCGTGCTCATCGGCACTAATGAGGGCTCCAATATCATAGCTCCCTTCTAGCTCCTCCGCAAGGATTTTGCGAGCGAGCACTTCAGCTCGCAGCGAATCCTCGTCGTTACTCTTATAACCAGTCATATCCAACATTAAATCTCCCTTCTCAGTTACGTGGGTTGGGATATTTGACCCCGAGAACTTTTTAGAGAGGGAGATGGCTCTGTTGATTGCCTCAGAAGTTGGGACAGGCGGTGGGCTATTAGACCTTCCGGAACGTTCTTCCCCTTTCTCCAAAGCTTCTTCGGTGGTCTGCGTTGGCGCGATGCTGAGTGCTTCGGTAGATTGAGAGGCTCTGAGGGTATTTCCAAAGGGCTTTAAAGTCGTTGGAAGAGCATCAGCAGAAGCGGCACGCTCTATAAGAGAGGCGGACGTGGGGATTTGATTGGGCCAATCGTCGGTCATGGATGATTTGAGTAGGGCGTCAGGTGAACTAGATAGAGGAGTTATGTTGCCTTTCAACAATCGTTAGACCTGGATTGCCAGCGTGAAGTGTCGTCATGTTCAACTTACCAAGGTCGCTCTGCGCTCTCCTCTCCGGAGACAAGATGGGAATGCCTGCTTCTGCCCTTCGAATCGCCGCTGAGCCATTAAAACCCTTGCCTCCTGTTTCCAAGTCTAGATATTCAGGTTCCCTGAGGGATGAGCCATTGTCCAATTCGGCAGGGAGGCTCTGCGGGCTCATGGCTGGAGTAATCAAAGGGGATGTCTGGAGCGCGGCGGGAACGTCGTCTGCTGTTTCAAAGACGAAGAACGCTTCGCCGCCTTCTCCCAGTTTCATGGAATATTCCTGCTTGACTCCATTGACCCTGAATTCAACCTTTGTCACAGTCAACGGCCGGGTTATTTTCTTGGACAAGACAGCTCGAACCCACCTTCTTCTCAAATGGTCTGAGAAGAGAAAACTTCCCGAAGCGGACATGAAAGGGAGAACATGCCAGAGAACCTAGTTCAGTGTAAGAAGCCGGGCAGGTTCGCAGAACTTCAAAAAGTGCTTACCATCTTCTTGCTCCACAACAATCACATCTATAGCACCTGACAAAGTGGCGGGGTTGATAGAGTTCCATGTCTTGGAGACTGAGCCGGAAATGCTCCGGACATACTGCATGACGCCGGCGAACTCAAGGGCGGACTCCTCGGAACGGACGAAACCAAAAGCAGGTCGAAGTCCACAAGATCCAAAAAGTAAAATCGATCAATAATTTTGCGCTGTTCTTCCGAGATATGCTCGCTCGCTGCCATAAAAGGGCGAGTAAAGCGATTGCGCTCAGATATTCAAGGAGGCGACCAAGACAGGCAGGCTGAGTGGTGTGTCGCAGATCACATGCTGAAGGCGAAAACAGATACAAACGGAATGTCTAGTAAAGACTGCCACACACGAGTGGACTCGACGAGCCCCGCTGCCGCGTGTTTGATGGTATGATGGTTAGCAGTTGGTGACGAGAATGATACTGGAGATGTGGTTATGTTGGAGCCTGGAGCTGCAGCAAGCTTTGTGTGGGGAATTTCCGATGGGTCTCTTGGGTCTCAACGTTAAACAGCTTTGGGGCGGCTTCCGGGTTGACGTATCTTAGTGGAAAATCCCAAGGGCCGAAGGAACTGACGAGGTTGGATCTTTAGGTTCAACATTGCTCCATTTTATTCCCCGTTTAACTGTTTGATGGGGAACACCCGCACACAGCCGAGTACCTATTCAGTACTTGGCTTAACTTTAGTTACTGAGTGGTTCGATTAAGTTCCCACCAAGTATTAAACTGGAATGGAAGATTCCAACCAGCGAACCATGACTCTTGGCTTGACTGCCGGCATTTCCCGGTTACGTTTCACTATACTGCGAACAGATTCAATCTCATTGCCCAGTAGAGGCTTGAGCTTGTTTATACAAGGATTATATGAGTTGCTTCATATTTTTCTTTTTAATGAAACAAAATACATCGCATCGATTCCTAGTATGAATCGAGTAAAAATATTCCTTATAGTTAACGTCCATATTACTTTGTACTTGGGATATATTCCGGTCCCCAACTGGGTATCACGTGCGCTCGCTTCGGCTTGCTGGCGGATCGGCAAAACATGTCGCTGTAGGGCCGACCCTCCGCATCAGAAAGAAGTGTGAAGTCGTAGAGAAACCAGTAAACTTGACAACAGTCAAGCGGAGGGCAAGCAACGAGTGAATCATCGGGACGGCAGGGGTCGATAAGGAAAGCTTGCTGTTGAGTACCCTGACGGAGGACCTCGGTCTTTTCATATCTTGTCGCTGATTCGCGCACCCTGATCTCATGGTTTCGATATTGTCCACATGTCTCTGGTCGCATGGCTTTCGGGTCAGCTCCCAGACCTCTCGCCCGAGATGTTTGCGCTGATAAATTTACTGGCTACCGTGACTGCTGTCGCATGGTAAGTGTCAACGGATCCAATGGGGCGTCCCGCATTGCAATCACTGGGCTCATAGTTTCACTAGGCTGTTGTATCGAGCATGGCTGGTCTTTCAGAAGCCGCTGCCTGAACTCATCGAGGTACTGGGCTTGGATGTTCCAGCAGCTCCAGATGTATCACTGGCAGGCATCAAGTCGGACTCTATCACACTCTACTGGAAGTTGCCCGAGAATCCCAATACCGTTGTCAAACATCTCATTCAGGTCAATGGAGTGGTTGGTAAGTGCTTTTCCAGTCTTGCATTGTCATGATCGCCGCTGACAGCGCTCTGATCAGTGGGTGAGTCGGCCCGACACGAAACGTCAATAAATGTTACTGGACTCAAGCCCGACACCTTCTACGTGGTACGCGTAATTGCCACCAATCCTAGCAATTTCCAAACCCCCAGTCCTCTCATCAGATTAAAAACATGGCGCAACAAGGAAGGGCCAGATCATCTTCTCCCCGGCGCCCTCTGTACCGGAGAGAAGTCCAACAGTACCCCAAGCGCTGGGGACGAGTCTCCAGGTGTGAAGGCCCATGGCACGACCTTGGAGACTGCAACGGCAGTCCCTACGGCGCCACTTATCACCAGAGACCAGAGCGTGACCTCTCTGCCCAGCAAGCGATTAGGTGTAAGCAGACGACAATCACCGGCGAATACTTCACTTGATCAATCGTCAACAGCGCAAGTTGGACTGGAGCCTGAGCCTGAGTCGGAGTCCGAGCATACTGTTCAGGAGCTCACTGAAGTGCTCGAAGGATTGCGAAAAGAGCAGGAAGAATCTGACAAGCAAGCCGGGGAGGAAGAGGAGGAATTCCAAAAAGGAAAGTCTGCTCTGATTCAGGAACGCGAGCAGCTGAGGCAGGCCTTGAAGGAACGAGAAGACGCCAGCGCCGACCTTCGAAAGCAAGTGGCCAGCCTTGAACGTAACAACCGGCAGGCACAGGCTAGGAAGGTTGCCCTTGAGAGGACACTGCAACAGAAATTGGATGAACGAAACAAGATGAAAGAAGATATTCGCCGCTGGCGTCGAGATATTGAGGAGATGCGGCAGTCTCGCGAGGATATCGTTGTAGAACGAAATGATTACCTTGAAGCGTCGGAGCACAAAGTCGAGGATTTGCGGAAGGAGACTACTGAGAATCTTGCGGCGGTCAAGATGTTGGAAGAAGACATTCGAGAAAAGGGCATCCACATCAAAGATCTCGAAGAAGCAAAGAAGAAACAGGAGGAGAAGGACGAAGAGGAGGCTCGAGAAGCAGAGAGAATTGAAAAGGAAAAGGATCGACAATGGGAAGCTAAGCTACGTGGCTTGCAGGCTCAGTACACTTCCGCATGGAACACTCTCCAGCAGGTAAACGCTTTCTATCGCTATTGACTGAATCTTGTTTGAAGTTGACTTCTTTTACAGGCGCAAGCAAATTATCAGCAAGCTCAAGAACGGCTGAGCTTCCTTAACTCCCGCTTGAACAATGATCCAGTGCCCATCAACTCCATCTCCGGTTCTGAACTCGATCTTGCTGGGAAGAAGAATAAGCCAAAGAGGATTCGTCAACGCAAGTCTCGCACGAACACGTTGTCATCTACCTTTAATGATGTCCCAGGTGCAGATAATCGGTTCTCTATCTCGACGCCAGTTAGCATTCCCAACATTTCGCCTACGTTCGCATCATCTTCCCCATTTTTCAATATGAGCAATGGCATGGCTATCCCTGGCACTTCAGAAGAGCCCGGTATGACCCAAGCCGAGCGTGATGCTCTCACTGGCGGTGCTCCAATGAGTCCGACTGCAGATGCTCTGCTTCCTCGAGACCTACTCGGCGACGAAGACATGCAAGGCTCGCCGATCAAGCCTTCCTCTGCAAACACGAATGGCTTTTCGGGGCTAGGCCCCGCTGGGCTCGACCCCACCCTTCGTGGACCTACATCCCCCGTTTCTGATGGCAGCTCGCCCAGCGTGTTTTCTAGCCCAAGGGAAAGTTTGAACAATTTACACGCGTTTCCCACAGGGTCCGAGGGTCTGGTCGACGCAGATCGACGCTCGGTTCATTCTACTGGCCCATCTTTTGGAATGGGCGGTGCCTCTGATACGAACCTTGCCGGATCAAGGCGACTGGCAAGTCTCTTTGGCTTGAATCGACAGCGAGGAAAGACTCTTCCAAATGAACCTCCTGTTTTGGGGTCCCTCAAACCTGGCCAAAGTCAATCTTTCCCACGAAATATCGATCAAGGGAACGGTGAACTTGATCCAATTGGTACCCGACGGCGACGAGGCAGCCATTCCGGTAGCAGCTGGGTTAGTCCGATGATGACGAGCTTACTAAACCGAAGTACAGCCATCAGTCATGACACCAGTGGGGAAGATGCTACTGGTCCTGTTAAGCACACACCAAGTCGCCGCCGCCATTTCAACATGTTCAGCTCCCGCTATGATCCATTAGAGCCTTCAAAGTTCTTTCCCGAGGCCCCTGCGTCACGAAGGACCTCGTCGGATCGCCCGTCGATTGAGACTACAAGCTTTCCTCGGCCTTCCTCTGATAACCAGCCGTTTGGATGGCCTACGACTGAGACGCCCATTCACAGGAGTAGTCCTCTCGTTCCTGACTGGTTTGCATCCGAATCTTGGTCGCGAACGCCGTCTCGGAGGCCGTCAATACAATACGGATCATCCAGCAACCTTCCGCTAAGCATGACCCAACTCGATTCGGATCCCTTGCAGAGCGCCATATCTCGACACACGCCTCCACCCGCTCCGATTGGCACTCGACCGCTGTCCTCTCAAAGACCCATTACACCGAAACTCAATCCAACGGCGCCGACCTTTAGGACCTTTTTTGGTCTCGGCGACCCTAGAAACGTGGGCCAGGAGGAAGAAGCGAGCAACAAACAAGGAGATGAATCTTTGCTGGATTTTATCGGTACTTCGCCGTCAGACTCGCGCAAGTCAAAAGACGCTCGGTCAATCAAGACTGCTGATTCAATAGCAGAGTCATATGATTCTCTTGAGCAAGCCATCTCAGAGCCGTTGACTTCGTCGCTCGCTAGCTCGAAAGACAAGGAATCTTTTATCCAGAAACTCACTCGCAAAGGCAGCTCGGGGATGTTTAATATGCCGTGGACGAAAGACAAGGGAGGACTCTTCAAGAAATCTGGCGACTTGGGAGGTGGCCCATATGAAACGGACGAGGAAGCAGCGGCTGGGGCCAGTGACAAACAGATGGATCGCAGCACTGAGAGCATCCCCGCGACCAGCGGTCACAGTCCTCATCCGTCTAGCGGCGGTGGGATGAGCAGCATTTTCAAAGGGTCGTTGCGCAGGAAACAGAAAAAGGACGAGAAGGACAGAGCAATAGTGAACGAAATGAGCGAAAAGGCCAGCGCGACGGGGGAGGAAGCCGATGAACATGGTCATTTGTAGCTCTGCAAATATTAAAACGATATAAAGCAAGCCATTGGAACTAGATTAGCATTTGATTCCATTCTTGGTGCTATTAAACATCTACTCGTGATCAGTTCTCTGTAAATTTCGGACCCGTAGGTTTAGCCATCACGTTTAGTTGCGCCCCCTTGCGCGCCATAGAATACATAACAGAGTCAGAACCCCGCCTGGCATATGCTTCAATGAGAATCTATAGAACAGGGGTTTCAAATAAACGATGTGCCCACGTACGTATTGACATCCTCTGACAGCACACGGACCTACAATGACTCGGGAAGGCATTCCGTTTCCATTCGTTACTCGGTCAGAGCGGGACGGCAGGAGTTCGAATGCTCGGGTAAGTCTGTCCGAGTAAGAAGTTCCCGTAACTTAATTTGCTTATCGTGCTCCGTCATCGGTGATAAGGTTGGCAGCTTCAAGCACTCATTTATTTACTGGTCTCACCTTGGTGACTGCCAACGATTGTCCAAAAAGTAAATGTGGGAGAAACAGATTTCAGCCAGCGCGTTGATCACACACCGTCTCAACCGTCAATCTTCTGATTTAAATTTATAAAATCACCACTTGGCAGACCATCGATATCTGAAATACCTCTAAATTCTTTGACAACGGACCGACTATGTTAGTCCTTAATAAGGAGGAGATTGCAGGTATTCTGCACGGTCTATCGCCAGAGCAGAGCCATGAGATTCTTGATACGTTCTGCCAGATGCTGGCGGATTATTCAACACAAGAAAAATCCGAAGGGGAAGATCATCAGAAGACCATCTTTCAGCCTCTTCGCGCGCGGATAACGACCCCTCTAAAAACCACGACACTATTTATGCCATCCTCGACGACGAATGTGACTGGCATAAAAGTGGTGTCGATGCCACCTGCTGGCGGACTGAATAGCGCCCTTAACATCTTCAACCCAACCGGTCACATACAGGGTCTTCTGAACGCTGCAGATATTACGGGTTTTCGGACGGCCCTAACCAGCATGATTATCTTCTCCCATCACGATTGGCAATCATCTGTCAAGGAACCTATCAATGTTGTAGTATTCGGAGCCGGAACACAAGCGGAGTGGCACGTTCGACTTGCACTTTTACTCACACCGCCCGGGACGATCGGCCGTGTCACCATCATCAACCGCAATGCAGAGCGTTTGGAGCATTTGAAAGCTTGCCTCTTTGAAGAACTCCATGCACGGTACCCAGAGGTACAATTTGAGGTCCTAGCTCGTGTGCCGCAGAATGAAGATCAAGTTCGGCAGAGGCTCGTAAAGAGCAACGCCCTCTTCTGCTGTACGCCTTCTACTTCGCCACTATTTCCATACTCTTATCTGGAAGGGTCAAAACAAGAGGAACATACTAGATACATCTCGATGATTGGTTCTTATCAGCCTCACATGAAGGAGGTTGACACCGCGACACTACTTTCTGGCGGGCCCACCATCTATGTCGACAACAGGGAAGCCTGCCTAGAGGAGTCTGGCGAGCTTGCTGACGCGAAGGTCACAGGGGACCGGCTTGTCGAAGTTGGCGAGTTGCTCACTCAAGAGCGGGGTGACAGACGTGCTGGGGTGTCTCCCAGCTGGGCAAAGTGGACTGGCACTCGTGTGTTCAAATGTGTCGGCATGGGTATAATGGACGTGCTTATAGGCTCAGAGTTATTGCGAATTGCAAAGGAGAAGGGCCTTGGGACGGAAGTTCCTTTTTAATTCGAACGAGATGATGAATTTTAGAACCTGAAGTTCTCGAGATATGACCGCCTTGGATACAGCGGTTGCTATAACAGTATTTGAAGATTATACTCAGTCGAGTCTCCGCTTACCTTGCTTAGGGTAGGAACATTACGATTAGGTCTGCCCTTGGCCTCGAGTGAAAAGTATCATGCTCGTGGTTGACACCTAGCAAGTCCAAGAAGCGAACCCCACAATGAATTTGAGGGAAATCGAAATAAAATATCAAATAATACACTAGATGACCACTGTTGCCATTGTAGCTAAGTGACTTTGCATGATGAACTTGATTTTATGATAAATACCCTAAAAATGATTCCGAGAGTCTCACTGTTGACACATTGTATGATCATTATGCTGTATTGTGTAATGCCCTTTGGCCCCTGAAGTTGTGGCTGTGACTCGGATATTCCCGCCCCACGCGCTACCAATGAATGAAACAAGCCAAAAGCCTCAGCCCTACAACCAGCATTTGGCACCGCTCTTGAAAACGCAGGACTTTTTCGAAAATGAATAGCCTTTGCTTCCCTTGAGCGCCGAGACTTTTTACATTCGTTTCGATGGGATCTCCACTTGTGTATCAGCAGTTACGACTATGAGAATCGGTGTTCGGCTCATCATTGCCGCAGTTCTTCTCATCGCGATTGGGACTGTCTGGCATATTAGACTGTATGATCTCTGGGATCAGAATCGAGTACCGGACTACATCGCCAGCTCTTTCCATCCTTACAATGACCACGCTACCCTGAAGCAGTCGCCTATGGCGCCGCAAGACAAGGTCGTTGTCATGACCATTGTCGGGAACGAAAATGTTGACTGGGTCAAAGAGAGACTTATTGGGTATGCGCCGCTTGCGAGCACGAACTCGAGGATTTAATTTTTCTCTCTAACTTGTTTTATTTGTAGCTGGCAAGCAGCCATATACGATCTCAATAATGCCACTGCGGTCCTCAAAACACCGGCGAATAAAGGCCACGAGGCGATGGCGTATTTGACCTACGTTATTGACCATTATGACTCTCTCCCGTCCACTATCGCCTTCATGCACCCGCACCTCGACGGCTTTTTCAAGGCTTGGCATGTGGACACGCCGCACCATGACAATGCGGAGTCCTTGAACAATCTCCAGATAGACTTCATCCAACGCAATGGCTACGCCAATCTGCGCTGTAATTGGAATCCGGGTTGTCTCCAAAAACACAGATACAATAAGCACGTCACGCCAGATCTTTGGGCAACTCTGTTCGGTGGTGAAAGACCACCAGAAGTAGCTTCGGCTTGCTGCGCTCAATTTGCAGTGTCGCGAGATCAAGTCCACAAGCGGCCTCGGGAGGATTATATCAAATACCGCCAGTGGGTGCTGGACACTCCATTGAAGGATTATGAAAGTGGACGGGTCATGGAATATTCATGGCATGTCATTTTCGGAATGGACCCCGTGTAGTAAGTGCCTTTGCTGCTGATGTTTGACTATCTCCGGCTAATATCCTCCATCAGTTGCCCGGACGAAAAGAAGTGCTATTGCGATGTCTATGGACAATGTTAATCACCTCAATTAGCCTAGCGGTGCTGTTCATTTACCACTCACCAAAGAGAATTTCTGTATTACATTAAATTTAGAAGTAGATATGTCTAGAAAATAAATCGCCTTCTTATCTTATTATGAAACGTGCTATTTCTACTTCCTTTTCTAACCTACCATTTGAGTTGTCGTAGAATGTTTCTACGTTTGATATTCATCACTCCCCATGGGTGAATATATCATTCACATTAAATCAAAATGTTCAATATCACTCTCATTATTACTCATACCAAAAAGAAAGACAAAATAAATGCTTAAGAAATCATTGTAAGTCATTTATGTGACCGATATACCCTACACGTTACATTTCCGTCTCTACTAATATGCAGTTCGACAGACTAAACGGACAAGTTTAAGCGAGGTACCACTTCGCTGCCTCGCGTAAAATTTCCAATGAGCCAAACCACCGAGGCACGAAAGTTTATCGATTTCGAGAGTTTCGACAACACCGCTTTCTCCATTGCATGTCCGACTGAGGAACTGGAGTACGTAGGACATACTGCTCCTCTTCAGTCTGGATATCTCCAGACCAACTGCATTTATCTACTCTTCCTACGCCATCCTTTGCCCCGTCGGCTCATTCTTCAAAATTTACAGCCGCAAAAAAAGATCTTCCCCAGAATTTTGAAGGCACTCGAAGCCGAAATATCACCAGGACCGCAACCGTCGAACCGCAGAGTCGAACATAGCATATCAACCCCAAATCAAGGCCCAATAAAAGAAGATTGACCGAATACATAGACTGCCACAATGTCGTCCATGCGCAACGCCGTCCAGCGGCGGTCGCACCGCGAACGTGCTCAGCCACTGGAACGTGAGAAATGGGGACTTCTCGAGAAGCACAAGGTTCGTCTTTCTCCTTTGCTCATACAAAGACCCTTTGCCCCCCTAAAATTTGCTGTTATTTTACTTCACAATGCTGGTCAAAAGCTAATGCTCTGTCTTAACCTTAGGACTACTCGCTCCGCGCCAAAGACTTCAATGCAAAGAAAGCTCGTCTCCGCGTGCTGCGGCAAAAAGCCGCCGAGCGCAACCCCGACGAATTCGCATTCGGCATGATGCGCTCTCGCACCAATGCCGCTGGCCAGAAAATCACCGACCGAGGAAACAAGGCGCTGAGCCAGGAAGTCGTGCAGCTCCTGAAGACACAAGACGCAGGGTACCTGCGAACCATGGCGCAGAAAGCGCGGAAAGAACGGATGTCTCTTGAAGAAGGATTCGTGTTGCCCGAAAAGAATACACGGGCCGGGGATGATGACGAGGACGACGAGGACGAGGACGACAACGTCGCGCCCGTTCGCCGCATTGACGAAATCGGCAACGCTCAAGACGAAGATAAGGACGAAGACGACGAGTTTGACTTTGGATTCTCTGCGCCGAAACCTAAGCCGCGACGGACAGTCTTTGTCGATTCAAAAGAGGAACAAGCATCGTTTGATCCAAAACTAAACCGCCGCTCGTCAGGCCTAGAAGCCGGGGCCAGTGACGCTCTGAAAGGTCAAGGAGCGGCGAATGATGAAGTCGACGAGGACGACCAGGACGAGGCAGAAGATGAAGATCAAGAACAGCAAGGGGGAAAGAAAAAGTTTATAAGTGCCCGCGAAGCACGCAAGGCCCTCGAAGCAGAAAAAGAAGACCGCGCTCTCCGCAAGCGCCGGAAACGAGAACAAGAGATCCGCAAAGCCCGACTCGCCGCCGCACGGAATCGCGAACAGCAGCTCATGATTGCAGAGCGCGAGCTCGATTTGCAGCGCGCCAAGATGTCGAATTCCGTCGGCGGCGTGAATAAGAATGGCGTCAAGTTCAAGGTTAGAGAGCGGAAGAGATAAAGCCTCAAGACCCCGCTCTTCCCTTGGCGTAGTGCTGGAATCTAGTCATATTACCTAGGGACCTTAGTTAGGTCTCTTTTTCATTGTCGCCGCCCAGTCCCAGGCGGTATTATCTTAATTGGTCCCTTGATCGCCTCCCAGTCCCAGCTTTGGTCATGTTTCTCATTCTGCCTCTTTTTCTCTTTCTCCCCCTTTCAGTTCTCAAATAAAAGAGCTGCCGCATGAAAGACTTGCCTTGTTTAAAAAGTTTGTTACTATTTTGTTTTTTTCATGTATGTATGTATATTTGTTTCTTGCATAATCGGCGTTTATTTTTTTTTTTTTTTTGTCTCAAGGGTGATACGCTTAGGATATTTTGATACATGTTTAAAATGTTTGTTTTAGAGGGAGGGAAACTGTAATGTGATTATATCTTTCTTCTTTCTTCTGTCTTCTTTCTTCTATTTATTTGGGGAGGATGTGGTCTCTTTATTGCGGGATGTAGATAAGGTATATAGTAGATAGAAGAACCATACTATCAATTCTACTTGTTCATTGTGGTCTGTAAGAGCAGTAACAACAAGTAATATGCAAATAGGTCACATATGCATTGGGAAGAACAAACAATCTAGAGACAAATAACAGAGTTTTGTATAAGTGTACAAGGTAGCTACAACACACTCTCTTCGAAAAACTACTGCATCTTTAAAATAAAAACATTCCAAATCTATCGAAATCGGGCTTGAAACCCCCGACTTTGAGCTTTACAGAGAACCATGATCTCCGCTGATCGTCCTAATGACTTTACAACCACACAACCCGTTTTGAAAGCCAAAGGAAGAGACAACAGCCATGGAACTGGAGGGGGGTAAAAACGCAGTGGAAAAATTACAGCTTTCAACGCTCCAACTCTTCTCTTTCTCTCTCTCACACAGACACCACCCAGACAACATGCCCCGTTATGGTCATTTAAGCATTGCGAGACATGTCGTTGCGGATACGCTGGTAGTCGAGCAGACCCTCAATGGAACCGACGGCGCTGATGGCAATGTCCTGGTCCCAGAGCTTCTTCTGGGCAAAGGCCATGACGTCCTTCTCGGTGATCTTGTTGATGGTGCGCTCAACCTCCTCGGGGCTCAAGTGGCGGCCAGTGGTGACAATCTGGCGGCCAATGTCCTCGGCAACGGCGGTGGTGCCGTCAAGAGAGAGGAGCATGGAAGCCTTGAGCTGAGCCTTGGCACGCTCGGTTTCGGCCTCGCTGACGTTGAAAGAAAGACGAGACCACTCACGGAGGGTGAAGTGGACAAGGTCGTCAATGTTGGTCAGGTTGTCGGTCACGAGGTAGATACCCCAGAGACTAAAAAAAGGAAGTTTATATTAGCCAACTGAGACTTATTTTTGGGGAGGGTAATTCGGAATGTACAACAAAACTTACCCAGTGTCGCTGTAGCTGGTGGAGAAGCTCATGAAGCTGTTGGCGAGGTTGTGCTGGTGAACGAAGCTGCTGAGCTTGCTGCCAAGGTAGGGAGCGTTGCCCATAGTGCGGTCCCAGTTGCCGACGATGGCCTGAGTGACCAGGGCGGTGAAGTAGTCCTCGTCCTTCCAGCTGACACCCTCAACGGCAATGGCAATGTTGGCGGTGGGGATAGTGTCGTCCCGAATGCGGACCTCGGAGCCAATAAAGTCAGGCTTCTGCTTGGACGCAACGGAAGTGCTGAAGCTCGTCGAGGGCAGCTTAGAGAAGTGCTTCTCGGCGAGGTCGACGAGCTGCTCGTGGGGGACACCACCGGCACCGACGAGGACCATGCGGTCAGCAGTGTAGTTCTGCTTGATGTAGCTGGCCAACTCATCGCGCTGGATGCTGGCAATGTTCTCCTTGGGACCGAGGATGGTACGGCCGAGGGGTTGGCCCTGGAAAGCGGTAGCGTGAAGGTGGTCAAAGACGACCTCCTCGAGTTGCTTGTCAACCTCCTCCTGCTCACGCAGGATGACATCGCGCTCACGCTCGATGGCACTGGGCTCAAGCTTGGAGTTCTGCAGAATGTCGGACAGAATGTCGACAGTCTTGGGAACGTCCGAGTTGAAGGCCTTGGCGTAGTAGACGGTGTTTTCTCGCTATTAAAAGTGTTAATAAGGTTGTGCTGGACGATAGCCAAAATCTTCTTTCTCTCTCTCTCTCTCTTGTAAGGCCGAGCGTACCGAAGTGTAGGCGTTCAGGTGGCCACCCATGTTCTCAATCTCCAACTCCAATTGGTGCTGGCTGCGGTTCGCGGTGCCCTGTTCATCTCATCAGTAAATGGGTTCAAGTCCTTGGAAAAAAAGTGTTTCTCCCACCTTGAAGGCCAGGTGCTCAAGGAAATGAGCGGTTCCATTGGTCTTGTCGGTCTCGGCCCGGCTACCAGCATCAATCCAGACACCAACGGTCGAGGTCTGCGCGTAAGGAGAGTGCTCCGTGGCGATCTAAAGGGTCAATGGCATCAATTGAGCTGCTCTAAAACGTTCAAGGGATTCTAGGACGCACCGTCAGGCCGTTGGAAAGGGTGGTAGTCTCCGTCCTGCCCCGGGTGGGAGTCGCAAAGGTTCTCAACGACTGCAGAGGCCGGATGGGAGCGCGAAAGCGAAGCCCCCGAGAGAGGTTAAAAGCCAACCGCCGAGACGCCATGTCTGGATGAATTGACGAGAAAGAGGTGGGATTGAGGTGGTAAAGAGGGAGGAGGATGGCAGAGACAGAGCTCCAAAAGTGATATTATCGACTGCCGTTCTTCGCGAGAGGATTGAGGAAATGCCAAGGATGGGTCTTTCGCCTGCGTACTTTTCGGGTGGCGGCGTAATCCAAGTCACCAACGAAAAACACATTTAATCGCTTTAGGCACCATTTGGACCAATCGGATCAAAGCTATTATGCGTTTGGTGAGATATCCCGTCACCTTCACCCGTTCCCGAGTTTATTACACCCGAGGCAAGTTCGTGAAGCAGTGAAGAAGCTCTGTGTTGCAGCAGTCTTTGGCCGGCATCGTGAGCAGCCAGGCAACAACAGTGACAGCGACAAGAATAGCACAATTCCATTGAGCGGTGTTTATACAGCCGAAAAATAATATCTAACCATGGCCTCGATTGTCCGTCCTTCGCTGCTGCGTCAGGCATGCAGCGCCGCTCCCACTGCTCGCATGCTTTCCACTCGAGCCTCGATCAACGCCAGCCAGCGAATTGCTCAACCTTCTTTTGTTCGAAGCGCTGTGCCCACGCCTATGAAGGCTGCTGCCTTCCATGCATCCGCAAAGCGCGCCATTCTGCCTCCTGGACCTCGTAAGATTCGCATTGCCTAAACAGCGCGGGAAATATCGCTAACCGTTGTTTTTTCTTAGAACACGTTGAGGGCACCGGTACGCTTCGAAATGCTCTGAGACATTCATGATATACATTTAATTGACAGTTGTCCCTAGCGAATGACCCTGTTCCTGTCCCCCCGGCGGAGCCCACCCACGGAAGCTATCACTGGACGTTTGAGAGGTATGGGCTTCTGCAATATCTACTTGGGCCTTGATTTGACATGGTGTTTGTTATAGAATACTTGCCGCCGGTTTGATTCCCCTGACGGTTGCTCCTTTTGCCGCCGGCACCCAGCACCCGGTCCTTGATGCCACTCTCTGCGCATCTCTTCTAATCCACTCTCACATTGGTTTTGAGTAAGTTTCGATTGCTCAACAACAGCCGCCCCGACATCCATTGACAATGTGCGTTCTAGTTCCATGGTCATTGACTACATTCCCAAAAAGAGATTTCCCAAGTCTCGTGCCCTTTTCACCTGGGGCCTTCGAGCCGGCACCGTTGTCGTCGCCATTGGACTCTACGAGTTTGAGACCAACGATGTTGGCCTGACAGAGGCAATCAAGCGTGTTTGGACGGCATAAATGACTTTTTATTCTGTTAATTTGGTCAATTGCGAGGCGATCTTTTCGTGACAAAGCAGCACGATGCGTGATTCTGCGGCTGTATATTCCTCCTTAGTTATGAATCGATTACTTTTCTTTTTAGAGGCCTGGAATCCGGACAAACCCCGACACTTTTCCTCATCAGGTACTATATTCGGTGCATAGGTAACACTCCGACAAGTGCTGTGGAGCTTGTGGTCGAGTCATTCTGGATTAAAGCTACCGTCTGATACAGAGTTGTGTTTCTGCTGGTTGTCCTTGCAAAGGATTGCTAAATATACGTATAGATGTTCAAACAGGAAATGCCGCTCATGCTAGCAGACCGAAAAAACCTGAGGAAAGTTCAAACAGAAAAAGAGATATCATTAGCTCTCACGACATTTCCATGCAAGTATGCATGTAGACTCATCGGAAGATTGCCGGACCGCTCATGGTTTGCCAGCATAACGGCGGTCCAAAGACGTGTTCCATATCCGGCTGCGGCTGAGCTTCTGCCATCCGCTGCGACAAGGGATCCTTCCCTGATGCAGGCCCGGTTTGGCATCCCTGTTCTCTTGCGTAGCGAGTGGATGTAGCAGTCTGATTTTCTCTACAGTCGCAAAATTTAATCCTGGCTTTTAAAATCACGTGGGTTAAGGTATTGTGTAATGATCTTGTCTCGGAGAAATATTGATACTGGCATGGTTCGTCCTATCGCTTGGTTTCGAATGATTACCTCAAGGGCAGCTAAATTTATTGCGTCAAGAGAGTTAATTTTGCCTGAGGGATTTAACCGTGCACAGAGTCTAGCAAAAGTCTGGTCGGTGGTGATTGATTTGCGGAAAGGAGACTCAGCCTCTCAATATCCATGCAAGCGACCTGCCTCAATAGGCGCCGTGCAGGGGGGTTGTGGGCGAGCACGAACTGAAAATATATAGCGAACAACCAATGATAAGAACAACCATGTTTTAACCACCATGGTACTACGTCCCCACCTACTATCCTTGGATTTTGAAGTATTTCGCTGCAAATGAAAGCTAAGTGTTAGCAAGTGTTAGTTATATTGAACTAATTCGAAACAATCGCAGGGTCAAGAAACAATACAATTTTCTTTGCAGGGTTTAATTGAAGGGCAGATCACCGCTGTTTAATGCGATCATTCGACCCATGATGGTACAAGAAACGCTTCATGATCATGGGGTGAAGCTTCAAGGATGAAGGTATACCAATTGGTTGCTGGCCATGCATTCGCTGCATAGCCCAACTACCGAAAGATGCATCCTTGCATATCTGTGCCGCAATCCTCGAAACTTTACTGCCCACCCTGCAGTCAAATGTCCTTGTCGTACGTTTGGAAACCCCACTCTGGTCCAAGCCTCCAAGCAAATATGGCAGCAAAAATAAGGTAGGTACATTGATCTTGGGGGCGGTGCGAGGCCTGCAGCAAACACCATCGTCATCTGGAAAATGCTGGCAGAGGCACTCTTGGTGTTATTTAAAATGCAACCATCTTTCTCCCCATTTCAATCTTCTGTTCAAGCATTAACGACATTCGACCAAACCAATCAAGCAATCAATCCACACTTTACTTCATTTATTGAATATCCTCTATCATGTCTAATTTTCCAGGTGCGAAGTGGGACCCTATTGAGGTCCTGAAGCTTGAGCCGGTGAGCTATACCTGCGTTGGCTGGGCGCCCTCACAAGGCCGCAGATGCCGTAATCCCATCGCACAAGCAAACAGATGTGCGGCCAGCAATCTTCTCGCGATGATGGCCTATCAATCTCCATCCGCTTCGAAGCTGACGGACATACTTGACGACCTGGCTCACCGCATTCTGTGTAAACGGAACCACCAATACCAAGCAGGGGATATGGTCATGAAATGGCAACAGATGATCACCATGTACAAGCAATCTATGAGGGCAACTCCGCCACGGACTACCTCTCAGCATGTCCCTACGTCGAGGCAGAACTATCTACCTTCTCCTCCAGCTTCTCCTCAACAACAGCTTGTTCGTCATTCGGGGGAGGTGTATTATACAGAGCGCGAGTCTCTTGATATTTTCGCTCCAGTACGGCATCCCAGATCTGGATCTTATATCTCTACAACGCCTAGGGCGTCCCATGGGACTGCGCGTCGACAAGCAACTATACCGGACACAGGCAGACATTCTACTACGACCGAACGTCAGCCCCAGAGCAGTCGCCGACAGCGACATACCAGACTTTTGACGCCTCCTGAGAGCGAAGATGACTCTGAGTCTGAATACGACTCTGACTCTGACTCTGATGATGACGACGACGACGATGACGACGACGGCTACGACTATTCAGACAGCATTCCTGAATACAGTGATGCGACGTCTCACGCCTCGCTGTCCACCCAGCGGTCGTCGAGGTCGTCAAACTCTCGTTCCACTCGTACAACTTCATCACGGGAAACACCCCGAGGGCTCCTCATTAATGACCGGACTGCTTCATCCCAAAGGACTGCCCCTGTTCCAGCCCGAACTTCTTCCAACACTACTACTAGTAGAGCAGCTCGAACCACGACTTCTCCTCCATCTACTCCATCTACTCCAACGCCAGTTTCCCGGCGCCCAGCCGTTCGGCGTACAAACATTGATACACCAACGTCCACCTCTGCCGCTTCATCCACTACCCCATCTACCCCTTCTCCTTCTATTGTTACCCCTTCTCCTTCTATTGTTACCCCTTCTCCTTCTATTTCTACTCCTTCTTCTTCCGCTATATCCACACAGTCTGTCCGTTCTGCATCTCCCGCTCAATCATCCACCAGTACACGATCCTCTACATCAAGAGCATCGTCAAACAATCATACCAATACCTCCACGGGGACAGCCACCTCACGCAGTCCTTCCAATCCAACTACCACCCCTGCCAACCAACCTCCCACCACCAGTACTCCAACTCCTTCCCCATCTGCCTCTACGCCCAACGCCGCCGCCACCTCGACGCCCACCGCCACCGCCAGCCCCGCAGACTCCCCTCCGACAGCCACCCGCAAACCAATCACCGGCGACTGCGCCATCTGCCACGAGCCTTTCGAAGACAATGACAGTCTCGTCTGGTGCAAGTCCCAGTGCGGCCAAAACTTCCACGCGCCCTGCTGGAATGAATGGGCCGATTGCATTCGTGCGACTGCGCCTGCCAGGACGCTCAAATGTGTTTATTGGTATTTCCCCTTATACAACCTCTCTCTCTCTCTCTCTCCCCCCATATATCTCCGAGCCAATCTGCGAGCTCATTCATGCTTGTCGTTATACAAGACTAACTTTGGTAAATCAACAGTCGAGCACACTGGCGCGAATAGATGCCATGAGTCCATGACTCATGAGGTCTTCAGTTTCCTTCATCATCATCATCAAATCATCAATTTTCAATCAACGACGTGATTATCCCTTCCTTGTCAACCAATCATTCGACCGGGCAACCCTTATGAGCTATACACGCACGTTTCGCTATTGTCGGAGCTGCGTGTTGATGAAGTTACGACTTTTTTCTCGTTTCATCTTTACCTTCCAATTGGTATCATATTTTGCCCATTACCTTTTTGTCTTAGCTCTAGTATTATTTTTCTCTACATCATCTCTCTGGGCCTCTGGCTTTCTACTTTTGCGCCTTATTCTTGCTTGATGCTTTTTGAGTCTACGATACTTCAAGGCTCTTATTATACCATGCTACGTCAATGTATTTATGATGCTCATATCATGTTACTGTACTTATAACGCCTAAGCCCAAAGCTCGCGGCTCGAGGTTCAAGGCTCAAGGCTCAAGGCTCAAGGCTCTTATGAAGTCATGAATTCATGGCTGAACGATTCTCATCGCTTATGGGAATGGAAAAGGGTCAGAATATCAGAAAGGTAGCATTGATAAAAGCGTATTGCTGCAGCAGGGGATTCAAACTCTCCGTGACTCCGTGTAATGAGTAAATGTGCTCAGAGTCTCAGACCGTCTATATATGCTAGTGAAAGTCTGAGGAATCAAAGACGTAACCGACAATCTTGTTTTGAGCAGCATTCATAAAGAGAAAGAAAATCAATAAAGACAGAAGGAAAGAAAAAGAAAAAAGAATCAAGGAGAAAAAGGAGCAGAACGTAAAAAGCGCGCCAAATGGCGTTGCTATTGCAAGACGAATCTGGGTCGAGGCCTATAACAGAAAGGTTGCCCACGCTCAACGATATCTAGAACGCGCCTCTCAGTACTGTCCCACTGGCCATAAACCTATGACTGTCTACCACGGCCTGACTCTTTTCCCGCCGTTGATACTATAACTGAAATACATAACCAAACACCATAGCCACACTTTCCACTTGTGCAGACTCGCTGGAGGATTTGAAAATTTCATAACAACCAATTCGAATTCAAGTGGACGAATGATAGTCCATCCTCAATTTTCTTTTCGATCGTGTCGAATCGCCGATACAACCGCGCAAAATAGGAACAAAAGAACAGATAACTTGATAAGGAAGACTGCAAAATTGCACCTGCCGACTGATTCTCCAAACAAGAGCGTCACCACCTTTTCAAACACCGAATGCTCAAAAGACATGCGTCGTTTCGTGTCCCCGTCACACCTAAAGCGTCAATCAAACTATCCAATGAACCGGCCAACATCGTGTCTAGTACAACTTGGCAGTTAACGCAGACCGTAAGCGGACAGGATCCGCAAACTGCTACTGCAATGCCTGTGCATACGTTGCAGTTGAGTCGTTGGCTTCGAAACTTGTTGCTGGTGGCAATTGAAGTGTTCGCAGGGTCGAGAGCGGGAGGGGATTCTGTCGAACAGATGGTTGGCTGAGATAGCGTCTCCCTATCGGGTTCCCTGGACGATACAAATGAGGGATCTCGGCCTCGTGAGTATTTTTGAGCCGCGGATATTTCGCTGGGAGTGGCGGCAAGGGAACTGTTGGGCTGTATTGACAGATTCGCCGTACCTTCTGCTTTGTTGAAATGGAAGCTCAAGTCAGAATGCTGCTGAGGAAAAGCGCACTTTGAAAGCTCATGGTGATCCGACTCAACTTTTTGTGAAATGTCCTCACAGTCAGCTTCTTCATCCACTGGACGCTTTCTCTTCACGAATCGGGACAGACCCGAGGAGAAAGACGAGTTTCCCAAGCAATCCTGCGGCTGAACCGAAGGGTACTGATCAATTGCAGTTTGCGGTAAAGTACTGAATGGCGGATGATAAGGACCCAGTTCGTTGAATACAGCATTGTTTGGCGCGTCTCTCATCATGTCTGTCCCATTTTCTTCTAGAGTTGGAAAGATGTTGCCCACGTCAATAGACCCGTTGGACATGCTAACGCTGTTGGCATTGCCATTCCACTCAAAACCATCCTCTGGCCGGATCCAGTCACCGTGAGTGACATGAGCCATAATGGCGTAGCGGCGCGCTTGACAGTTCATGCATATACGCGACGCTGATGATCCAAAATCCTTGCGTTGGAAATTATTCGGAAGGCCAAAAAGCTGTTCGTGGTCGCACCAGTCGCACTGCTCACGTGTACCGGTTTGCAGGCCTAGAAGTAAAACATCAGACGGGACAGGACGAAAATTAATTGGTGGCTGCAATCCGTTAACAAAATGGCTTCTTAGGCGGGGATCAATATTAGTCTCGTCGTTGCCAGGATAGTGATTAGAACTTGTGGAATTTTCTCCAACAGATGTATCCAAGCCAGAACAGCTACCATCCATTTCGCCTGGAGAGGCATTGGACCCGAATCCGGCCGAGATGGAAGGCGCTTCGTCCCTATCCTTGGAATTGTCCATTTTGTACACATTTATACCTTCAGACAAAGAGTTTGGCCCACAGCCATCGTATGAATCGATAGTTTCAGTGTCCAAAGGCCCAGAACCACTTATTTGAGGTACTCCCAGCGGATTTGAAGTATTCGATAAGGCCGTTGAGGTACGGTGTGCTCTGTCGCGATCCAGGGGACTAACTGACAAAGGATCTTGACTGAAGCTTAAGGCAGTTTCCTGGTTGTGGGAGTTGTGGTTGCTGTTTTGCTCCGAGGTTACTCGTGGGCTATTGTAAGTACTCCTCTGAGTTCCTCCATTATCCAGATTCAAGATGTTTTGGACTACCTTTAGCCTTCGCAGTCTTTCCGAACACTCTGCTGCCTTTTCCTTTGATATCAGTCGACGAGTGCACTCGAGTTCCAGGGCAGTAAGGTTTGCTGCAGCAGATACACTGCCACGCACATCAATCAAATCACCATTATAAGTGGTGCGATTTGGCCTTGTAAGTTGTACATTGTCTCCTCTCTCATAGCTGCTTTGAAATTGTCCGAAATGGCTTGCAGCTTGCATAGGTGAGTGTGTGATATTCTCTTCAGCAGGTACCCGGATGCAATCCATTGGTGCAATATATTTGTGGGGAGGCTGCGTGGCTTCAGCCCGGTCACAATGATGCATACAATGGGAGGTGGGCTGAGCTGCTAGAGATTGTGTGAGAGGGTTTGACGACTGTGATTGACTGGAGAGTGTGAGCGGTTTACCGTGCCCATAAGCTTCAGATTTTTGATGGGTCGTTAAGGCATTCGAGTTCACCAGATCAGATTTCCCCTCTAAGATCTGGCTAGAGACCCTTGAAGAGCTTCTGAAAGAAGTGCTATCCGACGCAGGGTGTTTGGATGTTGCGGCTGTGGAGTTATTGGTGTTGTATTCAGCGGACGAAGACTGGACGGTTTCAAGGTCTTCTCGAGAAGTTACAGCCTCCAAAAAGTTCTTAGCTTCTTCTAAGTCGCTGCAATCGAAAATGGACATTGGTAACTAAATCCAAATGTTAGATATTTCTTTCAAAACACACAAACTGAAGTTGGAAAGCTCGGATTTTAAAGTGATGAGAGGGTTGGCATAACAAGCAGCATCGATTGCCTTTGAAAGCTAAGATGATATGAATGAAAGCAAGCACTCCACACTTGTGACGCATGTCACACGTTTTTATTCACTTTTTCAGTCACCTTGTGCATAGGACACTGCTGAGCTCGGATTCAAGCGGCCAAATTCACGTATGCCGGGTATTTGAATCATGCCATTCAATTACCTACCGAAAGAGTTGGGGACAACGCATCCACATCCACCTTGCAAGACCAAAATTCGTCTTGTTCATCTGCCTAGAAATAGACACTTGTCAGAACTATTTCTCAAATTCAAAGAACTGTCTCTCATACGCCACGCAGTGACCAGAGAGTATTGCTAGACCAATCTTCAACATAGCGTTTCCGGTAATTCCTTGATTGACTTACGACATTGCCGTTGTTCAATCCAAAATCTTCCATGAATTCTGGTATCTCTCCTCCGAAGAGATACATGTCGTTCTCGTCAAGAGTGGCACCAGTAGGCCAGTTCTCTAGACTATCTCCAAGTTCGGAAGATTGAGTCCTCGGAACTTCCACAGGATTATATGTTTCATCGTTAGAGGAAGCATGAGTGGCACCCGGAAGCCATTCTGGAGCGTTAAGCTTCAGTCCAGATACTTCAACTCGTGGCTGTTGCTTGCTCGAGTCTACTTCTTGTTTTACTAGACAGAAATGGTCAGCTATCCACATGCCTCCTGTCATCGCCGGACATTTAGAGCTACAACCTCGTGCGATTTTGGTATCAATGTGGCTTCCGCATCCGAAATTCATATTGCTCTGTGAAATTTCCGTAAGAGGGCTGCGCGAAACTGGCGATGGTCTTCCTGTTTCATCATCCAGTGCAACATTCCTATTTTTGTTCCTGGGGGTTTGCTTGAATTGTCTCCCATTTTCATTTCCTGTTCTGTCGTGCTTCTTTACCGGAATTGTCATCTCCGGAGAACAGGGCGCAGTCTGTATTGATGAATCTCGATTTTCGGTTTTCGAAGCCGATTGTGTTATGACCTGCCTCTGACCGTTTTCACGATTTGGTGTTTCAGCCACTAAAAGACGGTTCAAACACTTGTCAATCCTCTGCAATACTCCACCTTTCTCGAACAAGATTCGTGCTCTTGGAAATGAAAAAAGGTGATAGTTACCGCCAAAGCTTTCGGTATTCTGGGCAACCTGGCCGGTGGCATCAAAAGTCCTGACTTGCCTCTTCCTCGGCATATTTCCTAATATAATCCCCAAGATCAACTTGTGCGCAGTGATAATAAAATGGCTCTTTAAAAGTCCTTGAACTGACCTGAAGATGTAAAGTATAACGCAACCCCGCAACGCAAAGCCAAGAGAAGGAAGCTGCTTTCTGTAATGTTCTGCTTTCGCTGCAGCTGCCGTCGTTTTAGATTGCTGAGAAATGAATGTAGGTAGCTGTGCTGTCGAAGTTGGAGTACGTGGGAAAGCAGCAGCAGTGGCAGCACCACATCAACACCAAGATGAGACGAACTTGAGGGAAGATGTGCTCAAAAAATCGCTCAACAAGCTTCTTCAAGACACGAAACATGCGTACAAGGAACATTTTTTACAATGGTAGGTTGAGTGGAGAAGCAGGCTTTATAAAGGAAGAAGGCATCGATGAGGTTGAAGGATTTCTGATTCAGAATTAATGGGATGTTCAAAGCTGTTTACATTGCCCATCAAGTCATCCGCTCAGGATGGCGGGTGATTGATATGAGGAAGGTGCGATGCAGCTACTTTGAATCTTTTATCCTTTACTATATCGCACTTGCCCTTTCTGGCTGGAAACAGCAGTCAGCCATGTATGACACAAATGATAGACCCCAGGCCGATGGTCAGTATTGGAACGACAATGGTTGGATATCTCTCACTGCATCAGCGGTCAGCTACCCTCTGAAGGAAAGTATGCAGGTCTCATAAAAAAAAGATTTAATTGATCAACCCAAGTAACGCAGTAGCAAACCGGCTAGGTCAATCAAATCCCATCTGAATAAGCCAAAACTCAAGTTATGAGGCCGTTGAGACCATCATCCGAGGCCATGTACTTGTTGCAAGAAAATAATACTAATTGCAAATGACCGCCTACGCCGAGCAAAGAGGTATATCCCAAAAAGCCTAAGGGACACAATCCCTGTCCCCTCGTTCATCCCTTCTTCCTGCCAAATCTTTAAGAATCAAATTGGCCTAGGCTCGTACGGACTCGCATAGATCTTGCGGTCAGGTTCACGGGAATTTCTCCCAGTCGCTCTTAACGAAATTCGCTCTTCAACTTTGCTCCGCCAGGCTATTTTTCTTAACAAACTCCAAAATAATATCATCTTCAGCCTTTGTATTTCGCTGTCTCGATTGATGCTGGCTATGGTCTTTTTGAGACTCTTCAATTGCTCTGCGAATCTCTTCGTCATGAACTTCTCCCGGCTGCATCATCAGTCTGGAAGCTGCTATAGCACGTTGAAAATCTTCGTCATTTTCGTCGCTGGCGATTTCAGTGGCAGTGTCTGTAGGCTCCTTTGTGGAGCTTCCGAAGCCCTGTTCACTGAGGCTTCGCTCCAGAGCATCCTTTAACCCTGGGAACTCATCTGTATCCTTTTCGGGATTAGGTTGCCGTTGACGGGTGGCATTGGCTTCCACAACGTTCGCGCTGACCGATCTCGAAATGGCGTCCTCGTCGTTCACTCTATCTCGAGCCATCTGAAACTCACTGACACTGGCCCTGATTGCGCGTTCTATCATTCGGTCCTCCTCCGCATTTCCCTGAGAAGTCTCCGCGACAGACCGTTGAATAGCTTCCTCAAATTCGGCATCGTCTGGTCGCCGTGGCGTAGGATAGGTGTTTGCATGATGCAAGCTTGAAGGCGACTGGCTCCGCGGGGTAGAAAGCTGACTACTCGATGTCTCGTCCTTTTCAGGCCGCCACTTTGACGACAGATGTCGGAGATGTTTCTTCAAAGGATCAGAATTTTGCTGCTCGCTTTGAAGTTGTTCCTGCAAAGATGTCCATCGGAGAATGACATCTCGCCGTTCCTCGTACGAGGAATTTTTCCAGTCATCATAGCCCTGAGTAGTGCGTGCAGCAATAATGTAATTCTGAGTACTCGCGCCCGTAAATTTTTGGATCTCTTTGTATATGCCCTTGAAAGTATAGCCGGGCAGTCCCCAAATAGCTAAAGAAAGAGTCAGTAAAAACGCGAAGAGGGCGGGGGATCTGAATATACCAGCTCCTGGCTTAAGTACGACACCTCCCATGCCTTTGCCGATGCCTTTTAACAAACCTGCAAAACCTTCCTTCTTTGCGCCTTTAACTGGGTGGGTGACGAGACCGGAAATGCCGTCATAGAATCCATATCCGAATTCCTTATTTTGTCAGTTTCTAAGTTTTCACAGACGACATGAAGACAATCACCTTTCCTGCTGCCTTTAGACCGCTCTGTATACCAGTCACCTTATCCAGCTGCCGGACACTGTTGTCATTATAAAGTTTTGGTGCGTTGTGAAAGCCCTTTGCCAAGGCAACTGTGAAATCCATGGGCGATTTTACTCCTGCATCTACAATACGGGCAGCACTTTTTCCAGCACCAATCATTGCTTCTAGAGTTACCCTGTTGGCGGGCGAGTCGGAACAAGCTCTCGGCCTTCCTGAAGGAGAATTGGAACGCGACCGGGTAAAAGGGCGGCCAAGTTTCCCGCTCACGGCTTGAGCCATTGAATCGCCTCGCGATGGCGGTTTTGATAATACAGCTGACGACTTTGGTTGTGTTTGGGAGCTTGAATCGGACGGATCTATTGGTGACTTCACCGCCTCTGGATGCTCAGGTTCGTGCGGCGCTGTATCCGAGCCGGATTCGGGAGCAAGTGATGATGTCTCACTATTACCGCCAGTCCTCTCTGGTGCTTGCTTCTCATCGCGGCAGCCTTGTGGACCGGCATTTTTATTGAGATCCTTCACGCTTCGCACGATCTCGATCGGGAAGTCTGCAAAGCCCATCATAAGGCTACCCATAGTACCAAGTAAAGCAGAGGCACCTCCGGAAATTGGGTCCCAGGGCCCTTCCTCTGGATCATATTCTTGGGGTCGATAGCTATCCAGTCAGTACAAAGGTCATTGGAAAGAGGTGGTGTTAAGACCTACAGCTTCAACTCGGCGAAATCAAGGAGGCCTTCATTGCCTAGAACTGCGGCAGCGAACGCGCTTAATCTGATCTGAGTGCGTCTGATCCTCCAAACCGCCACACGGCTTGGTGCTATCATACATCGCATCTTGTCCAAATCGAGCATGCGATGAAAGGATCTTGCGCCAACGTCGCAGCCCTTTTCTGACCTGATCAGCTCCCCCAACTCTTTCGCACGTTCAAGGGCGCTTGGCTGCAGAGCTTCCTGTATAGCTGCGGCAAGGGTGTCGGTGGTGAGCTGTTTGTGAGGAATCGGCGCCGGCCCGGCACCCGCCTTGGCAACCATAGCACCCCAGAATGGCTGATCTCCAAAAAATGGGACAATGACTGTTGGCTTGCCTAGAGCGATTCCTGCCGCCGTCGTACCCGCTCCACCGTGATGAACAACGCAGGACACATGCTTAAATAGCCAATCGTGGGGGCAATTCCCCAGCATGAAGACACCGTCAGGTATGTCCAATTCATTGCCGCCTATTCCCCCCCAGCCTTTGGAAACCAGAGCCCTTTGCCCTGTCTTCTTCACGGCATCAAAAATTAGTTTGGTCATTCCATTGGGGTCATCGACCACGATAGATCCGAATCCAATATATACGGGTGGCGGACCAGCTTGAAGAAATGCTACCAATTCTTCATCCGGGGTGTAATTGGATGCCAATGAGAGGAAGTAGAAGCCAGATATAGCAATGTTGGAGCCCCAGTCGGCTGGTTTAGGAATCAATGCTGGCGACCTAGGCTCTGTTGTTAGACCGGGGCCGAATGGGGTCAAACTCGCGCATCCACTCACCAACAATATGTGAAGGGTATTCTGAGTCGGCTGAGCAAGCCCGGGGCCCACATGAGACTCACCGGCTCTAGCCCGAGCGTTTTCTCACGGAAACGATTGATTAAATCCCCGAGCCCCTGAAAGGTTAACATATCTACGAGGGCGTACGAGATGAAATTGGTCATGTTGGGGTCAGCATTTGACGACTGGATGTTGGCCAGCGGATGGGGAAAGGCCTGAGTCGGTGAATAAGGCATCCTAAAGCAGAGATGAGCTGGAAGTCATATCAATGGGGAGCGCTCAAATAGCACATACGTGAACATCATATGTAAGGGGACACCGAGCTTCTCTGCGCAATGTATATGGGCAAAACTGGGCGGATTGGCGATGATAGCATCAGCCACAAAGGGGCGCTGAGCGTCGGCACTCAGTGAAACACCGCTGTCAAAGCTTGCAAAATCGTCAAGATTGCTGTCGGAAGCTTCGATGCCAGTGCCGTCGCCAGCTTCGATACAAGACCTCCAACAACCCCTGAAAATGTCATACATGGCGCGGCGCCGCTTACCTACGTCGCCGTTGCGCAACGTCTCAAAGCCCGGCATCAGACCAGGATTTTTCACCATAAAAGCCATGAGTTCAGCTGGGTCTCCACCAATGCTGAAAAACTCCAGGCCGTTTTCTTGAACAAACTCTCGGAAATTTGGGTGGGTGGCAAGCCGGACTCTATGTCCGTAAGTATTTTTGAGAACCTGGCCCAATGCGACAAACGGCTGCACATCGCCTCGGGATCCAACGACATGAATGACCACATTGAGTGGCGGCGGAGGCTTTTCACCTGGCAGGCCTGCCAGAGAGGGAGGAATGTAAGGTGGTGGGTGCTCGGATGGTGCTTTATGCAGGTCTAACTGGCTCCGAAGGGCGGGTGCGAGGAGACTTGAGAGTCCATGAGTTCTTTCATTAATGTTGATATTGATACGTCCGTCATCTAGTCTCCAGTCAGCCACTTTTGATCCACCATGTCAGATACCATCACGTACTGCAAAGTCTTGCCCGAGTGTCAAGCCCATTTTGGCTAATGTCAAGATGGTCATAGGCTTCGCCATAAGATGGAGGCGGAACTGCATTTAGTGACGGTTCTGGAGAGCTTGGCCGTGCGGTTGTTCTCTGGGTCTGAGTCGGGGCCTGATGGGGAGTCTGGTGTCTTTGGACATTGCAAAAAGGAGATGGTCAGCAGTTAGAAATCAGTAATGGAAGGGCTATAGCGTACAATTGTGAAGCTCCCGATTGGGAATTTCTCTGGATATTTGTCTGCGCATTGTCAAGACCGCTTCGACTATCATGCGGCTCGCCTACCTCGGGGTGCTGCGTTTCATGATCTTGCTCTGAATCCGATTCCTGAGCGCTCGCATTTCCAATGGCTGCTGCCGACGCCTGTTCCAAGGCTGATGCTTGTCTCCTCCCATGCGGAGGAATAGTATCTCCACTGGGTTGTCGAGGATCATCCATGGTCCTTGATAGTAGGACCCCACGGGAGGGACGGTTGGGTTCTGGGGTCGATTCCGCCTCTCGCCACAATGAAGCCCAACTTAGTTATATTATTATCAGAATGTCGTGAGAGAGAAGGGAGTCTGGGTGGTGCCGTTCTGAGAAAGGATTTCAAGGTCTCTTAAATATGGTGTGCATGACAACAATTGCTATGGCGGGGATCCGGCAGAGGATGTACTCGTCAAGGGCAGTTGTGGGGATGTTCCCGCAGCAGGTTCAAGTGTTTGGGTGTTTCATCATTCATGTGCTTGCCTCCTCCATCAAGCCCCAATCACACAACAACGGTTAGCACACGCATGCACTGCTGAAGACTAATCAAATAATATTTCTGCGCCGTACATCCTCTTCGAGCTTAACAAGGAGCTATGGAGGTATAAGCAGGTAATCATTATTGCCCCCCTCGCCCGTTGGCCATTTAGTTTATCGATAGTCCTCTTGCAAGCGAACCAAGTGCTGCGTCATCCGCCTGGATGCGGCGCGCACAGCCACCCTCTCCTTTTGCATCTGACAGTTGCTTAACCACGTCATGGGCAACCCCAGTAAAACATATCAAATCAAAAAAGAATTGTCTACAATCACTTCTTTTGCTATCCGTTTGATTAATCCATATCTTTTTGTTGTTCTGAGTGCTCTTTTGGTTTGTATTGCTCTAATGCATTGTTTTTGGCATTTTTGATTTTATCGCCAATTTTTCATTTTCTTTTGATATTCATTTTTTCTCAGCAGAAGGCATGCTCTCAAAAATCTCTTCCTGCGATATCGTACAGTCGGATCTCTCAAGTCATCAGCATATATCATTTCTTCATCAATCTTAAGTTTGCTATAGTGATGCATTGACTAGGATATTGAAACGCGATAATATGACAAAATCTGTCCAGTCTAACCACAAGAGTTAGGGCTGTTCGCACATATCCTGCACATATATTATAAAGCATTTCTCCTGCAAGAATGAACATCTACAAAGTATAAACCTAATGATTTCTTAGACAGTAGGCAAGAGAGGATAAAAAGTATGTAAATTTTGAACGAACAGTTAGATTTGGCTGACTACGGTGTAGGCTAGTGATATCTCCATTTGGTTGTCGGACTTTTAGCGTCCGTTCCCCGCGACGCCAAGCCATAACGGTAAGTTGTGAAGAGTTTCCTGCACAAAATTTCACCAAAGTTAGCCGCGTGGGAGACGCTTTGCTCAGTCTACGACTCTTCCTGCAGACAACGGAAAAAGATCCGCTCCCTTGATGCGAGGGGTACTTCTCTGTTCATCATTGTATCCGTACCTTTGTGGATCATACTAGGGAATTTCTTTACCCCAGCGAACCAAAGCCAATAGCACCATGACTGCCCCCGAAACCCAGATATCTAATGAGGCACAATTGAACCCTCTGGAACCCTCGAGTACTATAAAACGGCCATTGCAGGAAGATGCGAATGGGTCTGCTCAGCCTATTTATGCTGAGGACTCTGCTGTGACCAAGGCTGAAAAGATCGAACGCAATGGTGCGCTTCCGGCGCAACTGGGCGACAATGAATTCGAGGAGTCCCCCGCGAAGAGGCAAAAGATAGAAGAACCGGCTCCAAAGGAACGAGTGAAAGGCGTGGCGTCGATCAAGTCTGAGTAAGCAACGACATTCTCATGCCTTTTCTACTAAATGTCTAAAAGCTGATATCCAATGTGCCATTAGATATCTCGTCTATCCTCCTGGCAGCAAGCAATTTAAAGAGATAAAGAAGATCAATACGGATGACAAAGCGGAGAGTTCTGGACTGGATTCCCGAGCGGAGGCGGAACCCGCAAACAAGAAGAAGAAGGGCAAATCCAAGGGCCAGAACACAAATCGCCATTTTGGTTCCTCTCGAGACGCCCTGCAGCTTTGCACTACTCGCCAGTTTGCTCCTGAATTCTCGCCTCGCGAGTGTCCATTTGGTGATGGTTGCAGATTTGAACACAATCTTAGAAAATACCTACAAGAAGGCAAACGGGACGATTTGAAGACATTCGATAGTGTATGTCCGGTCTGGGCGGCTCGAGGCTTTTGCAATTCCGGGTGGAAATGCCGCTTCGTGGGATCTCATTCCTTTGAGAGAGAGATCGCTGGTGGCCGGAAGGAATTGGTTCTTGTGGAGGATGAACAGCGCAAGACTAAAGGTGGCAACACGGATCCGTTCGAAGCCGAAACGGGCGTCGTCAACGTCGTCAGTGCGCGTCAGAAGATTGAGTTGACGAAGCGCAAAGTCCCAACGCCAAAGTCCGACCTCTATAATCCTTGGCTTGACAAGACTACTCGGGAATCGGAAACGACACGCCCAACCGAAGACACTGAGGGTGATAATAAAGAGCAAGGAACTGAAGGACAGAATGGCGTCGAGACAGACGATAAAAAGGTCGAACGCGAAGAGAACCGTGCCAGATATACCGAGCCTCCTCTGCGGCCATCGGAAAAGCGACGCCTGTATTTTGGTCCCGAGACACCGATTCTTGCACCTCTCACGACCCAGGGAAACCTGCCATTTCGTCGCTTGTGCGTTGATCTCGGAGCACAAGTGACATACTCTGAAATGGCGATGAGCTTGCCATTAGTCCAAGGCTCCAAGTCAGAATGGGCCTTGATGAAAGCTCATGAATCCGAAGCGACACCTCCAGCATTTCGCGGACGTGGCACCGTGGTAACTGACTACGACAACTCAAAGGATCTCAAGTTCGCCGCCCAAATAGCGGCCAATAAGCCGTGGCAAGCCTTGAAGGCCACAGAAATCCTCACTTCCCTATGCCCACATCTCCGCTTCGTTGACCTCAACTGCGGTTGCCCAATTGACTTGGTTTATCGCACGGGGGCGGGATCTGCCTTGCTCGACAACCATTCCAAGCTCGAAAAGATTTTGAGAGGAATGAATGTTGTTTCGGGAGAGGTTCCGGTAACAGTCAAGATTCGAATGGGAACCAAAGACAATCGGCCGACCTCGCAGAAGCTCGTAGAACGATTAGTTCTTGGCGGTCATGAGGCAAATGAGATGGGCATCGGGCCATGTGGAGTTGCTGCGATTACGCTTCACGGACGAAGCCGGCAGCAGAGATACACGAAGAGTGCTGATTGGAGCTACATCTCCGAATGCGCTGCTTTAATCAAGCGGTTCCAAAAAGAACGTGACTCGAGAGCAGACACTGTCCACGAGGCTGATCCTCGAGACCTTTCGGCCTCACAGGATGGAAAAATCTATTTTATGGGCAATGGCGACTGCTATTCTCACGTCGACTACTATAATAATCTGGAACAATCCAAGGTCGATTCCATCATGATTGGTCGTGGAGCGCTGATCAAACCTTGGGTTTTCGAGGAGATTGAGAAAGGACAGTACCTAGATAAATCTGCTTCCGAGCGATTGGAAATGGTGGAGAGGTTCGCAAAGTATGGTCTCGAGGCCTGGGGTTCCGACGAGATTGGAGTTGGCATCACCAGGCGATTCCTTCTAGAGTGGCTGAGCTTCGCATACCGTTATGTGCCTATCGGCATTTTGGAACACCTTCCCCCCAGTCTTCAAGATCGCCCGCCAGCATTCCGCGGCCGAAGTGATCTGGAGACTCTTCTCGCAAGTGATAATTATAAGGACTGGATCAAGATTAGGTATGTCCCCTCCCTCCCTGCGCACATATGCCCAACGTCATTGCCCACCGCGACTGTAGGAAATTATGTCTAACACCTCATGTTATAGTGAAATGTTCCTTGGCCCTGCACATAAAGACTTCAAATTTGAGCCAAAGCACAAATCGAACAGCTACGAGATTGAGGCGGAGGGATAGTCCTCATATTGTACTTTTATTCTCTTGTTAGAGCTATGGTTGATCTTCTAAGCATTAGACGTCAAGTTAATTCAAGAAATGCGCTGTATAAAAAAGGAATACTTGATTTAGGAGCAGGCGAATTCATTGCTTGAATATTGATGTAGAAAATAGTTTTCCGAGTTGCGCTCTGATGAACGTGAAAATGACTATTGTTTTGCGATGACCAGAAAAGGAATCTTGGCAAGACTAATGACGTAAAGGTGGCTGGTGCGAGTTGTCGAGCCACCGCCCGCTTGCCCAGCCCCGAGGTCCCTCGCCAACAGGAGCTCGTAGCTGAACACAAGGCAGCACTTCCACCTTTCCAACTTCTTCCCGCTTGTGCTCTTCACACTTCGTCCACGCTCTCCTGAAACACATTTTCACCTTTGTTACAAATTGATATTTTTCAAGGGTGTGAGTTGTCACAGTAATTGACTGCTCGTCGGTGCCTAGCTGCCATTCTAACATTTCCCGACAGCTTGCAAGTCTAAGCTTCTCGACTGTTTCTCCTCCCGTCGTGTGCTCTTGACACGAGAATTCCAGAGCTATAGCTTGAAAAAGATAGCACAAAATGACGCTCTATTACAGTCTTGTAAGCTCCTCCCTGCAAAACCTATCCTTCCTCTCGCAACCATGGCTATCTCAGAGAGCAACCAAACCCGAGGATATAGTGCTGACGGCTTTTGCAACCTGAATAGGTGTTTCTCCTCCTTGTGTCGGAGATGGCCATCTTTATGATGCTCATCGTCCCGCTGCCATTTACCTGGAGGAGGAAGCTGTTTACATTCATCTCCGAAAGTCCAATAATAGCAAAACTACAATATGGAATGAAGGTACGTGAGCGCGGCTTTCATAGAACTAAGCTCTTGAGTTATACTAAACGAACCATTTTAGATTACATTTATTTTCATTCTCATTCTATTCATTGACAGCGTGAACCGGGTTTATCGCGTGCAACTCGAACTCGCTGCCGCCTCCAAGGACAACAGTCAAGCTGGGTATGTGATTTCTTCTCGCGCATCCATTCCTGCACAAATTTAGGGTTGAACAGAATGGCTAACCTCGGCGTTTCTTCTTTTCTATCATAGTAGAGCGGCAGTACTTGGCTCGGAGAGAATGGAAGTCCAGGCCCGAAAGTTTTATTCCCAGCGCAACATGTATCTGTGTGGTTTCACCCTCTTCCTCTCGCTTATTCTTAACCGCACCTATGTCATGATCTTGGACGTGCTGCGTTTGGAAGAGGAAGTCAAGCGTCTCAAGAGTGACCCTTCTGCCAAGGGCAAGGACTCGGCTTCTCTCGCCAACGCCGGCAATGCAGGCGAAGTTGGCAAGCTCAAGCAGTTGCTTGCCGAGAAGGAGCGCGACATTGAGACCCTGAAGAAGCAAAGCGAGGGACTGAGCCGTGAGTACGGCGAGTTGAGCGATCGGTACGGAAAGTTGGAGAAGGCCGACCCCACTCCCAAGAAGGACAGGTAGAGAAAGCAGCGATTTTCTGAGACGGGAAAAGAGAGAGAGGGAGAGAGAGAGCGAAAGAGACGTAAACACGGAGAAAAAAAAGGGGCGAGCTGATATGCGCTTATTTCCTAGCACCAAGGAACCGTAGAGCCAGGGGGTCACTTTTGTTTCCTTCCCCGCACCTTTTTTTTTTCCTTTGCTACACAGGCCTAGGTAGTTCTAAACACTGCCCGAACAGATATTCATATAACTAGTACTGTGTTTCCTGAATCGGGAATAAAAAATTCGCTATTTCACTGTAGCACAGGATGAGCCACTTATTTCGTGAAAAGACTCTTGACTGTATTAAACGTTTTGGATCCATGGATCCATGGATCCATGTAGTTTCTTTCCTTTTTCCCGTCCCCTTCCCCTTCCTTTCCCCTGCTCAGACTTGTCCCCGGGCGTTTGGCAATCACCAGTGACTACTACCTACCGAAGTAACCGAGTAAAGATAAAAAGAGTAAACCCGGTGCCGCATCATCATCAGTAACTCCACCAAAACCCGTAAAACAAATCAAAACACCGTATTTCGCAAAAAAGGCAAGTCAAGTCATTGATAAATTGTTCAAAATTTCAACATTGTTGATAATAAGCTTAAAAGGTTAAAGGTGGAGGTAATAGTAAAAGTAATACATACTATCTAATGTTATGCAATACACTAGACCGGGGAAGTAGAAATGTATCTGCCGAGACGGGGAGAAAAAAAAAAAAGAGAACCGCAAACGAGAAGTAAAAAAAGACAAGAAAAAAGAAAAAAAAAGAAAAAAAAAGGGAAACTAAGATACAAATACCAGCCATCATTTACACTACCTTGTGAAATGACAACTGGAGTGTGTGTGTGGGTGGATTAGAATGATAAGTGATGGGCGTAGAAGTAGCGGAAGTAAGAGGAAAGGAATAAAAGAAGAGTTAAAAGTAAAATATGCCGCGCTACCGAATATGAAAACCACAAAGACAGAGGACAGAGGACAAAGAATAACCGAAATGACTCGAAGGGTGAGGAAAGGAAAAAAAAGGGAAAAGAAAAAAGAAAGAAGGAAAATGTGCAGTTGAATAAGCATACATCTATCCACAACCCTTTGCTTAAAAGAGATTAAAAAAAAGAAGAACAAAAAAAGAGAAGAAAACAAAGGGTCAAGGGGGCAGGGGTGGGAAGAGTATATGAGAAAAAGTTCACAAAGTATTAGGACTGTGAACAGAACAGAACAGAACAGAACGGTATGCAAGCTAGAAAAAGACAATAGCGAAAAAAAAAAAAAAAACATAACCTGGGTACTGTGAAACTCGGTAATGGACAGGAGAAAATTGCAAAAGTGAAAAGGAGGAAGAAGATGGGTGGAAAAAAAAAAGAGGATCAGAACATATGGGGAATCGATGCTCTAGTGCTCGCCATGCTTGGCACGCTGGACAAACACTTGATGATGCTTCAATGCAGGAATGGCATGCTATCTTTGGAAAACCTCCTTGCCGAAGAAAGAAAAAAAAATCTGTAGAAAAAGAAGAAAAGGGTACAGCAAAGTGAAGAAGAGCACAGCAGACCAGGGGAGTTGTAATGTGAGAAGTTGATCGAGAACAATAAGCAAAGATGCATGCGGGAGAGAGATGCATGAGAGGGCCGTCATGAGTGTATGAACAGCACGACCAGAAGGCAGTGTTTGCCTTCTCAAGCTTGTATTTCAGCCCGTTGCTTCTTGTCTTTGGCCTGGTACATCCACGTTCGAAGAGGGCGATGGGACAGAACAATCGCCTTCGAAAATTCCTTGGTCACAATTGCTCGAAAATTCGTCCATTAACACAGCGAATGCAGCCTCAAGGAAAGCTGCTCTTAAAAGCCAAGCGCTTGACCAGGTATCACACCAGAAAAAACACCGGTGTGTGTGGGACGAACTATCCAGCCCATGTCGAAGACCAGGCGTGAAAGGCTTTGTAATGTGTGCCAAATCCATTATTCATGATCTTAGCACGACAGTTCATCTCTCATCACCAACACGAGCCTTGCCTCTTCGCCTGAAAAAGTCCATGACCTTTTTAGCTGCGCCTGAACTTGCGCCATGCTGACTATGGACTCGTCCAGCATCATGTTCCTGCTCATAAGCATCTGTAAACTTGCGATGGCTTTTCTGCAGGAGCGACGGACCGCGCGTAGGACGCCCGTAGTATTGCTGTAGCTGTTGCTGTTGTTGGTGTGGTGGAGGCGATGGAGACGGCTGGGAGTGATAATAGTTGTCACTCGGACCACTGACAAAATCAGGCGAAGCATAATGGGGTTGAGTTGCGCTTCGTTTGTGGCGAGCATTGGCCGCACCTCCACTCAGCGAGACATCTGACCCAGTTGGCAAGGTGTGATCAGATCGCAAGGCTGCATGCTGGGCAGCATATTCAATGTTCTTTGAGCCAAGTTTCTCTTGGTAACTGGCATAATTTGTAGCGGCGTATGGCTGATGCGGTTGCCTGAGACCAGGTGGAAGAGAACCAACAGACTTATCCACAGACCTTCCCTGCTGGAGGATCGGGCTACCGCGATTGCTGCCCCCGTTTCGTCCCTCCGATACAAGCTGAGGAGTACCATCAGTGCTGGCGCTAGCCGGCGGGCTCGTCTTCTTGTCAAAAGGTACGGCTTGCTGATGTCGAGAGTAGCCTCGGCTCGGGGGAGGACCGCTCACTGAATAAGAGGTCGAGGGAGGCTGATCGCGCGCCGAACCGCCGCTGCCAAAGGCCCGAAAGGAAAATGAAGATGGGAGCAAAGAAAACCTCCGGCTTCGGTCAGCTGGTGGTCCGCCCAGATCACTGTTTTTCCGGCCAAACGCAAAGGATATAGAGCGACGGGAGTCAATCGATGGGCGAGGGCTGTCTGCGGCTGAAATTGGGCCCGCCATGCTGGTGGGTGGGTAGGACTTCTGTAATTTCTGCGGCCCTTGCTCGTGAGAAGATGGTGTCTGATTTCGACCACTAAAAACGGATCCAGATCGACCAAAAATCTTTTCTCCAAGACCGCTGACCGTATTGGATCGCTTGTGACTTCTGCCACCCGCACCCACCTCCATTGCTTCCGGATGCTGAGCATAGTTGGTAGGGGCCTGCTGCGTGCTAGGCCGGCCAATAGGCTCGTCCTGAGCGGCAGTCTCCTGTTGAGGTATCGGATGCGAAACGGAATATTTGGGCTGAGCAAGTTTACCGTGAGCGTTAGTTGCCGCGACTGCCGGCGCTGCGGGCTGGCTGTACGAATTCCCGCGAGAAGGCAATCTCATGCTTTCTGGCCTTGGACCCATCGACGCCATTGAACCGCCTGTCCGCGGCCGAGCCGTCGGGACTGAGCTTGCCACAGCGCCACCCGTCGAACCGCTGGGCGTATCCGTGATCGCACGAGGCTTTCCGGCCGGGCGGGATTGAGGTCGTCCAGAAGCCTGGGGAGCCGAACCTCTGCGCTGGCCGCCGTTCTGCGCAACCGGTGGTCCTTGCTGTCTCCTAGCCTCGGATCCTGCACCAAGTGATTCAGGCACGGGGATCCTGGAGGTGGTAGGGCGTGAAGTGGAGGTAGCGGCGGTCTGCCTGGAAACGTCTGCCGGATCTTGGCTTCCAGCCCGAGCACGTGTCCGCGTTGTTGAAGGAGCAGTGGTGGGATCCGCAGTGGCTGCAGTGGACGATGAAGCCACTGGCGGAGCAGCGTCGCCTCGGGCAGTCTGAGACTGCGGTGCAACGTACTCGACCTGTACAGTCCGTCGTTTGGCGTCTCTTTGAGTTTTAGGTTTCTCAGCTTCCTCCGGATCAATGTGCCCATGTTTTTGACCAAGCGCACCAGGTGAAAAGACCTGATGCGCCTTTGCAGGCTCGCGGACCGAGGCACTTCGGGCCAGAGGAATGTTTTGTTGGTCGTCTTTTTTTTTTACAGATGTTAGAGGAGCTCTACTCGTAAAATAAACTGTCCCATCTATATGAAATGACATACCTGAAGATACAGTCGTGTTTGCAATATCGCCACTCGTCGTGGTCGTGCTTGTAATAAAGGAGACCACATGAGAATATTCGCTGAGCCAACTATGTCGAGCAACTTCAAAAAGGTCTGCGCGCTTGCGTGGATCTGGAACGAGGATGCGCCGAAGGAGATCACGAGCATGTGGAGTAACATACTCTGGGAACGTGAGTGGCGTCGAAACAATGTACTTGTATAATAGATTGATATTGTCGCCCTCAGGGTTTGCTGGATCGTCATCAAATGGCAGATAACCAGCGAGCATGGCGTACTAATTGTCCAAGTATTACTAAGTCAGATCGATCGGATGCAGTCCGTCTTGTCCATGCCACTCTAATGGAGTTGAGAAAGCAAAAGGGAAGAAGGGGGAAACGACTTACCAAGATGACACCACAGCTCCACACGTCTACCTTCCGGCCCGTATACAACGAGTCACTCACGACCAGCTCAGGTGCGGCGTAACAGGGACTTCCACAACTTGTCTGCATCAAATCTCCTCTGCGGAAGCCGTTATCTCGAACATCGTCGAGATCCATCCGACGCACAAATTCCTTATTGGAGAGGTTGTACTCGATTTCATCTCCCAACTCGTCGTGAGGGTCGAATGTGTTGGCAAAGCCAAAGTCGGTGATGATAATGTTGCGATTTCGGTCCAGAAGTAGATTCTCGAGTTTCAGATCGCGATGCACGATGCCCTTCTTATGCAAATATCCAACACCAGACACGAGTTGGGCGAACAAACGACGAGCGGCGTTATCTTTCAGATATCGGTGATGGAGAATGTAATCAAACAGTTCACCGCCGGATGCGTATTCCAAGATGATGCCTATATGTCGCTCCGTTTCGACCATTTCATGCAGTCGGACAATGTTTGGGTGCGCCAGTCCCCGAAGGATTGAAATCTCCCGGTAAATCTTGGGCAAGCGGCTAGGGTTGGTCCCGAGCGACTCGCGTCGGATGAGCTTGACGGCCACCTCAATACCATTTTCCTTCTTCCATCCAATCTTCACTTTCCCAAATTCTCCTTCTCCGAGCGTCTGACCCAGAATGTAATCGCCAAACTTTGTCTCTGTTCGCCGCGTCTGGCTCGCTGAATGCTCCGGTCGACTTTTGGCCGCACCTCTTCCGCCATCTTCGACACCTTCGCTGCTGACTAGGCCGAGGCCGGTCACAGGTGTGATATCGGTGCCAGCAGGGGTCGGGCGGGCCTCGGCCATGCGTTCTCTTTCTCGAGCGACGTCCACCTGAGGGTCAGTCACAACGACGCGGTTAATGACAGCACTGCCCTCCTTGGATACGCCAGCAGCGTTGGCGGTTGCCATTGCTGCCGAGGAATGACTGTGGACTTTGCCTTGCGGTGAATGGGCCCCTCGAGTCTCCCGCGTGCTCGAAGATCGACGGGGTCCGTCTTGGGGCGACTGAGCTTTTCTTCGAGACCGCGCAGCGGCTGCCGCGGCGGCGGCGATCGCATCGTCTTTTGCTCGATCCCGAAACCCCTCGTCCACATGACTGGTAGCAGCGACCTTTGCCGAAGACGGTCGGTCGTCTGCCGTCCGGTTTGGTTGGCGAGATGTCGATGTGTAGTTATTGGCATGATGGGACGAGGATTGAGCGGTAGTCGTTGATCTTTGCTGCTGAGATGAGGTTCGAGGGGGGAGGGCAAATGGAGGACCGGCAGAAGAGTCGACGGCCCGTGGTACGTTTGAGAGCGGGGATGAAGGAGATGCAACAACAGGGGAAGCCTGCGCAGAGTGGGCTGCGGCGCGAGACGAGGACGACATGGTTTGTTGAGGTGATGCAGCGGGTGAATGCGACAAGGGCGGTTGGTTTGAAGTAGCTATCGAAGTATCAATCGCACTTGGGCGCCTTCGAGAAGGACGCGTAGAAACAGAAGGCGGAAGAGGGTCATGCGGGGGTGAGTGGTGATAGTGCCGTCCTGAAGGTGAGGTTGGACCAGGAACTTGCGACAGCTGAGGCGGTGCCTGCGTCGCAGCGGACGACATTTCGATCTTTGTATTTGTTCAGCGGACACGACTGATGAGAGTCGTGGGCCAAGGCGATTAAAATAACGTGTGAAGAGCCCCTATGATGAAAAAGACAGCCGAATGGTTTCGCCGGCGTCGTTCAATTTCCCAATGGGATGGCGAAGTGAAAGACCAGAAACGTAAAGCTGAGACGCAAGCTCGTACTCCAGATGAGTTTTGATCCGCTTGTACAAGTTCCAGATCTCTAGCTCGAGGTATCGTCAATGCGGCTCAGAGGCAAAACAAATCCGAGTTAAGCAGAGTGTCGCCAGCGACGTTGAGATGTTTTGTCCCGCAATAAGCGCTTTGGTTCGTCAAGAGACTCTTCCGCGTCAAGGAGCGTTGGGCAAATCGAAACAGACCACGCGTGACGGCTTCCAGTTCAAGAGGTCAGTGAGAATTTGGGAAGGAGTCAAGGGAATCGACTAACCAAACGGAAGGCGCAGGTCGGCGAACGGGCAGCCCGATCTTCAAGTCTTTGTTTGGACCAGTCGTGTAAAACGACTGCGGCAGCCTTCTGAGGGGAGAAAGGGCCCCAAGGCAGAAAATTGACAACAGACTCAAAGTCAGGAAGACAGTTGAGCGGACTGCAAAGGTTGATGACAGACGCGCTCCCCTTGCACGCCTGGCTCTGTGGATGGCTGGTTGTCGGTGAGAGCACAGGTACCGGAGACGAGATGACCTGGCGTTGGTGTTGCGGCTACAATCACAAGCCGAGCCTCGAGACCGCGAAACGCGGGAAGATCTGACGAGGCCTGACAACGGACGAATCAGTCTCAAGAGGGCTATAGGGGGCAGGGAGGGGTATGAGCAGAGACGAACTTCTTGTCCAAAGCAAGAGGCTCTTGTCCGTGCCTCTAGGGGATCGGTAGGTAGGTGGTGGGTACAGAGTACGGTACTTACTGTATGGGGGAAGGAAATAATAACTTGATGTGAATGGCTGTTTGTGTTCAACTGCTGCCACAGAGTCGATGTTTGCTCACAAGTGATCCACTATGGGCGGGTCACCCCAGCCATGCTGAATTGCGTCCGCTGACCACCTTGGGCAAGTCTGTGGGTTGCTGTGGATGATCTTCCCGACACCGATGGGTTTTCCAATCGGTGGACTTGTTTGCAGAAGGCTGTCACTATTATTCCGTGGGGGGGAACATACAGCGAAGGGCTGGCTAGGAAAGGGAGAGCCTTTGTGTGGTGGATCTTCTCTTTTCTGATAATAATGGGGGGGTTGTGGGCCCTTCCAGCAGCGGATGAGGTTGGGTTCGGGCAGAAGCTCGGTCGCGGTTAGGAAGTTTTGGAAATCAATTAAGTGTTGCAGCTTGGCGGATTATCTCGGCCGGTAGCGAATGGTTCCTTGAAGGTCGCCGATAAAACTTGGTACGCACAGCACTAAGTAGACTCGGACTGCAAATACCGTCAGTTAGTACCCAGCTAGCTCCCGCGAACACTGGTGGCCATAACTAGAATGTTTTTGACCGCGGTATCAGCGGATACGATTTCAAATAGAAAAATTCAAGGTAAAATATTAGTGAATGAAGATGCATTCACTATGGAATGGTATCTGTGGATTTCTTCTAATTATTTTACTACTCTGATTTTACCTCTGGATCTTTGGCATTGTGGTAAGGGATCCGTGGGTGTCATTATCACTGTACAATTGAATCGTCACCACACAACAGCCACGAGCAGGGGGGGGGTTGACCAGGGACTGACCAGATTGGAAAGCGCAGTGGATCCGTCGCAATTTCCCTGGTGTCTTTTCTTTCCCGCTTGACTTGACCCGCCGCCACAATTATTATCGGAGTAGTCGTACAGTAACTTTGTATGTATACTTTAAGTTCATTATCCGTCCATCTAACAGAACCTGTTTGTGCATTTTTCTGCAACGGAGCAAAACATGAAAATAGATCACCTTGTCGAAAAAGACCCAGCCAAATTTAGCTCTGTAAAAATCAAATTGTACACTGTACTTGGTCTCCGTGCGAGGTCTAGAGAAAAGTGACAGATGACCAAGATGAACAGCTGTCTCTTCCACTCGCGCAACGCATGTGTGGCTCCAGATGATGCATCTGCTTGAGATCCCTCGACAACATAAGCACAAGGCCCCCATGATGAACAGCATGAACAGGCGCGTGGTATCACCTTTTGATTCAAATCAATCTCAACGTGTTGCAGGGCAAGATATGATCCCGGCTACGCATCATCGTAGATGCAGGTTCTTGGCCTACGCCCTTTCCCCTCGCAGATTGCATGCACGCGATTCTCTTTGGCTCCATAGTCGATTCGGTATGGTTCGCCTACGGCACGGACAATCTTCGTAGTACAGTGATACTACTACTCTAGGTACTCTACTGCACTGTGCTGCATTTTTGGCCTTGGGCGATTGGGCCAAAACATGGCCAGGATTTCATCCTTTTTGTCTAGACGGTGTAGTCCGTACCGGAGTATGTTTACTTTGCAGATTTGTTTGTAGATTGCCATCTCAAAGTTCTCTTCCATATTCATTTTGCTCTCAATCGCGGATAACTAACGTTATCAGCCATAGGTATTCCTCCAGTGGATTAGAGCTGCCGAGGTTGAATTGGACAACGGCATGACCACAGCAGCTGCATCGCGATCGATCTGGGTTAACACATCTCGCGCGAGACTCGGCCGCCGGGGTATTCCCCAGGCCGAGTCAGGCCAGGGCCGATTACTTGTATCTAGGTATCTTGTATGATCCTATCGCGCCCTGCGTTGTTGTGTGGGCCGCAGCCCATTTTTTCCCTCCTCGCACATTCGCTGGTTGATTGTTCGCTTGGCTTTGCTAACTGTACTCCGGACAATTGACATGCACTGGTACGGCGACAGGGGCCAAAACATGCTAACTGCCAATTGCCTACTTTTTGTGCTACTGTAAGAGGATGACCCGCATGCTACAAAGTCCAGCTAGTTCGCCCCCATGCTGCTGCTAACAGATTACCCCTGACTCGTGCATTGAATGAGCAGAGGTATCGTACCTGCATCTTAATCACGTCGAATAACAACGGGCAACTTTTGGAACGGCAGATTGTAAGAGTCTCAGCCACTTCCCATCAACAGAACAATGTACCACTGTAGTCCTTTCTTTATTCCCATGGAAAAACCCATCTGCCATTGTGTTTGCTTACTTTGAGAATGACAAGTTACACGTGGGACGGCTAGCCACGGGGATTCCAGCAAGGGAAAAGCGGCGAAGAATTTTTCCCTTTTGGTAATCGGGAGAGGCACAGACTTGAATTTGTTCAAGATTTTATCGTTATACGCCTTCATCTGGATTAAAGTCGACGGCACCATGCCGGTGGCTCGAAAGAAATGTATCGATTGACTGCTAATCCACACACAGAATATTTTGCGATTGCTTTCAAGGTCATAATAACTTGATGAGTGCCGAATCAGAATAGGAAATGCCATGCTTCAGTGCGCGTGGGCGTGCAGCAAGAATAATACGACGTCGGCTGGAGAGACTCTCCAGCCAAGGAATTCCCGACACTAATGCACCCCTGAAACGAGTCCTGAGATGAGCAGGACCGCTCGCCTGCTACACAGGCAAAGTTACTGGCGAGTATTGCAGCCATTATTACTCCACGCGTCGTGATAAACATGCTCATTATAGACACCTGATCCTGGTAGACGATTTCCCCAGCTTCTAAATCAATGAACGTCGGTTGATGATCTGAGATATTTGAAACAGATGCTACAGTCATTTATGGTCTTTGGCATTGGTCACGTCCGCAGATTCCGAGTAAAAGTCCTGATGGCTCAATGACCATTATACAAGGTAAACAAACGTGGCTTCTAGTCTGTTCGTAAATAAAGCTCGACGTGATGTAGAACAGCAGTATCAGTTGCTCGGCCAATGACTGAAAATGCAAAGGGTAGCGGTTCAAAATTCTGACTGGTCAATTCGTTCCCCGTGTCGGGTCATTGTCAATTGAGCTATTTGAAGACGGACAGGGAACACGTCCATATTTATAGTTTGATACTGATGCCACGCTGATCCAACGCGGCCGCCACTCCCGTGAGTAAACTAGTGTATCCTAGCAACGTTGCCATGGCTGGCAGAGGACCCATGGTCAGCGTCGGCAGGGCGATATTGACAAGACCAGTCAGAAGATTCGCCAGCAAGAAGATGCCAAGCCCGTTGCGGTTGTATGCGCGTAGGACTCTGCTTGTTGCTTCATCGCACCTCGCGCGCTCTGTCGTTCTGTCGGCCGCAGTATGCACGCCCGGGAAACAAAGCGTTTCGATGACGCAGAACAAGAAAATCTGACCGCAGTTGAAGGCTGTGACCCAGAGGAAATATGGCAGATTCGCCAATCGCCGAGATACGCGAAGATCGAAGCCATATTTGTAACTTGCACAAACGTAAAATAAACCTGTCCACAATGCGGTTTGAGAGAGAAGCGAGACAATGAGCCGCTTGCGCTCTTTATTCGGAGACGAATCTTTCCGCCCGGAATGATGGCGAGGCAAGGCATACATCCCTATGGACTCGCCTGCTAGGAATATGGCAAGGTATCCGAAGAATGAAAAGATGCCTTCTCGATTTTGCGAAAACAAGTCCTTTCTAGGCGCAGTAAGAACAAAAGCTTGGAGTGACGTCGTTTGAAGCACAACCTCGTAAGTCAGGCCCACTATGATTGACAGCACCGTATACGATGGGATAAATCTGAAGGCGGTGTCGCAAAGAGCCACAAATGGTGGAAGTAGCCCCAGTGTAAAGAAGAAATTCCAGTGGACTCCGTACTCAGTAACATGCTCAGCGTAGTCAAGACCTTTGACGCTATAGAGCCTGATCAAACCCAAAATCATTAATGGCAGCGAATGGCGGATCGATTTCAAAAGACGATTCTTCAGAGTAACTGATGATCCTGACAATCTTGTCTTCAAAGCGTCTTTTGCGGAGACGACGCCGGCCGAAAACACAAATGAACCAACCCCAAGATCCATAAGTGAGGTGCCCCAGGTCTCGACCTTGGCAAACCGCCGTGGAAAGACTCGGAAGTCGACAGCCAAGATAGCAATTGCGGTGATGATAAGCATTGTACCTCTATATGTTGTTAAGAATGGTCTGATGGGAAAAGGATCGAGCTGTGGTGCGGACGACTCAGAGGTCTGCGTATGATCTCCTTCGAGTCCGCCCGCAATCCGTCCAGTTTTTGGAGTTGAAAGATGCAAATGGTCATTTTTTGACCTTTCCTTTTCTTCACCCCTGGGTTTCAACTTTTTATTCCGTGCCGGCGACGCCGGAGGGAAAGCATATAGCAACAAAGCTGGCGTTAACAAGAGTATGTTGAGCAATATTGGTGCTGAGGAATATGAAGTTATTGCAAAAAGAATTGCCCCACAGTTGAGTAGGAAGTCCGTTACAAATGCTGTTGGACCGTAAGAAAGAAAAAACTTTTGTCGACTTTGTAATGAAGACCAAAGTAGTGCAGCAGCCTTGAGTGTTGAAGTAAGCATTAGGTTATTTGATATCTCAATACTCAGGCGGATTGAATTTAATGAAAGATTTCACGCATTATACAATCAATCAATGACAGAATGGGAAACGTACCGGCGCTACAAATGTGACATAATTGATCTCTGAAATATCTCCTCCCGTGAGATTGGACACGAAGTCCTCCTTAAGTGATTTGTACGATTTTGCCATCAGTACAAAAGAACAGAGAAAAATCAAGATGGCATGTAATCTCTAGCTCATTTGTATTTGTAGACTATAAGAAAAGGCCAACTTAATACGTTGAGAACATCTCAGCTGATGGCCATGTTATTCTCATCTTTATCGATCCTCTCAATATTTTGGTTGTTGACAGTTAAAAGCCATAACCACGGTCTAGAGATCAGCGCTACGGAATTTACCGACAGACGACGCATCGGAGCACAGCACAATCCAATCCCAGCGAGAGCGCGCCACAGCATGTTGTGGCGTCTTTGGACATCAGGAAAGTCCAAGGTCAAATGACTGTAATTGTTGCGACTAGGATGCTATTTTATTTGAACAAAGCGGACACAATTTTTTACCCTTGGTGGGCCTATTCTACTCGTCTTCCATTTCAATCTCATCCTCGTCTTCATCCTCAATCTCGTCTTCGTCTTCCTCCTCCATTTCGTGCTCTCCTTCCTCTTCGTCGCTCGATGCATCATCATCGCTTCCGCTAAAACCGTCTTGTTCATCTTCAACGGCCATTTCCCGTTTTCTCTCCTCACGCTCATCATTTTTCTTGCGCTCATCCTCGCGCCTGCCTTCCTCCAGCAGTCGATCGCGTTTCTCCCTAGCTTTTCTTTGCCCAACCACAAAGGCGCCGAGGGGTGTCTTTTCCCACTCTACATCCTTCAAAAATGCGTCAACGGCTGCGCGGTCGCTAGGCGCGAAATCCACTCTAGCCCGGCGCTCTTCAACCCATCGTGCATTATCCTCGATCTTGTGAAGGACTAAGACTATAGCAGATGTTACTTTGGAATTTTTGATGCCTGCTCCACCTTTGCCAGAAGGGCGACCCCGTTTGCCTGGACCTTTGCCCGCTTTTGACGACGCAGTCTTAAGCCAGCGTCTGAGAAGAACGGTTGCCGGCAAAGAAAGTTCAGGGAAAGCAATATTCTTGCACCACAAGACAAAAAACTCGGACAGCAACTCAGCAAGTTGCTCGCCGATGCCATCTTGGTAAACGCGCGTACGAAGGTAAGATTTCGGCGCACGGATGTTCATGGAGAAGTCCAAAGCCTTTGTCGTGCTAGCCTTAGGGGGCTTGTTCATCTCACTCGAATTGAGCACCTCGAGAAGTGAAGCTGAAAGCGGAATATACGTCCCGGTAGCACGAGACACCCGGAGAAGTGACCGGGTGAGTTGGAATCTCAAGGGGAAATACTGCGCAGTAGGAATCAGGCGCATGGCACCGAGAGTGATCTGGACTGTCGGATAAATGAGAGGTCGGAGGAGAGATTCTTTGCCAGTTTGGGCTTCGTGCAACGATTCGCAATGCGATGAGAGGACTCGGGACCAGAAATCTAGAGAGTGGACGTATTGCCAATTGTAAATGGCTTTGTAAGATTCCTTCATCGACGTTAGCAAAAGCGAAAAACCTATACGGACGTTACGGGGCAAGTATGAAGGAGGGCAGTACCTTCGTAGTATGGGTGATACTTCCACGAAGGTGGATTGCCAATTGTCTAATGAAAGTGAACCCGGTTGTATATCCAACCTGCTCGTCAATTCCCCATAATTCAGCGGCTGAATTTTTCATCAAGTTGATGCCCGGCATGCTATGAATGGTAGTGTTGCGGCAGCCCTGTACAAGTCCGCGGTAGACAGTCTTTAAAACGGCCTCTCGTAATCCTGCATCGCCAATAACCGTAAGTCGGCGGACAATCAAAAAGGCTGAAATTCTAGTGGCTTCAGTGCTCGATGAATCCGACCAGATCTCTACAACGGACTTGATGATTTCCCGGAGCAGCTTCCTGAATGACAAAATGTACGGAAGCAGTGGCATCAATGAGGAAAGAGTCAGTTTGATCGTTGCAGCATCGGAGAGATGGCTCAAAAGGTGGAGAAGGGAGGTCGTGTGGGATTTCAAGAGAGGCGTAAGTGTGCGGAACTTCTTGGAATCGGTGGAGACACGGCTGTTAGATTGTCAGCAGATATTTTTCCGTGCATTAAGGAGCAATTTACTAACATCTTTCCCGAACTACTCTCCTTAGCTGGTAAGTGGTGGTTTAGAACTTCGGGAACGTGCTTTAAGGTGAGCACAAGCAATTCATGGTAGACTAAAGTAAGTGATTAGAAGAAGGGACATGATAGAACGTATTTTAATCAGTACTTACCGTCTGGATTTGATATCGAGTACTTGTATTGCTTCCCGTCCTCCTCGTCCGAATGAGCTGCTGCTCTGAAAGCCAAAACAACTTGACGCATTGCCCTCAAAGAACGCTGAGTGGTAAGAGCGGCGGTCCATTTTTTCACCATAGCCATTGTGACTTCCGACGCATCCTGTGCATCCTCGGCATCCTCAGCTTCAGCCTTCTTCCGCTTCTTTTTTGGTCCCTCGTCGTCTTCACTTCCACTCAGTTGGTCAACCTCAGCCAAATCCCCATTTTCACCGAAGTCAAGGAGTTCAGCATCATTCTCCTTGAGATACTTGTAGAACTCAGGATCCTTCTCCGCCAAGGCTTCAAGTTCTTGCTTATGCATGCTGAAAACGTTGTCTTCCTCTGCGGAGTTATCGCTGTCATCGGCAACAGGATTCTCTTCGACCGAATCTGCGGCAGATTCATCATCAGAGTCTGCAGGTGACGATCTCTTCCTTTTGCCAGTAGACTTTGAAGGCAGTTTGGATTTTGCTCCGTTCTTCTTAGGTGCTTCGGGAATGTCGAATCCGCCCTGGAAGAAGTCGTCCACGCTCATCTCCCCAAAAGGATTTTCCTTTCCCTTGTCATTGGCGGCGGTCGGCGCAACAGAGGTCTCTTCGGTTGCATTGGCAGATCTTTCTTTCTCGTTCCTTGCCTTCTTTTTATCCTTTTGTTGATTGCGCTGCTTTATCTTGGCAAATTCCTTTCGGCGTTCTATTGTGTCCTTGAGATGGTTCTTTTCGAACTTTCTCTGGGACTTTTTAGAACTTTTCGCCATTTTGTTTGATGACAGGGGCTAACGCAGAAATATTACTGCGATGTCACTGTCAGTCCAATAATTGTTGTGGTTCTTGAATTTTCGCAAAATCCTAGAGACTAATTCAGGCAGGGTAGAGGTGGGCTAAGAAATTTCCTCGGCAAATTCCGCCTCCGCCTTCACGGTTGAACTTTCCCTGTGGTTCGCGTAACTGACTCGTGAGCGCCAAGGCTTCACCCCATCAGCGAGTGTTTGGTCGGGAGCTCCAGCTTCAGCTTGATTCTCGACGGTGGTATTACCAGGGATCTCAAGATTTGACCACCCATAATCGAAGCGATGTATGGGAGACAACTGTCTTATGCGCCAACTCCGTATAGCTATACGCCCAACACGAACCTTTCAGCTACCATTAATTTAGATGAGGTCAGTGTTTCCCTACTCTTGATATGCACACTGTGGCTGATCAACGGCAGGAGGTCAAACTCACATCAACGGCGGCCGAAAGAGACCTCTTTGACTCTTTAGCTGAGATATACAGCATCATTTTAACACTTGACGCTCTTGAAAAGGCTTATATAAAAGATTCAATTGCTGAAACCGAGTATACCGAGACATGCAATAGATTGCTCAAACAATACAAATCCAATTTGAGCGACGACACGGTGGCCAAAGCATTCGTTGATCTAGAGACTTTCAAGAATGAATGGGAGGTATGCACAGTTTTGTTTCTACACATCTGGCTGAAATTGGTTAACGATGGTCACAGATAGAATGTCCTCGAGCAACAGAGCGGCTGCGGGTAGGTCTGCCAGCGACGGTGGAGCAAGCTTCGCATGCCACTCCATCTGTTGGTCCGAGTTCCGCTGCTGGAAGTCTCATTTTGGCAGCAACAGAGAACTTCATCACATTCCTCGATGCTCTGAAATTGAACTTGGTATCAAAGGACAGTCTTCACCCACTTCTTTCTGACGTCATTCATTCCGTCAACAACGTTACAGACCGCGACTTTGAAAATCGTGGAAAGATTGTCCAATGGCTTATCACGCTGAATCAAATGCGGGCGACCGAGGAGCTCTCAGAGGAGCAGGCTCGGGAGCTTTCCTTTGACATTGAACAGGCATATCATGGCTTCAAAGCGACATTGAATTGATCAAGAGGATGCTCAAGGTAATCCTCTGGCCGATACACGAGGGGACTTATACTTGTATTTTTTTTCTTGACTTCTTCCCAAAAACTTCCAATGCACGAGTGGTGCTGGTACTGCGGTGTCATTTCCTTGCTTCTCAGAGGCTGTTGTGCCGGCATATACCATCGGCCCGTTTTCTCTCCGGGGGCAGCAGGGATTTTCCGAGGGAACTTCCTCTTTCAGCGTCGACTGAGATGTCGGACCGAAGTACCTCCCTCGCTCCGAGAAGTCCCTTCATTTTGTTATCGCTTATCTCACCCAACCGAGACGCACGGACCAATGAAAATTTCAGGAGTCTGCAGCAAACAAAGGAAATAATAATTGTGGACCCCCCCAGATCTCCCCCGGGTATGTTCGACTGGGTGCTTGATCAAGGGTCGCGATGACGGTCGACGTTGACTACCACGATGGAGAGGATGGTGGGGAGCAACTTCATGGTGAGAAAATATACGTTGGCTATATTTCGCGGTCCATGAGCTGACCTGAGCCTGACAGTCCTGGATTTACCGCAATTGTATACGAAGCCGTCCGCCGAAGCACTCATCGATACCTTAGCCTTGCTTTCTTACCAGCCATTTTCGTGGGATTCGAAGATTGGAGCTGCACGCCTTACCACCAAGCAAGTAAATCCTGAAGGGGTAACAAAGTATTTGACCTCTATAATTGCTAGTCAGTTGGCTTGGATCAAGGATGAGGAGACCAAGGAGCAAATTTGGGAACTAGCCAGCGTCCGACTCTGTGAGCGTTCAGGTCGCACAGGTACGCTCGATACTAGACTTGACGCGTAAAATCACTGACTGACAACACTCAGCTATGCCTGCTGTCACCCGAAGCTTTACCATACCCACTAATAACGGGGGCTCGGAGGCAGAAATTGTTCTTTACGAACCATCTCTTACGGCTGATAATCTCGGCTTCAAGACATGGGCCTCGTCGTTTCTCCTCTCGAAACGTCTTCATCTCTTGGACATTATCGCAAAAGACGCACAACAAGCTGGGCCGATCCTGGAGCTTGGCGCTGGAACGGGTCTCGTTGGGATGGCAGCCGCAACGGTATGGGGGGCTCATGTTCACCTCACCGATCTTCCGGAGATTGTTGAGAACCTTTCTCGCAACGCTGAAACCAACCGCGCTCGGATCGCTGAGCATGGTGGATCGGTCTCGACTGGAGTTCTCGACTGGACTCACTATTCGGGAGTTGAAGGTGTGCCTAGCACTGGTCGCTACTCTATCATTCTGGCAGCAGACCCAATCTACTCTCCCGATCACCCACGGCTCTTTGTCCAAACCGTACGAGCCTGGCTGAGCACGGACAAGAATGCTCGGGTCGTGGTTGAGCTACCTTTCCGCGATGCATATGCTCCGCAGATTCAGGAACTCAAGGACAGGCTGGCTGATATTGGTCTGGGACTGAAAGATCAGGGCGAGGAGGTTGGTTACGACGACTGGGGAGGACGTGACGGCAGACCAGCCGAGGTGCGTTGCTGGTGGGGAGTTTGGGGCTGGTAGTATCAGCGGAGAATGGTGGACTTTTGACGTTTGATTTTCACCTGTTTTTCTGTTACCTCAGCGCATAATCTTAAATATGCATCATAGACAGCACCATGCATATTAGACATTAGACATTAGACGGCAGACAGTAGATAGACGAGATACGAATTACGATGCTTTAGAAACTCGTTTTGCTCTTCCGTGAATTAGCCATACCAAAAATATTCTTGTCCTTGTGCACGCTATTCGTACGATGCAACAGCTATCCTTCTTTCAATTTTTTCATTTTATATTTTTGATTTCTTATTTGCAAGTTATTTTTTCTATCCCTTCTATATCTTTTCTTTTCCTTTCTCTTCCTTTCTCTTCCTTTCTCTTCCTTTCTCTTCCTTTCTCTTCCTTTCTCTTCCTTTCTCTTCCTTTCTCTTCCTTTCTCTTCCTTTCTCTTCTCTTCTCTTTCATTTTCATTTTCAATATCCTTTTTCTTATTTGGTTTTCCCCTTTTCTTTCCTTTTTTTTGTCTTCACCAAGAATAATTTCTTTAGAAATTAACCCAACTTGTGTTATCGCAGTAGTTGACCGACAGCTGTGTACTGAATTGACTTACCGGCGCCAATACAGTAGAGTTGGTAAGAGGGTCGAGGGGTGCTCGGCGGATGACGTCTGACGTCGGTTGTCGGTCGTCGGTCGTCGGGCGCAGATACCCGCCCCCACATATACATACGCCGTCTCCGCAATTACCTGTAGCTTACACCGTACAGTCCTGGCGACGATACTTAACTTCAGAACCGGTTTTTCCCTTGTAGTGATTATACGATTTACATCTTTCTCCCATCTACAATTCGCCAGACGCGAAACGAAATCTCCGGATTCAGCATACAGTATATCGCATACTAAGACGGGCCAATAATATCCTATTCGAAGCAGCCGCCGCTTTACAAACCTTCTCTGGTTTTCGAGACTTGTTGCAAGAACCCGAACGAAAGAGGACAAAGACCCAAACCAAAGAACGCAGTTGCGCAAAAGTCACACAGTCACACGAAAGGAAACGGGAACCTCAAGAGAGGAAATCAAATCGAACGAAAAAAAGAAAGGGAAAGTGTAGAGAAAAAAGAAAAAGCAAGAAGATAAGAAAAGAAAAGAACAGAGACAAAGAAAAAAATGGTCCTCGGACTGCTCACCATCGCTGCAATCCCCACGACCATCGGGGTCTGCGAAGGCGTCGCGCAGCAGCGCGAACAGAACAAGCAAGACGAGCAGGAATCCCGCCTGGACAAGTTCCACCTCGACGTGTTCTGCGATGCGCGCTCGAATCGGGCCAAGGAAATACACGGCCGGCATCTGGTCCTGAAGAATGGCAAAGTGTATGTTGCGTCGCGGGGTGGCGGTCGTTCAAAGCGCCAAAACAACGAAAACAACGAAAACGAGGCCTCTTCAGCGAACAAGAACACTTCGCTCGCTATCCGCTCACGCAACGGCACTCAAACCAACGCCAGCGATTCCCAAGGACAAAGCCAAAGCCAAAGCCAAAACCAAAAACAAAGTCAGAGCCAAGGAAAAAGTCAAGACCAAGGACAAGGAAAAGGACAAGGACAAGGACCAACACTGCACGATCTCTCGCAAGCGCATCCCGTGACGGCATTCTACATTGTGTATCCCGACGAAGAGCGCCCGCCGCCGCGGCCGCGGGGGCTGGTGAGTACGATTTCGGACGATCCGCCGATGCTGAACTGGCTGTACGCGGACAAGGACACGATGGAGATCAAGTACGGCAACCGGACGCAGAGCCGGGAACACATCGTTGGGCCGTGGGACTGGACGGAGGACGAGGTGGGGCTGACGCTGGAAGGGTGGGAAGGGTTCGTGGCGGTCGAGGAGGAGGTCAAGGTTAATAATGGTGGAAAGGGGAATGGAGACGGGGATAGGGATAAGGATAAGGATGAGGATGAGGAGGCTGATGCGGGTGATGAAAGAGAGTCGCTGTGGGCGATATATTTTGATCGCAAGGATGATCGGCTCCGGAGTCTGGGTGGTACGAGGAGAAAGGTCCTTGAGATTAGTCTGGAACGAAGAATGGTGGAGGAGGACAAACAGGGCAGAGAAGGCAAATGAAGTAGGGTCAAAGGTATTGGATACCAGCTTTTGCTCGTCATGTCTGGTTATTGGCGTCAATTCGGTCAAAGGATCTTGTTATATACGCGCATGTGCTTTTGAATATTCATATAGTGATACCTTATAGCGTCAAAACAAAGTATGGGATCCAAATCAAGACAGACGCGCCATTATTTCGACAAAGGCTTTCATGACACAAGGACATGCTGGGGATTCAGCCATACCTTCAATATTGACATGGATACCAACTGCAATAGCGTGCTTCTAAGAGATGCATGGCATAATGCCACACGTCTTGTTCAAGAGATAGATTCACATTGATTTGCAAAGCCTTAGCGGTCTTGTCAAAAGGTACATTCCTTGTATTGGTAAAGATGCTTCAGAGTGATCAATTGATCATAGCTAACAAAGCTAGCGCCAGTAGAGAAAATATAAATAGCGCGAAAAGCCTCTACTTTTTGAAGAAATTCGCACGAACGCCTTCATTGCTGATAAATAAATCCATAACCGCATGTAAAGCAACAACCATATGTTCAGCTATTTCAGCGCTCACATAAAAGAGTTGGAGTAAAGCTGATTTGAAAAGCCATCGGAACCCTTCCTGCCTCTGAATTGCGGCGATCCATTGTCAAAAGTGTCTCGACGCGAGTAGATTAATCACTAATATAAGTCAGCCAGACTCGGAATTTCATGGAGCAGGCAAACGTCAGAAAAATAAGCTTACCCCAGCGGATACGGGTGCATGATTTGGCCATCTAAGTTCTGTGTCAGTCTTTCACCGGAACAGATACATATGTCCTATTCGACTCACAGTAAAGTTCACTTTCTTTGCTTGCAAGGAAGACGTAAGTCGGAGCAATCTCACTCGGCTGGCCTGGCCTGCCAATCTGAGACTTTTGTCCAAAACCTTCCATTTGCTCGGCGGGCCTAGAAGCCGGCTGCAGCGGAGTATGAACGGGCCCAGGTCTGGAAAATAAAAACATCAGCATACCGTCATAAGTTTTATCAGTGACAGAACACATACGCAACCGCATTAACCCTCTATAGAAAGTATTAGTATGTAGCATTTTTGTACACTAAGATCGGTCAGACTTACAATTCCCTTGGGGATCAATTGTTTGGCAAGCGCCCTAGTAAAGCCAACAATAGCCCCCTTCGTAGCGGCATAGTCGACCATAGCTCCGGTGCCGCGAAAGGCAACCACCGAGGTAGTATTGATGATACTACTTCTTAGTTAGTAAACGCATGCACATTGGTAAGGAACACATACGAGTCACCCTTGCGCAGATGATTGAGAGCGTATTTTGTAATGGCGAACATCTGGAGAATGTTGCTTCGGAAAGTGCTCTCTACATTGTCAAGATCAATTTCCGCAAAGTCGGTGCACATCAACTGCTTAGAGGCATTGTTGACGAGAATATTCAGGCCACCATGTCTGTATATGGATCAGTAGAATGCCTTTGTAAAATCCAGACGAGTGAAAGCAATACTCTCTTATGTGGGCCTCGACGGCCTTTTTGCACGTGTCATTGTCCATAAGATTGCCCGGGAAGAGCAAGCATTTCTGATGCTCGCGCTCCACCAGTTCTTTGGTCTGTTCTGCATCTTGTTGCTCGTCGGGCAGGTAGACAATGGTAATATCTGCACCTTCCCTGGCCATCATAACGGCAACGGCTCGGCCAATTCCAGAGCTTGGTTGAACGGTTAGTATCGGAGCAGTAGTGATAAAGGTCGCTTGACTTACTCTCCTCCAGTGATTAGAACCTTCCGTCTATTAAGTTTTCCAACGCCTTTATATTCGACAAATCTGCCTTCTCCTTCGAACTTAAGCGACTCGCTCGTGGGCTTCATTTCTTGCTCCGACCTAATTTTATATCAGTTGTAAGCTTCTCCATTCTAATTGAAGTTCGCTGTCAAACTTGAAAGTCCAATAAGCTGCTGGAATGGATGACAGGGTGCATCTCTTTGACCACAAGTGATCATAGCGACCTCAAGGAGGCTAGGGAAGCGCTGGACCATTGTCGGGATAACATATGATCATTGCTGTGACTTACCCAGGTAAATCCTGACTCTGCTTCTCGGCAACGGGCTTAAAAGTGCCCTTTTCTCCAGCAGCAGAGGAAGACATCTTGGCGGTATAAGCAGAGAAGAAACGTGAGCGAAAAGAGAATGCAGAATAGTGGGAGTTCAGAGGGATGTAAGGCTGTGGCGATCTGTGGTAAAGGCCGGTCCTCAATTGGCTCGATGTAAGACGGAGGGTGGAAGAAGATGAAAGAAAGGAAGAAGCAAGTAATCGGCAATTTATATGGGGAGACATTTATGAGCTCCTCAAATTTGGAACAGGGACGTGGTCATGAACGACCACTTGGGGAAGGAGCTCGTGTTTTATGTGGAAAGACCCTTCGACGTCATGATGCTGCAATCAACAAACATCCAGGAACCACACTGCTCTGAGAAGCGATCTAGCACGGTCAGAATCACAGAAACTTCTTTGCTGCCATTACGAAAAGCCAAGCGGCTCATTTTTACATTTTGATGCTTCTTTACTGCACTTCCACTCATTGAAACGCGTAGGTTAGATGATACCTCTTTTCTTGTCGTACTGTAATAATTCTACAGTAGCCCCAGCTTAGCTAGAGCTCTTAACCTTATCGCAGCTCCGATAAGCAACGAACGGAACTGGGGTATAGCGACCCTGGCGACCCACAGTGACATTTGGCGACCCCAAAGTGAGTAAACCTTAGAACTTCAGACCTGCAATATATTCGATTGAACGGCGAGAACTCTATGCCTGAAAAAGCCGGATCCCTTGGAGTTATAATTAAGTGAGACTTACGCACTGATACTAGCATAAATCGTTGCTTCATACAGCAAGTGAATTGAACATTGCAAATATTGAAGCCTTACCTACTAATGAATAGCAATTAGTACGTTCCCATAGAAGTGTAGGTGATGAACACCGCTTCTTTAAATTCTCTGTGAGCCAGGTTGCCAAGAATGATCATTTATTCCCGAATACAAATGTTTAATTCCGCATCAATGCGTATTAATAATACAAAGAGAGACTGACGCTCAACATTCCATGTTTCAATCCTAAAGAGAAGTGAAATTAAAAACCACCCACGGTCAATGAAAGAATTAAATCATAACGTCAAAGAAACAAAAAGAACGGGCTCATGGATACGCTCACGTAACATATCATTATTCGCATCGACATGTCATCCGCATGCTCAATCACTCAACTTCAGCAAAGTCACTGGACCCAACTTTTCCACCGTAGTAGACAGGTGCCAATTTGAGGAAGCGTCGCCGCTCTGCTCCTTCGCTGTCAGTAGATGTGCTACTAGAAGCGCTGATGCTGCTGAATCGCCGCTCAGTCTCCTCAGAGCCAGGATTGACATTCAAAGTATCCTCAGCGATAGCAGACTCTGCGACGAGCTTGGCCAAGGCCGATAGAGTTGGAGGGACCGGGCCGGTATCTTGCACCTCCTGCGCACGTTGAGGGAAAGTAGTCGAAAAGACTGGCGCAAGGCGGAGATATGTTCCCAGACCAAGGGGAGCAGGAACAGGGACGTCATTGATGCGCTCCTCTCCTGAGGCGTCAATCCGAGGTTCAGTCTGGCTAGCAGAAGACATTATGATAATGATGATAAAGACGATGATTAACGCGCTATACTGATGGTCTGGGAGCGATGCGCCAGTCGAGCCTCAACGCTGAGACTCGAGCTTCCGATGGAGCCGACTAGACAGGAACGTTCTTGACAATCCTGTACTGTATATGGAACCTGAAAGGAGTAGAAAATGTAGTTTCCAATCGAATCAGCTCTTGAATGGAGGCACGGAGGTCCTATGCAGAATTGATATTAACAGAAGTCTTGTCAGCCTTTAGCACAGAGAGAAGAAAACAGGATTGGAAATGACCGGGGATCTCATGATATTTGTATATATTGATTTTAGCACTATCATTTCCGCATGTGAGACCGGCTCTTTGCCTTTTTGTCGGTTGGTTGCTTTCCTTTGGCGCGGACGAATTAGGAATGATGAATAGCCCACGTTTGATCACCTGGGCACTCTTCGTCTTTGGGGAGCGTTTGCCGAACGGGGCGCAGTTCCGTCGATCCGTAAGCTCCAACGACCAACCTTAACTGGGATTCGGTCTCTCATCAGCTGATTTTTCCCCCAAATCCCCCTTTTGATCTTGAGAGTGACACGGAATTGAGAGTTAGGCTGAGTGCAGGTCGGAGGGGCCGGTGTTGATTTACCGTGTTTCTCCGCAGATTGAATGCAACGGGATAGCAAAATCCGGGGTAGAGCTTGGTGAGATCGGCTATGCACTCTAGTTGCCCTCCGGGGTACGTATGCCTATAGGGCCTGCCGAGGCATCGCTGCACCAAACGGCATTGACTACCCGGGTAGAAGGCGATTTGGTGGCTTCATCGGCCTACCATCTTCGGGTTTATGCGGGAAGTGGAGTTGTGGCAGAATCAACCTTAATGAGCCAGCTCGATTAAATTAAACCACCAACGTTATAATTGATTTGATTGATTGATGATGATGATGATGCTGCCATCCAGTAACGGACGAGTGGCGGGACCTACAGTTGCTGGGGGGAGCCCGAATACGATGACCTGGCGGGCTGGGCCCGACGACGACCCTCTCCTCCACTAAACCCTTTGACAGAATTCACTGTGAAAGGTCCATTGTCCTCAAATGTTCAAGCGGTTCCGAAACGTGAAAGGGCGAATATGGGAATGGAACATTTCCGGCCTGTTCCTGAAGTTCCCGACATCCCTTCGCGTGCTGATTTGTCTAGTCATCCTAGTCAAATTTTCCAGGTATAATAAGAAGCCCAATATATCATTTCATGAATCACTGCCCATACTTGACTGATCGTTATGGTGCCGTCAAGCACCGACGGCTTTGACTGTTCAATCAATTCATTCGGAAGCTAGAGTTTCGAAACAGCGCAAGGGGGTCGCGTGGGGCATGATAAAGGTTGATGAGCCAAACGAAACTCTTTCCTGAAAATGGTAGATTAATTCAAAAGGGATCTCACAACCGTCATTATCGATAGGAAACTTTGGAGGAAGCTATGTGCAGGGATGTGCAAGGGCTACTCTCTAGCCGTTGGGGAAAGGGCCGGTGCGGATTTGAAGATTACCAAGATAAGCTTTAATCCTAGCGGTATTCTCATAGTACGCAGCGCAATTCTTCTCCCTGAGCGAAAGCACTCACGAAATTGCGGTATCAAAGTTAAGAAGGGGATCGTTCCAGAGTGTCCAAAGTTTGCTAGCCCATTGAGAAAACCAACAAAGGGACTTTTGCAAGGTGAGAATGCCCGTTCTCGCGTCTCGCGAGGAAGATCATCACGAATTACCCCGATTCCGATTTAGTCTCCGTTGACAAATCACATGTTACCGAGAAGCTTACAGGGTTTGCCAACGATCAAGGCTGGAATTTCCTGATGAGATGACCTTTGAGCAATTCGGCACCAGGTATCAGATTATGACCTTGAATCAGGGTTAATTCCAGAAAGTCGATTGCCAGCAATCAAGTCGACACCTCGGGGATATTTTCATCACGAACAAGTATGGAGCAAGCTGAGATCCTGTGTTGGCAGACGGTGGCTGACGCATGTTATCGTGTCCATATCCTAACCCCGTCCCCGGTCGCCTTTGGAACAGACATCGAGAGGTGAGAGTCATCAAGAGACGCCACTGAATATTTGTCCTTCATCGAGTCGAAAGAGCGAAAGGCCACAGACACGCACGCTTTGAAAGCAACAGACGACTCATTTTGCGTGCATGATTGAAAGTATTTGGCCGGCTGAGGAGAAGGAAAATTAGTCCTCATCGCACCCTTTTCCATTGCTTGTGAAGCGAAACGCCAAAAGGTGAGACGTGGATCCTCTCGTCGGCAGGGCCTTCCCCCCTTGCATAGCTGCGTCTATATTCTCAAGCCAGAAAAAGTTACATACCGGTGAGAACCTTAAATCAGGTGGAGTTTCATAGCATTCCGGTCGTCTCTTCGGCAGGCCGCCCGTCTGTGCCGTTAGCGAAGGGTCTTTGGAAGACATTACTTATCGAGTATTTAGTCGTACCGTACACTTTGTCATATTCTGATCCACACTGAACTATCAAGGTACTGTGACCGGGAGCCCGCTCCCCGCCTAGCTATAGCTTTGGCGGACGTTAGGACCGTAGATACAACTGGCCCAGAGGCCCGCACGGGCCGCCATAATATGCACATGCCATGTGGACAAACTCAGCGGCCTCTGCAGATGTCGTCCTCGGCTTTTCTCTTTTTTACGCATCCGTCATCAGGAGACTTTATGGTCTCTTGTCAAGAAAAGCTCTCCGGTGAAGGATGCCTCGTGGAATTGAGAGTATTGATCGTGTGTAGGGTAGATTTGCGGTTTGACCGTAAAACGACTCGGAGCCAGGATCACGCTAGATGGATTGATAGCTAGTGCGACGGCCAAAATTGAGAGGACGTTGCGGGTACCTATTTAATGTCAGATCACGTTCTTTTTGAGTTCATTTTCTGCAGAACGCTTGGTCTAGACTGTCAAGGGCGATATGGGCCGAGCGTCAAAGGTGACTGAACCATCTCCGTCGTCCAGCTTTCTTCCGACCAATCATACATCAACACAGCCGCCGACGGCTAACTGTAAAGATGGGGGGAAACGGAGTTGATACCCTAAAAGAGGGAGTGAAGAAAGTGGGCCAGGGAGCTCACAACTTGCGGTGGTTAAGCAGCAAGACAAGGAATCGCTGGTTGACCGTTGTGTTAAGGGTCCCACATGCCCTCGCCTAGATTGGTTAAGACCTTGCACTGGCGCCCGCAAGTTCAATCTGGTTGAAAATCCGTTTCGCTGCCAATAATGAGCGACATTATTAGGCGTCGTCGCCTCTGAAGAAGTCGCGAATGAGCTCGCATTTCTCTCGATTCCCTCGTCCATCATTGCGACCGACGCTCGGCCGAGAATAGATCCCATTATCTGTTGCTTCCGGCAACCTCCGCACATCGCTCTGTTGGGCGCAAGGGCATCTCCAGATGATGGCTGTTAAGTTAGTAGAAACAGCACGGCCTCTTTGGGCAGGTAGGTATGTTTACCTTCCCATAAATTCACATCCACATCATCATCATCATCATCATCATCATCATCATCATCATCATCATCATCATCATCGTCATTACCATTGTCACCACCACCATCACCATTACCTCCACCTCCGTCCACCCCGTTTTGCTGGCAATACGGCTCGCCTTATACAGAAATTTCCCCGCGCAGGCTTGAGTCGGCTGGCAGGAGGCGCGGCTGGCTGAACGGCACAGAGCAGCAAAACTAAAATGTGCCAGGGTTCCGTTGACTGCTTTTCATTTGTGGCTTTACGGGGTTTGCTCCAAGGCCTGTGTTGACCCAAGATGTGCCGATGGCTATGACACCAATAGGGCGATGCTGCAACCAATTCTCGTGTTTTTCTGATAGAAATTTCCATGTTTGTAATTTTGCATATTACATTGTTGTATTTCCGGAGGTCGACCGAGTAGTGATTCCCGTCTTGAACGGTACTATTGATGGTTTTCACGCCAAGTGTCGTCCGAGGCAGCCAGCCTCTTGTAACCTCTTTCATGCTCTGTGTTCTGGTTTTCCCACAATCACGGCAACCAGCTTATTCGAGCTCCCTCCGGAAATATTATTACTACCTAGTCGACAAGTCGGCTGCGGCCCGAAATTGTTAGTAAAGGCTCACGCGGGCTGGCGGCAATAAGTCATGAATAAGATCATAAAGATGATATCGGGAAGCGGAACGAAGATGCAAGCGAGAGTAGCATGAAAACTCAGTACCGTGATAGCGTGAGAACAAGAGGTCAAGAAGCCCTGCAGACTCCCATGCATCTAGTTACGCAAACAATCCCACCGATCCCTGTCGGGAGGCCCTGAAGCCCCGATTTCGAGTCCTTCCATCATGACTTTTTGTCAGCCAAAAGGTACGAATTCCCTTTTACCTTTTTGTTGTCCTCTCCTGCCTCCCAACCCCCCTCTTCCCCTCTTTTCCCGGGGCAAAAAATACAACCCCCGAATTCTAACCCGAATTAAATCACCCATCCCTACCGGCTGTGACTGGTGCGTGTACCGTGCGGTACCTTGGCATAAGTGACTAGACGGACGGGAAGCGCGAATTGACTTCCTTGGTAGGTGCAAGTCCGCTCGCGATGATCCGCGCTGTTGCCTCCCGCTAGCAATTGCCCTGGTCGTTATTGGCTTTTGCCCTGTTCCCCATTGTTGCTGCATCGTTGGCCAGCAAAAGATGGGAGGCAGCACGCCAACCCTTGGGCCCATTTTTTGGGACTCCCCTTCTTTGACCTTGTCTCATTTCGACGGTGCCGGTCACGCACCGCACAGCTTCACTCTCTGGCCCCTTCCTGGCCCACCGCCCACCAGGGCAAAAAAGTCACAACGGCCAGCGACGTCGCCAACTTGCTGCTTAACTGCGGGCCGGTCCCGCAATTTTGGTCCCCACGTAAGGGTCGTATAAAGAGCTTTGAGTTGCCGCCTGCGCCGGGCAAAGCTCTAGCAAACTTAACTTTGCCTTTCCTAAATCCTGAGAATCATAAGTTCAACTGGCCATTTAAACGAATGATCTCCCGCGCTCACATCACGACCCGATCCCCTCGATCACGATCTTTTGCGACATACTCAAACTCTCGTCGCTGTTCCTGATTGGACTCGAGCACAACTGATCTCAGTTTTGGCTTGAATCTCCTCCGAGTCAATATTTAATCAACACTTCCATCGCCTCCGCTCGTGGCGTCTCGAGAAAAAATGTGCACCAGTGTAATTCACAAATATACTTGCGGCCATTCGGTTACCGAGCGCGCCCCATGCGCCGTATCGAGAGGAGTAGCTTGCGGAGTCAATAAGTCCATCGAAGTTGTTCACGCAGAGCCTTGTGATGCATGCGGCGGCTGACAAGACACCTGTACGTTTGGATGGAAAACATTTGCAATAGGCTTTCATGTTGCTAATCAATGGGTCGTACACAGGCCGTGCACGGCAGAACAGTGTCTTTCAAAGATACCACCTTACCTCAAGACCCTGACTCCGCTCAATCGACAAGTTTCAGCATCTTGTACTCTTATCACCTCCATCATAATGTTTGAACTTGGCCTGGCACATATGTTCTGTTTTAATCTGGGAAGGGCGTCATGATAGGCATTGAGTCAGATCATCGACGGTGCATTGATGGCGCAATAAGGGAAACGGAAAAGCATAGGTATTTCTTTTTGCTTCTGGGAGGCTTCGTCGTCACGCTATTGTTGCAACATAAAATGCAGTTGGGTTTAATGCGCTGGAGTTGCTATAGACGGTCTTGAGTGTGGTCAACTCGCAAGAGTATGATTGCAACTTCTTCCCGCAATGTGTGGCGTTGCTTGGCGGCAGGAAAACGCCCGCCACCTTGATATCTTATTCACTTATACGGTACTGAAGCCTCAATATTGGAGGTTTATGGCAATAACGATAGAAGATGAGAAATGAATTATTGGTCACGAAAATGGACGCATGCCGACTGCTAGGCGATGGTGGTGGCCCAAGGCGAGGAGAAATCTCGCAAAATGTCCAGGGTCTCGGGTAATAATTTTTGTTTGCCTCACTAGAACGCGTTGGGGCCAAAGAAGGGGCCCCGTCGATCAACGGTCGCGGTAGCGCGGGACGTCGATTGGCGAGCGACAGCGGGGTCTGTGAGCGACGTCTGTTGTATGTAGTAGCTAAGGAGAACACTTCAGTATCATGAATACAAACGACCTCTTTGCACATGTGCCTCGGGCGCTGTAGGCCTCCTTGCTATCCAAAATACCTTTGTGGTTTCAAGAAATCTGTTGGATCAATTTGGAAAACTGCATAGAAATGAGAGCGACTTTTCCATGTCGTTCCTCTCATCAGAGCAAAATTCCCTCGTAACTCCTTAATGCCCGAGATCGCTAGGTAGATTAGGTACTGCACAGGACGCGCCGTTACGCCATTTTCACTGACGACGCAGCATGGGTCTTGGCAAGGACCGTTAAAACAACAGCCGAGCAAGCCCCTCAGCTGCGTGAGGCCCTTTTCGGCGATAAAGGTATGCAACCCAGGACATGGGAATCCACAGAAGGATTGCCAGGATATGAAAAGAAGAGACAGCGAACCTGGGTGAGGGGCGGCTCATGATGGATGGAATGGACGAAACCCCTCCTGGGGCAACGGCAATGACCTGGAGGAGGTTTCATCTACCTCTTTCAAGCTTTCAAAACTGCAGAGCCGTTAAGGCTGGCAATGAGATTCGCCCCGTGTAACACCGAGGCATGCTCGACAGCTGTGTCCCCTCGAAATATGAAACCTGACACGGCAATTTTAAGAGGACACTGGAGGAAAAAATCTCCGAAGGTCAAGTCGTAGCGCAGCGGTCGGTAGAAGCCGTGCAAGATCAGATAACTTCCGAGATCGCACCTTTGGCTAATAATGTGCTCTCTCAGTTGTCTTCTTTACTGACGCCTAACAGCATTCATCAAGGAGTAACCTGGAAAATGACAAAAGACAAAGCGCGACGGAAGAATCTGGTGCCTAGAGTTGCATGTCAGCCAATTGGATCTACCTCATCTGCACTTTTTCTTAATCCCCCTTCGGAGCTCTCTCCTTCGCCGGATTTCGCTGTCATGAGCATGGGCCCCTCGGTCAATGCAACTCTTCGCCGGGGTTGAGTTCAAGCCATGAAGCGGCGCGTATCTCAGATCGGTAGATGCAAGTGTACATTGATAAGCTGACCTGTGTAATTCGACCTTGTCTACCCTAGACCGCTAGAGAGCGGCGGCGTAATGTCATGATGATGATGAAATGTTTACACAATTTCTGTTGAAGCTGCTTGCTCCCCACGGCCCCGGCCACGGCCCGACTAAGCGAGATCTATCACCAAACAAGTACCGCTCGCGATTGGGAAGCCAATCTACCTTACCTACCAAGGTAGCTGCCTAGGGTAGCTATAACTGTTAAGAAATAGTCCACACTCGAGGGTTGAGGCATAATTTAACCTTTGACAGATATCTATCTCAATCCATTTAAAACTTTCATAAAACATTTCCCGGGATTGAAAAGAAACAGATAATATGCATGCATAATATGCCGGCCGTGTCTATATACTTTTGTCGTACGACTCCGCGAAAGCTTCCTTCGTCCATGTTCCTGCCAGTTGACGTTTCTCACCGCCTGATCAAGCTCCCCCACGGGAAAAGAATCTCATTTTGCAGGCGAAGTCTCTTCCTTGCCTTGTAAAACTTTCTCCCGAAGCCGCGACTTGCTCATGTAGGCTGTAAGGGCGTCGCTTACTTTGACTTTCCGCAGCAACCAATATCTCTTCACCTTTGCATAAAGTTTGAAAAAATGCACTTCCCATGATCGAACATCAAAGTCGCTCCTACCTCACCGCCTTCCGCCGGGGCAATTTTCTCTACCAATTTTAATATAATTCCTCCGAGTACCGCTCTTCTCTTCATCGATATTAGGAAGTAAATCCGAGCCTGAAAAGACAAAATGCTCCCGTTGCGCAGGATACTTACATATTGAGAGCGGGTTATATTTTCCTCTTTTTTTTTTGGTTGGGAGTCAGGCCGGGACGAGAAGTGTAAAATACAGTGAGGCTCTGTAAGGTTACAGTCGCTAACTAACGTATTTTCCTAAATAATATCCGGGTATGACGCCGACGATATAATAAATATTATTCGCCGACAAATACTGCCAACGCTGCATGACATGGGATCACTTCGCTTACCCCCAGTTACCTCGGCACCGAATATAGTGGAATATCAGCTTAGCATGTAACCTGTACCTCTTCATACAACGGCGGCTACAGGCATTGACATGGCAGACGGCATAATAAGGCACAGGCAATTTGTTACGGTGCCTGTGTGTATTCGATATTTTAGTTATGGATGCACAAGATCCTGCGGGAAAAGACCTAGACCCTATCCCGTCCATAAGATTACAACAAGGCAAGCCTTTCCTTCTCACGCGGCAGGCAGAAAGATTGGACGTGTATAGAGTTACCTTGCAATTTACGAGACTATTCCTCCTCGTCCCGTTTTACTTTGCTTGTCGCCTTTCCCGTCCCCCCGTCCGTATCGCCTCCCGATCCCGTCACCAGGCCATTTCGTTGCGTTGCTGCCTACATACAACAGATAACTAAAGTAGTTAAGGTACTTACCTACTCGGTAGTACAAATCTCCCAATCTGCCGGTCATCGCTTGCAACTTGCCGGCTCTTCATCGTGCCGCGCATCTTGTGTACGGATGATCGCGTCATCTATGTCCTACCCTCCTTTTCTTTCTACTCAACTTTTTTTGGTGCAAATGATGGCGTTTCCTTTCGGGCCTGCCGGCTTATTCAACCCAAGAAGCGCCTCTTCCGGAACGCCTTCCGACATACGGAGTGTCCCAAGTAAAAGTAAACTGGCCACCAGGCTACCTTTATTGAATGCTAAGTAAATAATAATATACTCGTACGTCTCGCCCGCCTAGCTGGCTCTTATGCCTCGGTTCGAAGGTGCACTGCCACATAGCACGAGCACAAGGGGGCTTTGGATCCTAGGACCCTTTTTGGGCCGGGCTTTGGGGAGAAGGTGGGGGGCGACTTGTTCTGTAGCCCAGAGCCAGCCTGATTGGATGGTATTTAGACAATGTTGACTATGCATGCATTTATGTTAGATTGCATGTGAGTATTATATTCTTCGAAAATCTTCGGTTGAAAGTTACTCCTTTGTTTGAACTGTGTGTAAATGCAATTTTCATCTGGTCATTACTTGTGTCCAACTTTTAGATGTAGTTCTGTGGTCTTCAGAAAACAAAGGTTGCAATATCAATGAAAAAATGAAAAATAAGGAATGAGATCCTCGCCGTAGTAATAGATAACAGAATCGTGACCACAATGATAATGAAGCAGATGATGATAACAGTAGCAAATGCTGGCAATTGTTTCCCCCTTCGCTCAAATATTCCCATACCGTGTGATCTTAAGTTTTTTTTTTTCGTTATTTGTAATTCAGTTCCGTTTGAATTTACCATTTTTCATCTTCCTTTTCAGTCTTTCTCCAGCCTTATTCTTTTCATGAGATTTGGAAACGTCAACTTGACAACTTCTAACCAAGCCGGAACCCGGAATCGGTCCCATCTCGCGTTTCCAAAACGCAATCTTTGTCTTTTTTTCTTCTCGTCCCACAAACATCAAAACTCAATAAGCTAGTTTTCGTCTTGGTCATCCTCTCCGCCTTCCGAATAGAGTCTTTCGATTCTGATGCCAGGAGATCCCGCTTCGCCCTCTTCGGCACGTCGCATGGGATTATCAGATATAGAGAGCGCTCGTTTCCTCTCTCGTGCTGCTTCTTGTGCGCGGAATATAGACGCACGGCGTTCCATACTGCGAGAGGCTCTCCGACGGCCACGCTCAATATCCTCCGAGCTTAGCCGTCGTTCAAAATGCCCGTCTTGGCCTTCGGGGTTTGCGTCGGTTTCCTCGGCCTCTTCAGTTTCTTCAGTCTCTTCAGACTCGTCCAGAGTGAGCCGGACAAAGACTGCCTTGGGCGACCACCAATAAATCGGATACCGCCGACGGCCCAAGTTATTGATAAACAGCGCCCAGCCAAGCATAATGAGACTGGAAGCCAAAATTGTAGGCAGATAGCGCCATGAAAGCTGAACCACATTAAGTTGGACTGCAGCATTAAGTGCTGTAGCTCCCGCCCTGAAATTCTCGTTAGCGGAGAGGCCAGCTGACCAATATTTCAAATTCTATTAAGGCATGGTTTTGAGGGTAAGGAGAGAGTTTGGACTTACGGTGGATGTAAGCATCCTAGAACAAGCTGTGCCAAAAGCGATGTGGCCATAGAAAGACCACCATTGATAAATGGGCTAGGGTGGAAGTCTTTATTATCGAGATAGCCATCATAACTGCCATTGAGAACAAAAAGTCTGGTGATGGCTGTTCCTATAAGCGCGGAGAAGAAGTGGCCGAGTACAAAATTGCGTGGTTGTGCAAGAGGGGATTCAATGACGCCAAATAGCAGTACGGCCGAGGCGCCAAACGAAGTGATGATGGTGGGGGCGTGATATATATCTCTAAATGCAGTAGAAGTCGACATGATGGCTTCAATAAGCAGAATGCTCCCAAATGCACCGATCCAGCCAAAGATCCATACTTCTAAGCGCAGCGGCACATGCGATAGCCACGAAAAGGGCGGAAAAGGTAGCGGTTCGTATGGAGGTTTTTGATCCGAAACAGGCCTGTATCCCGTAAAGCGCGAGCACCATTCTGGAAGCCGGCCGCGATAATCTTCATTGAATCCAATCTTGGAGCGGAGTGCTCGCATGAGCCATGGTTTGTTGCGCAATGCCTGCTGAAACGATACCCTCGGCTTCCTTTCCTTATTTCGTTCATGCTTCAACCCCACACTTGAATCGTGCTCTTTTTTCTCGTCTTCACCATTGCTCTGCCCATTGCTCTCGTCTTCTTTATTGTTTTTGTTCAATCTGATTTTCTCGCCGCCATGGCTATTTTCAAAATTGCTCGGATAATCTCCACGCTGATTGCTGCTTAGGGCACTAGCAAAATTAGGCGTAGGAGGTGGGGTGGGCCCAGGTTTTGGTGATGCAAAGTTGGATGAGTCTTGATCTTGCGGAGGTGACATCGTGCCGGATTCCAATTTCCCCATCACGACCGCGTTCTATTCTTTGCCAACGTCTAACATGCACATATGACGGAGTAATTCTCGCGACGCGAGTGCAGCATAACAAGCAGTCCTTTTTATGCCCTTTTACCTTTTCCGAGGGATAAACATACGGGTCTTATTTGCATCTTCTATATTTGTCCTAGCTCCATTTGACCAGACAGGTTAAGCCGCCCGGACCGTATGGAAGTATCACTGCATCTGTGTCCGCCTGACCCTTAAAATTAAGGTACAAGTCAAAGCCTCGAATTCCAGCTGATTCTTACAGGACTAAGCAAATGATCTCAGTAGCCACATGGCGCGGGCGTTCCGGTATGACTTTTGCCGGGGAACGATCGGTTACTTTGCAGCCGTCATAGGGGCTGCAGCTTCCTTGTGCCCTGATGCCATTACTGGTGCAGGAACAAGTTAGAAGTAGATTTAGTCTGAATTTTGCACAGTCGGGATTCTCGTTCTTGTCATAGATTAGCTAGAGGAATGGCTATCGGATTCCATTTTTCCTTTTATCCCAAAGCTTCAACGCCAAGAAACATATAAAAAAGATAAATAGGTATCTTGCGAAATACTGATCATAGACGAGAGGTCCAAATTTCCTATAATATTCGACTTCATAAAACAGAGTCCGAAGCTTCATTAGACCAATGAGTCAACGCAACTAGATCCATTGCAAGATTCCAATCAGGCGGCCCTTCAAATGGTACGTCAGGTTGGGCGACTGTCGAGTCGACACCCAAAAGGGTTTGATTGATACTCGCAGCAGAATACCGACGCTCATTACTGTCTAAACTGTAGTTAGTAGTGGAGACTTTTAAAGTGACTAAGCAGATTGAACTCACTCTCGGGCAAAGACCGCAATTCAGTAAGACTTTGCATCATTTTTGTTGCATGACGCGCTGCGTCAGAACGAGCACTAAGCGCTTCAAATACTTTGATACATGTGTTTGCATCGTCAGCATAAGTCGAAGGATCTGGATCCATCCTCCTCTGAGGCTTGCAAACGACGGTGCTTGCGACGAATAGTATTGAGCTTGCGCAGATCAAACAAGAGATCATCTGCCACCACGGGAAGTCATGCACGAGCGCTTGTTCATCCTCAATGGAGTGGAGCAGGTGCGCCGTTGCTCTTGCCTCAGATACACATATTCTCTCTGACTCTTCAACCATTGCTTCTAGCCCTCGAATTGACTCCATCAACGCCGTGTTTTTGGCTTGGAACCACGGAAGTCCAAGATACGGACGGTGTACCATTGAGCGCAGATTATGAAATTTTATTGCGAGCATATTTCGCTGACAAGGGGGTTAACTCCGGAAGAATACATGCTGGGTTTCTTCAAACTCACCTGTCTCTTAAATCTGATATCTTTTTCAAAAGTATGGCCCAAGTCAAATCGTAGGTGACGGGGCAAGTCGAATTTCCATGCCAAAAGCTCTTGATCAAGAGCAGATGTGCTCGCTAACATGCTCCCGAGAGAAGACTCCTCCTGAGTTGGGACATATAGCTCACGTATTACTTTGCCAAGGAGTTTCGAAAACTCAATGACCCGTAGGAAATAATCTATAACTGATGGCTCCGCCGTTTGACTCGATAATTCGTCCTCGACACTCCAATCAGATGAAGCTCGAGACGGGAGAGGAACGGCAAAATCGGTCTCCTGTATTGCAAATGGTCGTCCTAGCTGCAGAGCCAAGAGACGATCGAGAACGAACAGGGAGTACCATGTTCGTCGACGAATTTCAACTTCGAACGGATTGACTTTGCTGCTTGGCTTTGATGAAGGGGCATTTTCAACGTGCAAGCCAATGCTTTGTCCCATGCGTATTGCCATCCCAAGAGTGTTCCAACATCTATAATCTCATTAGCGACACCATGAATCAGAAGGATACACCGTACCTGTCTGTCTGGCATATCGCAAGCAGAAAGAAACATTCTGAAAGAAGCATTTGGACATTCTCGAGGGTGCATTGGGATTTGACCTGCGCCGAGAAGATCATGGCTTTCTCAAAGTAAATCAAGTGCTGCTGGCTTGCCGATGACCCAAAGCGAGGGTACGAAAGATAGTAGGAGCCAATAGCAAAAATAAGATCTAACGTGAAGGTAAGTCATGATGATAATGATAATAAAAGGGAAGGGTAAGTGCCTACATAATATGGCTACCGAAGAACAGTCCTCCGCAACGATGCTATTCCCTCGAAGTGCTCTATACTTTGACTCTAAATATTCTCTCGAGAGAAAAGGATAGGCAATATGAATTGTCGAAAAATAAATGTCCAAGTACTTGATGACGACGTCCGGCTCCGGGAAAGCTGGTTGCGTATCGAAGGGTCCCGCGACACTGACTGGACTGTGCTGGTTATAGTTGCTGATTGCGAAATCTGTCTCCGGAGACTTTTCTGTGGCGCACTCGTCGGAGAACTCGATTTCTTCTTGCAAACTCTCTTTTACTGCGTTGAAGAAATGGATATCGCTCGCTTTGCCAACATACGTATAGGAGGCGTTCCTGGTGAGGGGTGCATTCAATTTGTCGTATCCAGCATTTAGATCTCTTTCAGGGCTTCCTTGCGGTTCAGTGAAAATGTTACTGTCTGATATATGGTTTTCGATGCAATTTATGCTGCTTTCAACGCTTGTGCGTTCGACATCGGTAAGCACCGGCTGAATCGTAGCCGCGAGTTCCCTGAATGACTGTATAACATGACGCCGATACTGAATTGTGTCTTTTCTCAACCAACTTGAGGTTGTTGGTGTAGATTGGCGAAAATCACGAGAAGATGAATTCTCTGGCCAAGAACAATTATATCCATAGCCTGAACAGCGACCACAAACTGGGCGAACGCCATCACACTTTTATTATTTACACCCATTAGTATGCCCAGGCGATAGAAAATTTTGTTCTAGCGATATTGGTTTTATACTTACCCTGGCTTTTAATGATCGACATTTTGCGCAAGCTGCCGCTACTCGCTGGCGCTTCAGGCCTGTCCTAGTGGTCATGACAGAGGCTCTTGGCGGGGCCAAACTAAGTCTGTTCTTTCTGTCTCCCTCGTCCAGACGTTTCTACGGAGGTGAAAAGTAGCGTGCGGGATAAGCTTTCAAAAGAAACGATTCTAATATCAAAGGTCGATGGGTATCAATTCCAAGACGATGATGCAGATGAAAACGGGATGAGAGGTTCTAATGTATGCGCCTCGGTCCAGATTGGTTCCACCCAAGTGGCGTCATCCGTCACGGATAAGGTTTACGGGGTGTGCCTGGTTCAACGTGGCGTCGCTTTAGCTGAAAATAGCGAGTACCTCGACTGTGGCTCAGTGGGCAATGATCATCACATGGATGTGTGCTCTCCCCAAAGCCAGCAGGTGACAGTGGTGAAAGCTTAATTGGAGTCTCGGTCATTCCATAAGGGCAGCCGAGTCGGTACAGCCACTGCGCCCGCTAGAATGCGCGCGGAAGCAGGAACAGCTTAAATATGCTGACGCATACCGGAGGCACCTCCTCTGGTCCTTTCTGTCACCACGTTCCATCTATTTTATCCAGGAGTTTAAAGATTACTCTTGGGAAAACAACAAAAAAAATTCGAAAGAAGGTATTCATCATCTTCAGGGAGTCTAGATTCTGTATATAGCTAACAATCAAAGGTGTGCTCTTTCTAGACCACCACTCCATTGCCAGAACCATGCCTGCCCAAGACGACAAGACATTTTACAGCTACCTCGACTCTATTGCTCAGACAACAAAAGGGGAAGACGCAGTTTCGCAAAATAAGAGAATAAAAGAGGCTGAATTTGCAGAGGACTCCCGGGAACCAAACGAACAAGAAATTCTTCAAATAAAGCAAGCCCTCCAGCGAGAGCGTGATATGGAGCATCATAACCATCAACCCTCGAAACCTACTTCTTCGTAGGCGAAATTTGCAAAGGCTGCATTGAACTCTTGGATTGGAAAATTTTATTGCGTTTTGAGCATACGTATTTCATTAAATCCATTTCCCCTAATAATCATAATAATAAAAAAAAAGAACATCCTTTTCTCTTAGATAATTATACGCTCCTTGAAAATGAATTTTGGGTGATGTATAAAATCTCTACCAACAGCGTATTGCGAGGAGTGAATCATAATACTAGCGTCATAACCAAATCACGCTGTATTGCCTTGGATAGCTACGAACGCTGGCTGCTTCACACGTACCGATAGACCCCGGTGTGGGTTGATCCGGTTTTATGGCCCGGTCGGCCCGGGCGGGACAAGGAACAAGGAACGGGGAGCAAAGAATGCCGAAATACCACACACGTAACGTAGGTAGTGAGAGCTGCGGATTGCCAGCCTCGGGTGAAGAAGCTCGGTTGTCGTTATCAAATGTCAGTGGATAGCTCCATAGATATACCTAATCCTCCTCAATAGAAAATTCCAATGCAAGCTTTTGAATTTATGAGTGGCCGCATCACTTGAAAGCGCTGATAGAAAGCAGTGCTTGGCTCTTTTGTGGCTTGTCGTCAGCACTATTCGTCCGGCATTCATTGACCATGTGTTTGGACTCGGACACGAGTGGTTCATTTGCTTTGTTTACTGCCATTCTAGATAGTAAGTACTTTGAATCTACGACCCTTTCTGCTCTACGGCACCTCTCATTGTATTTGGTTTCTTGTTATTATTCCTATTTTCAATGATTTCTCAAAAAAAGAAAAAAAAAGGAAAAAAAGAAAAAGAAAAAAGTTGTTCCCACCCCTCTGGTTTTACCCACATTTTGGAATTGATGTATGCTCTTCCAGATTTCTTTCTATTCTTTCTTTCTTTTCTTTCTTCCTTCCTTGTTTTTAATTTTTGACGTTTTATTTTTTATTTTTTCCAACGAATATCGGCGTTCATCCTGACTTGACCGAGTTGCTAAATGTATTTGTACAGGCGAGGATCGCAAAGACACTGCATTGTTCTGCACCATTTGTTTGGAAGACTTTATTCCCGAGTCGCACTATCGGCAGCTTCCATGCTTGCATCTTTTCCACATGCAATGCATCGACTCTTGGTTACGCCGCAATCCAACTTGCCCCTTGTGCAGGGTAAGATTTGCTCCACCTGCGCAGCCTCCAAGCGTGAACAGAGAGCCAAGAGCAACTGTGTCTACATCGCAAGCATCCGAGGCCCGTTCACCCGTCATTAGACCGCCAAGTCAGGGCGACCCTGCGAGCAGTTTGAGTGCTCGTTTGGGATCGCTGAAGGGCTGGTGCGAAAGACATGTGAAGCGGAGCAGCAACGCGGCACGAAGGCCCAGAAATGAAACCAGCAACAATGATGGCGAGACTTCGAATTCGCTTCCCTTGGCTGCGTCCGCTTGATTTTGCTTTTATGATATCTCCAATTGTTTGAAAATTTCTAGCTGGGCGTAATGCATTTGGAACGCTGGATTTTTTGAGGCTTTATTTGTGCTATGAACTTTACAGCTATTCGTTTGACTACAGTTTCGTTAAATTATAGTTCAGTTGGCGATGGGGAACCCTTCCTTGACGGGGAAAGCTGTAAAACCGAATGTACACTATTTAGCGGTTAACGATATTTTTCTTTCATTTCCTTCATTTCAAAAGACAGAGAAAAATAAGTGGCAATATATTATATGGAAGTCATTCAATTGAATTTAGATGTAGGTTTTCTATGGGTAACTATGGGTAAACAGATGATATGCTCTATTCCCACCTCGCAAGGCCGACTTTAGCATGGATGATGCAGTCCAACAATGCCTTGATGATGTGGGGTCCCCGAACTGTAACGTGGGGGATTAATGGTCTGGTATGATTTTGGTTTGGCCCGCCTACGAAACCGTTTGCGGCCAAACCATCGATAACCAGGCAATACATCACGATAAGATCATTCCACCTTACGTTTGGAGGCGGCCCGCCCGGGCCGCGGGGCCGCCCGGTATAATGAAGTCATACCAAGCTCAAGATGTCTCTAATAAACAAACCATGATCAATTTATACAGCTTGGTATTTACTTTTTGCTCGAAAATAATTGATAGTAACTTCATTCTCTGACCTCTATTTAGTGACATTTTTAATGCTTTCATTTACAATGGCTTCCCGTAACATCAAAGCTATCAATGCAGCGCAGCGACTGGACTCCCGAGGGAATCCTACTGTCCAGGTGCGAGTAACCACGGATGATGGTACGTCCCGCCTTTGTAATGAAATATGTAGCTAAAGAGTGATGAACTAAATACCTCAAAGGAGTATTCCAAGCGATTGTGCCATCTGGTGCTTCAAAGGGAGATTACGAAGCAGTTGAAGTGCGTGATGGTGACAATGCTTCATTCGGAGGGAAGGGTGTGGAGAAGGCAGTACACAATGTCGAACATGTACTGGGGCCTGCCATCATCAACGAGAAATTCGATGTTGCCCATGATTTGGCCAAGATTGATTCGTTGATGCGCCATCTCGATGGCACGGAAGACAAGAGCAAGCTCGGTGCCAATGCAATCCTGGGCATTAGCATGGCTTGTGCGAGAGCTGGCGCCGCTGCTCAGGTATGTCCATTTCTCTCTTGTTTTCCCAAGCCAAGAATGCAGACTAATATTTGCAATAGGGAGTCCCATTATATGAATTTCTTCGTCGCGAATCAGGCACATCCTCGGAATACGTGATGCCAGTACCATTCTTCAACGTTTTGAACGGCGGTGTGCATTCCGGAAACACAATGGCATTCCAAGAATTCATGATTGCTCCCGTCGGAGCTAAATCAATGGCTCAAGCAGTGCGCATGGGTTCCGAAGTCTATCAAGAGCTGAAGAAGGTAATCAAGCAAAAGTTTGGGTCAGCTGGTAGGTTGTAATCAAAGAGTTGCTGGTAAAGTCCACAAAGACTAACATATACTTCCAGCAATTGGTATTGGCGATGAAGGAGGGTTTGCACCACCTATTTCCGAGCCCCACGAAGCTTTGGACCTGCTAGAAGATGCAATTGGCAGGTGCGGCTACCTTGGTCAGTTCAAATATGCAATCGACCCTGCCTCGAGCGAGTTCTTCAACGGCAAGTATTACGACCTAGGATTCAAAAGCACAAAGCCACACCTATACCAGCCCGCAGAGCTTTCCAACCTATATAAAGCCCTTCTGGATAAGTATGAGATTGCTCTCCTGGAAGATCCTTTTGCACAAGACGATTGGCAGTCATGGAGCTCCTTCTGCACACACTGTCCAGTTGAGCTCGTTGGGGATGACTTGCTTGCGACGAACGTCAACCGGCTCAAGATTGCACACGAGAAGAAAGCCTGCAACTCGATGCTGCTAAAGATCAACCAGATCGGCACAATAACTGAAGCTCTCGAAGCGTATGTAAACTCACAGACATCCACGAATACATGGCCCGAGTCAATTGCTAACAAGAGCGCGCACAGGGCAAAAATGTCATACCACTTTGGCTGGAGCGTTTTCGTATCTCATCGGTCCGGTGAAACCACTGATGATTTCATTGCAGATCTCACAGTGGCAATTCGTGCGGGCCATCTCAAATCTGGAAGTCCATGTCGCGGAGAGAGGGTTGCGAAATATAATCGATTGATGGACATTGAAGATGAAATTCAAGCAAACGGGACTTGCACGTACGCAGGGGAGGGCTTCCGAGAAGCTCATCGCAAAGGATGATTGCAGAATTACACATGCGTGGTCAAATGTTTATGTCAAATAAGTTAGTTTCAATTACTGCCATGAATTTATGAATCAAACAAGATCTCTCGAAGCTCTGGCATCAGCATTGATATACACTGGCGTGATCATCAGCAGATATAACTTGACAACAGCAGCGATACACGGACGATTTAAATTTATTCATTACGCGTGGCCATTAATAACATTTCCACGTCGTCCTGCGTGCGCCACTCCTATTTCTCGGTAGAGAGGCGTACAACCCAGCCCGCCCTCTCCTCGAGTACGCTCCATGTTTAATGGAGACATCCTTCTCTGGATCTATTCCATAGGGACCCAACCCGGCTTCGGGATGGTCCGGGTTTGATCCCCGACCTTTTCTACCAATCTCCAAATCAGATGAGGCCGGTGATTTTGACTATGCAAGTTTGGCATTAATTAATCAATTAATGAATGTAGTCTAGAGCTAAGAGAACCTATATTGAATATTTTTCAATAGTCCTTGTATATACGTAAAACGAATAATTAAAATTTTCCAATTTTCAATACAAAATGTAGGTTGGCGGTCTTTGGGCAACCATATTAGAGCCGTGGGGGCCCTTCACCTCCAGAAAAAGATTTGGGACCATCGGAAGGTCCTTCTGATTGGTGGGGACGATCTGTTTACTCAATTCACTTCGTATCTTGGGATCAAGTGTCTCCGGCCTTGCGCCGTAGTATCGGCCTGGGTTCGCTTTTGCGATCGTACCGTCTGTGAGGTGGTCCAAATTCGAGAACGATACCCCACCTGACACGAGTCGGTAGTCATCGACCCTCCCATCGATTGAAGGGATGGCAACTTGAAGGGATGGCAACTTGAAGGGATGGCAACTTCACACACTTGTCTCTCTTAGGAAGCGTTTGCGTCTGCAAACGCAAAGCTTTCAAAGTCGTTTTCCGTGAACTTACTGGGCGACAGTGATGCCCTAGGAACTGCCAGCCTTTGCCGAATTTCTTCGATATTTTTAGGCTTGGCCAATCCGTCTTTGAACCTGTCCTGGAAAATCCTATGATCGGCAATATGTTGCGCGAAATTCTGGTCGCATACCGTCGTCGTCCTCGTCCCCGTTGGTCTGGATGATTTTGGGGTTGACTTGCTGATTCCTGACTTCTTCCTCGGCATTTGCGGCAGCTCAAACTGGAAACCATATCTTAGTCGCTAACACTGTGCAGAAACAGGGATTCAGCAGGAAGGGTGAAGCAATCAAAGTATACTTACGCCTCTGAGGTCAGTCAAGTCTGGCCCCCCCGTCTTGAGAATTGTCTTATTTGTTTCATCGTCGCTGTGGAGCAGCGACACAAAATGTCTTGAGCACCTTTTCTGGCTTCGAAAACTTGTCGCTGCAAGCGCAGTGCACTACGTGTCACTGACTTTTTATATGTTTGGCGACTCGAACGGCTTCTGCTGTTAAGTTCTTTCAGAGCCCCTCTCGTCAACCAAACCTTTGAAAGATTGTTATAATATTTTGAAGTAGTTTGTCTGCCACTCTCCATTGGCAAACTGGTACGTGGCAATAGTCCAAGCTCTCTTTGGTCTGGGGACGTATTATGACGGGGCAGGACTCGATGTATTTGTGCCGAGACCCGTGGGAGATATTTATGATTTGTGAGGTTAGGATGTAAATCCTTCGTATTTTCGAAGAGTTTCTTGATTCAGCTGCATTCTGGTGATGTTTTTCTGAAATCGTACGAGGTATTGCAAGCAATGCTGAATATATATACAAAGCAGCGTGTGTTTTGCCGTTGAATGAGGAAAGAGTTAAGGTATTAGCATTGCGTATTATATAGACAGATCTGCCTGTGTTTCGCCACGGTACTTGACTTTTATTAACTAGGTAGGCAGTTAATGAACAGGGAGAATAATTCATGAATACACATAGGAAAGCATTATGGAACAATTAACTATGAAGTAACTTAGAAGCAGCTGGTCATACTTACCTTCACTCAATGTCGTTGCCTGCTTACGTAAATGGAAGGCGGTGAGCAGCTTCCGGATAAGTTACCGCCTTGGACCGATAGACATCATACCCTGCGCTGGGACATTTTGAAGGAGCAAGTTGCCCCAAGCAGTCCTAATGCAATGTCGATCGACATCAATTGGACAGCGCTGACCAGTGGTCTGGATGGTCTAGCTCTTGCCGAACGTATTCGCTCTTTCATTGACAGCAAATTCCAGCAAGTAAAACTTCCGCGCTCGATCCGTTCTGTCAAGGTCAATTCCTTTGATTTCGGCAGCGTCGCGCCAGAGATTGTCCTCAAGGACATTTGCGACCCATTGCCCGACTTTTACGAGGTCGACGATGACGACGATGATACTGATGAGGAAGGAGAAGAAGAGGAGGATAGTGAAGGAGAGGGTAGTAAAATAGAGGCAGGCGATGGCGAGAACGAGAAATTCGACACCGAATCCGAGCCTGTCGGGCCCGCAGCCTCAACTTCCAGAAATAGGCAAGGTCGTGATCTCAACGACAGATCTCGTGCCGAAACAGGGCAGAGACACCTTTCGCCAACAAAAGTATTAAAACAGAGGCAGCGGCAAAGGGAACGGCGTCGCGTAGAGCGCTGGGCGCGATCCGACGGTGCCGGATACATGAGCGGAGGCGAAGGTTCTCCGCAACCTCCAATGGTAAATGACCGACCTTCATTGTCTACGAATGACATCCATCGAGCCGGCCTATCTGGGACCACTGCATCGATTCCCGGCTTGCGGAACTTTGGTCCTGGACATGGGATCGGTCTGAGCATTCCCGACCAACATTTGCTTTCTCGTTCGAACACGCCCGGTATCCCAGGAGGCACATCCAACCTCAGTTACTTCCACCTCCCGCTCGGTGCAAGCTTGTCGGGCTCACAAACTCCTCTTGCCGCCGTGGCCGGCGCACAGTATCCCACCGGTTGGTCCAGTGCTAGTCATCTTCCCAACGGACAGCAAACGCTGCAAGATCGAGGAAGATCACCAGCTTATTCACCCGACAATCAACGCTCGTCGAATCCAAACCACCGTCATCATTCCTCGATTTCAACAACAAACTCTGCTCCTTCTCCTCCCTCAACAGTCACTGATAACACACCCATCCCACAAGGTCATGATACACATGACCACCACAGTCCTGGTCCCGAAGAGGGAAAACCAGCCCAGCTCCCCCGAAGACCAAAACCGCAATTCTCGCTCTCGACGAAGGGCGAAGATTCCAAATCACCCCATTCTCCACCGACGCGCTCCTCCCATTCGCCCTCACGTTCTTCTCCATCCCCGTCCTCCGAACACTTCAACAACTCACACCATTTCCGTCCAACTGCCATTCGCGAGCCTCAGCCCGAAGACGTGCAGATCGTCTCGCGCATAAAATACGCAGGTGACGTCAAATTATCACTGACCACTGAGATCCTGCTCGACTATCCCATGCCCAGCTTTGTCGGGATCCCCCTCACGCTCAATATTACTGGCCTCTCATTCGATGGCGTTGCTGTCGTCGCGCAGATTCGTCGGCGTGCTCATTTTTGCTTCTTATCCCCGGAGGACGCAGCTACGCTTTTGGGCGCAGATGAGGATGCCCCTGCCGATGCCCCTGCCCCAGGCTATGCAGGCAACATGCCAGGTTCAAACCCAAATCTCAAACATCCCCTCGGCAGCTTGCTCCAGGATATTAAAGTCGAGAGCGAAATCGGACAGCGGGATAATGGCAAGCAAGTTCTGAAAAACGTGGGTAAAGTCGAAAAGTTTGTGCTCGAGCAAGTTCGGAGGATTTTCGAGGACGAATTTGTTTATCCTAGTTTTTGGACGTTTCTTATATGATAGCATTGCAAAAAGTGCATGGGATTTAAAGTTACGATTTAGGGTGCTACAGGACATCATCATCATCATCATCACGTATTTCAAAGATATATAGGCGACATGGAGGAACAGAGAAAGGAAGGATGCAAGGACATTCTCACAAACATTTACGAGTCACGCATTTGAACGAGAAAAAAAAGGGGCGATCAAATAGCTTGAAATTATACTAGAGCCTGGCTATTTGCATACACACCTAGTATCATCGTCATAATCATCAACTGGATAAAAATAGAAATAGGACAGAAAACGAGGACCCGTCATGCGGCTATATATGAGCAACAGAATTACCAGTGTGCATAATCGTCCATCATCATCAATGTCATTACCATTCAAACGCCCGCGCTTGTGCAATGCAACAAGAACCAGATCTACCCGTAGAGGAGGATTCTCGCAAGAGAGTTGAGCTGAGCCTTTTCGTTGCTTCATTTGCGATTTCTGTCCCACCAGAGGACTTGTCATACTCGCCCATACTGGAGAAGAAAATAGAAGAGCCAGGATCCTCCATTCATTAGCCAGTCTTTGATCCAGGGGGAGCCTGATTGCTAGCGCTTTCAATAGCCCGTTTCTGATCAGCGGCGGGAATGACCCCGCCATCTCCGCCACCCACGATAAGCTCACCGCCACCGCGGACTTTGCCCACAACCATTCCCTTGGCAACCGACTTGATTACGGCACGGCGCGAGACACCCGCGGCATCAATATATACTAAACCGACATTCTTTGCTCCACCCGCGATGTCTGCTGCCAGTGAACGTGCGTCTTCGCCATAGCGATGGCCGACCACGGTCGTCGCAGCAGAAGAGCTAGATGCTAATAGTTGGCGACCAGCCTGGTCCACGCCGTCCATGATAGTCGAGAATGCAATCATGGATTTGTTCAGCATACCAGGTTTGGTATCCTTGGCCTCTTTTTCGCCCTTTCGTGCCATCGAAGCACCAAAGTTCTGCGCGTACTTGCCAATTTGACCGATAGTCTTTGCAGAGAGGCCGGCCGCGCCTTGCGAGAAGTTGTGTAGCTTTCTAACCCGCGCATGCGTAGTGGGAGTAAAGGTCATTGGCTGAGGGTTAGATTTCACCTTTTTGGTAAATGATTCTGCCCCAGAGGTGAGAATCCCAGAAAGATAACTGGAGCCTGTGACGATAAGGCGAGATGCGGTGGCGGCGTTTGATACGATCAGGGAGTCTTTGTAAGCCGGGTGTCGTGCCAATTTTAGGTATTCTTCAGAGACGGGGCGAACATCAATCTCGTTGCCTTCGGCCGGCAGTTGAATTTCCACAGGATCTGCAACATTGTGAGTATCTTTGATCATTATTGGAACATGGGTGGTTTGGCATACTCTTTGAACCGACTTTGAGGTTCGGATCTTCGACAACTTTGAACCCGTCACTCAATTCCCCGACCACGCTTCCATTTTCTTCGTCTATCAAAACAATTTGACCAGCGTGGCCCTCGTAGGTGTGGCTGCCCGCATAACCTTCTCCGGGCGCGTAGTCGGCTGGATTGTACGCTGGCAAAGGCTCGCCCTGCGGCAGCGCCCCTGAACGTTCTAGGAAAGCGGTACATTGCGCCAAGATAGTTTCAAAGGTGTCGATATCGTCCTGCGTTACCTGATTTTTCCCGGGTCCGATGCTCGGAAACTCTATGCGAGTGAAAGCACCACTTTCAGCACCGAGGTCCCAGCGGGGCAAGAGGTAGCTGCTGGGAGGTTGATGATATATCTGGGTGGTGGCAGGTAATGGCAGATCGAGTTCTGGAGGGAGGTGGAGGTGCAAGTAGAAGTCCTGTTCGGGCGCTTCCTTTTGCTGGCTCGTGGAGGGGTCGGCAAACGGAGAAGAAGTAGGGACCATCAAAAGAGAGAGTGTCTGAGGACCGGAAGGAGTCAAGGAGCTCTCATCGCCATCCTGAATATGGTAGGCTTTGATGTTCGGAATTGAATAAAGCAGTCGAGGATCGTTGTGACCAGCCATGGTGGGGGGGGTGTTGCGAGTGGGAAGCTTGTTGTCGAAGAGAATGCGAGTGACGAGAAGAACAAGAAAAATAGCGTCGCAGGTAGATACAGGATTAAAGAATATATATCTGAGCTTTATCCTCTTTGACTATTCAGGAAATGATTTTGTCAAGTAGTCAAAAGAATGGAGATTTTGGCGCTCAACCCCTCCAGCCAAGAAACCAACATCCCACAGTAATTTGGTCTCAGCCTATCAACGTCATGTCTCCCCCATCGTCTAGACCCTGAAGAACCACTGACTGCGCCACACTCTAAACAAGATGACGTTACTTTGCACCGCCACAGATTCATTCCGCCACATGCATACTATTAGATGGGCAATTGCGTAAGGAATCAATTGAATAGCAATTTCGACCGGAATCTGATATATCTTCATTGGAAATCTCTTAATTTACTTTTATAAATCTAAAATGACGTTATCTGGTCAAGTTGGAATATCGTATCACGTGCAAGCTCTGTTTTCACATGCCGGACATGGAGTACACAGTAATCCAGGGCTGAGGTTAAGACTGGTTTTCAGATTGCGCCGATTGCAGATAGAAAGGCTGAAGATAGATTCTGCTCAATCAAGATTTTAGTTTTTCAAATTTCGCTTTGGTTGGATCGCTGGCAGTGTAGGAGATGAATTGATCATGCGTGGACCCTGAAGTTGATCTCCATCTTCTCACGCATATCGGAGTAACCGCCGCTAAAAGCCGGGGTAAGCCGCGGCCCGAGGGCTCTCCGCATTACTCCAGTTTTCCGTACTGTTATTGTCAGCTCCTCTCTCAGTTATAGATTTCTGCTCCAGATTTTAGACATATTCTGTTACTTGATACTAATTGAGTATTAACTGTATAATCATTTCCCAAACTACCATTTTGTGGCTGGAACAAGTTGCAAGATGGCTTCGTTCGCGCGATCGTTGCGCCCTTTGGTCCGAACCCTTCCTCCACGAACGCAGCGCCGTGTCGCCATACCCAGAATATGCCACAAGTGAGCACATTCAAACCTGATTCTCAAATAATGTGCTTATGGAATATAGTTCTCGCCTGCTGTCATGTACAGTTTTTCGCAGACAAGAAGTGATCGACCTGACCTCTCTTGCGCCGACACCCATTTCCCATTTTTCGGAGACAGAGCATATGATGGCAGATTCGGTCTCTAAATTCTCACAAGAGGTCATTTTACCCAAAGTCCGGGAAATGGACGAAGCCGAAGCCATGGATCCTGGGTTGGTGGATCAGCTGTTCGAGCAGGGACTCATGGGTATTGAGATACCCGAAGAGTACGGCGGCGCCGGCATGAACTTTACCGCCGCAATCGTGGGAATTGAAGAGCTGGCGCGAGTGGATCCCAGCGTCAGCGTGCTGGTGGATGTGCACAATACGCTCGTCAACACCATGATATTAAAGTACGGGACAGTAGAATCGAGAGAAAAGTGGCTACCGAAGTTGGCCACCGAGACTGTTGGTAAGTATACTATCCCAACACAAGAAATATGAAACAACGGCTCATTTTCTTCCAGGATCATTTTGTCTTTCCGAGCCATCCTCGGGCTCTGACGCGTTTGCATTGCGGACCAAAGCGGAAAAGACTGCGGACGGATACCGCATAAACGGCTCCAAAATGTGGATCACTAATGCCATGGAGGCAGGACTTTTTATTGTGTTTGCAAATCTAGATCCAAGCAAAGGCTACAGAGGCATCTCAGCATTTATTGTGGACAAAGACACAAAGGGGTTTTCCATTGCGAAAAAGGAACAGAAACTGGGGATTCGCGCAAGTAGCACTTGCGTCTTGAACTTTGACGACGTCGAAATTCCAAGAGGAAATCTCCTGGGCGAGGAAGGCCAAGGATACAAGTACGCAATTGGCATATTGAATGAAGGCCGGATCGGCATTGCCGCGCAAATGACTGGCCTTGCTCTCGGCGCCTGGGAGAATGCTGCTCGGTAAGGGATTGTCCCGTTTGGTGCTTAGAACACAAGAAACATGAGACTGACAGAGAACGTCTAGATACGTATGGAACGACCGACAGCAATTCGGCCAGCTGGTCGGAACGTTTCAAGGCATGCAGCATCAGATTGCGCAGGCATACACCGAGATCACTGCAGCGCGAGCATTAGTGTACAACGCGGCGCGGAAGAAGGAAGCCGGACAGGACTTTGTCATGGATGCCGCCATGGCCAAGCTGTATGCGTCCCAAGTTGCCGGACGCGTGAGCGGCTCTGCGATTGAGTGGATGGGCGGCATGGGCTTTGTCCGCGAGGGGATTGCCGAGAAGATGTTCCGCGATAGCAAGATTGGGGCCATCTATGAAGGCACGAGTAATATTCAACTGCAGACCATTGCAAAGTTACTGCAGAAGCAATACACTGCTTAACCCCATCTGTTCTTCCTTTCTGTCCTTTTTCCTTTTCCTTTTTTATTCCATTTTTTTCTCTTTTCTAAATCTATATTTCCATTTCTTTTCTTGCGGTCTTATACTATCTGATTCATGGACACTTCATCCTCTGCATCTTCAGCACCTCGTCCATTGTCTATTGTCTATTAGTCTATTAGTCTAATAGTCCATCCTATAAAACAATACAATCCCAACCGAGAGATCTTGTTCTACAAGTAGCCGTTTCATAAACACACGTCTAATTGCTTAAACAGCCGTCCGTTAACTACCTATAGGGTATGTAATTTCGTGCACGTCTTTGTATTCCTGCGCTTTATACGCTGTAAGTTGTAAGTCGTACTGTTGCAGTCTCGTACTATTGTACTGTTGCCGTGAGATTTCCCTCCCGACCTGGACCAGAGTAAGCCTCTACAGCCCTACTCGCTAGTTATACCCCGTGTTTTGCTTCTGTTTTTACCCTGTACGTTATTACTTCTACCGTATTTTTTAATCCGTTTCTTCATGCGACTTTGGCTCTGTCCGGGATCATTCTTGCATTACCTAGGTGCCGTTTGTATAGCCATGGTCCTTATATCGTTATATCCGTATACCCCGTATCCCGTATTCCATTATCCTGTATCATGTATCTAGTAACTTATCCCATCCTTAAAGTCTTATCTTTTTACCACGTAACTAGGGTATGTCTTAGTTATCCATTACCCCATATCCCTTAACGTTATCCCGTCTTAGGGTCCCCGTGCGGACCAAGAAAGCTGTGTACGGTATATAACAGATATTGGTGTTCCGTGTTCCGTGTTCGATTTCCTATTGCTAATGTTTCGCTGGTATAATGGTATCTAATGGTGGATGTTGGTTGTTTTTTTTCTTTCTTTCTTTTTTTTTTTTGCGGCGCCTTTCCCGTCGTTATATTATTCCTATCTCCCACCTCCTGTATTCCGCCTCCTGTCTCTCGTCTCCCGTCTGATGATCCCCTTGTAACGTATAACGTATAACGTATAACCTACCCCATCCCGTCCCTGTCCCCGTCCCTGTCCCCATTCCCGTCCCCATTCCCGTCCCCATTCCCGTCCCCATTCCCGTCCCCACCACTTTCCGTCCGGTGCCGTCTCCTTTCCCGCCCCCAGACGGGTAATGCCCATGCAAACGGCAACGTCCTCTGCTTCAGCCTCGGCCTCCTCCTCCTGTCTCCAGGATCCACCAAGTTAGTATACCTATAACTGCAAATACAACAGCAACCGCGAGTATGACTACAACTATCATCCAAAATACCGGGATTCCGGGATTCCGGGATCTCGGGGGGCGGAGGGGTTATGCAACTTGTGGCTAAATACCGTAGGTAACGTTCAATTAAAGGAAATCCCGGAGACTAAATACGTTAAGTCCGGGGAGAACTTTTATTGAAACGCTGGTCCCGCAGTTAACGCCGGGGTGTCGGGGTTTATCTCCAGCCACTACTCACTAGTGCTCCTGCTGCGACATGTCGGAGGAATTCATATGCGATGATGACTACGATGGCCACGATGATGACCACGGTGAGTAGGGAGGGGGAGGAAGAGGGGGGGGAAGAGGATGATGATGATTAATGGTCAATGGTTAATCTAACGAACAGATACAAATGAATGCAGTGTTAAAAATGTTAAGCAATCAAATTGTTTGGTTATGAGATTGGTGGATCTTTTGGACTCGGCGGAAGATAAGATAAGAGAAAACAAATAAAAACAAAGATGGGAAGAAAAAGAAAAAAAAAAAAAAAACAATAAAAGAAAAGAAAAGAAAAATAAAAAGAATATATAGAAAAAAAGACAAGAAAAGGTCCGCGGATTACACGCGAGGAAGACATACATAATACATGACAGTTCGAGGAAAGGGGGACATACGGCAGATAGCATCGGCCATATTGCATCTCAGCGCTAGAAGTGCATGTTCGTTATACTGTACTCCGATAACAACCTAACAACGTAATAATGCAACAGTGTAACAACGTAACAACCTAACAACGACTGGAACAACGTAACAACGCAATAATGGCAATGGAACATGTACGCAAGTCGGAGACAAAATGCTCCGGCTGACATTGACTTGAACTTTGTATCTTGCATCTGGTTGACATGCTTATTTTCTTCGCGTGTTCACCAGTAGGGCTTAACAACCGGGGGTGTGCAAGCACTGCAAGCCTTGCAGACTGGAAACCTCGACTCTCAAACGCTACAAGTCATATATAAAAACATACTGCGAGACTACGCATCAACAGGGTGAAAATTGCTTTCACGTGTCCCATTGAACAGTCAATAGTAAATAGTATCTAACCCCAATTACGTGAAGGGAGCGCTACCAGAGATGGAGTCGAGTAAGGTTTTATGCACAAGAAGGAGAATACCCAGAGTAAGTTGTTGGACTTGTACACATCCCATTATGCACATCCCGACACCCCGCTTCAGGGCATCTGGTGACAGCAATAGGGCGATGAAAATGGGGTGTTGCAAAAGGGAAATAAAACTGCTGTGCGAAACGGGATAAGCAGCCAGGATTTACAAATGGGTATAAAAGCCTGAGAAGAGAATATGAAGCGGTCCCAGGAGCTTTTGAGCAAATACTCTGGCAGAAGGTTCAGCGATCCAAAGCAGGCATCGACGTTTCCAGTCCTCGCAAAGATCTGCATAAATATAAGAACAGAACAGAACAGTCATCATGCAGAACGGACATAGCGAGACCAACGGACACAGATCGCCTCCCCCTCCAACGGGCGAGGTGCACGAACTGGAAGATCTCGATGCGCTTGTTGTCGGCGCAGGATTCTCTGGTCTATGGCAACTATATAATCTCCGCAAGGCCGGGTTCAAGGTCAAAGCATTTGAGTCTGGCCATAATCTCGGCGGCATCTGGTACTTTAATCGGTACCCGGGCGCGCGAGTGGACAGTGACGTGCCGCTGTACGAATACTCCCTCGAGGAGCTGTGGCGGGGATGGAACTGGACGGAGAAGTTCCCGGGATGGCAAGAACTCAGGGCATATTTTGACTACGTCGAGAAAAAGCTGGACCTGAAAAAGGATATTCGGTTCAACGCCAAGGTGACCAAAGCTGTATGGGATAATGATAAGAACCAGTGGGATGTCTGGGCCTCAGACGGATCCCATGTGCGGACACGGTTCCTCATTCTGACAGTTGGCTTTGCGGCCAAACGATACACTCCTTATATCAAAGGGCTCGACACATTCTTGGGCGAGTGCCACCATACGGGAGATTGGCCCGAGGAAGGTGTCGTGTATGAAGGAAAGCGCGTGGGCGTCATTGGCACAGGCGCCAGCGGAGTCCAGGTCATTCAGACAGTTGGACCAAAGGTCAAGCATCTGACCGTGTTCCAGCGCACGCCGAACCTGGCCGTCGCCATGCAGCAGGAGAAGCTCGACAAAGTCAATGACAAGTCGGATTATCCAGAAATCTTCCGCATGCGCACAAACACATTCGCCGGTTATCACTTTGATAACTCGGACAAGAAAACATTTGAAGTGTCGCCCGAGGAGCGTTTAGCTCACTATGAAAGTCTCTGGCAGGCTGGAGGTTTCCGCTTCTGGCTGGGGACTTTTAATGACATGCTCTGGGACCAAGCCGCGAATGAAGAAGCATACAAATTTTGGCGCGAAAAGGTGCGCGCGAGAATCAATGATCCAGTCAAGAAGGAGCTCCTGGCGCCAATGAAGGCTCCACATGCATTTGGCACCAAACGTCCCAGTCTGGAGCAGACTTACTATGAAGTCTATAACCAGCCCAATGTGGATTTGATCAATCTGAGAGAGAACCCAATCGATGAGATTACTCCGCTCGGCGTGAAAACCGCCGATGGCGTGACGCATGAGCTCGACCTCTTAGTCTTGGCTACCGGTTTCGACTCTGTCACTGGCAGCCTTCTCAACATTGACATTGAAGGTGTTCATGGTGCCAAGTTGGAGGCTAAATGGAAACATGGAACCTGGACGTATTTGGGAATGACAACAGCCGACTTTCCCAACATGTTCTTTCCATACGGCCCACAAGCCCCAACCGCCTTTTGCAACGGACCGACGTGTGCCGAGCTTCAAGGCGACTGGGTCATCGACTGCCTCAAGTATCTGCGCGCAAAGAATCTCCAAAAGATTGACACGCTGCACGAAGCCGAAGATGCGTGGCGAAAGCATGCCACTGAGCTCAATGATGCCTCACTCTTCCCAGGGACGAGCTCCTGGTATATGGGCGCTAATGTGCCCGGCAAACCTCGGGAGGTGTTGAATTATATTGGCGGCTTGCGGCAGTATAACCAACGAATCTCCGAGGTGGCTGAGAATGATTACCGAGGGTTCGTAACGGTTTGAACGAAGCATTCAATTGTCGCGGAATATTGCAATCAGACGAGAAATAGCTGCTGATGATACTTTTTTGTTCAATCATTGCTCCCAGAAGTTATACAAGATTTTGACATATTCTCCTGCTATCAGATTAGTTTCATTGGCGCAAAAAGGAAGATACATGCGCAGGGATTCACAAATACACACCTCCTAATTTCCATCTTTTGTCTAGCATGACAAGCGCCTCTCGTATCTGGTTACGTGGTTCCGTGTATTCCGTAGAGCCGGATTCACCGGCATACCACGCATAATTCGCTGCGCCTTGATAAAGACAATCTGCAAGAAAAGGAGTAACTGACATAGACCCATTTGCCCGTATGCAGGCCTTTAGACACTGTGACAGTCCCAAGACGCCTTGTGAAGTGGCTCGAAGACCGCTAATGGCAATCTCCTGCATATGAAGCTTGCCCGCCGTTCCCTCCGGATCTCCCATTTCCGCACAAGAGTAGGTATCACAGAGAGTCAAAAGCGTGCTATAGCAGATCCCCAAAGGCGCAAACGACGTCGGATCCTGCTCAACCAGAAGTAGACTAGAAAATGCTCTCAGCGTTCTCTCCAGCTGGTTGGCTTCGGCATAACGGAAACTTGGCTCCATATTGCGGTCATTCATATGCCTTACAACGCGGCCCATAAGATGCGCTGCTTGGCAAGTTCTCGCAAAGGGGGAAGCACGAATACTCGTAGACGACGAGACATACAAAGTCTCATTGGCACTCATCTCCTGTGGACAAAATTCAGCAAAACAAAAAAACTTCTTTTTACAGCGGTAGGGATCATCTTACGCCGAGATCAAATGAAATATCATCTACCGGGAGATAGTCATCCTTGTTCGGATCTTCGGTTGCCAGCGGCGGACCATGGTTGCCGATGCTCACATATCTGCATAATCATGGTAAGAACGTTATATTATCATCCATAATCAGAGGAGAAATCGCACCTATCGAGAATAATGGCCGCCCACCAAACACGACGCCTTTCTTCCATCTCTGTCCAAGCTTTCGGCTTTGGCAGCATCCGAGCGGCATCCTTGCGATGAAGACCCATGGCCTGTCCAAGGCGGGCACAATGACCGACGGACAAATATGCTGCAGGATAAATGGCATGTCCAATCTCGTATAAGGCCAGCAGAAGGAGAGCCTGAAGAAATTGTAATGATGGCAAACAAGTTGACTCCATAGAGTGACACAGTCTTTTGGCCGTCTCGTAGAGCACATGGTCGGGGCCATCGGAGCTGTCGGGTATCTGTACAATCAACTTCATACACAGGCATAACAATGCATGGTCCATTTCCGTAGCCGAAAGTGGCTCGGACAGACGGCAATGGAAACGAATCTTGGAGACGAATGGAAACCATTTGTGGACCGTAGCAAAATAAGTTGCGGCGACGGCTTGCGTTTCCGCACTACCGCCCAGGAGATCCAGTATCTCTGCGTTAGCTGTAACCAACGGTTTTGGAATACCACAATCTCTGTAGCTGAATACAGATGCATCTAGAAAGAAAAGGGGAGCATGTGTGAACGCTTTTCGACCCTCGCCGCTGCTCCGGGTGGAATCGCCAGTTGAAGCTCGATCCGAGACCGCTAGCGACGGCGGAGTATATGGAAGTTGAGGAACGGGATGAGGAGTTGTATCCCTCGTGGAGTCAGATAGGCGGTTCTCCAAGTCCTGTATCTTCTGGAGTAGAAATTGAAAGTCGTCGCCGGTCGGAGCTGGAGGGGAATCTGAATAGTCGCAGACCCGGCCAAGGCGGTGACATAGACCGCAGCCTGGTAGTCCCTTGTCACATTTACGTTTTTGTTTGCGGCATGAAGCACAGGCCTGCAGGGCCCGTCTCTCAGCGTCAGGACTCCTGCTTCGTTCGCGATAGTTGGTTCGGAGCATGTCGAAGGCGACCTTGTGCAATTGGAATTTTGAACAAGACAAAATCCGATCCCGCGAGTATGCGATAATATGATCGTACCAAACAGAGGCCGATTATGGGACGGATTTCGTAATATGCATGTGCGGAAGCAATGCTTCCATACAGGGTATTGGAAAAGCTTGAGATTGCGGATCTCAGTACATTTCACATGTCGTCCAAAAGAAGGCGAGTATAGAGGGACGAGCCAAAAGACGTAATAATTCGATTAGCAAAGCCGTACAACAATGGGCGAATTGAGCCCTACGGAGTAAGTGTTGGAGCTCCCATAACGTCCGTTTGTCAGCACAGCCATCATTTCTCGCTTATACCTGCTGCCGCCAAATACCGGAGCTCGCTTCTAACTTCCCCTCGCTTGAATGAAGCAAGCTCCGATGCGTAGGATTGATTCTCCTTTGAAGACTTGAATGTCTACTTTTGTAAATTTATTTTCAAACCCACATAGGACAAATTGAATGAGCGTTGCAAAAAGGATTGCAAGCTTCGGGTTATATGATTAATTACATGGTCATGGTATTTCATATGATTACTTTCACAATTTTTCCGTCAACAGATGAAACAATTAAATAAAGATGAGAAATCAATATGCATCACAATATATTATCCTAGAGACCGATGCAGACAATATTATTTCAAAGTAGATAGGCGTTTTCTTTGTCTTCAATTCTTTTTAAATACCTCTATCGAATATTGTTGGCCACCAAAACGGACACAGACCGCATGCAAATTGTGGTATAACACGTGCTTCCCAGCAGCAGCAGTGCGGCACGATCATGCATGTGAAATTCCAGGAGTCTGTCTACAGAGTATTCTAGCGCTGTAGGATGATCGGTCGATGAGAACCATTTGGAGTTTCCGGACACTGCAAAGCACAGCTGAATTTTGTCGGTCGAATCGGACAATACGCACAGACTAGAGATACGGGATGAATACCGACCGTGCGTTGTTATAATACTATTATACTTTGCTAAGGGATTAGTGCAACTATCTGATGCAGTATGACATTCAAATTTGGACTGGAGAGGTAGAAAACCATGCGCACGACCATGCGCTTTCCTTCAAGGCACATGTGTGTACCTGACACTCCCGTGGTCTTGTGAAACATGACCAAGCATCTTATATTGACATGTAAAATAACGGCATATTGTATCAAGCCATCGGATATTTAGAGCACCGTGTTGATATTTTGCAGCAATGCTTTGGATGATTAGCTGGACGAGTAGCGTATACAAGATCCTGAATACGGCAAAAGCAACCCGCTTTAAGGGTGTGGTGACATGCATCCACCAGACATGTCGCACCTGCGTGTATTGTAATATCACGATGCGGAGAAGCCACATTGATATTCGTACACTGCACTCGTGCTGGGCGAATAGTGCAGAGCACAGATCCGCGTGGGAAATGTCAGTCATTGGAGTTGGAAGATCAGATGAAACGCCATTGCGCGAGCTGGGAAGTTTGGTGGTTCCTCGCTTGCTTTGCTTGTCTATAACCGACAGCCTGGAAATCCGGGGAACCAGCTACCTCGTTGAGCGAAACTCAGGTATAGAAATGAGTGTCACCATAACCTGAAAGCGCCTTTTGATTCGATTGTTGATTCCCAGACTAGAATCCACATCGAAAGTATTTTTTGAACAAGAAAAATTGTCGCAAGCCCTTGGAGGATCTGTTTCCGTACGAGATCATGTTGTCAGTCTCGAGTGACTGTGAGCTTTGAGGCGCGTCAGAAACAGGCCGAAGCTTTTGCAACATTTGAAAAGAAACTGTAAGCCAAGTTAGTGTACCAAGCGCACTATAATGCAATCGTGATGATGTACTTTTCTCACTCAGCTCAATCATTTGACATTCGTAGACGAAAGTTCCACCATCAGTGATGACAAATGCCACTAGCTGTAACATGCAAGTCTCATCTCATATTTACCATGCTGCATAAAGTGATATTCCAGAAAGTGTAGTAGCAAATGACTTGGTTTGTGATTGGTGGGATAGTGATGGGCGGGAGGGGAAGCCACGCAAGCCACAATCCATTTCAGCTGTCATGTCTGTACTATAGTTTAGCCCGTGAACACGGGCATCATAACAAAGAAATCGGCAGGTTCCATTGGCGAGGGCACACGAGGCTGAAATCTCCCCGATCCATTCACTCGGTATTCAGTCAAGGTCAAAATAATAATAATAATAATAGCACAGTATGTTTGTAAAGAAATCCTTCCATGATCATCCGAATCAAAAGTTGGTACCTACCTTAGCTAGTTTTCATTGCGCACAAATTCTTTGTATACAATGGCGCACTGGCCTCAAATCTGGTGTCGTCGAACGCTTGGACAGTGTAAAAGCAAGGTGCGCGCGTGGTCAAGTAAGCGATGTCGCACGAGAACGGCTCAAGGGGCCTAGTACTGCCTATTTCTGCTCGTGTGGCGCAAGAGCTCTGCGGCATCACCTCATGAATCTTTGCCAGCGGGAAAAGAACAAAAATAAAGAGCATCCAAAATATGAGAGCAATTGACCCCTGCTTATGCTGCACATTACTCGTCATTTTGTCGGGTTGCTAATGTCCCGCCCTAGCTTCCTATTTACACTGAGTGAGACGCTACCAGGCTTCGGCCAGAAGCCTACAACCAGAAACAACCTTGTCCAAAGATACTACGCAAGAGGATTGTCATCATATCCTTCCCATTTCCTCCCAAACGCACCGATCCCCCCTCTTCCCAAACCGTAATGACGGCGCAACCAAGTAAACCCTGCCCAGTCCCCATGGACGGAGGGCTTTCCTTCGCCATCGCTGTCGTAACATTACATTATGAGTTCTTCTTTATCGAGCAAAAACGAGTTTTGGAAATCCGCAAAACACCAAGTATTCGTAGCGCCATAGGCCGGCATTAAAGAACTTTTTTCTGAGGTCATGAAAAATGCCGCAACAGAAGCTCAAGAACTTTTCCCCGTTTGCGGCCGCATGCAAGTGTCGACAGTTTTAGGTATGCCGAAAGAAAAATATGCAAAGTTCAGGAATTGTATATCAATTGCTTTTCGAGTTCCGCTTGGTTCAACCGTATCATACGGTAGGCATCGTCTGTATCAGCTCCTTCTCGACTACCCCATGTAGTCTACATAAAATTATCAGTATTTTTCTCGTGGTGTCTGCTAGTCTCATCACTCACCACATTCAACGTTAAAAACGCATAAAGCTTGATAAACGAATGAAAATACCCAAAAAGCATCGAAACAGGGAGAAGTACAATATCCTCTGGATAGCGAACAAAATGTCCGATCAGCTTGATGGATTTACTCAGAAACATCCAGGCGAGTAGGGTGCCTATTGCGAGGAACTGTGTTCTGTTGGACCAGCCTTCCGTGGCTCGGTAGCAAAGATAAATGAGCATTGGGTCCCACACGATGGCGCAGGCGGTGAGAGTCGGGAGGTGAATAGCATAGGTGCTCCACGGCTGTTTGCTGTTTCCATCCCGTGTTAGCTACGGACAAGAGTGGTTTCCGGATATCGGCCAGGGTAAACTCACGTCCAAACATAGCCCTCGTAAAACATGCTTTTAAGATTGCTTCTCCAGTTACTGCGAGACCAGCGTAAACATTGCTTCAGAAACCGAGGATTGTCCTCCAGGGTGGTCCGGAGTTCAGCATCTTTACAGTACTGAACCATGGTTTTCCAGCCATGAGAAAGCATCCAGCGAGTGATGAAGTTGTCATCATCAGCATTCAACTGGAACTTTTGAAGCCAGTACTCGTGAGTGAAGCCGTAGGTGAAGGCAGGGTCTTGTAGAATGTGGGTCCGATAAGCAACTGTTCTACCAGACAAACAGGGGATACCGCCATCCAGGTGCGTGGTCGCTGAGATGTCAAAGTTTCTTCGCTCGAGGTAAATGGCTCCAAGAAAGTTCCATATCCGCGTAGACCAGTCTGGGCTTTCTGCCCGGCGTAATCTCTGACACGTTCCCACGCCGCCGTACTCGGGCAGCTCAAAGGGAGCTAGAATCCACTCCAGAATCTGGCGTGGCCACGTCACGTCATCATCGGCGAAGAGAGTGATCTTAGTGGTGACTTCCGGGATTGCGTGGCACATCTGCCTCCGCTTATTTGCATGGGCGACGCTGAGGACGCGAATGCGGGAGGTTGGCATGGTCATGACCATTTGCATTGCACGCTTGAGATTTGCATCAATGGTCACGAGAATGATCTCGAATGGCTCGGTTTGCAAACAAGAGCGAATCGTTTGGCGCAATTCTTCGCCATCTCCATCGATGGTGGGTATGATAATGGTGACATCCTGAGACGTCAAGGTGGGCTCGTTGGGTAGGGGAATAGGCTTGAATGTCCAATGGGAAATGCAATTGACGATTAATCGCACATAACGATACAACCTGGAAAATAACCCCACGACTTGATTAGAAAAATAATATGGCACAGTGACCGGACGACAAGTAAATTTTTCGCTGTAAAAGATACACTCTATTCCGTGACAGATGCCCATGGCAATTGCAGGCAGATAAAGACGTACCAGAGTAATATGAAAAGTTGACCGTAAGAAGACATGGCCGCCAACGAACTCAAAACGAGTGTAAGAAATGAACGGATAGAGGAACAACCAAAATGGCCATCATGGACAGGACACTGAAGCTCGCAGGAGGTCTGAGGTCTAAATAGTCGACAACCATGACAGTCCCTTAGTGGACTCCAGGAGCGCGTGCTCTGCGCTGCAATGTTGCCGCGAAGGGGGACATTGCGTCGGCGTATCTTTTAGCAGATGCCGCAAACTAACATAGCTCCGTTGAGAAGCCAAAAGAAGCCGGGCTGGCCGAGACACCAAAACGGTGACCTGCATGGAAGGAAAGTCTTCAAGAGTAGATCGTCATTATTGTTCCGTTGCTTGGCCGTAAATGAGTTGCATGAGGAAGAGGGTGGGGTGAGGGTCAAGCCAAAGGACTGGGGGCAGAACGAGGCCAAGGGGTCGAACGGGGGTGCATGGTGAACAGGGCTCCACTAAAAGGTGGGTTTATAGTACGTGCAGGACGCTCCATTTGGTGGAGCGAAAGAGCGTGGGTAGTCAAGGCACTTGCCGACCTATCATCCTTCTTCCCTCTTCTGTCGTCTTTTTTTCTTTCTTCCCTTGAATGATTCTTCGTTCTCTCGCACGATAATTCGTTTGTCACAACTTTCGAGCCTGCTCGGATACCCGTTGAGACATGTTTCGGGTAGGCACAGTCATGCGCTTCTATCTTTTAGTCCCTCCTCGTTTACTCAGAGAGAGGCAAACAGAAACGCGAGTAAAGACAGGTTGAATTGGATACTACGGTAGTCTCTCTGTTTGCAATTCTGTGACGAGTCAAAACGACCACCAACCACCTCTTTTCGTGCTTTACCGAAACAGGTGTGGCCGCCGCTGCCCATAGCGGGATGGTTTAGCGCAGATTACTGCAGAGGTCGCTATGTGATAACCGAAGCCTGGTCCACCATGGGCCGAGCCATAACCTTTCCTCGCCCTGACTTTCTCGTTCCTTTCCCACAAGCAGTCCCACCCTTGCCCGGAGACTAGAGCAACAAGTGGGATCTATGACTGTCGTATGGTCAGAAAGAGGGGAGGGGGGAAGGGATCCATCAAAAGAGCACGAGCGTACCCACTACGATGCCGATGGCGCACTTTGACCCTGTCAGATATGTGAGCCGATGGTGATAATATTGCACCTCCCCCCAGTAGAATTTCTGCCTCGGTCCCTACATATGGAACTTTATTGTTCGGTAAAGTATTCTATTTTCACTACAAAGGTATAACGACCCAAAAGGAGGCCGCCGGGGAGGACAACGCTGTCATAGATGGTCATCAGCCTTCTGTCGAATTCTACGGCCAAGACATGAACTTCAGTCTATTGTCGTTGCGTAATCTTCAGGATGAGACTCTCGCTCGTATTTGGACTCCTGCGGCCAGCTAAAATATTGCGAAAAGAGGTTTGTGTTAAAGATCACACATGTGTTGGTTGGCGAGACCGAATTGAAACTCAATCCTGAATGAGAACTTGAAGTTTCAATGGCTCCTCTAGAACAGACAGTTACTCTATACTCTGCCGCATCCAAGAGCTGAAGCGGGCCTTGAGGGATCGCGATGAGCCTGGCCTGTTTGTTCGCCATTATTGGTACAAAGCGGAAGTGCTAGCCGGAACGACACGCCGTCGGCTCCACTGGACCCTTTGGCACCAAAAGCGCCAAAAGTAGAAAAGGCTGCAAATAGAACGGCAGACGACCGTTTTTACAGATCATTCGAATTAGCTTTCACCATCGTCTTTGCTTCTCAGCTCACAACTCCTAATGTTTCAATCGTAGACTGGCCAAAATTTCGAGCACGTTTGAGACACATGGAGGGAAAATCAAGAAATTGAGCAAAGTTTGCGAGTTGATCAGTGGTCCGACGGAATCGCGCGTGTGGAGCAAGGCCCAAGCTCAAAAATGGTGTCGGGCCGGTGCTGACATGATGAATCAAGCGATCATCTGAACCGTCTAAAAGGCCCGCTCTCGCGCTCGAGCTGCTGCTCGTGCTGCAAGTGTCCGTGCTCTCACTCTCTGCTTTCCTCTACGTTAGCTCTCTTGTTCCAAGCAAACAGCTCATATTTTCCCCTTTACCCATGCCTTGATTTCCACCGAATTCTCAATGAGCATTGGTCAGAAGGTCTTGGAAGGAACAGGAGATCTGAGAGGTCTTCAAGACAATCCGTAAACTCCGTAACTTGAGCTACTCCGTAAAGCTATATTACCAACCAGACTTGATAATGCACGGGCTGAGACACGAGACCCGTTTCTCTCGCAGCTGCCGCGTGTCTGGTTGCCTCGGTGCCTTTAGGATGGTGCATAAATAATATATTCATGCAAGCTCATGCAAGGTTTATGTAAGGTTATGCAAACCTAAGCAGTCTTTTGCCGAAACAGCGTTCCAATCACTCTATGCTTCGGCAGTTTTCTCTCCTGAAAAGGCGAACCGAACCGCCTCTCCGGTCGCTCCGCTTTGAATAACTTTCGGGACAATTGTTTACCCAGTTCCTTTACGTAATGTTTGATAAGTTTGTAAAAGTCACCATATATATCTTCATACTATTCTGAGCGGAAATCTTCTGGATAGACAACGATCATGGGTCTCGTGTAGGCAAGGAGATTCCAATCAAGATTGCCGAGCCGAGGATCCAACAAGTACAGAGGACTTAGCTTCACATACCGCACGTGTCTCCCAACAAAGGCATGAATGCTGCAGAAAAGGTATTGGATCACATAATCGGGCCGTCCCTTGGTTGGGTAACGGATGTCATTCGAATCTTTAGTCCCTGGCACCTCTTGTCAGGGTCTGTATTAATATGGACTATTGAGCAAGGGTCTAGGTTGTGCACAAGTAAAGGGAGATCGCCACGGATGTGGGTTATTAAGTGTCTATTATAGTAGTTATACTTTAGATCTCATCATCCTCAAATTGTTCAATACATACTAGCTCTATATAAAAGCAGTGGACACGAAACACAAAAATCGCTACTCGTAAAAGCTAACAACATAATCTAAGTCTATATCAAAAGGAAAAAGTGTCATCGATCAAGCTTCGACTTCGGTAACCATCTTGTAATCCGCGTATCCTTCTGCCTGGCCTTGGGCATAGAATACCGCGCGGTTGTACGGCTCCAGCGCAACATTCTGCTTCCATCGTCGGGGCAGATCCGGGTTGGAAGTAAAGTACCGTCCCACTGCGACCAGCGTATTGGGCTCGGCCTCAGTGATCTTGAGAGCAGAGTCGCGATCATATCCACCGGCACGCATCAGGACCTTGTCATCTCCCCATATTTTACGGATAAAGTCAAGTTGCGCGTGAGCTCTGAGTTTGGCAGTGTCATCACTTCCATCGACTCTGCTTTCGACAGCATGGATATAGGCGAGATGGGGGTGTTTCTGGGCAAGTTGCTCGACGACATAGCTAAACTGTGGAACCGGGTCCTTCATGCCCATGTTCTGGTAAATGGACCAAGGCGAAAGACGGATTCCGACGCGATCCTGGCCCACGACAGAGACCAGCTTCTCAATGACCTCAAGAATAAAGCGAGCGCGGTTCTCGATGCTTCCGCCATAGGCATCGGTGCGGTTGTTGGAAAGGTCTTGGAGAAATTGATCCGGCAGGTAGCCATTAGCGGCGTGGAGTTCGACGCCGTCAAAGCCGGCCTCGAGCGCATTGCGAGCTGCGGCTTCGTAGGCAGAGATGAACTCCTTGATTTCCTCCACGGTCAAGGGTCGAGGCTTAGTCGCACCTTCCGCGACAGGGATATCAGAAGCAGAGACCACGTCTGCGCCAGTAGTGTCCTTGAGAAGTTGGGGGTCGGCAACTCGGCCGAGAGCCCATAGTTGCACGTAGATGTAAGAACCATTGGCGTGAACTTTATCGGTAACCTTTCTCCAGGCCGCAATCTGTTCCTTGCTCCAGATTCCAGGTGCTTGTTTGTACAAACCAGCTCTTGCGGCGATAAAGGTTGCTTCCGTGATGAGAAGAGTGCCGGGTGTGGAAGAGCGTTGATCGTAGTATTTGACGGCCAGGTCGGTGTGGGTGTGATTCTCATCCGCGCGGAACCGAGTCAGTGGGGCAAGGACTACTCGTTGCTTGAGGTTCATCCGTCCCACCTTGAGGGGCGAGAAAAGTGGTGCTGCTGCTCCGGACATTTTGTATAATTTGCGCCTGTTGTAGAGTGTTGTAGAATTTTTGTATTTTGATGTTCTAAGCGAGGTCCACGAACAATGGAGAAATTGGAACGTTATTTCGTGCTATTCTATGGTCCGAAATGCTGTTGTCTGAATTGAGAGTGATTTAACTGGTCTAGAGAAGGCACAATGGGGCGAGGAGAAGACGAGTTTTATATATTCGAGCCACCGGAAGAATCAAAGCCATGATGAGAAACGTCTTGTTCAGTGTTTAAAAGAATGATTACTCTAACCCAGCAGATCTTCATTTGTCAACGTTTGCTTGCTTAGAGATCATGTATACGTGAAACAGCCGTGTTACTGTTGGCTCAAAAAGGTGTAGACCAACAATTGCTTATTCGTTAAGCATGGTACAAAAGTATTATATTTTCTATGGATGAGTAAACAAATGTCCAACTAATTACCGGGCCGGGCACCTGGCTCTCCGCCCCTTACAGGTACCTGACTCGGTAAATTGCTTGGTACGGGACCCAATAATGATGACGATGATGCCAGCCATTGTCCCACTTCATGCCCATAAAATTCTCCTTGCACGGTCACAGGTCAAAGAATGAAACTGGTAAATTCATCATGACAGGTATTCATCCGATCTGGCATTTCCCCTCTCCGATTGCACTCAGAGTGTCTTTGTACGAACCGCGGAACATGAACGGAATAACTCCCGAGGCTCGGTTATTGAGGTTCCGTGTCCCCATCTTAACCGCATGGGCTCATCTTGCTTATCTAAACGGCGTCGCTGATGAATCTCCACGTTCGTGGATCAGTCAACATTCGGCGACAACCCAGGAAACTTCGGCGAAGCTCACGATCATTATATGAACAGCCTAATCAGCAAACTCGCGCTAACTACGAGTAGTCCTTTGATGAACCCCTGTGGGCCACCCTAATTGACAAATAACTCCCAGACCAACAAATACAGCACGCGATTCCATGACGGGCAGTACACACCCAATCAGCAGGCTGGAAAAAGGGTCTCTAAATAAAACCATGAATTCCAAATTCCTACCGCCGTCAATTGAGCTGATTTTTTTTATTTCAAATCTTTTAGAGTCAAATTAGACCTGCTAATATGGAAATTAACACTTTGTGGCGTGCAATGAATCGACTGACGGCAATGTCTCTTATCTCAAATTCTCCAGAGCTACGAAGAATTCATGTATAAATACAGGGTCGATGTATGCAATGATCCTGTTTTCCCATCAGCATCTCATCTCTCATTATTTGCTGTTCTTTGAATATTAGCAAACGTTCTTAGACTTCATTCTTTTTTATCTTTCTTTTTCCGCATTCAAGATGGTCCAATCAAGCAATCTCTTCAAATTTTTCTCCGCAACTTTGCTTTTCGCTGGGTTTGCTCAGTCGCGCGCGATTGAGAAACCGAGTGTGGGTGCCTGGCCGGCGAGCGCCTCCCCTAGCGTTGGTTTCGGGGAGGAACAAAAGGTCCTTTACCTCATGACCAACAAGGCAAACAATTCAATCGTTGCAATTCCCATTGCCCACGATGGCACCCTGTCAGGCGCAGTTTACACCAGCACCGGAGGCAGTGGTGGCAACTTGGTCAATCCCATGACCGGCGCTCCCAATGTTCCAGATGCTCTTTCTGTGCAAGATAGTGTCCGAGTTGTTGGAAACGTAAGTGCTTGTAACTTGGGCGTCCAAGTATGGAACCATCAAAACAACTAACCTTCTTTCCCTCTAGTTCCTTTTCAACGTCAATGCAGGCTCAGGCACGGTCTCCATGTTTGCCATCAATCCCAAGAACCCCACGGAGCTCTTGCCGCTTGGCAAGCAAAGCTCAAACGGCGATTTCCCCACCTCGATTGCCGCATCCTTGACCAACAAGAAGGTCTGCGTGGCCAACACTGGAGTGACCGCCGGTGTTTCCTGCGCCAGCTTCGACGACTACTTTGGCCTTGGGGAATTCGACGCGCTTCGTCCGCTCGAGCTTGGCCAGACGAACCCTCCAACGGGTCCTCTGAATACCGTTGGCGACCTGCTCTTCAATGCAGATGAGTCTTTGCTCGTTCTCACCGCCAAGGGCAACGGCAACGCAAACCACACCGGTTTCGTCACAACCTATCCTGTCACCGATGGTCGCATTTCCGTGACCGGAAAGGAACACAAGCCTCCTGGTCTCGGTGCTGAATTCGGATCCGCCGTCATTCCTGGAACTAAGAACCTCATCCTCTCCACCCAAGCTGATTTCGGTTCCGTCGTCCTCGACCTAGACCACTTGGATGCCGCTCCCTTGGCCAAGACAAATGTGACCGGTCAAGCTGCCTCCTGCTGGGCCCAAGTCTCGACCTTTACTGGCACCGGCTTCATCACCGACGCCTTGGTCAACCGTCTCGTCGAGACGAATCTGACCACGGGAGCCATCGTCTCCGAATACGTTGCGCCAAACTGGAACCCGGGAATGACTGATTTCTTGACCCTCGGACCCAAGATCTGGGCGCTCAGTGCCGGAAATGGCACAACACCGAGCAGTATCGCCGTCTTTGACATTAGCGGTGGTCCGGGAAGTGCCAAGCAGATTCAAAACTATGCCGTGCCTGGCCTTGATGCCAATGCAATGGGACTGGCAATCTTTTAAGCTTGTAGGGGTTGAAAGATGGCATCGGTGCCGCTTGCAAATTAAAGCGAATTTTGAAACCGGTGACTGCATAGGATTGTAAATATTTTCTTTAGCCTTTTAGATTTGATACTCTCTATAGATTTAATTCCTTTTCAAGTCATTACAGACATTTATCTTCCCGCCACTCTCTTCCACTGACAACTGCATGCAGCGATGCCAAGAGAAGAAAACATATTTGAAAGTTAAAGTCTCCTTCAAACTAGTGTACGAAAATTTAAAGGCAAATCTTCGAGTAAAGCCAATGTTAATCTGAATCCTGCAGAAGTAGGGGTGCTTTGATCTGCGCAATCGTGCCAAGCAATCATTTATCTAATTCCTTATTTGGTAACACTGGTGGTGATCAAAAAGCTTAGCGGTGACATTTTCAAGGGACCCGGCCCACGCCAGATCAACAGATCGGCCACCAAACCCAGGCGCCTTCTCGGCAATTACTATACGTCCCTTTCTTATAGGTATGGATTTCAAACTTGCATTTGTAACACTATTTTCATTACAATCCCGCGACGAATATGAAATCTAGGACTTCTGACTAAGTTATCCTTTTAGTGGATGTTTTCTCCATTTCCGGCTTCGTTGTAGGAGGAGACACAGGCCACAATTTACACGGTTTTCCATGGTAAATTGATGATGTACGGAATATTCGCATTTCAGAGGGCAAGTCTAGCTCCTCTTATTTACTCAAAGTGCATCTGTACTCAATTTGATCTTTGTTGTTTCTATCTCTAGAATCTCCTTTTATTTTATGAACAAGTTTGAAATGCATAAGGTAGGGGGCATTGATCCTTGTATATCGTATCGTTATTCCCCGTACTGCGTGTTGCAAATCCGTATCACTTTACTATATAATTCCTTTCATACAATTTAATTATTGAGTAATTTCTAAAAATATATAAACTATTTCAGTAATGTAACTACTGCAATTGAAGTGTGGTAAATACTAGAAGAAGGTTAATATTCTCATTAACCAACTCTCTGTGACGTGTTGACATGTCATCGTGTCAACAAGTGGCTGTGATTGCCATGGCACAGCCACGTCATGAAATGGCGCTAGCCAAAGATGGCAAGGACGGGGGATCATCCGGATCGCTGTTGCATCTCGAACGCGCTGTGTGATGATAAGCCGTAGCGACAAGGCAACAATGACTACTGTAGGTAGGTAGTTAACACTAAACTTCGGCTTTTCGGAGCTTCGCTCCTGCTCTCGGCCAATCCATTTGATGCTTCTCTTTATAGAAGGATGAGAGTAACGCAGGTAGTTGCCCGTTCGATTTTTGAGAGCGATTGAATCCTTTGGCAGCTGTGGCATTCCCTCGGACCTCTTGCTTGATACGCCGACCTCCTCCTACTACCTCCGAGAGATGCCACAAAGCGAAGGTCTTACGCTTTGAAAGATTCACTATTGCCTGACGGATTGATCGACGGGAATAGATCATGAAAAGAGTGACAATTCATCTGAGCATTCTGACTGGGCCAACTACAACCGCTGCGTCATAAATCGTCTGCACCGCCAATCTAGATGTGTAAGTCGGATTTGACTTCATTCTCCACATCACCAACCTGCCCCCTTCGGGTTAGCGCCCAGTTACGGCTGTCTTGGCGTAAGGTCTCCCGTACTTGGGTACTTATCATCTCGCCCCCCTACATCAATAACCACTTCTTCCCTTCCATAGGGAGCGTTCCATCTCTCTCACTTCGTGCCCACTGGCCTTTTTGATCGATATCCATGAACGATTCCTCTGATAGTCCGAGCCTTCTAGACCGACTTCGATCCTGGGCTCCATCCAAAGCTCATGCCTCGACGAGCAATTCTTCCAACCTTCCCCTTCCCACGTTGCCCGTGAGCAACCCTACCTTGCCTACTCCTGATCATGACGGCACAACAGCACATTCCCACCATAATGGGCACAAAGATCATTACAAGGGAAACGAGAGTTCGACTGTCAACAATGTCGCGGACGGAACTTCGAGCACTCTTCCACCTCCGGCACCGCCTCCCGCCGGCGAGGATGGAGGAGTCACTTCCTCCATAGAATCTGAACCAGAAAAGCCAAATGTACTTATACGCTTTGTTCAAGCTTCAAAAGAAGTCCTCTTATCGAGCTGGGTCAATGTTCTCCTAGTCTTTGTCCCAGTTGGCATAGCCGTTCATTTCATTCCCAATATGAGTCCGAAGGTGATTTTCGCAATGAATGCCGTTGCCATCATTCCATTGGCCGGCATGCTTGCACATGCCACTGAAAGTGTCGCTAGCCGGATGGGCGACACAGTTGGAGCACTTCTAAACGTGACCTTTGGAAATGCAGTGGAGTTGATCATCTTGTGAGTTACCCGTTGTCGCAATATTGATGCTCATTTATTCTTACTAACTTCAATAAAATAGCATGTACGTATTTGCCCCTCTGAGACCCAAATTCATGTCGTCAGATGGAGTCTGCGATATACCGAAGTATCTAGATTATATGTACTGCTTGATATATTCTGCCAGAAAGCTGACTGTTTTTCCTTTCTTCGAATGCAGTATTGCTCTAGTGAAGGTTGGTCTAGAGACGCCCATATATGTGACGGCTCAGAAGCTAAAATATCTTTCCAGAATGAAATCCGTATTGTACAAGCGTCCCTGCTAGGCTCTATACTGGCAAACCTTCTGCTCATTCTCGGAATGTGCTTCCTATTTGGAGGCCTCCGTTTTCGGGAACAGGTGAGATATACAATAGGGTCAGACCTGGAGGAATCTTTGCTCATTGCTCGCCCGCACTACAGATATACAACAGCACTGTCACACAGATGAGCGCTTGTCTCCTTAGTCTGAGCGTCATGAGCCTGCTTTTGCCTGTACGTGTCAAACCATTGTTCTCTACTAATGTTGAAACGTACTGACTTTTCTGGGCTCAGACCGCTTTCCACGCGTCATTTGACGATGCCGATCTCGCGGACCATACGGTTCTTCAAGTGAGCAGAGGAACCAGCGTCGTGCGTCCACTCTACCCCCTAAGGGCCGAGCCAAATAGCTAACGCCCAATTAGGTTCTGCTTCTCGTCTACGTTTTGTACCTGCTTTTTCAGTTGAAATCGCACGCGTACATGTACGCCGGAACACCGCAACATGTCATTGATGAAGAGTCGCATCCGGGAGTCCTTGCGGATATTATGGGATCTTCCTCATCCTCATCGGATTCTTCAGACGGAAGCGACTCTGATGAATCCCGTGCTTCAAATACGACTGCAAAGCGAATACGAAGAGCCTTGCGAGGTAGACGTCGACGCAAGTCTAGTACAAGCTCCAAAGACGCTCATTCGATGCCGTCGACGGCGAGGACCCCTTCTGCTGGCACGATTGCGAATGTTTTTGATAGTCCTGAATCGACGACAGCCGAAGCTCGATCTGATCGCCGATTATCTACTACCAATCAACATCATCAGCATTCCCATCAACTTGGTGCTATCGCCAGTGGGGATGAAGCAGACACTGACGGGGAAAATGACGGTCGCCGTCAGCGAAATGGTACTATCAACTTTCGAGATTTTGAAAAGGAAAAGCAGGAAACAAAGTCTCAAGATCACCAGAGGAAACGGGCTCGAAAGGAGAAGAAGATCAAGAAAAGAGAGGCGCGTGAAGAACCCACAGAGAAAGCCGAACCGCCTGCGGAAAAGAAGACTTTGGTAAGCCGTGTTGTCTCAGAGGCAACTCAGCCCACTCCGGCGTTTATCGGGCCTCTTCCTGCCACCACTGGTGCATCGCCAAGGCTGGCCTTTAACATGCGAACCATGTCTGGCCGCCCAGGGATGCCAAGGCTGGTGTCAAATAATGCATTTGCCTCGGCGGACCCATCTGGCTCTGCGTTGCCTGGGACTTCAAATCCCAGGACTGCTTTCGGGCTTCGACGTACAAATTCCCTTCCTGACAGGCTCAACCAGGGGGTGGGTATGCCTGCCCTGCCTGCTCCAGGTCTTCCATTTGGTCTACCTGTCACAGATACGGCTCTGTCCGCAGAGGATCGACCAGTGAAGCATACCATGTCCCGTACCGCTGCCATCCTCTTGCTCTTGGTATCGACTGCCCTTGTGGCTCTTTGCGCCGAATTTCTGGTGGATAGCATTCAAGACTTTGTAGAAGATTCCTCTATAAGCGAGGCATTCATTGGACTCATCATTCTACCCATCGTTGGTAACGCTGCCGAGCACGTAACAGCAGTTACTGTGGCAAGCAAGAACAAGATGGATCTTGCCATTGGGGTCTCTGTCGGAAGCAGCATTCAAATCGGTAAGTGGTCCAACCTAAAGCTCATTGGCATCCCACGTCTGACTTGGGCAACTAGCTCTCTTTGTGACACCCCTGGTCGTTTTACTAGGCTGGATCCTACAAAAGGACATGTCCTTGTATTTCAACCTCTTTGAGACTATCTCCCTTTTTGTCTCGGCATTCATAGTCAATTTCCTCGTGCTGGACGGTCGTAGCAACTACCTTGAAGGCGCTCTCCTGATCGCCGCCTACGTTATAATTGCGTAAGTGACCCCTTTCTCCACAGAGCCAAACAAGCTAGAAGTGCATCTCTTGCTGATTATAATCTAGGGTCTCGGCATTCTTCTACCCAAATTCTACCGAACAAAGTGTCGTTGGGGGCTCTTCAGGGGCATAATTTCTCTAACTCCGATGGACTCTGTCGCCAAGCGCTGGTGAGACAGAAAACTTTGGTAGAGAATGACATGCGTGCCAAAGCCGTCTGGCAACTTGGATACGACTTCCACCCTCATATTCGGTTATTCGATATTGGCTTGCGTCGGAAGCTTCCACCACTCTTTAGTCGCTCATTTGCTTCTTACTGCTTGTTTGTTTCTCACATACACATTACAGCGCATTAAAGAATCGCGTCTGAAGTGTTGTTTCATGACTGGCTCTTTTACTTGGGCTTCCAGCACTGCATTCATTTAAACCATAAGGCATTACTAGTCATTCTGCCATTCTGGCTATTCTCGAATTTGCATTAAACAGACTTGACTTTTTCAATGAGAAGACAATTCCAGACCCATTTTTATTTATAAGTCGTTATAGCAAACCGTGTACACGAATGCCGATGGCATTACTGGAAAGGAAGAAACGTTGGTGACAATTAAACTCCCCAATGTGATATATTCCTGCCGTATCTGACCTGAGTAGCTAGTAGAAAAGCCAGTATAAGAAAGAAGATTTGAATGAAGAGATGCAACAGCCAGGGCGCCCACATGTCTATACACGCTAAATGTACAAATTATAAGGAAATGGAACGTATAGGATAGAGCATAGATCATCAAGATAAAGCAACGCAAAGCTCAACATCAATTCCTTGCTGTCTGAAAGAGGATCATCTTGCAACGACATTTCTTGTCACCTACATCACCAAACACGCCTTATTTGATGTTTCTTGCCCCTTGACTTCTCCTTCTCCGTTTCCTCTTTCTCCTTCTTCTTCGCATAATTCGTAAATTTCATGTTCTTCGTCATCTTCGTCATCTTCGTCGCCTTCGTGTCCTTTGTGTCCTTCGCCAATATCGTTTTCGCCGCCCTCACCGCCCTCACCGCCAATATCATGATCTTTTCGACGAGAATTGAGAGGCGAAGGCACAGAGAGATAAGTTCTGTTCTGAGCGCGCTGATGAGAGGCTAGAATGAGATGTTTATCCGACAAGGGAATGACTTCATTCGACGCTTGCGATTCCCAGAAGAGAAACTTTTCCGCTTCTTGGTTTCTTGTATCGTCATCAAAGTCAGTATCGGTAAAAGACACTTGATGCCTGTTCCGCCGACGACGGCCGGTCGGATAAAAGTCTTCGTCGTCGGAAGAAGCAGAAGGACCATTTGCATCGACATCGGATTCCTCGACAGCGGTGTCTGAGCAGGTGATTGTCTCCAGACTAATGGTGCTAGAAGAACCGCGACTGCTAGCGACACGACCGCGGTCAGTCAGGATTTCGATTTCGGTTGAGATGACTGATGTAGCGTCTGTATCTGATGCTGGATCATCTGCGTCTGCATCTCTATGTGCTGCGTGTTGGACCGTATATGCCGAATGATGGCGTAGTTGGGTATTTGCAACCGGCTGTGTCGTCTGGCCAGGTGCATGTATGTTTTTGGTCTCGTCTGGCCACTGTTTTCTTCGGTTTGTATTCTCTCGCGGAACTTCGTCGGGGCTGTGTGGGTTTGCGTAGTCGCGTACATTGGAGACGCTGGCGGACGGTGTACTTGTTGTGGATGGAGATTGCAGGTTCGGCCACCCTGGAGCATCTGGAGCACTCACTTCCTCCTGTGGAATATCTGCGCTGAGAGACTTGCCTCGGCCGAACCGCTCAATCAGGAAGCTCAAATCCAGGGACATGATTTCCTGTCGCATCTCCTGCGCAAGCTGTTTGAAGGGCAGAGAGCAGTCACAGGATGTTGCAGCATTTCCCGCTCGACTTTTACCATGTACGTCCGGAGGGCGGGCCATGGTTGCAAGTTTATTGAGAAGGCCATCTATACTGATTTGTTGAGTCCATTGTAAGGTTTGTAAGGGGTCCAGTATAGCTTGCAGGATACCCATTTCACCGAATTTCATCATGAGCCATCCTAGATTTGTCGCGTCGCATTGAACGGATTGTTTCGGACAGACTGGTTCTGGTATATTCTGTGACGCGTTTCCCGTGGTCCGCTCTGCAAGAGCTGATTCACGAGATGATGATAGGTAGATATCCATTATGGACTTGCATTTAGAAGTAATTTGGTACAGGAGGGTTTTTCGTATTTTGAGAAAATGTTTGGAAGCTAGATCGGGCAGCATTTCGAGTAGCTCGTGTCTTCCTTGACCATCAAGTGATAGGATAAGTCGTCTGGACGCCACAAGGAATATATCCTCAATACCAAAGACAAAGCTTATGTAGAGGAATGCGTCATACCCAGGCTGATGCGCAAAAGGTCGCCATTGGGGAAGCCAGTAACATTCGACAATTATCTCAACCGGAGCAAAAAATCGATACCTATGGCATAATCTCGAGATTTCAATGAATTGGCAGAACTCCACTTTTCTGGGAACAAGGTCCATGCGCATGTGTGCCGCTCGCAGGAGGATAGTCAAGGCGTCAAAAAGGTTGTATTCATCGTATGGTATTCGTGCTACATGAATTCCAATTTCTGGGTCCCAGTTTACGAGCCACGGCATAAATCGAATAACATCATCAATACCTGCCACGGAACGTTTTTTGTGAAGTGGCTTTTCGCGGCTGAGAGCGTATGCAAAAAGCGGACACGACGCTGAAAGCAATTGAGATGACACTCGAAATTGTAGTCGCTGGTGCGGATCGGTCGAAGTTCCAAAATCGAGGATAATATCTCCAGTGTCACTAATATTTATTGCCTCTGTTCCAAGCCGACCAAGCTTGCTCTCAGTCTGGTGTCGCCGACTTGTTGATGAACTCCGTTCGGGTGTTTCGTCCGCAAGGCCGAGGCGTGCGCGCATGAAACTGACGCGCTGCTGGATTGTTTCCACAACCGCAATTGTGCTTAAAAGCGAGTTAAAAGATGTTGTGGCCCGATAGGAGGGGTTATCTAGAGTCTAATATCCCGTAAGTCTCTAACAAAAAATGGACACAAAAATGGAACAATGCAAAGATGGGCCAACCGACCTCTACCGTGGCTCTAGCGGAGTGAAGGTCTTTGAATGCTTCTTGGGCCTCTTCACGGGATATATTTCCCGGTCGGAGAGAGCGATAAATGCCTTGTAATTGGGCAAATAGCAACTGTATGAGCTGGCTTTCTTCCTGAAGAAAGCGGTGAACTGCTCGTTTCCCCTTTTCAAGTGCGATTCGTCGATCATGACACAGTGGTTGCGAAAAAGCATCATGAAGATCGAAGAAGTTGATGCACAAACTCGAGGCCTTATCCCCAAGAAGTATTATTTCTTTGGATATTGCATTGCCCTGCGATTGGGCAGCTCCGCTGACATATACTCCACCCAGAAAATGAAGGCTTTGTATATACTTTTCAACCTCATTCGTTAATTTTTCAAGAGCGTTGTCTTTCTTTCGTTCTTCTTGAGCATTGTGCAAAGCTTCGTCGCTTTGTGGTCTGGCTGGCAGTTCAGCCCCTAGTTCACTTTCCGCCGAAGCGTCCAATTCTACAATCGCAGTCTCGTCCCTTTGATCGGGAGAAGGAGGTGGCTAAGGAGAACTGTCAGCTGCGGTCTCGTCATAATGCAATAATCGTGGGCCGTGCCGATGGATCCGCTTTGCTTTTCCTCCGGCGTAAGCTACCTGAGATGAGCTTTCTCATTCTCGAGCTCGTCGAAGAGTTGGAAGTTGAGCGTTCCGGCGTCGGATCGTGAGTCCTCATGGTTAATCAATCTCAAGCAGATCAAGTACAAAGCTGTATAGTTGAAGCTCCAGTAGCACTGAGAGCTCTTGAGAGTTCAGTATTGCTTTCCCCAAGGGCATCGATGTGCGGGGACATGTTGCGAGGAAGCTACCATTTGCGGATAGTTTATCATCCTTGGACGGGCTTATGGCAGCCTAAAAACTGAGGCGCAGCATGCAGCATGTGTATGGCTGATGCGTTTGGCTGATGCACAAGTTCGGTTGGGTTTCAGCTGCAGGGAATTATCAGGGTATCTTGTAGATCTGCTGATCATGTTATTTTTCAAGCTTCCGGTTGTATTCATCAATCGCTTGGCTTGGAATAAACAAAAGAAGAATAAATTATCAATAAAATAAAATCAAGCATCATAAACATAATCTGCGGCAATACTATAGACTGCCTCTTGATTTCTCGACGTCGCTTTTACTTTTTCTCGAGATCTCCAATTCATAGTAAATAAAGCTCTATATTTCGAGTCATTTCTCTTTCATCATCATCATCATCATCGTCGTCGTCATCAATGATATCGCCAACCCCTCAAACACCGTTATCTCTGCTTTTACTCAACTTTCGCGAACAACACGCCGGCTACACCCAAAAACACATACTCGAGAATAATCACGTGTCAATAGAAATCCGAAACAGCCATCTTCATTTTACTCCTCAGGGCCCTCAATGATGATTTTGACGCCCTTTCCTCCTTTGGTCTCCTCGAACGCCTTCTCGGCCTCAAGGAAAGGATACTGGTTGGTGATCAGTTCCTTGACACTCAGTCTTCCAGACGAGAGCAAGTCCACCGCGAGCTGGTAATCTCCCGTGCTATACCGGAAGCTCGATTTGGTGGTGATCTCCTTGTTACTCATCGCCATGATGGGGAAGACGACATCGGGCTTTCCATTACCCGCTTGCACGTAAGTGCCACCCGATCTGAGCACGTGGATGCCAGTCTGGATAGATGGCTCGACACCAGAAGCGTCAATCGCGACATCTGCTCCGTTACCGAGGTCGAACTCCTTCTTGATATTCTCTGCGTTTTCGGTTGCGGGTACCTTGGCGGAGATGTAGCTGCCAGTTGCTGCATACTTCTTGGCAAACTCTAGTCGCTGTTCTTGGATATCAACAGCGATAATCTTTTTCGCGCCCAAAGCCTTGGCAACACCGCAACAGAGAAGACCAATAGGGCCTGCACCGAAAATGACGACAGACTGCCCTGGCTTGATTTGTCCCTGCCTCGAGACATGGATGGCCACACTCAATGGCTCCACCATTGCACCTTCTTCCAGGCTCATATTGTCGCCGAGTTTGTAGCAGAAATCCTCTGGAAGAACGTAATATTTCGCCAGCGTGCCATCATAGGGCGGGGTAGCGGCGAACTTCATGTCGGGACACAGATTGTAACCGCCTTCTTTGCATCGGACGCATCGACGGCACGGCACGCCGGGCTCCATGGCGACGCGATCGCCAGGCTTCAAAGTGGTAACGGCCGATCCAACTTCGGCAATGACACCAGACGATTCGTGGCCCAAGACCATGGGATCTTTGACCACGAACGGTCCAATGGCACCATGAACCCAGTAGTGAACCTGCGACAAGAAGGGTCAGCTCGCAATGATAGAGTAGATTAGAGAACTGAGGGCATGGCGCACATCACTGCCGCAAATTCCAGTGCGCTTTACGTTGACCAAGACATCGTATGGCGATGACAGCTTGGGAATAGGCCGGTCTTCATATTTGACTTGGCCGGCCTTTTCGAGAATAAAAGAAAGGTTCTGAATCAGGTCGCTATGTGTCAGTATAGGAGCAATCAAGCTTGGGTACAGTAAAAGGTCCGACTAGCATTGTCCAGCACACACCTTTGGGGCCATTGTGTCTGCAATTCGTTTCCGTGCCAATTGAAGATTGATCACTTGAGGATGGGAGCCTGTAAGGTAGAGGAAGACTCGTGAGAACTCTCTGTCGGAACAATAAGTTGGCCATGTGGGGACGTTGGAAAGCCCCTCTATGAGCTGTGATCGAGAGGCGCGAGTGACGAAATAGGCGGGCGATAGCTGCTACGTACGGGCTATGTAATGGGCCGATCGGGGAAGTTTTCCACCGGTAACAACAGCCGAGGTCGAACCACCACCGAGCACCTTCGGCGGTAGTCAAGCTACAGTTTGATCTCATCGACAGGAGTAGGCCTAACCCATAGTAAGGCATACCTAGAAGTTATAGAGTATGATAAAAAATTATTACAAACTACTCGAAACTCTCATCATGCCACCAAACATGCCTTCCTTCATCTACCCACCTGCCTATATATGTACGTAGCTCCCGTCCCATTTCTAGTGGTCCACAGAACAGAACTGCAACTTGTTGCTGGCTTGTAGAATTAAATATATCATCCACAAGCTTCTTCAAGTCAGGGCGCCCATTTTCCACCTCTGCTAGGTCATGTAATATTTGCATTTCAATGCTGCCATCTGCTGCTGAAACTGCATCATTGAATGAGCTTGTCAAAGAATCGTTTTGTGTCAAATGGATCTTGACATTCTTGTTTTGTACAAGCGGCTGGCCTTCTTCTAAATCATTTAACCATCCAATCTCTGCCACTGATTTCATTGACCACGTAAACGTGACCCGGTCTGCTCCTTTGTCTTCAGCATCGATGTTGTCTTGTAAAGCATAGAAGATGGGTAAGATAAAGGTCCCGCCAATACCACCTGCCACGAGAAGTATTCTATCGAATTCCATTGAAAGAGTTGCAAACTGTCGAGAGCTGCCGTATGGCCCTTCAATACTGATAGGAGACTTGGCCATCAAAGGATTTGCCAGGTTACATAGTGCATGGGTCGTTGGACCGCCACGGGCTCGAAGAACCAACGTGATGTCCGTCTCAGAGACCTCAGCAACACTGAATGGGTTGGCGAGATGACTGTGGGTGAACGGCGAAGATTTTGCGGCAACGGCGCTTTCGGGTGGAATAGACAAATAGACATGCTGGCCAGGCATGGCTCGAAATCGGGAGAGTTTTGACGCAGGGATTGGAATTTTGACCTTCAAAAGCTTGGTGTGAGGGACGTGCATAATGGTAGCGAAGCCGGTGACGGTGTCCAATTTCCTGCAGAATCGATCGGCGACAAAGAGCGCTAGGGCCTCAATTGCATACAGGCGGAGAGATTTTGCATGAAAGAAGATGATGGGTAATATTGAGAGTCCAATGGCAAGGTGGGAATTGTAGAATGCTCGGTAGCTCCATCGTCGTACTCTTTGGAGGCTCGTACTTGCAAGGATGGTCAAGAGGGTTATCGCGAGAATTCCAGTGATGGATGATAGCGAACTGAGCCGCTGACTCAAGACTCTCGCTTGAATAAAGAAATTCATGTACCATGTTGCATGGCAGAGAAGAAGGAAGTAAATGATCCCCCCGGAGAAGCGATGCCAAGGATTGAGCTGCTCATGAGAAGTATTGAAGGCGAAAGCAATAGGCGAATAGCGAGACTTCATCGAAAGCATGTAGTGAACAGGAAGCTGTGATGAAGCTACGACTCCGAATCGTTTTGTAACATGAAGGTAGTCTTTGGTCGAGCAGTTAGTTTTTGGTATGACTGAACATACAAACATAAAAGTAGTCAAACCGGGAGCCAAAAAACCCGGCTGCATTATACATACCTTGACCTGTCTCACAAATGCAAAGAAAGAGCAACCACAACGTCCACGCTGCAGCAGCTATCCAATGTTTTCTGAATCCCAAATTCGGAGCAACTTCGCCGTTCAAACACCACACTACAGACTTCCATCTTCTTGTAATTGCTTCAGAAGTCAACTTTCTCGAAGGCTTCTCTATTGACGAATTTGGGATGGTAGAGTAAACTACCGGCAATTTTTTTCTTGTTGAATATACCCATCCACCAAATCTGAATAGCTGATAGCCGAGTACTGGTATTAGCACCGAGAGCTGAGCATATATCCCATATCGATCTAATAGTATTCGACGTTGATGTAGTTGATCTGGGCTGAGATCTGCCAGATGATATGGCCATGCCATTGTGCCAGTTGACCTAGATCATATCTAGACTTCTGTAAATATGTCCACTGGCACACGGGAGAAAGCTCGTTTGGTATAGCAAGATGCTACCATTTATCTACATCAGCACTTGTGTAAGACTTTGAGCTATTTGGAAATGCTACGGGTAACTTGAATGATTAAAAGGGCCATTGCAATCTACTCACATTGCACGAGCAAATATCTTGGAGAATGGGAGTCATGCTCTGATTGGGGGTTTTAGTTCAGGCTTGAATGCCGAACGAGAAAATCACCAAGCTGCCAGCTCGGAAGCTTCCCATAACAATGAGCCGCTCCGATGAACAAGCACCAAACGTTGCAATGTCGAATAGAGATACACTCTGAGCACTGGGCAAACGCCGTCGGGCACTTGAATTTCGGAGATTTGCAATCGCTCCGCACTTGGAGTGGCAAGTGCATCTCTCGGAGCCTGTCCGACTTTTGCCTCGGGCAAACAAACTGAAAGCGAGAGCAAGAGCGAAAGCGAAAGCGAAAGCGAAAGCGGGAAGTCGGCGACATACATTGCCTTGCATATTTGACCCACCGACCGCGATACTTAGTTACCTTATCGCCGTCAATTTAGGGGCCACGTCCTCTATACTTTTGTTCTGGACATATTGTTGAGTTGCTAAAGCCTTGTTTTCGGAGCACCGCTCTTGGCAGGGACGGAGCTACCGATTGGAATGGTATTGGAATTAGGTAGGTATGGAGTACTGATAAGGGGCGGTGGGCTTGCTATCTCGGGAGGTTTCCTACCTAAGTGGGTTAGGACGAGGCAACAATGTTCCCGGCGCGGCTCGCTAGAGTTTACCTGTACTCTACTGGGAATTTGACCTTTAAGTTGGTAGGTAACATAAGGTAAACTAGAACTATACCTGGACATGTCTATCGTGGTATAAAGTCGCCACCACTACCCCTCTGCCACTCTTCACTTCCCCCACCCCCGGTCCCTGCACCAGCTACCGATTGTGCTGAGAATATTCGCATCCATTTAGTGGAGGACGCGTCATTTTGCTCTGTCTGTATGCAATCAATCATTGGAGACAAGCAATGTAACATGCAGCATTCAAGCGGCGAAGACTAAGCCAATGCACAATTCAACAGATACGATATAAATCAAGGCTAGAGATGTACAGCAGAGCTTCCTACATCTACCTTAGTTTCCTTCCTAGGTAGGCAGGTAGTGTTCAATAACACTTGCAACAAATGTACATGGATAATGAATGTACATACGCCTCGATCAGCGAGATATTTAGAGCCAATATTGCTATATAACAATTGTCTTGAATGTACTTTGCTCTTAAACTTATTCCTTTTGAATTGCTCTTCCAGACTATTCCTTGAACACTATAGGCCAGCATATACGGATTTCAAATTTGACACGAGTGCCAATATGGATACGTCTTTAGGTGCTTTAAACACTACATCTCAAACTCCTCTTTCCGGTCAGAGCGACTTTGACGAGACTTCAACCGATTTCTGGCCGCCTGCTCTGCTCCCAGATGATCAATTCGGATGGGATCAGTTCTTGAAAGAGTACGATGGACCAAGTAGAGCAGCGAACACGCAAGCAGACCACTACTACCATGTTAAAAAGCCCTGCAAATGCTTTAAGCTCGCCCTCCAAAATATTGAGAAACTTGATCAATGTCAAAGAAGCTTAGATGCTAAAGCAATTGATCATGCCCTGGGAGTCGCCAAAGAAGCAGTCCAAGCATGCAATCAATTTTCCAATTGCATGTCCAGCTGCCACCACAGTCAAGTCCTCCTCTACATTGCAATCCTCCAGCAACTTGATAGCCACTACTCCTTGCTCAACAAGTGTTTGATGTCAACAGCAGAGTCGGAAGGCCAGAATCCTGATGCTGAAGTTTCTATTGGCTCATTTCAGGCAAAATTATGCTTACGCTCGATGGTTGGAAAGGCCATCCTGACCTCAGAAATGATGGGCGCGGCTAGCTGTGCTTTGAAACTCTCAAAGGTGTTTCAGGCATATGCATCTGAGGGTTCGGCAGAGTCGAAATGCCAGCAAGAATTACAGTTCGCTCTTGCTACGAGTCTTCGACAGGGAGCCACAGAGTTTTTAAACTCAGCTTTGTATATGACGCTACCATAAGCACTTAAATGTCAATGTATTACCTGGCGGAAATTTAACCACAGAGTCAAAACATGTTGGGAAGTCATGATAGAGTTCTTATTCTGCGTCTTTGACTGTAAAAAAATGGATTTATGTATAAGGAATAAATATGTCTGCTATAAGAAGAAGTTGTGAGTCCTTTTAAAAGAAAATTCAAAAGTCATCTACCCATACCGTTCTTTTATCAATCTTAGCATAACATAGGACAACGCTACAATATGGTAGATTTCACTCTCTCAAATAATAGTGGAACAGTGTTGTCCCGGATCTACCTAATTGAGCTGGGCGCTATGAATCTCTGCCTTGCAAGGCTTAGCAACGTCCTTAGCCTATCACCTCTGCCATATGAGCTAATCAATTTTTCGCATACCCCTTGAGCCCTTTTCATTTCGTGATCTAGTATAGCTTGCATAATACTTGGAGCACATGCTTCCCCAGAAAATTCTACATCCCCAATCTTGATACTTAGTGAACTCAAAGCCGTTTTGTCATTGATTCTCGAGGAGATGGTTTCGTAGCAAATTGCCAGGCGCTGCAAGATCGTTATGCAAAGCATAGGCATTACCGATATCAAGCATGATTTGCACGTGCTGACCGTCTCACAGAGGGCAAGGCTGCTGCGGGCTGTGGATAAGATCAAGTCCAAGCTTCCGTGGCCTTGGCTTGAGTCCTCAAGATGAGACAAGATTGATAAAGCAGTTGTGAGGCACGCACATATTGCCACACGCTCTTGTCTATGGTTCGATGGTGATGATGACGACGATTTTGACGACGATGTTGACGGCAGCGGCATTTCGGACTGCCTATTGCTACTAGGAGTTCCAATTGCGATGCTCTTTTCGTGCGATGAAAAGAAATTGTTACTTTCAGACTCAAAGACGATTGGAGACCATGCCGAGAAGTCCGTGTCTAGAACTTCTTGGGAGATCAAGTCGTCCGCCGAATCGAGAGCTGTCTCTTTCGTACCGCGATTCCCTGAGTCTGATTCGAAACCGCGTGGTATAATGTGACTAGCTGTTGGAGATTAGGCCCAATTGGTTGGCTGGAAATATGGCGCTGTCAGCACTTACTGACCACGTTGTCTTCCTCAATCGGCACAGTGTTCTGTCGAAGAGATTGGGTTTTATCTATCTCAATTAGCACGTGGACTTCAAATAAACTCTCCCGATTAAAGTAATTTCACCTTGCAACTCTTCTACGACTGAAGATAGCTGTTGCTGTTTCTGAGGAGATTCATGTACAGGGGAATCGGCCTGCTGTTGCTGATTCTCTAGCCGTGAGAAGAAGCTGTAAGTACACATACTGTTATTGCTGAGACATCTCTGGCACCGATCTCCATTTCGAATGCATTTTACTTTGAAGCGATAGCATTGATCGCATGCAGAGACATTGAGCCTGCGTTTCATACCTCGACAAGGAGGCGACAAAGCGGGCGATGGCAACACATTGCTGACCAAGATAGTTTCATCGTCCCACTCACGCTCTGGCGTTTTCTCTGGCGAGCGCTGTGGGAATACGTCTTCAGTGCCTGGGTGGAAAAAAGCTTAGTTAGGATCCAACCCTAAAGCATTATTGTTTGCTCGAATCGATACTCACGATCTATGAGAAAGAAGTTAGCTTACGCCTCATTGCAAATTTTGCTATGCCTCGTGTTTTTACCAGCTTGAATGTTGCCCAACTCGGGCTCTGTTGGCGCTGTCGCATGGCCATTACTCTTCTCCCCAACCTGCTTGACTCTTCGGCTCCAAAGCTTCTTCTTCGGTCTCCCCATAAACTTTCCGAAACTGTAAGTGCATGGTGTTGATGACTTGAGACATCTCTGACAATGGGGAATATGCTTGCTGCAGCGCTGTTTTGTGCGATGACACTGATCGCATGCATTGGTTTCGAATTGTAACGTTGCATTTTCACTCATTGTCATATATGCTTATGTGTATAGAATATAATCCCAGCATCTGGAATCCATAACCGGTATTTATATATATTTATAAATATCCTCATCTTGTATACCAATCCCGCTTGATGATCGACTGAGCGAATAATCTTCCCCATCTCGCTGTTACCACTATCCAGCTTCACTGTCCGCAGTCGGCATTATTATCAGATGGGGTAAGGTGGCCGAAGTGGAGTTCGGATAGTCCCTTGCGCTAGGAGCTCCAAACTGAGTGATAGCGACGCTCCAACGTGCGTTCAAAGATCCGATGATTCACTGAATCCTGCAATTCACCTTACATCTTTCAGGGTCTGCGGCAGCCACTCTACAAACAGTGGACTCGCCCCAAGCACCTAGGGCCCTGCCTGCTCACATTTTGGGGGCCGAAAAGTGCGGGGTTGGTTTATCAACCACACTGTGCCTCTAGCTTGCTTAAGATAAGGGCAGTGGATTTACGGCACAGTGCAGATGTGTATCACCACACTCAAATCTTTTACTAATTCGATTCAAAAGGTGTCCCCTCAGGTCAGTGTATTACTAGTACAAGTTGCTCCACTCTTTTGGCACACTTGATAGATTTCTCATCGACCAATCTCCAACATACGTCGGCCGCCCACAGGACCACTGGTGTCACGCAAAAAACCGCAAGCGCAAATCCTGCCTCATAACGGACGGCCGTGTCGTTTCCGGTGACTTTCCACATAAAGGGTACCACCGCCCAACCCCACGAGGCGAGAATTGGCCAATGAACTATATAAAGTGCAAATGAGATTTGCCCTAGGTATTGAGCAGGTGGGCAGGAGAAGAGCGCCCGAAGAAATGGGAGCCGATCAATGGCTAGGACCATTAGGCCAGCCCCGACGGTATATACATTGGAGTTCCATGGGATTAATTTGGAAATGGTACAGTAACCAAGGCTAGAGGAGCCATATGCGCCGCGTGCATGAGGAATTGAGCCCAGCCACACACCGAGGCCCAGGACAAATGTCCAGAGGCACAAAGGAAGATAATTTCTGACTTTCGAGGTCGAACCCAGAGGTTTAGGGCCTGTGTTGATTTCGAGACGCAGGTGAAGCTCGGCCAAAATCATTCCGCCAAGAAAACATGATATCTCTTTGCGCATGGACCAGGCAGAAAACACGATCAAAAAGAAAACTGTGGTCAGCCGAAAAGCTGGCTTGACTTTGCTCAACGCAATGATGACCATGAAAAGTATAAATGACGACCATAGTTCTTGGGGGATGGTATACAGCGGGACGGCATAGTCGGACTCGGTCACGTTCGGAAGAGGACGGAGCCAAGTGTCTGGATAGATCAATCGACCCAGGACGTATTCCATCCAGTCGAGAAACTGGAGAGCAAAAGTTGGGAGTCTGGCGGGACCTGTAAGGTCCATATCAACTGGACCATCATAGTGGGCTTGATACAGGCCGAATCGCACTCCAATCATGACCACAAAGGTTATTATGGCCGGAGGAAGAATTAATCGAACAGCTCGTCTGAGACTTGCCGAGAATATTACATGGTGGAGATGTTCCCAGTCTTTGCTGTATATAGCTTTCAGCGGTTGAATCGAGAGTGAGAATCCAGAGATGAAGAAGAAGATAGACACCATAACACTTCCAGAATATAGAAGCCGAATCCCCGGGAGCTGGTAAACACGGGGATGGCTTCCATACTCATCGAGCATGTGAGGGTGAAACCGCATCAGAAAGTGCTCTGCGAAAACAGCGAGGCTCGCGGCTCCTCGAAGGCCAGTTAGATATTTCGTGGTGCCCAAGTAGCCATACTCTTCTCGAACAATGCCGCAGTAGACAGCAATGGGGCTTGGCAATAACAAAAGCCCAATGGATCTCAAGGCATGGAAGAATCTATCGAATAACACGACTGGCTGGGGTCCCCCATTGCTCATCTGGGTCATCTCGTTGGATTCTTCATTCGACGGACTGCCATCTTCAATATAAAGGTTAACTTCATATCAAGACACAATGCACTATCTGAGAAACATTACCTTCGAGTCTGCTCCAAGCTGTTTCCATTACTGCCGGGTCGAAGTCAAAGAAATGGGTCAAAAAGATGGCCACTAGAAGGCTAACTCCAAGAAGACTGTACTAGGTAGTTAGATATGCCACATCGGTACCCAAGGCAACACAGGAAGAACGTCAATCTCGGTCGTTTCAGGATCCGAGAGTTGTTGCAACTTTCGGAACATGCTCAGTTTCGGGGCGTGTCGTCCCTCCCACGTGAGCACGAAAGCAGTCTATCCCCTAAATATTACTTTGTCCGTCTTCCAACTGTCCAATCTCTATATATGCTAACCCGTACCAGCCATACTATCTATCGAGACTCAATCTTACAGGAACTAGCTCTTATCCACCAACCCGTCTGTCATTGTCATAACTACCTCTTCAAGATGAAGGTTATTTCTCTTGCCACCTTTGTGGCGATGGTAGCTGCAGTTGCTGCTTTCCCGCTTGAAACTCCAAGTAAGTTGGCCGCACCAATGCTTTCAAATTTATCTAAATAAAGGATAAAGCTTATTGTGAATGATTTTAGGTGAACGGTCGCTTGACGCAAGGGACCGAAGAGATATACCAGATTTCAATTTGGCTTTGAGTCCTTTTATGGGGAAGCGGGAGCCTTCCAAGGAGAAGGTCGACAAACGGGAGCCCTCAAAGGAGAAGGTGGACAAACGCGAGCCCACTAAGGAGCAGGTTGAGAAGCGCGAGCCCACCAAGGAGCAGGTTGAGAAGCGCGAGCCTTCGAAGGAAAAGGTTGACAAACGCGAGCCCACTAAGGAGCAGGTTGAGAAGCGCGAGCCCACTAAGGAGCAGGTTGAGAAGCGCGAGCCCACAAAGGAGCAGGTTGAGAAGCGCGAGCCTTCGAAGGAAAAGGTTGACAAGCGCGAGCCCTCAAAGGAGAAGGTGGACAAACGCGAGCCTTCAAAGGAAAAGGTCGACAAACGCGAGCCCACCAAGGAGCAGGTCGAGAAGCGCGAGCCCTCAAAGGAGAAGGTGGACAAACGCGAGCCCACTAAGGAGCAGGTCGAGAAGCGCGAGCCTTCGAAGGAGAAAGTGGACAAACGTGAGCCTTCGAAGGAAAAGGTGGACAAACGTGAGCCTTCGAAGGAAAAGGTGGACAAACGCGAGCCTTCGAAGGAGAAAGTCGATTAAACCTCGCTCATCTCGACTTCAAACAAGATTATTTGTGGAGGGTCTATGTACAGGGTCCTTAATGAATATAATTGACGGTTGTGTCATATTGAACTGGGTCTCCTCCAATGTGTTTGTTAGTCAAGGTCAACTATGTGTAGTCCTAACTTCAATATGATGATAATTTGATGAACGCGTCTTATACGACTTCCAATATTATTTTATGGCATGCTTTGTATTTCTAGAATCGTTTCTCTTCTATCAAGATTTGCTAGTTGCTGTAAATAATTAACTTTGCATTCTATACGAGACTGTTTGGCATAATGCTAGAATGAATAAATAAAGTTCTATTTACTAATACACGATCTTGCTCCTGGAGGTTTTTAAATTATCGTGTTGCTGTTGCATTGCGTTTTCTTTTTTCCGTTCAATTCTACTTGAAGTACGTTGTCATCTGGCTGTTAGTGTTTAGATATTCTGAGATTTGATGCTAGCCTCCATGTACGATTTTACCATCTTCTAGTTTGCTTTGCCTTTTCTTAATATATATATATAAGCTTTATCAACCAGGTAGAGCATAGTATGATAGATACTTTCTCATTTCGAGCAGTAAATTATGGTCACAAAAATAACAAAAGGGTCGTTTATTTTGGGCTCTCCGTCCAGCCAATCATTTTGTTATTTGGCCCTGATGTACCTCCGAATCTAACGGCCCGAAAGTGGACATGATGCTTGGGACCGACTTTGACTGTCAAATAAGTCACATGAATACCATTTCGTAATATTGTTTATATATACGAAATTAGGCAAACCCAAGTTCAATGCTTGCGCTTAGTTTCTTGACCTTATATATGGGAAACAACATGCGTAAGTTTAATCCCGTCGATCCGATGATTATAATGCTCACGGAAGGTTTTATAGAGTCATATCACGAATCGATGCCATCATCAAGTCCATCCCCCTCATCGTCAACTTCAACATTCGCGTATGATCAGGTACCATTGGTCGATGAAGAACACGGTCTTGAGGAGAAAAATCACGACGACTTGATCAGGTCATTGAAATCTCGACCCAACTCCGTCCAAGATATTTGTCGCCGTTTTCTCGAGACACCCAAGACGCTCATCATTGCCGCAATTTTAGCAACCGCAACACTTGTCACCGTTGTGGTTACAAGTTTTACTGTACACACCCCTGGATCTTATGTGCACATGCACACAATCCCTCAGAAGAATGCCCTTCAACCGGACTATATAGACTCATTTGGCGGACCTCTTGAACTTGGTGGGACTCGCCGTTGTGGCAGCTATCCCAGTGAAGCGGAAGCCCTTGGCTGCGTGTTTGACTTGATGAATTATGGCTGGACAGCACCAGAGTGCTACTACGAAAGCCTGTCCACAGCTGGGCTCTCCGAGGGTCCATACAAGTTTTATTTGGATTCAAATCTTACTGTGGAGATCCCGCAGGAGGTCGCAATGACGGGTCGTGTAGTTGATGTTTATACAACCCATCACTATCACACCGAACATTGCAAATGGTCGCAGGCCATTTTGGCAATGGCCAAAAAAGATGATAATGTGCTTATACCGCAAGTTATTGCACAGCAAAATCACACCAAGCATTGTCTGAAGTATGTTGAGAATTCGGAAAAAACACCTTCCGAAAAGATCAATACATGGACTCGCGTGGTGTATAACTCATGTATAAAGCTCTCCGAAGCAGACGTTCTGTTGGTAGACTAAGAAAATCTTTGGCAAAAAGTGAAATTTAAGTACATTATGATTGTAGAAAAGATTGATAATTAAGGTGTATTGGATCGTATATATCATTGTCGAGAGCTATCTCGGCTGCAGCGAAACTGGTTCCCGCACCAGAAAATATTCTACCAGTGGTTCCGTTCCACCGTACTTTGAATAATCCGTGGACACAGTCTCCACTAGCTTGAAGCCATGATTGAGATAAACTTTCAATCCAGCTGGCTCAGACATTGCATAGGTCTTTATTCCATAACGATCTGCAACCTTCAGCCCACTTTGCACGAGCATGCTTGCGATACCTCTCCGCCAAAAGGCAGGGTCTGTGGTTAAATAATCCATCACTGGCAAGCTGATTAGTAATTGGTACTCAACTCAACTACATCGGCTGGATAATATACTCAGAAAGGGTCCGTCTCTCATGATTCTAGCATCTGCTGCTTCAAGTGGTGCACTGCGAAAGCCGATCATGGCACCAGTCTTCAAGCCAATAAGGCGGCCGTTATCTGTGTTGGCCTTGAAATTCTTTTCATAGATCTCAAGATCCACGCGCGAAGGTTCAGCTACTTGGGCTTCCAGCCAGACATTCCCTGCCTTGGCCAAGTCTGGGGGAAGAGACCATCGGGCATATCCGACTACTTTGCCAGTCTCGACATTTATGACCTTCTGATGCCGCTTGGTATCTCTTCCACTAATAAGATTCCACGGAAGTCTCTCACTGGCTCTGGCGATGATGTCTTGGGGGCAGGGATCCTTCCATAGAAAAACCCAGTGGGGATCGGTCAAACGGGCACCCATCATAGTGGCCGCAAGCCCCGGGGCATCGGCAGGACTGCAAGGCTGTATGGCAAAAGACATGTTCGAAAGTTGTGTACGTTAGGACTGTAGCGCAAAACATGAGCGTCTTCATCGAAGGCAGTTAAGCTGAATTGAGATTGCAAAGTGTCCGATACTTATCGGCCGTTGGTGGGGGAGATGCAGGGGTCAGATTCGGCGAGGGTTTGATTCCCATACAACCGGCTTCTCTTATCAGTCTTAAAAGCCATGCCATTCTGTTTTCTGCAACGGATCAAGATGATTTACGAATATACCTGCTGGAAACATGTCTCTCCATAAAGCAATTTATCCGAAAAAACTACACAGCTGTACGCTACAAGCCTTCCTTAGGCAGTATTGAAACTCAGACTGACTCTGTAAAATTGTAGGGTTCCTGAAAAGTGACGTGCACAGATTGGAGGAAGGACAGGATGAATCCGAAAAGCCGTTTGTGGGTCAAGGTTCCAGCGCAGAATCTGACGCCGATGATGAAGAACATGCACGTCGTCCGGTCCCCCCCAGACGCTCCTGTTATCGCTCCGGTGTGTCGGTTGTGGCCATCGCATCCATTGTTCTCCTAGGAATGATTGCATTTTCAGTTCTCGTCAAGGACAGTCGAAGCGGCAAAGTTCCTAATGCTCCCAAAGCACAAGTCCAAGGAGGTTCAGTAGTCACAGCACACTGCGGAACCACGCCCGAGGAGGCCCAAGATCGCGGATGTTTTTGGGACATCATGAGCTTTGGCTGGATGCATCCGTCTTGCTTCGACCAAGAAGAATCAGCTCGATGGGCAGCCGAATATGGCCCATGGGAATGGTATACTGAGAGACCTAGCAATGCCACAGATCTAAGGCCTCTCACGGCGGATGAATTACCACATACTCCAGTCGTGTGGACCACTCAAGGCTATCATGTTCAGCATTGCCTCTACGTGCTCAAAATGATTCATTTGGCAGCAATGGCGGAGAGTCCGGTTTCAAACGAGGGCATCGAGCTCGGCCACACGGATCATTGCACCAAGCTGATTGCAAATCCGGAGCTGGTAGATTATGGAGAAGTCAATACCCGCGTACATTTACTTTTTGTTCAGTGTGTAACTTTAACATGACAAGGCTACGAAGATTGGAGAGGCAGAATGTATATATTTATTGAATACAATATTATGGCCTTTGCTACTCATTTACCTGATTTTTCAAAACATATTGAGAGTAATATAACATCAATTGAGCTTGCATTTTGTTTTTCAAATCCAATTATTACTATCACTGCTGCCACGTGCTGCGTAAATTCATACTAAACATTCATTGTCATCTACAAAGGCAATACGTCCAAAAAAAAAAAGAAAAATTGAAACAAACCCCTTGGCTCACCAGACCGCCATTCAAGACTTGTGACTGCTAAAATCAGGGAAAAAGCAATTGCATGTCAAAGTCGGAGGTCATGGCCTATTCGGGACCAAGTTGTTTAATCAACTCTCGGCGATAACTCTCGGATGTGTCCAGGGCATTTGATGATGCAGAATCGGAATCGGAACAAAAACCCTTGGATAGCCAGGATACATTCGGCATTAAAGAAACAAAACTAAACAAGAAAAAAAAAAGAGAGAAAGAGAACCATTTGTGGCATCCCATCCGTGGCATCGAAAATATCGATACTATCGAAAAAGCTATCTTTATTCCTTTACGGCACGGTCTTCTTTAAATCATCATTCTGCTATCGCATACACTCATGTAACCGTCTGCCTACTTAGCTTTCCTTTTTCAAATCCCAGTCGACAATAACCACCGCCATGGCATACCCAGGAAAACCAAAATATGCTCTACTCAACTCTTCCGATGCCGATGCCGACTTGGACAGTATCCCCGCAACAGCGCCACCAGTCAGACCGATGATGCTATCATCTTCTCTCGTATCTCTTTCCATCCAAGCAGCAACATTAATCACGTCACTGGCAGTCTTGAGTCTGGTTCTGATCTCGCCACGCAATCCCTTTTCATCGCCAGCGCCATCGCCAGCGCCAGCACCAAGTGCTCTGCTCCCCGTGGGTATGAGCCGCGTGAACCCCAGCACGGCGCACCAGCTTCAGCCATGCGGGACCGATGCCACGACGGCCCGCGCCAACGGGTGTATCTTTGACCTGTTAACACTGGCATGGCTTGCGCCGGCGTGTTATGATGCCGATCTGAGCGAGGAGTTTCTCGAAGTGGCGTCTGAGCCGTTCTACTACGACAGTGATGCACAGCAACCCATTGAAAACTACGAGATTCTGTCCGAACGGCCAGTAGGAGAGACCAGTTGGACGACGAGAAAGTATCACATCTACCATTGCTCGTATGGGTGGCGACTGATGCATCGAGCTTTGGAGAGAGGCGGGATAGTCGAGAGTGGCTTGAGCAGTTATCACCATACCGAGCATTGTACGGATACGTTGATGAACACGTCGGTTCCGATGGAGTCGGTCATCACCAGGGCAGAGATATCGTTTCCTGATTGTTGAAGATACGAAGTATAATCATAGATTCATAACATTGAGATATTACATGTAATTTTTTTGGACTTTGCATTTCATTTTATACAAGCCAACACAAGAAAGTGTTACGGAGTATTTTATGTTAGATCATATATACACAGGCGAGCCGCGATAAAGCGTAAATAAATTTCAGTATATTGGCACACGGACTGAACGAATAGCTGAGAAGCTCTAGAAATATGTTTCACTCTCTCCGAAAAGTTTGATTAGAATTTACAGGTGTCCTGGAATTAATTTCTTCTTTCCATTTCTACAAAAGCTTGAAGTAATTCCATCTTTATTCGATCCGTCTGGCCAAATAAGCAGTGCATGCCCCAGCAACAACTCCGACTCGCAAAATCCAAGCCAATGCCTCTACTGGGCCGAGGTGTGACGGTCCAGAAATCCCAAAAATCAAACTGCTAGTGACTGCAGATACCATCTGTGGCATAGCAATAGCAATGTTGTGGACGCCCATTGCAGTGGCCGCCATGGATTTTATGTTCCCTTGTTGGTGGTCGTAATCCTTCGACTCAACATCTCGATTGTCATCGAAATACTGCCGTCTTGGGGATGGTGGTTCACTTATACAGTGAGATGAGATATTGGGCTTGGGGTCTGTGGCGATTTCTTCCCCGATTATGGCAAAAGGTGCCCATTGAGTGAGACCCCAGCAGACTCCGAGCAGGGCGACAAAGACAACGGAAGAGATAAAACTGTCTCCCACAGTTAAACCAAAAAGACAGACGGACATCAAAACGTGTGAGCTCATCCATGCTCGAGAAATGGACATATAAGTCCCCATTCGAGCACAACTCCGTTTCTCTTTTCGAACAAATTGGCTTGTGGTGTTTGATATCTCTTGCCGTACCATATAGGGAAGGCCTATATTTGTAACAAGGGCGACACATGAAAAGAGAAGGAGTGCCAATGTCCCGTGGCGGAGAGACTGCTCGTGAAGTGCATTGTAAAATCTGGTGGAAGGTGGGCCCATTTTAGCAATCAGAATACTATATTCGTCTGTAGATCTGATATTAGCATTTAAAAGTATGATATGATGAATGATCACTGACAAAGTTTGCTCAAATACCTGTTTTTGTAGATGTCAGCTTGCTAAATTTTCCTCCGTTGGTGGTGTCAGGGGTACGTACGTTGTGATATAAAACAAAAAAGGAAACCAAGAAAACCAAGAGAAAAATTGGACTAGACAAACCATCTTGATCTTTCGAGGTAAGGACCTGGTGGTTTTGTAGATCTCCGGGAATATCTGCCGGAAACCCACCTTTTTCAGGAGTGGATAGTCTGTGGCGGGACTGTTCTCTCTTGTTGTGGTAAGGGTAATGGCAACGGTCAATCCTAGTAAAATTGAGGCGAGCAAGCAAAGACCTTTGAACTGAGAGTTTTCTATCCATCCAGTGATATTCGGAATGGGCATTTTCAAGAACCCACATCCGTAGCCAATTATGCTACCGAGAATAACGATGCAGCTGGTAAAGGAACTCGCAGTGACTTGTTGACTAGGCGGGCAAGAATCCACAGTGAGCGACCTAAGACCGACTTGGACGGGCTGAAGTGATACATTTAGTGCCCATATACATGCAATTGCAAGTATCTTGGTGATCAGAGTCGGACCAAGGGCGTAAGGATCCACACTAAGAATGTAACAGATGAGCCAGATTATTTCCTTTGTCCAGGCCAGCAGATTCATGGAAACTATTCCGCCAATTGTACCGTAGAAGATGAATGGTTTTCTTCTGCCCCATTTGTGAGTACAAGCATCACTTTTATATCCAAGGAATGGCTGTAAGACCGTGCCACAAATTGGACCAGCCAGCCAAACAAGCGATATCAGGGAAGGTGCAAGTCCAAGGGATAGTAAGAATGGCTGGTATTGATTAATATTGGTGTGTAAAGTCAGGGTAATCTCTTCGACGTACAGAACCCTCGGCCATGATCGTAACCCAGGTAACTTGAAGACTGAATTAATGTCAGCAGACGTCAAGGAGATTAGGTAGCTTCTTACCCTCCCATGCTTATGGTGAGGCAGGTCAGTTGCCACTTGCTCAGACTCATCGGCATTCTTCTGTCGAATTTTTCGTGATTTTCATTATTCAAAGGGTCCTTTTCGGGCTCCGTATTCGTTACTATCCTATATTGATGGGCCATGATTATGCTTCTCACAGAACGTCAATGAAGGGAGGGAAAAAGGTTCAAGCGACAGATGTATGTACAAACATATCAATTTACTATACAATATTAGGTAGGTTTCTCATATTAAAATGCATATTCATGTCTGGGTGCTGCCGCCGCCGATTTTGAGCGGCGTGTTGGCATGTCTCTTCTCTCGTCTAATGGGCGATAGGCTCGGGTGTAAAATCGGAAACCTCAAAGTCGGAGGTTATTGGACCCTTCAATTAATAACCAGCTGAGACTTGTAGCTACATGGAGTTATAGCAATTTAAATCTCATTGGTTCTTTAAGCTGTCTAGGCGGCGACGAAAATTTTAATCGATAGAATTTATTTCATATGGTGAGGAAGCCGCCACGTTCATTTCTCATGACACGGTTGTTCTCCCAAAATGCGCAGAGCAGCAGTCATCACAACACCCTGGACCCTGAGTTGCCAGTTGTTATCGAACGGCGAAATTTCACACTGCTAGATGCAGGAACATGTTACAATCCTCGGTTTAGGAGCAACGATGATGCATACTGCCGATTGGTGACCCAGTCATCCAAAAATAGGAAATACAGCAGACCTTTTTGTCAGCAGCTAATCTGCAAAATCTACTTTCGTTGCACTGCCCGATTGAAATGCGGGATAATCAACTTCGAGCATCATAATGAAAATACGAGCGCTACTAAAGGGTGGACATTGGTGAACCAGATTAATGATTTGCGAGGAGTAAATTGCGGATGAGTACTGGGCAATTCTGTTCGAGTAAAATATTAATATATATAAGAAGCAATTGATGGGCATATTAGCATAGCGGATATAAAGAAAGGGCGTAGACATAATATACATGAAATCATAAATTGTAAACAAAATCCAGTGCTCTGTCCCCTTCCTTGCCATTGTCCTCAACACCCTGAGCCTTGAGCGTTTCCTTTGTATTATTTCGTTTCTTGAGCATCCACCACATGCATCCGATTCCTAATAGAGCAAGAAACTCCATGCCTGCGCTGACTGCATTGCCCACGAGGTATCGTGGGCCATCGGTTGAAGGATAAATGTTCGATGCAACAATGCCGGAAATGTTTGCAAGTGAGACGAAAAATGGCATGCCCACGCTGCGCTTATAGTCGGGGGAGAGGTTATTGGTGACCCAGGTGAGGATCAAACAGTTGTAAGTGTAGATTCCAGCTCCGATCAAGAACATGGCAAAATAACCTGCGCCATGGCTGTCTGTCCCACAGACAATAATGTAACCAATAATAACCGGGACTGGAGCAAAGCAAATGACAGCGGCACGCTTCTTGAGGCGATCCGAGACAGCTGTGGCTGTGCAGAGAATCATTGTGGCAAAAAAGTACACAGGAATGGTCAAATAGTTGGCTTGTTTTGACGTGTAACTGGAAGAGCAGTCAGCAACTTCATTTTGACGGAAACAGCCTTAGCTGGGGTCATGGGATCATCACTTACCCAAGGCCCTTAATAATGGTAGGGAGAAAGGTACCAAAACCAAAGAGAGCAATCGAGGAACAAAAGAAGCTCAACGATGCAACGTAGATAAACGGATCCGTAAAAGCCATGCGAGCATAGGACCAGGAGAATTCTTCAGAGCCCTTGTAAAGAATGTCTCGTTGCTTGCGAGCTCGCATGACCTCCTTCTCTTCGGCACTGAGGAACCATGCCCCCTCCGCAGATCTGGGAAGCAACAACCAGCAAATAGCACATAGACCAACTGATGCGGCGCCTTCAATGATGAATAACCATCTCCAAGAGTCTAGGCCGTGTTTTCTACCCATACTCTCGATTCCATACTAGGAATGTTGTTAGCCGATTCAATATCGTTTCCTACGAAGACCAGGGTTTTGTCACGTACTGCAATAAGACCTCCAAAAGCGCCCGACAGACACTGGCAGCCGTAGATCATGGCCATGCGCTTGGACTGAGACTCTCTGGACCAGATAGTCGAAATAATAAACGCGATGGACGGCACGAGACAGGCTTCGAAAGTACCCAGCAAGATTCGCACAGCAATCGCCTGGTGATAATTATGGATGAAGCCGGTCCCCAAGGTGATAATACTCCAAGCCACCATGGCAACTCCTAGGACTTGGTTTGCACCGAATCTTTTCACGGCCATGGTCCATGGAACTTCGAGGGTGACGTAAGTAGGGTAGAAAATCGTGGAAAGGGTGTTGAACTGGGTGCCCTTCAGTCCGATTCCGTCTTCGAAGCCGAAGACTTTGGCATTGCCTATGCATTCATGTCAGATAGAGTTGTTTCAGTTGCGTATGGTTTTGGCATACCGATGTTTGTGCGGTCGAGGTAAGCAAGAATCAATATGACGAATAATTGAGGGAGCAAGTATTTGTCAAATTTGGCAAGTGTCCGCTTTTCGAGCTGCGGATCGATGGCTGGGACATCCTCAATTTCTCCGGCTGAAAAGTTTCCGCTTTCACTGGGGACAGCGCTGGTTTCAACATCATATTTGTCCATGCTCAATGACATTGGATCGGTGTTGTTTTGTGGGGCGTCGCAACAATTGGAGAGCGCAGACCGAGGGGATTTTTGAACATTCCCCTGACGGCAGGGTGTTTCGCATTTATATTCTTCATAGTGGCATGGATCTAACGATGTGTCATGATAAGTTTATCAACATGATCGGTCGAATCATGACGGGCGTGGAAATGCTCCCAATTCCATGACACGCCAACTAGGCAGCGCGACGCCCGTCATAGTCGCATGCATCCTCTTCTGCAACCGTTCCATCTTCTTATCAGGAACCGTACCTCAGCCTAGAGATAAACAAAATAAGGCTATGAGGATCTAGCTTGGCTGTCTGTGCTGAGACTGGCTCATTTCATTGGTGTTTGTTGGGCTCGTTGGTGAGCAGAGTCCAATTGAAGACAGGAAAGAGAGATAACCACCTTTCAGGTAAAGGTCGGGTTTCAACGGAGGGCAAGGTTGCTTATGACCCCACCCGATATCGGTTGCGCTTTGCTTATCTTCCACGCGGAAGCTCCTTTATCGCACACCATTAACCCCAGACCCACATTTCTTCAGGAGATTCTGGCATTGTTGATGCGTGTCAGTGATCAGTGGTTTCAATGGCTTTGGAGAGGAACAAACATACCCCTCCTTTCCTTCATTTCACTTTGTCCAGCATCCAACACCATGACCGACCAGTCTGCCGTCTCCATCCCAATTCGGTCAGCAGACAATGGAGAACGATCGCACTCATCGTTATCGATGGATGAAAAGATGGGCGAAGCAATCCAAACATACCGCGACAAAATGTACAAGTCAAACGTACAGTTCATTCACGATCGTGTCGAAGATATTGAAGCAATGAACCTGCCCAACGAAGAGGCCAAATTGGCCCTCATGGGCCGTTTCTGGTTCCATATGGATAAATGGTATATACCAGAACGGGTTTCTCTTAATGCCCATCTAGAGGGGGCCAGAAAACGAATGGCACAAGTCGAGCGGGAGAAAGCGGTGAAGCGACTAGAAGATGTAAAAAATTTGCATCATCCATTTATGGATGGGTTCTGGCCACCTACTTTGAACAGTACCCAGTGTCAAGCTTTCTCCGAGGCATTGGAGATTGTTGCCAACGAGATGGCAGGAATCAGAAGAAATGAGGCAGAGTGGATTCATGTATCAGAAGACCTGAAAAGCTTTCTCAGGTTTGCTAGAAGGTTGGAGGACCCTAATTTCCGTTTTGCACCCATATGTGGCTTTGAAATGTACGACGATCCCGGCGAGCTGCTGCAGGGAAAACCCTTTGAAGAAACCCGCGACTTCTTTATCCGAAGCCTCAGGTACAAGCCGGAAGAACATCTGCTGGACTGGATGGGAGGCTATATCGAACTAAAGGCAACTTTTTATTGCGGAGAAGCTGTTCGGAAAGGTTTCACTTACTATAGCTTTTATGCGTACTGTCGACCGTATACAGGTCGAAAGAAGGGCGGTGACAAAGATCACGGGAATCACGAATGGGCTTGGCGTGTATTATTTTTTAGTGATTCAGATGGGGTAGATGATCCGGGAGTTGTGGTTTTCCATACTCTCCTGGATTTTATAGAATGGTATGGCAGTTGGTTTGAACGTATGGATGTGGCAGAGATGCAGATACAGATGTTTGAGGACCCCGAGGATCTTTTTAGCCAGTATTAGCAGCAGAAATTTAATGGTATACAATTACGAGGTCACATATCGAGACTAACCTTTTAATGTAAACTTGGAGGCAAGATTGAATGTATACAGACTAAAACGACAGACGTTCGTCATTACAAGTGTGTTCCAATACGAGAAAATATACAGACGATACAGGCAATTATGACTGAAAATCTCCGAATAGTTGCATATTATGTAGTACACACTTAGGTCAAGTATAATTAAAATTTTTATGAGGAAAAATAACATTCCCACGACAAAGCACGGCGGAAGAAGAGGCGGGCCTTGTGGGGCGTCTCGGGGATAAGCAGTGTGTCTAGGTCCATCGCACTACTATATACTCTGTAGCTTGTTGCCCAAAAAGACCCGGTCTATCCAACCGCTCAAGTATCTTCGAAAGGCTCTTTTCTTTCTCTATTCTTGACCCTCGCTGAAGCACCTACCAGAATGACCGAAACCCCCATTGCCTCTGTTTCGATTTGTGAATCAAACATTTATGATTCCTCCAACTTGTCATTATCGTCAATGGACGAGAAAATGGACACAGCAATCCAGACATACTGCAACAAAATGTACAAATCGAATAAACAATTCATCTACGATATCATTGACGACATCGAGAGAATGAATTTACCGAACGAGGAAGGAAAACTGGACTTCATGCGCCGTTTCTGGATCGATCTGGGTGAATCACACTCTCCGGTGCTCAGACATCTCATCCCAAAAGCAAAGCTCGAACAATCCGAGCGTGAGAAAGCAGTGCAGCGTTTAGAAGACGTAAAGACATTGGATCACTACTCTATGGATGGATTTATCCCGCCTGCTTTGGATGATGCTCAACGCCAAGTATTTATCGAGACTTTTAAAACCGTGGCCAATGAGGTTGCAGAGACCGAGAAGGACGGAGCACCGTGGATCCAGGCCACAGACGAGTTGAAAAGCTTTCTCAAATATGCATGTCGTTTGGAAGATCCAAACTTTCGCTTTTGGGATGTGTGGGAGTTCGCACCATACGATGAACGCGATGGGGATAAGACCCCAGCAGAGCTTCGCGAAAATTTTCTTGAACAGCTACGAGATGAGCACAGCTGCATAGTGGACGATTTGGTTCCGAATATAGAGCCAAAAGCATGCTTTCTTTGGGGGGAAACCACCAGAGGGAATGAGACATACTGGACTATCTACGCGTATTGTCCAATTCACGAATGGGGATTTAACTGCGATAAAAGCAAGAAGGATCATCAGTGGGCTTGGCGGATACTCCTTACTGGCCTCAGCATGTACGATAGTTTGGGTTACACGACTTTTGATAGCATTCTGGACTTCATAAATTGGCTTGGAAGCTGGTCTGAGCGGATGGACCCGAAAGACTTACGGCAACAGGTTTTTGAAGACACATATGGTAGGTTTCCATCACAAAGTGCATATGCCCAGCTCAAATGAACTAGAGATGGCCTATCACCGAACTTTATGGTGGAAAACTTTAGCATTTCTCTTTCCATGAATACTTTCGCCCGCCTGGAAGCCTAGTGTATAGGCAACTTAACAAATTTTCAAACCGAACCGATCAACCACATGAAATGAAGCTCTTCAATTTCAATAAAATTAGGAGCCTATGGAGAAGCGTCACCGATCAGGCCTTCTTTTCTGTGAAGACGCTCGATTTATTGAGAAAATACGTTACTTATCGTCTTTGGGCTCCATCAATGATGATAAAAAAATGTGGGTTCCCCTTTATCTTGTTAGGATCCCGTGACTTTGGTTGCCTTATGTTTACCCCTTTCCGCAACGACGAAATTCAATTATAAGACTGGAACGTTTTACCTGTAGTATCACTATTACATTCAATTTGGATTTTTGTTTTACTTGTGTTTCTCTTTTACATTTGAGATTAAATTTCCCAGTCGAATTCCCCACTTTTCGCCTTCTATGCGTTCTGATCTCCTGTCGAGTTCTTCACAATTATCTATTCACATTGCTATCGACGCATCTGCCATCATGGCTGAACAAACGCCTATCACTCTTACGATACGTGGCGCAGAGAGCTCTGAGCAATCTACCTCGCAATTGTTCTCCTCGTCATCAATGTCAATGGGCGAGAAGATGCGCAAAACAATCGAATTATACCGCGAGAAAATGTACACTTCCAACAAAAAATTCATCTATGACAGGATTGAAGATATTGAGGCCATGAATTTGCCAAGCGAAGAAGAAAAGCTGGTTGTCATGGGCCGCTTCTGGTTCCTTCTAAATGAATGGCACAGACGTGAGGGATGGAATCCCCCTTGGATGGCAAGCAATGCAAAAAAAGACATTGCCAGCAAGACCCAACTCGAGAGTGAGAGGGCAGTGAAGCGACTAGAGGATGTGAAAACCCTACCTCATCCAGTTATGGATGGGCTTCATCCACCTGAACTGGACGAGACCCAGCGGCAGTTATACATTGAGACATTCGAGACAGTTACCAATGAGCTTGCAAAAACCAAGGATGAGGCACAATGGATCAGGATGCCAGAGGAGCTGAAAAGCTTTCTCAAATACGCAAATGGATTGGAGGGTCCCAACTTCCGCTACGGGAAAGCATATGACTTTCATATGTATGGTAGTGGTGGTTTGGAAAACAAGAGTATTGAAGAGACACGCGACATATTTCTTGACTTGCACAAGCATTCCCACGAATGCTTGCAAGAGTTTTTCGAGCTCGAATTCGAGGCGAAGGCTGCATACATCTGCGGAGAAACTTTCTGGCTTGATTGCTGTTACTATACTTTCTATGCGTATTGCCGACTTGATGCCGGATTCGCCAAGAGACATAAAAGAGGGCATGATTGGGCTTGGAGGATAGTGCTTACGAATACGTCATGCGATGAAGAAGATTTGGAAACAAAGGTTTTTGATAGTCTTGAGGAGTTCATAATTTGGCATGGAAGCTGGGATGAGCGTATGGACGTGGAAGAGATGCGAGAGCAGATGTTTGAGAACTCTATGGGCATATTTCAACTAGAGAGTGGATATCCTGATTTGGACTGAGATGGAGGTAGCATATTATCGAAGGGTGTGTTGAATCCTTCCAAAATAAACACGAAGCTCACATTGGTGCCTTTGCTCGGATTCAAAGTATAAAATATCTGTTAGACATTGAGGCAGCCAAACCAGATCTGTGCATCAGAGGAAAATTGTATGATTTTGCAGATGCTCGTGATTAATAAGGAAAAATCGTACATTAATCGCTCATGACTGTCCTAGGAATCTAAGTCGGATACGATCCCTGTCCCACGTTTTGCCACACTTCTGCACTCCAACTGTGACTGTCTCACCCGGCACCAAGTCAATGCAGTTATCTTCCAGTATCATATCATCCGTTTCCAAGGCGACCCCTTTTACCGGTTTAGCCGCTGACACATGGATTTCCTTCCGATTCTCTGACAGTTCAAGTTTAATCCCATTGGCATCCTGCAATGGAACGTACTTGAGCGGCTCGAACCAATTGACACATCGCGCAAGTCTATGTCCTTGTTCAAGCAGATACGCCGCCAAGACAACATCAATACCTTCCTCAAAATCTTTTCCTCCTCGCGGAAGCAAAAGTTCCTGGATCTCTGTAGTGCGATTCTCCTCGAGGACAAGGTACTGAGAAACTGTTTGGCTGAAGATTTCCTCTCCTGTGAGTACGTTCCACGCTTTGACGACCACGTCAACGACTTGCCTTTGCAAGGTCAAATTGGTGGCCCATAGTTGGACTTTGTGAACCTTTTTGATGAATACGCGAGTGTATTGGTCTTCAGGGATTTCTTCAACGATTCGAGCCATCCCAATAGTGATCGAGGATAGTTCACGCTTGATAGCGTAGGATGCAAGTTTCGGCCGGCGGTAATAGTCCGCAATCGCCCAGGAAGTAACTGGCCAACAGTCGTTGAGTTGCCAGACTAGAGCTCCTCCACAGTATTCTCGATTCGGGCCTTTCCATTCCCGTTTCCATAGTCGATAAGCTGTAGCAAGGCATTCGGCCTGCATTAATTGCGTAGAATATATGTATTTCTCTAATGGATCGAAAGTATATCGAAGATTGGAAGTGAGGTAGGCGCTCAGCTTCTCCTCATGGCCGCTGGCTTTGTTGTGAAAGTCAAGTGTCAAGGACTGGGCATAGCGGTCATGAGATTTTGCGGGAAGAAAGCTGTCAATGGTTTTGACATCGGGGAGAGCTTGCATTCCGAATTCACTGACGAATCTCCCAGAGAGCTTTCCAAAGTCTTGATAGCGTTCTCCTCCATGCCATACTAGGATAAAGAATAGATTAGCTGGGGCTTACAATTGTTGGGCATAGAGTGACTTACTGCTCCACTGATGAATGTCACCGACGGTTGGATCTCGAGTGTCCTTCCCTCCCCATGGTGAACCAAAATGATAGAATGTTTCGGGTATCAGATCTCTCGTTATCTCAACAAGTAATTTCTCGTAGATGTATCTTGCAGGAAATGAACCTTTGAGCCAGCTTTGAGTGTCTTTGTCGTCTGGATCGTAGTCCAGTCCTTCGCTCTCTCGGTATTGGTAGTCCTCGTTGTTCCCAGCCCATATCACGATACATGGATGATGTTTTAGTGCTTTGATATTGGACTCAGCCTCCTCTTTGACCGACTCCAGGAATTCTGGATGTGCAGGATAATTCCCACATGCGAATAAAAAGTCTTGCCAAACCAGTAAACCGAATTCATCACATGCTTCGTAGAATGCCTGCTCCTCATAGATGCCTCCTCCCCAGACACGAAGCATATCGTGGTTATTTTTGGCCGCAAACTGCACCCATTCACGGTAATCTTGTGGCTTGAGTCTTGGTATAAAGCAATCAGCAGGAATCCAGTCGCTTCCACCACAGAAGATCGGTATATTGTTGATTCTGAAGAAGAAAGAAGATCCGGGACTATCATCGAGCTCACGGCGGACGACTTCCACCTTTCGGAAACCAAACCGTTTGCACAAGGAATCTTGACAATTTCCATCCGTGAGAAGCGTAGCCTTGAGTTCATACAGAGGCTGCTTTCCATATCGAGCAGGGAACCATAATTCGGGATTTTGAACTCTAAACGTTGCTGTGATTTTCTTGCTTTCCACTCGAATCATCTCCTTGGCTACTCTAAAAGCGCCTCGGGTGATCTCAAAGAGTACATGGGTTGATTTGCCGTCTACATGGACGTCTGCAGTGAGCTCAGCTGACTTCAAATCATCACTCACTGTTGCAGTTGTCGAAATATATGAGATTCTGGCGTCATATAACTCAAGCTCCACAGGTCTCCAGGGACCGCAAGTCAGCATAACTGGTCCCCAATCCCAGCCCTGGGATAATTCTGTCAGCGCAGTCATATTGTTTCGAGCAGAGCTTCATACATAGTGGTACTGTGCCTTACGAACGGCCAGTCGGCTCGGATCACCATTCCAACAGCCCCAATGATGCTTGGGATACTTTTCCACAATCTTTTTGCCCTTGAGAAAGGCGCTTTCAAAAACAATGAGCAGCTCATTATCTCCATCAATCATTAACTTGTCGGTAACTGTGACTGTTCTCGGCACAAACATATTATCTGATTCAAGAATTTGCTTTCCATTCAGAAAGACTGTAGCAAAAGTATCAAGCCCGTGGAATTTGAGTATAGCTGTCGATAGGTGTGTATTTGGGGTTTTGAAATGAGTCTTGTAAGCCCAAGATTTCTCTCCGATCCATTGAACGTCATTTTCATTTGTTGAAAGATAGGGGTCCTGAATGAGTCCATGCGCAAGTAGATCAAGATGAATATTTGTCGGAAATTGAGACACGGGGAGATATCCTGACGACTCGTCTTCTGCTTGTTTGAATATCCATCCTGTATCTAAAGGTATTGTGGTCCGTGCCATTCTGAGCAGTGTGACTCAAAGCGGGGTTGAAGTCAATGCCCAACCCGAGGGTTTTGATTTTAGAGGAGCAAATTCTGCCCAATCTATGGTGAAAATTTATGGATCATCTGTGGAAGTTGATTTGGCATATCTTAATATTATTAAAAATGAATCTGCTTTTGTGTCTTGATTGGACGTGAGGGCTAACTGAGGAGACCAAGATACGCTATTCGCGGCAGAAACGTGAGGAGAGGTGTACTGGCGCTTAGCTGCAAAGCATAACCGAAACCTGCATTCTCCCCGTTAAGCGCCGCAGAGAAGCTCTCTCGTTCTTAGTCTACATAGCGTTCGAGAGACATCCTCGCACAAGGTTGCTGATCAATTTAAATGTTCAGTATTTCCAATCCCGCTAAGAGAGCAACGTTTAGGTAAGATAGTTGGTCTGAAGGCTCTTATGGAATCGATACGTTCGAACCCCAGTTAAGCACAGAACCCATACCGGAGAAGTATGACTCTCTCGGTGGAGCACGGGTGGCACTGCCTTTGTAATAACCGTTTCTAGAACAAGAATAAGAACACCAATTATGCATACCCCGTAAAACTCTCACCAATGATGGCCTTATCAGTGGACTTATCCCCCCACCTGCACATCGTCTACAAATAGCAAAGAATGCACCGAACTAACGAGGGATGTAACTATGGGGCCCCACAGCGACACTCCCCCACTGTCTGTGCTCCACCCCTAACGGGGACGGCAATTCCGCTGTCCACCCACCATGGCGGGACTATAATCCACCGACATGTGGAGCCAGCTACTCCTCCATGTTGGAGTTTTCTTATCCCGCAGCCTAGACCCCACGATGTTGACAAGCATTTTCAATTCCATACTCCATTTGAAGGACTTGTAACCTGGCCCACGACACGTGAATTCTCTCATAGACTCATACAAAAACCATCGAAGCTTGCGCAAGCTTTTCTTCTCCAGAAACTACTCCAATTGACTTACAGAATTAAGCTACTGTTCACGAACATACGTCAACAATGGTCCTAGCGAAACCTGAGAACAAAAATGTGCTCAGCGCATTCAGTCTGCGGGGGAAGGTGGCTGCAGTTACAGGTACACCCTATTCCTTCCTACTGCCATAACCTAGTTGAAAATGAAGCTACACGGTCAAAGCTGGATCGCTGACGCTGAATTGGACAATATCCAGGCGGCGCACGGGGCATTGGACTCGAAGTCTCTCGCGGTCTTGCAGAAGCTGGCGCAGACGTAAGTATCTCCCCTTCGGACCCTTCCCATAAAACTCTTGATTGATGCCCAACTACTAACGCAGAATAGGTCGCTTTAATATACAGCAGCACACGAGACGCAGAGAGTCTGGCGGCAGAAATTGCTTCCGCGAATAATGTCAAATGCGTGGCATATCGATCCAACGTGACGGACGCCGGGACGATAGAAGGCACGATCAAGCAAATAGCCAAGGACTTTGGGAAGCTGGACATCATTGTCGCAAATGCAGGAGTCACATCGCATTATCCCGCGGAAGACTACACGCCTGAGCAGTTCAGCGAGATTATGAAAGTCAATCTCGACGGAGCGTTTTATACTGCGCAGGCTGCATCGCGGATTTTCAAGGAGCAGGGTTATGGAAATGTCATTTTTACGGCTTCTGTTAGCGCTATCCTGGTAAATGTCCCGCAGAAGCAAGCTGCCGTAAGTTTTCATTCATTCATTCATTCCTTCCTTCTTCTCATTCCTCCTGTTATCTTTTTTTTTCTGTCTCAAAATGTAAGATGAGTACCAGGGAATCCAACTGACATGTAATAGTACAATGCTTCGAAAGCCGGCCTGGTCCAGCTAGCAAAATGTCTGAGCGTGGAATGGGTCGACTTTTGTCGCGTTAATTGCATTTCACCGGGATTCATCTCGACCGATATGATCTCGGCATTTCCGGCAGAGTGGAAGGAGAAATGGCTTGGCATGGTTCCGGCACAGCGATTTTGCGACCCATACGAGTTGAAAGGCGCCTATGTCTTCTGCGCTTCCGACGCATCAAGCTATATGACTGGAGCGCAAATCGTCATTGATGGAGGGTATACACTGCCGTGAAATTGGCATATCATGATTGTCGATATGCGGAGGTAGATATGTACATGAAAAGTCCGAAGATGGATGCCAGCATCTAAGAGCTGAGTTTGGGAGATCCAATTCCAAAGCTAAAGTCCAAAAGAACACTGCTGTAGTTGGAAAACTATGATAAAGAAGTGAAATTATGATAATGCGCCTAGACAAAGAGTATATCTGCGGAGTAACTTCCGCAACCAAGGCTGACAGAAACACGCTAATCTTTCCAATTCGTGAAATCAAATCTTAAAAGGCTGTTGAAAAGATGCAAGTGAAGGTAAATATCCAAAAAGGGAGCACTGCTCTATATAAATGAGAAAAGAATAATAGTGATTAAAGGGCTGAAATCAATAGAATGCGCATGAGGCAGCGGGAGTTGGCCTTCAAGGCCGATTAGAATGCCCTGCTCACTGTACAGTATCGGGCCCCGAGATGGCATTCGACCATGCTTTATCGGTGCCCATACGGGAGTAAAATCAACAGCAGCCTCCGGATTGTCCGCCACGCCGTCGACGGCCATTCGAGTCTAACCGGAAGACTTCTTCCCATTCTCGAACGCCTGTCATCCAGCCATTGGTATTGGTGCGTCGTCGGCCGCGATTGACTCGTCTTGTGGAACCAGCACTACTGTCATTTCCCCGGCTCTTGGAGCCCGTTGTTCCACCATCACTAAACCCCCAGCTACCGCTATCCCCATATTGGATGCCGCTCTGAGGATCATCCGGGTCAATTTCTCCGAGCTCAATTTTAGTCAGAATCATGCGGGCCAGCCGAGCAAAGATCTCGTCGACGTTGTCGCCCGACAATGCTGAAACCTCGGCAGAGACGGGAATCGCACAAGATGACGCCCACCGGGAAGCCTCCTCCGGGGAGACTTCCCGGCCTTCTGGCGCAATTGTAGCAGAATTTCGCGCCCCCACGCCAAAGGTTGAGCTGGATCCGATCGAGTTATATGGATTGCTATTTAGTGATTTCTTGCTGCTGAGACTTGATGGAGTACCCATTGGCGGTGACCCATCCATAGCGTGTTGATATTGTGCCGCCGAGTCATCTGAGGATGAGAGATCCGCTTTGTTGCCGACGAGAATCATGGTCAGGTTCGGCGATGCGAGCGCCCGCGCATCGCTGAGAAAGGTTGGTAGTGCCTCAAAAGACGCGTGCGATGCTAGGTCGTAGACCAGCAATGCGCCCGCGGCGCCTCGGTAGTAGGAGCGGGAAACGGATCGAAAGCGTTCTGTCCCAGCCGTGTCCCACAGCTGCGTTCATGTATTCCTTAGCTTTCATAGCTCATAATGCTTCCTTTGAGTAACAAATCCTCGCACGCTAGTTTTGCGGGAGCCAAGGGCTGTATCGGGGAGCGAAGTGGTTGATCGCGTCCTAATCTCACCTGCAACTTTATGCGCTTTCGACGCGCGCCGGTCCCAACTTTCACCACCTTGGACGAAAATTCAACGCCAATTGTTTGCGAGGAGAGAACTCGCCCTAGATATGCAGGAAGCTCCCCAGTCAGCTCAGTGTTGCGCCCAGAGAAGAGTGGTACCCTGGCATAGACGACTTGAGAAGGGTATTGGATATATGGGACGTACACTCGCTTTTTACAAATCTATGCAATAGACATGACCTAAATTTGGTCGATATATCACTCGTCAGCGCTTTTGGCGGCGAGAATTCGCAGACCACGAAAGGTGTTGCGCGAGCCCCGACGGGCAGACATCTACGTGCCAACGGAGAAGAGCGGGGTACGATAAGGAAAGGGAGATGCGCACTTTCCGGTGCCGCTCGGTCCAAGAAGAATTATCTTGGCAAGATAATCATACATGCTCCCGAGCTCCTGCAGAAAGTTTAGTAAACGCCATCTCTGTCTAAAAATTTGAGAAGCATGGACAAAAGAACCCGATTAAGAATCCAGATAAGGAGACGGAGGTGAAGTACTGACCTGATCTCGGGTTACAAGCGACGAGTCCGTCGAGACATTCGACGGAGCTCGCTGCCTCAACATCTTTGAAGCATTCGTCTAAATTCTAATTAAATGATAAATGTCGCTGGCAGCGATTGTTGCTACCGTTGTGCTTCTTTGATATGAAAGGGGCCGTTTGGACGAGCGATCGACAATCGGCTTCGGATGATGCCGTCCGGGTTCCATTGGTCGGTACATGTGACGTTACCTGAGACTCTTTGCGCCTTGTTTATTGACAACATCTATGTTAGACGCCTTAGGCATAGCTGGGCTGCTCGTAATTTGTATCAAGTTATTTGAACAAAGTGAATTTTTTATTGAACTTTTATTATTTATTTTTATCTTTTTGTTTTTAAAAAAAAAAAATTAAAAATGATAAAATTAGTACAATATAATATTTCTTAAATTTTCTCAAATGGGTTCTATCCTTAGAAAATCGGACGAATTAGGTCATAGGATAATAACTACGCTTGGTCGATAGAATTAAAGGAAAAGCAAAGCTAATTGCTGCTTTCAATTCTTGATATTATCTCTTGCTTTGATAAGTTTGGATTGGTTAGCTTCTGAATAGTCTATGCATGTATGAATAATGCCAAATGCCAATTGTGCGGCTCGGCATCCAAGGGACTCCTGCTGTTCTACTGCATGCTTTCAATCTAATACAAGGCTCATGTAATGCCCTGTTATAAGCTTTGGACACTCTAGGTACTTTTCCAGATTGGCTCGATCCGTGAAGTTGATTTTAGGGCTGGGGTTCAGCATGTGAATACATCATTAAACGACCTTTGCAGATGCTGAGAGAGTACCCACTGACAGGAACAAAACAACCCAGTTTGCTTATACAACCATAGGATTCTACTGCAACGTTACTCTTGCAAAGCTTGTTAAGGCTATGCAGCATAACGGGAAGAGCGTTGAACCTACACCCGCCATGCTTCCGCCACATGTTTTGATAAGAACTATAGCGTGCTTGGTGTTGGTCATCAAAGACTAAGCTTTCAGAATAGCAGTCTTATTTCCGAATGCAGTAAAAGGAGGACGAGATCTGAAGAGAGCGTGTCCGTATTCTTATCACTGTAAGTTGACCAACCTATGGAGCTCGATTAGGAGGTCTATTCCAGCCGGGACGCTGCAAGACCATGCCGTTCCATGGATAGAATATTGGGCCTTCTCGCAATGAAATTCCTAAACTATCTTTCAAAGTAAACCCACACAGCATTCGTATCGATGCACATGTCTGCTGCTTGGTCAGATCAAACGCACTGGTGGGTTGCATGTAGCGATCGACAAAGCTTGATTGGCCATGACTAGTGACTTTGCGAGAGCAAGGCGTGGATGACAAATCTTACATAAAGTTGAGTGGCGGCTTAAGGTTGAGGGAAGAGGGGTTTGAAGATGCTGACTTGGGAGCTACGACAGTAAGATAGATATCCGTTGCAAGGCGGTTGTAGTTGAACTGTGGTACAGCAGTTCATGCCCCATCGCCCCGCTCGCCAGTCGCTTGAGGGGAGGACTTTTAGCCCCATGATCGCTTACACTAGACCCCCCGGGGCGTCCGGCGCGGCGTTGGCGGGAAGGAACGCTTGGACCGCTCCACTTCAACGAGATGTTGCACCTTATCCAAAGTACTAAAATCATTCTCCAGGTTGATTTTTATGCCCCACCGTTTCGTGGCCACAAACGATAAATTAGTTGTCTGCGAGAGAACCACGTGCTCCTCCTCGGTGTCGCAATGCCCGGCATTTTGAGAAGCTCTAGAATTCCGACAGACAAGCCCTTTGCTGAATAAAACATAGCAATCAATCGACAGCGTTCATTGAAAGCCCGTATACCAGTGGCAATCAGAGTAATGAAGTCAAGTTGCCAAGACGTTGATGGCGTCCGGCAAAGCTTCTGAGTGATGCCTACCATGGTACCTACTGGTAGAGGTCTCCGCCTTATCACGCCAAAAGATGACCCTGTTCGTGTGGGTACAGTGGGTATACTTCCACATTGTTCAGAGGAAAGATCATTGGTCGTTGAAGCTCGAGCGGTACAAAAGGTGGCTTGGGACATTTCTGTCGATTGGTCTCGTCGAGCCCCATCATTCTCGCGCATCTGCCATCGATGGTTGCTGCTGCCAGCTGCAATATTACAAATCGACACCACCATATGCGCTGCCGCATATGTGACTCTGTTCTCACATGGCAGTTTCTATGCATTGCTGTAAATTCTCACATTAAGATGATGCAGTTCCTGAAACGGGAGCTACAAGTGGGGCAGACGTAAAATGGAGAATCCATGGTTTTCCCCAGAGCTAAGCAGATTCCAAAGAGCAACCACTTGTCCGCATAGAACGTTCAAAGTTCTCTGATCAGGTTGCGCCCTGCCAGTGATAAGCCTTGCAATGAACTAAAAGAGTAATGAGGCTCCCAGAGGGACCGCCGACAAGGAGACAAATACTTCCCTCTGCCCCGTACGTGAAGCAGAAATCTTGAGGATCACTTCTCAGCAAAAGAGCAATCAGAGAATTGCTGCCTGGTGAATGAGAATCTCATTCAAGATCTATATGGTCAATTGGCTCCTGTTGTTTGAGCCATCTCCCGTGGCCGTCTAGAGCTGTCGTTTCTCCTCTCTTTTTTCCTGCCAAACGTACGCCAAAGTGTGTGCTGGAGGGAATCGATATTCTTAACGAGATCACCTATCATCAGCTCGTTAGCATCCGGAAAGAGCAACACTCTCATTTTCTCCACCTTGAATCAAATACTACAAGGCCAACACCATTATCGTGGTCACAACCAGACAAGTTGCATGAGGTCAATGGCAGAGGTGCGTAAAATTGCCCCTTATCTCCACGTGTTTTCTTCGGGACGTTGGCCCTGTGGCCCAAGTATAATAAGCAAATTACCTTTGTACTGGGACCGAAAAATGCTGCGATGGAACGAAATATACGCAGAGACACCAGCTGATATGGAACCCACTGGAAGCAGACCAAAGCCATACCGAGGATGCCGTCCTTTACCGAGGAGACAGGGGTTGATGCGTGGATGGTTGCAGTCGCAGCCTCCCCAAATGATTACTATTCACCTTTTGCCCCTGATTACTATTCGTCTTCCCCTTCGGCAGTTGCCGGCTCTGACTACTTTTCTTACTCGCACGCTTACCAAGCCCTGTGCTGTCCAGATGATGGGTGGTGTGTTGCGAGCAGTCAGCGGCTTCACTCTCACCGGCCTCATAATCAAGATGGGCTGCCGGGGGGTCCTGGGGACCTCGCCACAACTGATCCACTTTCTTTCCCCTCTGTCCCGCAGTTGAGGACGGAAAGAAATCTTAACATGGCGACACGTCCTGAATTATCCGTTTTGTCCGCAGAAATGTACGACGATAGCCACACTTATGCTCCCGCCGGCCCCGCGCAGTTGGACTCGGGGAAAGCGGGCCGGCAGGTATTCGGAGGATTTTTGCTGAAACCTAACGATGATGTGGTCAAGCCAGCGGCATCAACAAGGAGTAAACCGAGAAGGCCTTCAAACAAGTCGGGGAGTGGGAGTCCTGGGGAGAGTGACGAGGAAGGAGTCGCTCACAAACAGAGGGGTCGTCCGAGGCTGGACCCCCGCGATGAGACCGCTGCTGAGGTAAAATCCTGCCCAATGCTATCGAAAATTGCAGTCAAGTTGAATTCCCACTCACATGATATATAGAGGAGGCGAACGCAAATTCGATTGGCTCAAAGAGCCTACCGACTCCGAAAAGAGACGACGATAACTTCTTTGAAGAAGCGAGTAGCAGAGCTGGAGGAGACCATTGACAAAATGAACACTGCTTTTCTCAAGTTCAACGACGACTTGCTCGGGTCTGGAGCATTGCAACAAAAACAGACTCTTGCACAAGGACTACGACAAACAACTGAGCTCTTTCTCAAACTTGCCCATATCACCGCGGCATCCCCCGAGTCCGACCACGAAGACGAAGGTGTAGCCAATCCTGGCGACAACAAGAAGAGGCTATCCAGTGAAGAAATCGAGACATCTTTGCCAAACAAGAAGCGTCGTGGTTCCGCTCAATCGACTAACCCTGTTCCTCATGCCTCCAAAACGGCCCCCATGGAAACGGCTAGAGCACCAGACAGCCATATGCAAGACCACGCTAATGAGCACCTCTCTCGACAAACGGTTGCGGTTGCAGTTCCTCAACTCGAAAAAGTCATGGAGGCAGAAGAGAATGTCATTGATCTTATTGGAGCCCGGCCCCCGCTAGCTTTGCAGCAGTATAGAGCGCAGGTGCCTTCGCTCGACCAGTACGCTGACGCCTTTTCATCCTCACTTGGTCTTCACCCAGTCCAGCCGCTCTTCACGTTTAATTTCCAAGAGACAACCTTTGCACGGCGACTACATCGTGCATGTCTCGAACGAGGTTACCATCTGCTTTTGAATCCTGATGCCAATCCTGGAGCAGTCAAGCGCGTCTTCGAATTGACAATGCGCCATAACTCCCGCGAGCAGATTCTCAAGCGCATCCGAGAGTTGTTGGTCCGCTCCAACAAAGAAGAACTTGACTTTCTCCCGACCTTAATCAACATTGGCGGAGCCGGGACACACTACCCTCGAATCGAGCCTGCCACGAAAGACGTCCAAAGCTTGAACGCGCCCGCGAAGCCGATGGGACCGGCCAAGATCGATATTTTATCGTTGGCCAAGGATCTGCCTGCCGATGTAAATCCGCGTGAATTTGAAGGAGACTGGTTCGATGCAGGTGATGTCGATGGTTTTCTGAAGGAGAAAGGAGTCTTTATCGAACCCTCTGCCTCCTTTGCCGAGTTTGAAATTTTAGATCCTGCGCCCGCTGCTCAAAGCCCTTCCAGCAATGGTAGCCTAGCGTCGCACAGCTCCCCTCAAACTCCACAGTCCGACTATTCTCCAAATCAGTCCGCATTCCCGGACCTCTCTTTCTTCCAGACGGGTCTCCCCAATTCGCCTGACCTTTTTGACTTTGGGAATTCGACTTCGACCATGACACCGCTCGGAGATACCTTTGCCAGTCTCGACAAAAACGTCGGACAGTCCTACTTTGGTGTCCTTCCGTCTGATTCGCCTGTGTCATCCAATCTTGACTTTTCCTTTTCCACCCCACCCCAAGCCCCTCCACTGATGAAGCGGGTTGTCACTGTTGATATTGATTTTTTTGTCGATAGTAAGTCCTTTCTTGCTCGGAGACTACCCATTCAAATTGACCATTTACTCACATTAATTTTCCCCTATTCAGGAATTCTCAGCAAGGGAGTTTGCCTAGGTCGCTCCCCGGGTTTCCGGCGTAGAGATGTCGAAGATGCTTTCCGCGCCGCCATGCAAGTTTATTGAGGCGGCTGATGGATCTGCCCACCTTTTTCTTCGACCCTTCTTTTGCTCATATAAATTATTCTTTTCGACTACCATTTCTTCTCCCACAGATCAAACATTTTTGTCTTTCTTTCTTTTTCACAATCGCCATGTGCGCACCACATGGAATTATACTTTTCACATCGTCTCTTTCATTTTCATTGCTCAAATTACCGAGTTCTATCTTACATATTTGACGATTCAGAGTGTTCTACTCAGGTGGATTGATTTCGAGGAGTGTTTGTGGAGTTGGATCAAACGATTCCCGGGTCCTAGCAGTACGGACCGCGGATCATCGTGGCAATGTTCTCTCTTTTTTTCCTTTAAATGGTGTTAGAACTCCCAAATCTCTTTTTTTTTTTTTGGAAAATATATTGGAGAGTCTACGGAAAGGGTAGCGGTGTAATCGTGTGGGGGATTTTACAATTTGTGGTTCATTTTTCAAAGAATACACTGAGAGACGGCGTTGATTTACTGTCTTTTATATGTCTCTCGCTATCTCTATAGCTTCAACTTTGAAAGAATTTTTTTTTCCAAATCTATTGATACATTTTCGATTCAGATTTCTATAAATAGCTAAAACCATAATGACGTGACGCTCGAGTGGTACTAAACGGTGGGACCGAGTTAAACAAAAATGGTAAGTTGGATAGATGATACCTCCGTCATGAAGACATGTGCAATCGTGCAGTAACTGCAGCATAGCGCCAAGGGCAAATTTGATAAAAATAAAATGTTATAAGTTCCTGCCAGATACGCAATCCTGACCACCCCCGGGGCTAACATTCTTGTGCGAATCCCTTTTTTGAGACCATCTTGATTTAATGAGAATAATTTTTGGGAATTGAACACGGGAACACTATCGGCAGGGAAACCCAAGAGAAAGCAAAAAGAAGAGGGTTTCTACTTTCATTTTACCATTCGTGAATTTCGCCACGTTTGGGCTTTTGGACGCGGACGACTTTGTCGCAGTTGAGTAGGCAGAGAGGGTCAAATGCTTGTTTGAGCTGTTGTTGAGAAGTACATTAGCCTTTGGATGGACGATAGATGCCAAAAAAGCCCAGAGAGAAAAATTGAAGAACACGAAAGCGGAGAATGGGAAAGAGGAGGAGAAGAGCTTACTCGTCTCATGGCATCGACAGTGTCCTGGTTGAGTTCGTGCTCCAAGTAGTCGCGCTTGATGAGGCCGACGCCGTGCTCGCCAGTGGCGGTGCCTTCCATTTCGAGAGCACGTTTGACGAGACGATGGACGAGTTCTTCAGTCTTTTGGCGTTCCTTGTCATTGTGCAAGAGGATAGCTGTAACAGGGTAACACGCAAGGATTCGTTAGCGGTTCTGAATTTAAATGGTCAAAATGTGGAAAAACTCACCATGAAAGTTGCCATCTCCGGCATGGCCTACTATCGCACCGAGAAGTCCAGACTTCGTCATGTCTTCCTTGGTCTCTTCAATAATGTCAGGCAGTCGGGAAATAGGCACAGCTACATCCGTGGTCCAGACATGGTCGCCCGCGTCGCGCTTCAAGGACATGACGCTGAAAAGGGCCTGTTTGCGGGCACTCCACAGCTCAACGGCCTCGTCTTTGCTTGTGGCGAACTCAAAGGATTTGCTGCCCTTGGATTTGGCCAGCTGCTTGACGATGCTAATGTGCTCCTTGACGGATGCAGGAGTGCCGGCGAATTTGAAAAAGAGCGTTGGTACCTCTTTCCAGGACCGACTCGTTGCGCCGCTCTCGTTGATCACCCTCATTTGCACATCGTCCAAGATCTCGATGGCGGCGACTGGAATGCCCTCGCCGACGACCTTGGCCACGCAATCGGCAGCTTGGCGGACCGTTCCAAAGCTCGCAACCGCGACACTTTCTTCCTTTGGCTTTACCGTTACCTTGAGCGTAGCTTCGGTTACCAGACCCAGGGTGCCTTCGCTGCCGATAAACATTCGCGTGAGATCGTAGCCTGCGCTGGATTTCCGGGGTCGCTGCCGTGTTTTGATAATGGTGCCATCGGCGAGAACAATCGTAAGAGACAAGACCCAATCCCGCATCGTACCGTAACGATAGGCATTTGTTCCAGAGCATCCTGTTCCAACCATTCCGCCAATCATGGCGCCCGGGCCCGGGTCCGGAGGGAAAAACAGACCCTCTTGAGCAAGTTCTTCATTGAGAGATTCCCATCCTACAGCAGGCTGTACGATAACATCTAGATCATTCTTGTGCAGAGCCAGAACCTTGTCCATGCGCGAGAAATCAATGCAGATGCCTCCTCTCGTGGCGGCAAAGTGACCCTCCAAACTAGTTCCACCCGAGTAAGGTGTGATGGGAATGCGGCGTTTGTAGCAGACCTTGACAATTTCGCTGACCTCTTCAGTCGATGCCGGACGCACAATAGCAAATGGCCGATCGTTCTCTTGAACCTCATAAGACGACCATTCGCTCCCCGAGTGGTTCCGAATATCCCCTTCCTGGGTAGATACGTTGTCTTGGCCGACAATCGCTACCAGGTCAGCCCATGATGACTGGAGATTCCTCGGGGAGGTGTCATGCCTTGGTGCCTTTGCCTCCGCCAACGTCGTCGTCGATGCTGTCGATGGCTGACCCACCGTCGATGACCCTAGAAAGTAGCAAAACAGCGAAGAGCTAAGGATGACTATGAAATGTAGATTATCAGTTTCAGTTCTGAATACAAATTAGGTACTGTTTGAGGTGTAAGTTTGCCAGAATGAAAACGTACCAAAGGTCAATGCACCCCTCCTCGCGCCAGAGGTTTCCCAAATGCTGCTTTGTTCCGCCAATTTCCGCTGCTCCGCACGCTCTCTCTTCACCCGCTGGGCTGTACTTTCATACAATTGAGCCCTGAACGAACGTTCCGGTTCTCCTTTGGGGGATGAGAAGTATCTCCGATTGGAAAGGGTTTGCCTGTAGGCCTGTCTAGAGGTTGCGACTGGTGTATGGCCGAGCCTGGACGTCGGCGCTCGCAGGCCTCTCCAGGACGAGGCCAAGGAGATGTAATTGGCCCGTGGCGCAGCCATAACAGTAGAAAGGACGTCCAAGGATACACGAGACAATGAGAGTTAATCCATGCGAATTGAAAACGATACAGCTTGTAGATAAATGTTTCGTGTCCGTATACCGGAGTAGTCCTCTATCGGGGGCAACGAGGTCGGGGACCCCTGCATGTCATCATCTCTCAACAACATGATCTCATTTTATCCGAGATAAGTCCCCAGCTGTCCTGCTGTTCCCCCGTGTTCCCCCGTTTGTCCCCAGTCGGCTATCGGTTCCGCTTGACTTCGGCCGAGCTGCTTGATTCGGAAAGCAACTTTCGACCACACCAAAGCTCTCACGAGTAGTTACCAAGCAGAAACTTTTGACTCTTTACATTACACATTAGCATACTCTAAAATTGAACTCGAATTGCCACGTCAGTATGTGCCGATTGCCTTGGAGGTACAAATTTTTTGATCCAAATGACGTCGTTGATGGAGTTTGGCATGATGGAATGAAATTATAATTTGAAAGATCGGAAGAAGTTTATGAAAAGCATTGTAATAATTATGCTTCCCACCTATATTATTTATTATATCGCCATTTTTTGCGCCTATCGTTGTGAAATATAGAAACGCCTACATCACATGCCCACGTCGTCCTGTATGGATGCCTCAACAGGGAATCGAAAAAAGAAAAGGGAGAAACCAGACTTAAAGACGACACCGTCCACCAAAGACCCTGACCAACATGTTTTAATCATAGTTGTCTCTTTTCGGTGATGGAATCTTTTCAAAAAGGGTGGACAAGCGTAGGAAATTATTTGTGATGCATCGTAGAATAATACTCCATGCTCCGATAACCTTCACCAAATGCATTGAAAAAATCATATCTCTTTGCAACGAGACCCTCATAGAAGCTCGACCTGTCTTCCCTGGATATTCCTCGAGTCAAGCCGGAGGTCAGATGAGCTCACACAAAAGCATTTGCTAATTGGACTACGATGATGGCTTTGCCGCCGCCAACGTGTGCCAGATACGCGTCCAACTCATCATCTTCATCAATCTCAAAGGAAACCTCATTGCCATTCCCATCCTTGACCATTCCCTCGATACGCACGATGGATGTCCCGGGATGCTTTGCTGTCGCCAGCTGACGCAACTCGGCCACAGAATTAGATGTAAGAGTCCCAAGCCACAGTTTGGGCGCAGAAGGCGGCATTTGCGACAGAGGACTAAGGCGGAAATAAATGGGGATGGTAGTAGGAGGCGGCGGGTACGGCGTCGCTGAGACAAAGGATGGTGTGGCAAATTGATGATGTTGCTGCTGTTGATCCATGGTAAGGGATGGATCGTTTGCAGCAAGCAGGAGCGAAGGATCAATCTGCAAGTCACCATGGTCTGGTTGCATCGGGGTCGGAGGACCCACCGCGCGGGCCACAGGCGGAGCAGCAGAGGAACCCGCAGGCACACCAGCAACAGGCGAAGTAGTCACGGTGTCAGGATGCGGCTCTGCCTCTGGAGAAGCCAAAGGTGGTAGCGCCGCTGACGCCGATGCTGATGTAGACTTTTTCCGGGATGGATCACGCTTCGTCTGGTCGTCGCGTAGACGTTTCATAACATCGCGGCAAAGTACCTCGATAGCCTTGACTTTGGTCGCATGATTGGGATCCGCATCACCGGGAGCAAGAATCTGCTTGAGAAGATCCGAGCTCTGAATCCACTGATCTTTGAGTTCCCGCCAATGTTCGTCTCCTGCCTCTAACTTGCTGGTGAAATGGTCGGCCCTCAGAGTCTCATAAAAGGCGTTGCGAATCTGTCGACTTTCTTCTGGGTTGATGTTCAACGCATTCTTGGCTTCGGCAATGGTCATTCGGCGCTCAAGAGTCCGCATTCTCTTTGTAACATCAGTACAGACGACATCCAGCGCCAAAGCCTTGGCATCGAGTTGCGTATTAGAACCCCAAAACACGGATTGTAGATGTGGACTTTCCGCGATGAGTCTGTCCTTGGCTGCTTGCCATCGTTCTGGACCCGCCAGAGTCTTCTTCACAAACCCACACTCTTCGCAAATTCTTTGAAATTGATCCCGGATCTGACGATAAAGCTCATTGTCCAAGCTGAGAAGTTGTTTGCTCTCATCGATTGTAGTTTCCGATGGAAACCTGGGAGGTCCAGGAGGATCAGCAGGAAGCCCAGCCCAGCCCCGGGTTCGGCGTCGTCGCTTTCGAGCGGCCCATCTTTCTGCGCTTTCCGCTTGCAACTTCTCAAGGCGCTCCCTCCTCTTCGCCAGGACTTCCGGGGATAGATCGGGCTCAGGAATCAATGGAACGAGCGCCGCAGCAGTGGCTTCGTCCAATGCACCGTCCTTATTGTCTTGCTGCTGGAGGAGAACCTGCTCGAGCTCCTGCATGGTGGTATCCCCATTGACTGGGGGAGGCGGCGGTGGTGGTGGCGGTGGAGCCGGGGTGACTTGAAATCGCTGCGTTTTCATGCCGTTGGGAACACGCAGGAGCCATCGATTCTTTGCGCGTACCCGCATAAGCTCACGCTCCTTAATGTCGAATCCATCCTCCTCGTTAAGGATTCGAAGCATATCCTTCTGGCTAGTATTACGTTCCCATAGCTCCTTCACACGCGCCACCAAGGGCATGTTTTTGTGCGCCGGATTCTGTTTGCTCGGAAACTCCCATCGCTTGAATTGCGTTTGAAACGCGCGTTTACTATGTATCCGGTCATCGCATTAGCTTTCTTGCCTCATGGCTAGAATACACAACTCCCATCGCGTAACGATTTTGACAACATCAACAACGGGGCGATCCGGTCGCCGCAATACAACTGGCGCGGCATGGGTTCGCGGAGATCAGGTGCAAAGGGACGCGATAGTACCTAGGAGCGAAGTTATGTTCCGTCTTCATGTATTCCATGATCTCCTCCAACGATTTCTTCTCCTCAATGTACATCCGATAACATATCTCCTCCTTGCCCTCCCAATCGTAAACCATTTTGACGACTGAATTAAGTAGCTGAACCAAGGGAAGGGTATATTAAGGCGGAGGCATACAACCGTCGTCCCTAGAGGGTGACGATTGTACGATTGTTTTGGTAGTAAATTGCACTGTTGGCGCGAGAAGGGTGGCAGTTGTGCGCGAGAGAACGAAGGAGCAATACCGGAGTTTTCGATGCACGACGTGAAGGTAAGGTCAGTCGAAGTCGTTTGGCAGTGGTGTATCTGGCCAGTAGTAGAAAGTTGTCAAGGTCAAGGTGAAGAGTCCAGTGGCGCAAAAAGCGGAAAGAGGTGCGAGAAGTGGGGGAGGAAGGGTGAAGTTGGGTGACTGTGGGTATGTGTTCATTGTACGAGTAGGCGTATTGTGGCCAATTAGCCGTAAGGGGGTTTCTACACTGTCAACCCCCGTTTCGCTACGGGAGACGACAATGCAGTCACGTGCATTCCTCAAGTTTTACTGAGGTTCCTCGTTCCCAAAGAGGGCAGTGCTTCGTGTTTCCCAGATTAAATTTTAAATTCCTTGAGCCGAAAGCTCAGTAAGGTCAGGGATCTATTTAATGATCATAATCAATATATTTCTTAGCGTTAGGAAAGCTCCAACTTGTTTCTCCAGCCAAGTGACCCTCGTGTTTCTACACTAGTACTCGTCCCCATATCGTCTGCGCTCCCCAAACTCCTCTGGCACCCCATAGCCACGGTCATCTCCATACTCCTCACCACGCTCCAATGCTTCCCGCCCAGCATATCCTCGGCCCTCAAAACCTCCTTCATCGTAGCCTCGTGAACCAAAACCTTCCCGAGCTTCAAAAGCCGGCGGTTCCTCAAAGCGTCTTTCAAAGCCACTCGGTTCCTCGAATCTTTCATATTCATTTCCATATTCACGTCTTCCGCCCCCGAATTCACCGCCATATTCCTGTCGTCCAGATCTGCTCTCGTATCCATCGTAGGCAGGGCGCTCCTGGAAACGCGGTTCCTCAGAGAATCCGCTCGGCTCCCCATAACCCACGTTCTCTTCCCCATACCTGTTGCCATGATATCTCTGACGAGACTCGTTATCTGAGTCATTATCGCTGCCGTGATGTTTCTTATGATGGTGATGGTGCTTATGTTTATGATGTGACTCCCGTCCATCGTCGCCCGAGCCATAACGTTCTTGGTCATTACCAGAATTGGATTCATAACGACTATGAATGATCAGCTTAAGCAGGGCTATACTTCAGATACAGGTAAACTTACCTGCCCTCGGCAAATGAAAAGTCCTCATCTTGCCGTCTGTCTTCTCTTCGAACCTCACTCTCCCACTGCTGTGCAGGTCTCTCATATCGCGTCTCTACTCTCTCCTCATAGCCACCACCATAGCTTGGCCGGGTGTCCACTCTTTCTTCGTAGCCATATCCGGTGTCACCTTGACGGCCAAACTGCTCGTATCTTTGATAATCCTGGCGTCGACCTCCATCGGGATAGGCAGACTGAGTATATTGCGCCTGACCATATCTTTCTTCGTCTCCAGCGTAGCTTTGTGGGTGGTGACTGGTCTGCGTGTAGCTCTGCTGGTAAGAATTGTCCTCCCCATAGCCTTCGTTCTCAAAGATTTGCGTCTTGTTTTCACGGCCTTTGAACGCTGAGCCGAGCAGGTTGGCGCCAGCAGAACCGACTAGGCCACCCACGAGACCCCCTAGGGCCCCTCCACCAACTGCATCGCCAGCAAGTTTGCCTAATCCGCCCATGGAGTTCCCATTGTGGTTCCCGTTTCCGCCACCTTCTTGACCGAGAGCCTGCTGAACCTGCCCTAGAACGCCTCCTCCACCGCCGTGGTTGGAGCCCGCGTTATTACCGAATGACATTGCATTTGGCATCCCGAGAGGTTTCCCGCAGCCATGGCCACAATCTTCGACTCCCTCTTTGTGGTTTCGGCCGGTCTGAACGCCATCTCGACTAAGCTGGTCTCTCAGTATATCCCGTTCCTCGTCATTCTTTTCGCCCCACCACTGTTGTACGACTGAGAACATGAGTTGGCGTCCATCTCGTGCTCCATCATCACCGTAGTCCCGAAGCGCCGGATGGTGAAAGACGCCATGGACAATGCGGTTCATCGTCCGCTCTACATCGATACGCTCATCATCCCAACAAGCAATCACTTGCGGGACAGCCCATTTGAGAACCTGACAGGCAACCTTACCGGCCGGCTCATTAAGAATGTTTGAAAAGTGGTCCTTGGAAAGCATCGAATGAGTCGGGTCGGTAGAATGATCGTCGTTGAAAACAATGAGCTGTTTTTCCCGGCTGCTCTGAATTACCTCAGAGGACCCGGTAGAAAGCTCGGCCTTCACCTGGTTGATGATGGGGAGTATAAAAGGGGCCAAGAGAGAAAAGACAAACATGTTGATCTGATCCTGTAGCTGTTCAATGAGATCGGGAAGGATGGGAATCTTCTCAATGAACTCGGCAATGGACTTCAGAATGTCATCATGGAATTCAAGGATAGGGTAGATTTGCTTTGAGATATTGTTGAGCTGTTTGGTCCACTCTTCCGGCTCTCGGGGCGTGATGTGCATATTCTGCATCTGCGCCGCCTGGGAATTTGCTTGGAGCTCGTTGACCTTGCCGGCCTGGTCTTTACCTCCAAAAATCCCAGACGGCAACTTGTCCAGTAGCTCTTGAAGCAGACTCGAGTTGGAGTTTTGTTGAGAATTCTGCAGAGTGCCTTCGAGTTCCTGAATTTCCGACTGGGTAGCCTTATCCGAAAATTCTCCCATGACCGAATGAAGAAAATCGACGCCGCCAAAAGTGCCTGTGACGATTGGCCAAACGGCATGTCGGGCACCGGGAATATTGAGCTGCGTACGTCGTCCCACATGCGGAAAAATGTCTCGCTCTCCCAATTCAATTAGCGCCAACTCGGTATAATTTGAATGGGCAGAATAGTCCCTGTTTCAAAAATCAGCAAATTCAAGCCCTGTGCCATTATACCATTTTCTGTCTTTCCTTACTCGAGAGTGTGATTTGCAGTGCCCAAAAGTCGAAGAGCTTCATAAAGGTCGGCATGATTCTTCGTGTGTGCATAGCGGCGACCAAAGTAGATGCTTCGGCCGTACGTCTCTCGTACAAACCCTGCAGAGGTCGTGATTCCGAGGCCTTCAGAAGCGATATAATTCTTCAAACCAGTCTGCAGACCTAAATTAGCTTGGATCAAGCTTCAATCGGAAAGCGAGAATCCTTACGCGATGGTCGACGGAGAGCTCACGCTCTTCGTCTACTGGTCCACGCAGGCGGCGATCGTACTGACGAGCATCAACATTATCGGCGTAGTCTTTTGGATTGTCAATGTGTTCTTCAGGACGATAACAACCAAGTCGTTCTGAGGTGACCTCAAATTCCTTTGTTCCATAGCCGAAGCTGAGAAAGCCCAGAACCCACAACAGGATACGGATAGCCTCAGAGCTGACCATCTTGACGGTCCCGACATCGACGGCTTGACTGTAATCTCTCATCCAGTTTCCAAAGTAGCTATGTGCTACAGCCATCTTGGTAAACTTTTTGCCTCCTGCCGCTCGCGAGAGGAGCAAGGTGAGAAGGGTATCCTCAATATCTCCATGGCGAAAGTTGTGGCCTTCTATGCGAGCTGTTGATGCGATATTCCCCGCCCCAAAAGCATTTGATGGACAAACACAGAAACAGAGAAAGAGCAAGGCCGCCCAAAAGACCAAAGACCGCGAGGAATTCGACATGGTGGTGAGGCCTGCGGAAATCTTCGTTCGACAGAAGCTCTCTTGGAATCTGACAAGAAGCTCCAGGCCGAACGGGACAAAGTTGACAAAATCTAAAGCGCGACAACAGGATGATCAGGGTACTCAAGTCGCTCCAAGAAGATGTGGGATCGCAACATTCAAGGAGAATAAAAAGCAGGAGACTTGTGAATAAAGCAGAGACTGAGGGTCTGGTGACGTTGTCAGTTGTTTTGGAACAACACGGATAGTGGGGCTCGGTGGAGCCGAGGGGCAATGCTGTAACGAGCAGCGTGCGGTTGATTTGTGTCCAACCGATGGTTGGCCTTCCCGCAGATGGGGCATCTTGGCATTTCTGGGCACAAGGCGCTTCGAATGGTGAGCGCCGCTTGAGGGCAAAATATGCGAAATTTGCGGCATGTTTTGGTATCAAATCATGCAGACGGAGAGAAGATCGTGGGATGTTTACTGCGGAGAATTATAGTCTGGGGAAATCCCCCCTCAAGGTACACATGAACCCACGTGTGGAGGAGCTCATAGCGACCAGACTATCGGCAGGGTCCCAGCTGGAGAAGGAAAGGGCGGCCCGCGTCTCTCTGTAATGAGTTAAGCAGTTTACTTAACCCAGAGTGCAAGTTTCCTATTGTAAGGAGTATCGAACTGGCAAGAGAGCGCCCTTTTCGGTTAAATTTCCGCGTGTCCAGTGTCTTGTCATCTTCAAATCAAGCCGTCTCCCGTATAGAGGTATACAGAGTACCACTGGCATATGAGAGAAACATTCCCGAAGTAACTCGGATAGTCTACAAGACCTTCAACATGCTGTAGCTCGTCGCCAATAACATGGACCCATTTCAATTTGCCATGACTTTAACAATTTATACTTAGGAGCGGGTTTGCAAAAAAACAATGTAAATAATCATTGACTAAGAAACCCCTTTTTCTTTTCCTGCAGTGGTCCCAACCAGCTCCACAGAAGAATGAAAATTTTCAATGAAATTTGACTTGGGCTTCTTAGCTTCAACATCCATCATATGCAGTTACGCAGAGAAAGGGTCTTGGGCGATGCAGAGGAGACAGTAGATCCCCGTTACGATTCTCTAACGGAGTATGTCCCTACCGTATAGTTATGACTTGCGGAGCGTGCAAATCGGGTTGTTATGAATAAGAGAACCTGCCCCAGCCAAGCTTGGAAGGTATGCTCGTAGAGACTGTACGGAGTAGAGGAGCGAAGTGGGGGTTGAAGGGGCTGTCAACGATGACGGCTAAAACGTTTCGGTTCGGAAGGTTACCACTCGGTTCAGATCGCACCCTCTTCGTCCCGTCCAGGTTACCCCGGTGATACCTGAGTGAGTTGAGCAAGTAGCATGATTGGGTGGGTCTTCCTCAAGTACCGTAGTTTTCGTGTTGCAACTGAAAAGCACGATTCCTTTCCTCTGAATGGTATATCGGGGCAGTGCTGAATCGAAGGGTGCTCCGGCCCTTTTCTTTACCCAGTACCCTACCTGATGGACAGAGCATACTTGTAAGCTCTTGAACGCTGCCATCAAGGGTGATGTACATCTTTGGTCGTTCACTGTGCGAATATAATTACCAGAGTACGGTACATTAGGTAGTATAGCTCTGGCCCGGCTAGGGGGCGTCCCTGTCGATCCCAAACCCAAACGGATGTGGAATTGCAACGCGGGTGCTGCTGTTTGAGTGAAAGATTTTCGACGGCGAGCATCTCGGTTTCCACGGGAATTTTAGGTCATTTATCGTTCCATGGGACCCTCGATCTTGCCTCGCTCATCTTTGCCGCACAGGCATCGCTTCGATTCCTCCTCCAGTCCTGGTCCCCCTCAGTGCTTTCCCCTCTTCTCGTCTCTACACTGTGCTGTACTACTGTAGTGCCCTCCCTCGCTCGTGCTCTCCAGCCGAGACTCCACCGCATCCGGCGGGTCCGTTAGGCCCCCCGAAGCCTCCCCATGTCGTTCTCCTCTTACCGAACAGTCCACTCCTCTTTCACCTCGCAACCTCAAAGACCGGCCTCCGACCAATGGAGGCAACTAAAAGGGGGATCATGAGTGAGAAGGGAGAAGGTCAGATCTTCCTATACTGGGCAAACACTCTCTCGTAAAGTTCGAGTGGGCGGCGGTTAATGAACCATTCTCGATCGGTTTGACATTTACAGTATGTCAGTGGCTTGAAAGGGTTGAGGGTTGAGGCACCCTTATCACCCAAGCGAATAATACATTTGCGCCGATAATTCCGTCCCGGACGAGCCATATGTAGCTCAAGTGCGCTATCACGCCCTCCTAATTCACTTGATCCTCTCCATCATCTTCGGATTTAAAACCATCCCGAGGAACCTTGGGGGGATACAGAGTTAAATCATCGTATTGATGGACAGTCTTTGTCCTGTGTCCATAACCTACGCCCATCAGTCTAATGAAAACATCTCCAATACAGACGATTTTGTGCATTGCGAGTACCTCCAGCAAAAGACGCAACAGGCTATCATCCCCAAATCCATGAGGGCAGCCCCCTACAACAGGGTCGGTGAAGAGCTCGTGCTATGAGGCGCATCCAAAATCGGTTAAGATAAACAGCCATTGCGCTGCCACTTCCGAGTGTCCGAAGGTGTTGTCATTCTTATTTGCGGTCTCGCAAAACCCTGGCTAAGTTGTCGGACTTGTGCCAGTCCGGCACCACCAACGAGCCTGGTCCGACGGTCGGCAGTGAGCGCTAGACCTGAGTTCGGCCGACCTATAACCCGCCTACCTCCCCACATCTCATACGGTGAGGAGAGACTGGTTAGCTATCCGTCTCTTGAAGGGTGCGGTGGGAAGTCTGTTTCTTGGAGAGGATCGTCGTCTGTTTGTGCTTCGCCTGCAGTCCTTTCAAAATAGACACAAGGTTCAGACCCTTTCTATTTGTCTGATCACCAAAACAATCTCTCATCATCCCACATTGCTCCAAACAAAAACAATACATTCGAGAGATAAAGCGTTTGTTATGATCATGGCATTCTCGCTACGAGGCTGACCCGATTTTGGTGTCTCTGAGCCTCATTGTGTTGCGCGGCGCTGAGGCTTCGTGGCGGCGCATACAACGCTGAGCATGGTGAAGACGCGTCCCGTTCGCCCTTCGCTCTCATCGCTGCGGACTGGGAGCAGTACACTTTCCCGTCACTCGATTTCTACTGACGCGGCGGCGACCTCGTCCTGCACTGAATCATTACCAACAGACACCTCGTACTCGGTCTCGACCCCGTCTGATGGATTCAACTACAAATTGGATCCGAAACCCCCTCAAGAAATGTCTCCGGCCATGTCGCACTCTCCGGCGGCCATGACGATACCAAAGGTGCGATCGTCAAGTCATGGAGCCATTTCTGCTTCGCGGTCCGCTTTCGTTCACGGAAAGTTGCACAGGCGGGGGAACTCAACCTCGTCCGTTCAGAGCCCAGACGCGACCAGTGCAAACCACCATGACATGGATTCTTTCCCCTATGCAAGTGACGATCACGATGGACCTGATCATTTCCCCAATACAACATTGAAGCCGACTTCAACCACAAAAATAAAGCCCCTCTTACGCAAACTTGCCCCTCGGGAAAGGAGCTCCCTGGACTTGTCCCGATCCGCAGCGGATAACGAAGCTCTACCAGGCTTGGGCATATACGGGTCGGATATGGGCGTGCCTACACAGTCGGCGGCGGATGTGAATTTCAGTCACGCTGTTCCGCGTGGTGGATATCATCAGCGATCAAGCAGTGGCACCTCCCAGTTCTCAAGCCAGACGGCATCGAGCGCGCGCCGTCCCAGTGGGCAATATATACACCCTATGCGCCAAACGCCCCGACCGTACACGCCTTCCCTTGGCCACTCCCATTCAACTTCTATCATGAGTAGTGAGCCACCAGAAGAGGAAGCAGATGTTATCTACGAAACGGCCGCTCCCCGGCGATCGTTGTCGATTGGTGGCAGCGCTCCTGTTCAACGACCCCCTCTTCGCGTGCAAACGAGCATGAACTCGGTGCCACGCATCGGCCATGGATCGCAAACGAGTCTCTTGAATTCCCCCTATTCCATTCGAGCCCGGACCGACACTCTCCGCTCTGTTGACACGGCTTCCCCAAGCACGCGATCATCCCTGGATCGAGGGTTTCGAATCCGTACTCGCGAACCTCTCGATCCCGCCTCTCGAGCTGCGTCCATTCGAGCTGCCAGACAGGCGTTTAGCGAGAAGGAAGAAGCCAAGGCTCGCAAGGCCGAGGAAGATGAATATAAAGCAGCATGTCGTGAACATCGCAAGCGCGAAAAACAAGAAGAAGGCGAGCGTCGCAAATCCGAATCGCGGGAGTTTCGAGCTCGACGCACCAGTAGCTCGTTGAACGAGAAAATCGATTCATTACCGGGCCGTGAATTCGCTGGTTTGACCCCTGTACAAAGTCGCGATATTCCACCTCCAACTCCAAATGTGTACGTGGATGCTGCAGGCCCGGCATCGAATATAACGACCAAACGTGCCATCAAGAGCAAATGGATGGGCTTCTGGACTTGGCTTCGGACGAGGGTGTTCAAGATCGGAAGGAAAGTCAGCCATGCTGTATAAAATGACAGCAAAATTCTTCTGCGGGCAGAAGAAAGGCCAGACAGCCTGTTTCCTCTAGGTCATGGCAAAAGCCAAGTTCTGTCAGAGCTGAGCTTGCTCTCTCTTCTCCCCAATCCCCTCATCATCTTCCTTCCTCTCCAAAGCAAGACGAAGCACTCAATCTCAAAGCTAGGCCACACTATGGCAATACCCTGGGTTGTAGTTCTGTCAATACTTTCGATCATCGTACATAGTATATAGCTTGTAACGACTGCCTGGCTCCGATACTCAGCATTCTTTGGGCTTGGCAGACTCCACCCCTTTTATCTCGCATGTGTCATTCTCATTTGTGAAGCATTCTTTTTTCTTTTTTGGCATTGTCATTGGATTTCCTAACTCATGGCGTCATCTCACATCTGATCAAGCTCTCAGGTTCTGGCTTGCAACAAATATTTGTGCATTTTCATACTGCATCTGTCTTTCTTTTGGGTTATCAAGTGTGGCCTGGCTCACAATTGGAGTTTTCTTTTGCTTTACTTATTTCTACCTATCTTTTCATTGGAAATATGATTTTTCCTTATCTTTGTGTTTACGTGTGTGTGCGTGCGCGCGTGTGTGTCAACATTCTTTCCAGCAACTTCTGCTGCGGTACTCTACGCTGTCCATAAGTTTAGAGACTGCGAAAAGGCTGTGCGTAGACCTGATTACAGTGCAGAAACTGTTTTGTTAAGGCAAGACTGTCGTGAAACTGAAACCCGGCAACATATCGGCCTTGACAAGCACCTCTTGTCTCGCTGCCTCGAAGACTTGTTCTTTCATACCTAAGTTTCAGGACTGATTGACTGTGCATGGCGATTGAAACCTGAGACCCTTGGCAAATCAACTATGCCTCCCACTTGGGATTTATCATCTGAGCGCAACAGCAGCAGTGAAGTTTTCGCTCGGTTGCTGTTGTTGCACTACTGAGGTAGGTACTTTTTTTCTACTGCTACTCTTGGCTAGGGATTTACCTACGGTAGGTAGTTGCTGCAGCCGCTCAGATGGACCAGATAGCTTAATATTCTTCGACACTGGGAAAGGGTGAAGTTTCATAGGAGAAATCTAGACCTTGAAAGACTCCGCCTCCTAAGTCTTTGGCGTTCCCCTTAATTGGTCGTCTAAATGGGACTTCATCAACGCCCAGTCCTTCTTCATACTGGAAGCAGGGGAGAGCGGCCCACGAACGAGCTCTACTGGGGTGAATCCTATTGTACTGCACGTCTTTGATTTTTGGCAGGCAGTCAAAAGGAAACTAAATTTCCGTAAAGGCCAGAAAGAGCGCTATGGTTTGCCATCCAACAGTTTTGAGTCGTAGCGCGAGACGTTATCACAACTATCCATTCCTTTTCCAGCATTGCTCACCTCGACAATAACGACAAATGAACGTGAACATAATCCCTGTTTTGCAATGAGCAATCTGCATGCAGATTCTGTCTGCTTCTCTAAAGGATATCCAAATCTGCTAAGCAGCGCAAGAAACTAGTTACTCTCCCGGCTGATCTTCCCTAAAATGGACCCGTGCACTAATGGTCTGAATATTGTTATACTCTCCCTCAAAATGCTCCACCCCGCACCCTGTTGTTTCCGTCATGGCTACCCAACTATCTCCATATCCCGACGGCATTGACCAATTCAAAATTTCAGTGGAAGGAAAGTGACAGAAATCGCTCTACTGACAGTTGTGGGTGACTCTGGTTGAGGCGTAAAAAAAAGGCCGATTGACTCAATCCTAGTCGATTTGCCGTCGATCAATCAGAATCTCCATCATCTTCCATCGATCTCTCCGTCTCTCGGCTGCTCCCTTGACTCCCATCTTAGACCATGTGGGAGCGCCACATCCGTCGTCTCTCGCCATTTACTACTGTCGCCAAACTGACAAACTTGGTTGAATCCCTTTACCTGTCATTCATCCTGCGTTTCATCAGGACGAGGCGTGCCGAGGCTGTGGCGCTTCTACGTTCATGAATAACCCCAGATCCATCTTCACCGTTCCACGAGACTCCAATCGTGGCCAAAACCACTCTCCCTCGCGTCCAGATCAGAGTCAGAAGCGTCATACACCCGCGACACCCAGCCAAGCAGCTGCTTATTCAACTCCTCAACCCTTTCGCCCGCCAAACTCCTCTGCAGATCGTGGATACAGCCCCCGCCCGTTCTACCATCCTTCTGTTACGCCGTCGGAACCAACTCCAGGGCATACCCACCGCCATCCTACTCACCAGAACCTCTCGCAGTCGACATCATGGTCGTGGTCCACCTCGAATACACGCCCTAAGGCGGAATCTACTGAGCCGTCTTCCTCATCTTCGTCTCTGAGCGGAGCGCCTCTGTCCCCAAAGTCCTCCGTGCCGACCATTGCGGGTAGAAAGAGGAAGGCCTCCCTGCCACTTGAGGCACAGAACCTCGACTCGACCAAGAGTGCGGATCACGGCTTACACCGACGAAGAAAACGGCAGTGGCTGAGGTCTCGTCACTCGCTCGATTCAGCCTTGTTCAACCGCGGCGCTGTCAACACCAACCCAGGCCCCCCGTCGCCGCTCTTCTTCTCGCGCAAGTCCCGAGCAAGGCCGCCGCTGCCACCCCGATTCTCAACCGAGGAAGCTGGAGCCAAGATGCTGAGCAAAGCGCGTGGCGAAGATACCACCGTGAAGACGGTTACGCTCGCGCGTGGCAGCTTCGCTGGTGGGAGCCCACCTCGGGCAACTAGCACGCCTGGCAGTCGTGCCTCATTCAACCGCATCAACTTGCCTCGAAGTATCACTCCCGACCTTGGCGAACACGCTCCGGGCCTGCAGCTCCTCGCTCAGGTTGGTTTGGCTGAATTTCTGGAGCATGACGATCGAGCATGCTTTGTCATTGACCTTGCAAATGCTACCAACTACGGCCCTGGTCCTCTACATATTCTGTTCGCAAATTCAGCCTTGCGCGCATCTGGCCGACTTTTGAGGTCCATTGCTGGTGAAGGCATAACGCCCATGTCGCCTGGGCCCGGACCCCCTTCATCATCGACGTCGTCGTCTTCTTCCGTCTTCTCCGAGTTCAAAGCCTGGGCCACCGCCTTGGTCACAGAATCAAAGTCTGTCGATGCGAACCTGCCTCCATTTACTCACGCAGGCGTCACATGGACCAGTTTGACAATGAGGAAGAGGTTTCGCATAATTAAGGCCCAGGTAGTTCCGCCGGCTGGAACTCTCCCCTCTGAGGGTTCTTCTGCGGACTATTCAAATCCACCCCTCACGGAGACTTCAATCGTTTCTGCAACTTTATCGGTCGATGGTCGCCGAAATGACATGGAGGTGGAGACCAAGGATCCAGAGGAGCCGCAGGATTACTTTTCCGGTGTGCCCTTGGCAACCATAGGTACCGTACATGGAGCAGTGAATTCCGAGGACCCCCCGCTCTCGACCATTGAGTCTCCTGGAATTTCCCATAGCACGCGTAAGGAAGGGTTGGGGCTTCCCGAGCCTTCGCCTGGCAATCTTCAGGACACTGAGATCTTCATGTTTGAGCAAGGTTCCCCGGCTCCAGCAAGTCTTCCTCTACCTAGTGCGAGCACCGTGCTGTCCGAAGCACTTGTCAGTCCGCGATCTGCCTTAGACCGGGGATTTTTTGACTGGACACGACTTGCGAATTCTCCCGATCTACCTTCGCACATACAGTTTGCCCGGAGTGTTGATTGGGCGTCGACTAGTTTAGGGCCTATGGAGACGTGGCCGGCTGATTTGCGGCAGATGTGCAACCTAATCATGGCAAGTCCACATCCAGCCGCATTGTATTGGGGCGAAGATATGGTCACACTGTATAACGAAGCATACATTCTCTTGGCCGGCCAAAAACACCCGAGGATCATGGGCCAGGCATACCGAAAGGCATGGGGTGAGATCTGGGACGAGATTGCCGACGTCATCGAGAGCGCCAGACTGACCGGTCAGGCGACGATGAAGGTAAGAATTCAATCCTGCTTTGGCAACCAAAATCGATGGCAAGTTACTCGGGGCTAATATTTGTGACGGAAAGGATGATGATTGCTTGTTCATCAATCGAGGAAGTGGTGAGCTAGAAGAGTCTTACTTTTCATGGTCCATCATTCCATTGGTGGGGGAGGATGGGTCAGTTGTTGGATTGTACAACCCGGCCTTTGAAAAAACGCGAAGAAAAATCGCAGAGCGACGAATGTTGACTCTGCGCGAGGTGGGAGAGCGGACAGCGGTTGCTCGAGAGGTGAAGGACTTTTGGGCGCAAGTTCTGAAGGGCTTAGAGTATAATGACTACGACACGCCTTTTGCGCTCCTCTATTCGGTCGAGGATGAGTCTGACAGCGATGGGTCATCGACACATTCCAGCAGCGTACGGAGTAACAAGCAGTGTATTCTAGAAGGGACATTGGGCGTGCCTGAAAAGCATCCTGCTGCCAAGTCTCAATTGGACCTTCGTACGTCGACCGAAGGGTTTGCCCCCGCATTCCGAGATGCGATCAAAAGCGATGGGCCCATTTTGCTGGAAATCGAAAAAGGCACTCTCGCCCAAGCTCTCATGGAAGGCATCCAATGGCGGGGTTTCGGTGACCCATGCAAGGCTGCCGTAGTGTGTCCTATTCATCCTACGACTGGCGACTCGGTCTTAGGCTTCCTTGTTATTGGAGTAAATCCTCGTCGGCCTTATGATGAAGATTACAATCTGTATCTCCAATTGCTGAGTCGGCAACTTGCTACTTCCATGGCATCCGTTGTCCTATTTGAGGAAGAAATACGGCGAGGAGAAAAGGCTGCAAGACTGGCAGCGCTCGATCGAATTGAGCTCTCCCAGCAGTTGGCTGCACGGACGAAAGAGGCCGTTGAAAGCGAGACCAAGTTTACAAGGATGGCCGAGTTTGCCCCAGTTGGTATGCTCATCGCCAACTCTGAAGGGCATATCACCTACTGCAATGACATGTGGTATGAAATTTCTCGCCACCCTCGAACAGAGTTTGGTGCCGATACCTGGATCGATTCTGTTGTTCCAGATGACAAAGAATTAGCTAGGGATTTGTGGAGGCGCCTTGTGATCGATAAAATTCCATCCTCTGCCGAATTTCGCTTTCAGACGCCTTGGCAAGACAAGGATGGCAATGTGGCGGCAACTTGGGTCTTGTTCAGTGCATATCCGGAGAAGTATGAGGATGGCAGCTTAAAGAGCATTTTCGGGTGCATAACCAACATTAGCCAACAGAAGTGGGCGGAGGACTTTCAGAAAAAGAGAAGAGAGGAAGCCTTGGAACTCAAGCGACAGCAGGGTAAGTCTCTTCGATGTCTCGAGCGCACGTCCTGGTTGCAATCAATCACTAATTGATAATTTAGAAAATTTCATCGATATCACAAGTCATGAGATGCGCAATCCTTTGAGTGCAATTCTTCAGTGCGCCGACGAGGTTGTGTCTTCCCTGGACGAATATCGAGCGAATGCCAGTCAGGAAACAGAAGAACATGCAGAGCTGATCGAGGGCAGCATCGACGCTGCGCAGACTATCATGCTCTGCGCGCAACATCAAAAACGAATTGTCGATGATGTTTTGACACTCTCTAAACTTGATTCTGCCCTTCTCGTGGTCACACCTGTGGATGTCCAACCGATTGCGGTCATGGAGAGGGCTCTCAAAATGTTCGAAGGAGAGTTGCAAACCGCCGATATAGAGCTGTCTTTCCGCATTGACGATTCTTACCATGCATTAGGCGTGGACTGGGTCCGACTTGATCCGTCGCGCCTTTTGCAGGTCCTGATCAACCTCACAACGAATGCAATAAAATTCACGACCAATCAAAGCAAACGTGTCATCACTGTCGTTCTCGGAGCGTCAAAAGAGCGACCGTCAAACAAGGTTAGAGACGATGTCTCTTATTTCCCTTCTCGGGCGAAGCGAGTACAAGTCTGTGAAGGACCTGACTGGGGTGATGGCGAAAAAGTGTTTATTCATTTTGCAGTCAACGATACAGGACGTGGGCTTAGCGAAAACGAAAAGAAGCTGCTCTTTCTCCGATTTTCTCAGGCCAGTCCAAGGACTCATGTGCAATATGGCGGCTCGGGTCTAGGTCTCTTCATCTCTCGTGAACTTACGGAGCTCCAAGGCGGCGAGATTGGCGTCTCGTCAGAATGCGGCAAAGGTAGCACGTTTGCATTCTACATTATGGCCAGTCGAACGGGTCCGCCGGAGAACCCAGTGGATCTCCTCCCCGCCCTGCCCAAGAAACTCTCAGGAGGTAAACTCAAGTCATCTCCGCGCTTGAAACCAGCCAAATCGATGGGCCCAGCTGTGCCGATCAGCCCAGTCAAGTCGGACAAGCCAGCGGGCAGAGAGGAACTCAAGGTTTTGATTGTGGAGGACAATTTGGTCAATCAACGAGTCCTTCAGAAACAGCTTCGCAACATTGGATGCGTCGTGCACGTGGCAAATCATGGCGGAGAGGCCCTTGAGCGGCTGAAGCAGTCGAAATATTGGCGAGGACGCGAGAGCGATGGTACGGATTTGACCGTAATCCTTATGGACCTGGAAATGCCTGTCATGGATGGTCTTACTTGCGCCAAGAGGATCCGTGAGCTTCAATCAAACGGCTCTATTACCAAACATGTCCCCATCATTGCCGTGACTGCCAATACTCGTCTCGAGCAGATTGACACGGCCCTTGCTGCCGGTATGGACGCAGTCGTATCTAAACCATTTCGCATTCCTGAACTTATTCCCAAGATCGAGGAGCTCTCGGCCAAATTCAAGCCAACTGCTCAGACTTCTTCGACGGCTTTTACTACTATACCAGAGGCCTCAATGTAACGTGTCTCGTCCGCTACACGTCCATCTTCAATCTCCTTTAGCCATTGCCTGGGTACCAATTCCCGTCTTTATCGGCTGGATTTTCCCTAATGGAGTTATTATAATATTGGAACCGGCGTTCACTGGATTTCCATTTTAACCTTACGAACATGATACCGATTTTTACAGGCAAGCGTTCCTGGGAAAGAGGAGAATGGGATCATGATACACTTTACATATCATATATTTCCAAACCGGACCCTTTTTTTTTTTTTTTTTTCAACCCCGACTTGTCGGTCACATGAAAATTGTTCCGAATTTGTTGAATGTCTTTTTCCTCTACAATTTTGCCCCCTTCATTCTTAGACGGCGGCTATTTCGTAGATATCCTTTTTAGTTGAACGGACCAACTTTTCCCTTCCAACTTTGGCTTGACATTCTATTCTTCTTCGCCAAACTTTGAGCACAGTTATCTGTCGGGTTACTATTTTGCACTATACGGGTCAAGGCCAGGATTTGCAGTGTGGATTAGTGTTATGTTTGCGAATGTTTCTGTGTATCGCTGGGTTCGCAATGTGCATCGCTGAGTCAATGACGAGGTGGACGACAGGAACGAAGTTAAGGTTCAGTTTGTAGATAGAAGTACATACACCTTTTCTAAGGGAAATGATAGCACATATATTCTCGGTCTGTCAAGTGAGCGTAGACTGCGGAGAGTGAGATCTAAGTCTCTATCGAATTTTACGTTGAATTCGTGCCTTTTTCTAACGTCGACGAGATGCATAGAATTTACTAATTTCTATAAGACAAAATGTTCACTTAGACTGAGAGGACGGATGAGAAAACCAAACTAATATTTGTTCACTCAGAGCCTCTTACACTGGCATGTTCTTACAAAGACCTCGACGTCATTGGTATACATGGAGGTAATACTTTACTCAGTGTCGGCCCAGCCCAAATCAAGGCAACAAAGGACTGAGAGGGCCAAAATTTCCACACTACATGGCTATCCTAAGTAATTTTTCATTCTCGTTTTCTTTCGAAATGAGCATGATCAACTCGCGATTCAAATTTTGCTAAGTTTCGTATTTAGTCTGCGAAGAGGACGTGTTCGACATCCATTATGGATTTCCAAGCGAACGTGTACGGTAATCCTTCACTGATCCAGGCCTCGAAGAATTTCAGTTCGCTGCCTCTTTACCTCATCCACGATGGCGGAGGGACGATTTATGCTTATCATTTGCTGCCGGATCTGGGACGAACCCTCTATGGGATCCACAATCCAAAGTTCGAAAGTGGGAACCAATGGAAAGGTGGTCTACTAGAGATGGCACAAACGTACGCGCGGGACATTGAGAAGACCAAGCCGCAGAATGGAATTATTCTTGGAGGTCAGTGCCATATGACAGAGAAAAAAAAAAGGCCTGAGAGAAATTATCCATCTCGAAGGACTCGTCAGAGCTCATGAAACAGATTGGGCTAAATCTCTTTCGTTGTTTTCCAGGCTGGTCTCTCGGAGGCATTCTAGCGATTGAAGTTGCTCGGAAACTTGCCGGCCGGGTCGCCGTTGCAGGCGTCATCATGATCGACTCGCCTTGCCCCAATATCATGGCGCCAGCGCAGGAACCCAAAGTTCCATTCCAAAGAAGCTGTCCGCCGAGGCTTAGAGAACGGGTTCAGAAATGCATCGGTGACTCGTTGAGAATGGTACAGAGGCACACTGCCCCGACCAAGCGAGCCGACTGGTCTGTGGCGCCCGGTCTTAGTGGTCCTGCTGGGCATGGAAATAGCGAAGAACCACCTCGTCTTCCATATATTGTGTTGCTTCGCGCGATAGGGAAATTACCCGAGGAGATCAACAAGACTGATACTGGAAGAGAGCTTCCTCTCCTTGGATGGGAGACTGGCGAGCTTGAATTGATCAAAAAAGTACTCGACGTTCCCGGCCATCATTTCAACATGTTTGAGGACCATGTAAGAAGCCTCTCCGTCTTTCATTCTGTCTATCTTAACAGGTGTCATCCTGAGCTAATGATATTTTGCCTCATCTAGCCTGATAAATTGGCAGCTCAGTTGAAGGAGGCTTGTGCGATCATAGAGACCAACCATAGTTCTTAAAAATTGCTGCTCTTCATCATAGCTTGCAGACTTCAAGGGCCGAGGAGGTATTTTACACCATTTGGTGACCAGGTAAATTCCAGTGCAGTTTTCAATCTAGAAATTTCACCATTATTTATTATTTTAGAGTGAAATATCCATTTTTAGACCATCTAGACAATATTCAGTTTTTTAATTCCATTTCACAAAATTTTTAATTTCCTTCAAAAAAAGTTCCGCCGGTAAAATGTCAAATTCTTCCGTCTATTGAGATAGACTCCTGAATATTGGAACATTTTTTTGATCTTGATCCTTTTTAGCATCTTCTGTAATATCTAAATAGATAGCCAGGCTCAAATAATATGCAGCGCCTGCGCCTATAAAGTCACAGTCAAAAGTAGGTAAAGGCTCAACTAACTTACAGTGCTAGAAGTAGAATAACCGACAGCCAAGGAGCGCTAAAATCAGGGTCCCTTAACCGAGAAATAGTTGACTTGTTCGCGGCAGATAAACAGCCTCCATACGACGATCCCCGTTTCAAAAGTAAAGACAGCGCAGATTAATGCTTTTCTGATACGGAATGAAGACATGATATTGAAATTAGAGGGTCGCCTTGTACTGTAATTTTCATGTGAATTCATATTCGAATCAAAGATACTGACATGAAGCTCGTGCTTATCATTTCTCAAGGCTCCTTGACTATCAACCCACCGGGATGGTGCAGTGGGTTTTTCCGGTCTTTCCGACCAACCCCAGATAATCGAGGGCGTCATTCTACAACGACTTGCCCACTAATGCACTCGCTCCAATGGTTCATTGGCCGATCTATTGCTTACGCACAACCAAGAAAAAGAAAGCCTGCCGTCGAGGAGGGGAACGCATGGATTCACACAACCAGCTCCCCACTTTCCGCAATCGCACCACTTAATTCGCCGGTTTTGCCGCAGTCTGCTTCAGAACCCTTGGGCAAATGACGCCCTCGCTCATGGAAAACTTTCCCTAGCCAGGCAGCTCATAACTTTCAACCGCCGGGGAACGATAATGTATCCGGCTCACTCCTATATAAAATGTCGCTAATGACGCCCTCGATGACGCCCTCGGACGGCACCCCGCTGCTTTCCTTGGTGCACAGGCATGGATGTTCGTTTTGTTGGTTTTGCAATCGCTCTTTCTTCGTTGAATGAAACTATAGTCTCAAGGCATTGGACCATCGAGCAAACATGCACCGACAAAATTTGCTTTGTAATTCCCACAGATCCACATGTCACCGGGCCGGGCAGAAATCTGCAAAATTTATCAGTCAATCAGCTTTAATAGAGTCACAATGGCGGTGGCCAGAGGCAGAAGATATGCATTATTTAAACCATTGAGTCCGCTCATGGTTTGGGAAAGTCTTGATATTCTTCTTTGCAAGTCAACTCGAATAGATCCGATTTTATATCTCAATCAGGAGACCAGCACTTCTCCCATACGCCCAACAGAAAATTCCATTATTTTGATATGAAGTCTGAACGCGCAAATCCCACCTCAGATACTGAGAGCCAGCCATTGAGCCCTGAGCCACCTCCAGATGGAGGCCTGACAGCATGGTTACAAGTCTTCGCGGGTCATTTAATCAATGCCGTGACCTGGGGATATGCAACCGGGTTCGGTGTCTTCCAAACGCATTACGAGCAGACGCTGGGACATTCTCCATCGGATATCTCTTGGATTGGTGGCGTGCAGGTCTTTCTGCTCTTTTTCATTTCAACATTCTCTGGACGAGCCACAGATGCCGGCCTTGCTCGACATAGCATCTTTTCAGGTTCGGTTCTTCTGGTCGTGGGCACACTTACCACGAGCTTTGCGACAAAATACTGGCAGGTCTTCCTTGCACAGGGAATATGTGTGGGAATCGGCCTTGGCCTTTTGTGGCTGCCTAGCGTAACGCTGATAGCAACATATTTTGTTCGTTGGCGCGCCGTGGCAGTGACATTATCCGCTGCAGGAACAGGAACGGGAAGTATCATCTTTCCGATTATGGTGCAATATTTGACTCCAAAAATTGGTACGCCTCACCTTGGCCCCGGATTCGGGTATTCAAAGCCCTGCATTCACGAGAACATCTTGAAGAAGTTCAATAGAAGACTCAGGGGCTGACGAATAAATACTTTTCCAGGATTCGGGTGGTCTGTCCGATGCATGGCATTGGTTGTCCTTGTCTTTGCCATCATTTTTAACCTGCTCTTCAAGACCCGCCTGCCGCCGCGACAGTCTGGGCCATTTGTAGAGCTGAGTGCTTTCAAAGAGGCACCATACTCATTATATTGCATTGGAGTACTTTTACTCTACTGGGTTGTCTATTTTGCATTCTTCTACGTACGTTTGCCTCACTTCACCCGCAGATTGCAGTCATGAGTTTCAAGTCTTACTGACGTTCTTATCCGGGGGATTTGTAGGTCCAACCCTATGCGCAGGGCAGATTTGGCTTCAGTGATCGCAAGTCTGTCGATCTGATTGTGATTATGAACGCCGTGGGGATGCCAGTGCGGCCTCTATTAGGCTATGTATCCGATCGATGGGTCGGGCCTCTGAACACGCTCATCCCATGTACCGCGCTCTCTGGTATATGTCTCTACTGCTGGCTAGCTGTATCGACACCTGGCGAGCTGTACGGGTTCGTTATTGCCTATGGTGTCTTTTCTGCCGCGGCCATGAGCTTGTTTGCCGCAACTGTGCCGTCCTTGACGGATGATTTGAGCAAGATTGGTACCCGTGTCGGTATGATTGTTTCGATTATGAGTTTCGGACCGTTGACGGGCCCGTCCGTTGGTGGTGCTATCATTCAAAGTCAAGGAGACAAGTATGTAGGTGCATTTGTGTGGGGAGGAACCGTCGTCATAGCAGCGGCTTTGTTCTTGGCAGCTGCGCGTATTGCTAAGACTGGCTTTATACTCAAAACAAAGATCTAGAGAGAAAGTCTAACGAATTTATTTTTCCACTGTCAAACCAAAGTAGACTATGATTTTTATCGGGTGCTATATATTTCTGTAGAGAAATCTTCTCAAGTTGAGAATTGTTGGGATGGAGAAGTGGTACATCGGCCGAGCGAGAGTGAAATACGTGATGAGATTTTTTGATTATTAAAAAAAAGAAAAGAAAAAAGAAAAGGAAAAAAAAAGAAAAAAACTTGATGAGAAAGAGAGACGATGAAACTGATATAGATACTTTGTTCGAGCTCTGGCGGGAAAGGCAGCTCGTCATCCCCATGATAAGAAGAAGCCAACACACAGCAAAATGGCGATAGAGCGAAAGGCTTTCTCAATCCTTGGACAGATCAGAGATGAATGTTTGGGTATAGATGTAGCTGACTGGCATATGTATTTGTTCGGCTGGAGGAGCTGTTTGTTTACCTCATGATTTCAATCCAGCATCTGTGCTGGAAAACACAAAGGTTCGATGTTAACTACCTTAGACACCTCATGTGTCACTAAGAGTACCCAGGTATCAGATGTGTCGTTAGGCTAGAGGCCCCTTCATGCCATTTGTGTTGCACGGGTCTTCTGGTCTCTTGGCGTCACCATATAACGTTGATTCAAAACTGATACGAGGGGTTTCTGGCCGGCTTTCTTTGCTTGGGTTGAGCTTTTCCTCTTCAATTGACGCCATCCACGCAGCGAAATCAAATGGAGGCCTTTCGTCACTGGTATAATCAGTCAGGCTAGGTCAAGATAACCAGGAAAAGAGTTCACAAGCAAGAGTAGTGGCAGTCTCACAATGACCAACGCAGATTTGCAGCACGGACGCAGCGAATGAGCTTGACAAGTCGGTTTTCTTCGTCCGTCAGGCATAGTAGCTTTTCGATCTCTTGCATAACTGGCTTTTCGTAGGAAGCGTCGTAGGGAAGTACGCATGGAATCATTGCGACTTCGAAGAAACGGGGATAAAAGCCAGCATATCCCCAGTCGACGAGGCAAAGAGAGACTCCGTCGTCTTCAAGGATCATGCTTCTTCGGTAGAAGTCCAAATGGCATAGAACCAGAGGATACGGGGCCAAGTCGATGGAGTCATTGCGCAATGCTAGGCGTTTGTTCATATATGTATTCATGTCCTCGACTGAGTTGAACACGGTCTTCGCGCCGTCATCCCCATAGAGATATCCGTCTGGTTCTCCGCCACCGACGGGACCTGGTGGCATATTGCCTCCTCTGATCTGGCCCAGATGTTCGGCGATCTTTGCAATGCGTGGAAAAAGATCTTTGCGTGCTTCCAGATCGACCTCTTTCAGGTTCTGACCGGATATATATTCCATGAATAGATATCCTTTGGGATATAGTGAGTCTCTCGCTTCAATGAAGCGGTAGACACGCGGGACATGGACCACACTTGGGTCAACTGTCCTGTACGCAAAGTCTTGAGTAGCTGCCTCTGAAATCCTCACTAAGCCACCATATTTGACCATTACATGTTCGGAAATCTTGACGACTTGAGTTCTTCCTTCTTGCCCTCCGACAATGGCTCCATTCCTCTCGGCCTCGTGAACAAGGTTGACGAGCCATTCACTGTCGGCGGTTGCAACATCCCAGGTCATGGTGAAGCTGCCTATTCTAATTGTGCTGATTATTAGACTGATGAAGATCACAGGTTCAACAGTGCGTGAATAAATAGTAATTGGAAGTGATATGTTGTCCTTTTCTTTACAGCGTCCAAAAGTGAACAAATTCTTCACCTTTACTTGAGCATTCAAGAGAGGGCTGAAGTATATATGCACGTTGTGCCGCAGTTATGCTGGGGTTTCAATCTATTTATAAAACCAACCCCCCACCAGGTCACGCCCCAATATTACACACTGGTCTCTCTGGATAAAAATATTTTTCCCTCTATAAATTTTACAAAGAAAACCGAAACAATTTAAATACTCTTCGCTGCTCCAGCCTCCATGCGAGAGAGTCAGAAGAGGAATAACTGGAAATACCAAAGGCCACCGACTCCAAAGGAGACTCCATTTTGCCTTCTCTCCTCCTTCTATATTATCACAGATTGCTACTTCCAACTTCGGATTTTGAAATACCTCCTTCTTGGAACCAACGTTTGCAAGCAATATATCAACTTCAGAATGATTCATCCTCCGGTTCAACTTCTTCATACTTTTATTTTGCCACATATATTGGAACCGAACAATCATTGAAGATGCAGTCATTCTACTCCTCCCTGACTGAAGAGCAAAATGCGCTCAGAGTCGAAGCCGTGCGGGTGACGGTCCTCAGCGTGGGCTACGTCTTCGACTCCGATACTCGAAGTGGGAATCTCGCATCAATATATTTATTGACATCGGACGGCAACTCCGTTCGATTAAACATGACCAAGGCTAACATCACCCATACAATGGGCACACTGGAAGTAAAGCATTGCATCTATAGAGATGCATACAGCTCATTAGCCAATTACAATTTAGAAGTTCGAGATAACTTGACGGTAGGGAACGTTCTCGACCTCCTTCTGGAGCTTGGGAGGGACAAGTACAGACTGTCCGCAAGCCGCCTGGGTTGTCGTTTTTGGGTGACAACAATAATCGACGACCTCGAAAATTATGGTCATATGTCACCCACCAACGCTGGGAACTCTGCGTTGGTGGGAAGAGCCCTGCAGTACAATTACACGGGGAGAGCATCGCCCGAGTTCGAACCGATGGTGCCAGTATTGTTTTGACGCTGTTCACCCAGGTAAGAAATCCAGTAGCTCCCCTTTACCGGTTCGATGAGGCAACATTTTGATATCTAATAGAATTTCAGTCATTTCTGGTCCGAAATAAATTCCGCTGACCACGGCACCAGAGGCTATCCTACTCTGTTGCTCGAACGCTTTAGACCTGGAGGGTTTTCTTCCAGCATCTTCTTTGGCTTCTCCAATCTTTTTTGTTCTGTTAAGAGTCGCAAATATGTCTCCAAGCAAAAGCTTCGCAAAGAAAAGTTGTATATCATGCCCGGTCTCAGGTCCAAGAGATAGGAGATCGGATGGTTTGGCTGGATATCAGATGAGAGCCTAAGAAGAGTGTTACGAGTTAGAAAATAGCATACGGGAGCATCAGAAGCTGATATGGAGGGTTTTTGGTGACTGGATTACTTCTCCTGTTATCAGCCATACTGCAATGTCCGATCCCTTCTGCTCTCTTCTACTCCGTAGAACGCAAATATACCATGATCGCAGTGCCTCTAGGCAAGCAATGTATTTCTGGCATGCCAATTACATGTATTAACTTGGAGAAAACTGGCAATTAAAATTGAAAATGAAATCAGTTTTATTATCATGGTTCTTATTGGACGTTAATTGTGCAATGTTGATTCTTGTAGCCCCTATCCTAAATAACATGGTCACAATTCATAGTATACTGCACCATTTGCCTAAAGAATTAGCCGGTGTAATGCATTACCTATTTGCTACCCATCTCGTATAAAGCTCTTATATAGAGCTCAGCGGGAGACAAAACTCCTCGGCACACCAGGCCACTGTTCCAGCTCCCGCGACTGGGGTTCGAACTATACGCCCGTAGCGACTTCCCATGATGATATTAGGTCGAGTAAACTATAAATGCCGTTTTGTGAATTACGAAGCCAATTCCTGCGTCGCGTCGATTGTGCAGTTAAAGCCGTCTGATATTCTTCTGAGCTTTGAGATCCTGATCGAGATTCGGACAGCCATGATCCGCAAAGCAAATGTCAGGTGGAAGCGTTTGGATATTATCGCGGATATCTGCCATACGACACTGATGGAGCGTACTTGGGAATACCGAACAGCACCAGGCATTAAAGGTAGGCTTCTCGGTGTCGAAGAACATTCATCTCTTAAAGAAATTCCGGTCTTTGCCATTGTCGGCGGCTCGAGTCGAGATAAGTACTACCAAAGAGGAAAGAAAAGAGGCTTTCAGGTTTGTTCAAAGTAAACTGCCGACTGCTGCGCGCAATACATCGTCGTATGTCCAAGAGAAAGTATAGTTTGGTGAAATTGCATCGATGCTTGATTATTCTATCAGATACTCGATGGTAAAACTTTTTCCCCGTGAAAACGCAAGAGACCCATATGATGCCACCACCAAACGCCGTAACTCTGCAAGATTCCGTATTTTTGCATCCAATTTTTACATCTGGTTCTTGGCCCGCTCCCGCTCCGCAGGGTTGTATCTAATGCGCAAATGTAATCAGCGACTGCTGCTTTTGAGACTGTAGTACCAGTGAAGCCATTTGAGCCATACCTGAGGAGCTTCTCAATCAAATCGACGTGGGTCATGAGCATTCGTCTACAGCAATACCGTCTGCATCCAAGCTGGTCCATGGCATCGCTATCGAGGAACGTGAAGTCAGCGCCAACGTAATTGCAACGCGTTATCGGTGAAATATTCCTACCCATCATTCTCGCCAGCATCAAGCAATCTCAGATAACGCTCCCAGAGGTCACCAATGACCTGCGATATCATCAAGTTAGCATTGAAGTTTGCGAATCGCAAGTCCGCAGACCGATAGCGATCAGATAGAACTTACCTTTCCGCAAGAGAAACAGCGAACGGGAATGATCATTCTGAACAGCGCAGAGAGAAGGAGATTCTGATGTCAAGGAAGTGGGTAAGGTAAAGGTAAAGACTCTCTACTAATGAACTTTGTGATATATTTGTTTGAGATGCTTTGAAACTCGCAAAGGCGGACGGCGAAGAAAAGTTCCGACGGAACTTGCCGACCAGCACATTTTGGGATCCAACCACCAAAAACTCCAAACGAAAATAATAAAGATCCGCATATGCGCGATTCATCCTGGCTTCTTTTATGCGACAGACGTGACATATTGACCGGATAACCCTGCAACATGCCTAAGCTCGACGGCTTGAGGCCTGAGACGGCAATCCTTTCCCCAAAGAAGAGGAAAAGCAGCGTTCTCGATGCAAAAGACCCCGGCGTCTCGCCAACTCCCAAGTCAAAAAAATTGAAGAATGACGCTGAGCGATTGGAGAAGCTCTTTGCGACTCCACAGGCTAAGTCACGGGAATTGGTCAAGGTTTCCGATGCAGATGCCGCAGAGCAAAAAACTCCGGGAGGTACCGACGTTGCAAAAAGGCATCGCGGTAAACGCAGGTCGAAGAAATCTGCGACATGGAAAGTATCGGAGCCCGTGGGAGGAAAATTCCTGAACAACGAACCCGTTTTCAGCGCGGATGAGAAGTACGGATAATGCTCAAACCCCCCTTTTATGTGGCTGCAGCCTGGAACGTGTGTGACTGACATTAGCCTTCACAGGTATCTGTTCGTCGCGAATGAAACCGCCGTTCATATCTACTCAACCGCAACGTCCCTCCTTGTCCGGGCTCTCGTTATCGGCGGCACAACCGTGGTTACCGGGTATGCGCTTTCACCCACAAAGCCGAACACATTATATGTTTCTACCTTGTCCGGTCTCATCTATCATTGGGACTGGGTAGAGGGCGAGAAACTAGGACGATGGGAGATTGGCTCGGATATCTTCGGGCTGGCCGTAGCTCCCATGCCTTCCCAGCCTCATCAAGACATTGTCTACACTGTCGACAAAAAGCAAAAGTGGATGTTGACCGCTCACAAGCTCATGAGTGGAATCGAGGCATCAAAGACCGAACTTGCGACTCTCTACCGATCTACAAACCCCATCACCTCGTTGAGAATCGTGCAAGGGGGAAGAGTTATTGTTGCAACCTCGGGCGATCGACTTCTGGTAGGGTTCAGCGAAGCTTTCCAGTCACCATCTCTTCAAGAACTCTCCTACGTCTTCCGTGAGATTTCATCGTCTGAATGGATTACATGCATCGACATCCGGGAGTCGAGCGGTGAACGGCAATCCGGCGGCAAGAAGGCCAAGTCTCAGCAAGGAAACCGTGCGCCATCCGTCGACATTGTTGTTGGTGGCCTTCAAGGTGCCATCTTTGTCCACGAAGATTTATTAAATAAGATGATCCAAATGGAGCGCCCAAGTACGGGCAGGGAGACTTTCAAGATCACTCCTCGAAAGCTGCATTGGCACCGTGAAGCCGTCAATACTGTCAAATTCTCCCTCGATGGTATGTAACCTAATCACAATGTCTTTCACCATTTTCAAACCCATTAACCCCATGATCCAGGCAATTACATTATTTCCGGTGGTTCGGAAACTGTCTTGGTTCTTTGGCAAGTTGACACTGGCAAGCGCCAATTCCTGCCCCATCTGGCATCCGTCATTGAAACGCTAGTGGTCTCTCCATCCGGTACCTCGTATGCCGTCAGACTTGCCGATAACTCTGTCATGATTCTCTCTACGAGCGAGCTCAAGCCTACTGCCAACATTGCCGGTATCCAGGCAAGATCAATCACCGCACAACTCATTCCTCGCGGAAAAATCACCACGGTGGAGTCCCTCGAGGCAGCGGCCTCTTCGACTGAAACGGGCATGGAATTTCCCCGGATTCCTTCTTGCATTAGCCGCGTGAACCCGACTCAGGTCTTGGTCGCCGTGCCGGCTTCACAATCCAATGTTCAAGGCGCCAATGTGAATGCGCCGTATCTCCAGACATTTGATTTTACTGCTGCACAGCACGTTTCTCGCCAGGCCTTGGCCAGAACGAACACGACAAACCTCAACATCGGCCCTGACGCCAACAAGATTGGTGAACCAGACGTCAAGTTTGTCCAGGTCAGCTCCGACGGCCAATGGCTCGCCACGATCGACGAATGGGCGCCCCCGCGAAAAGACGTCGAGCATCTTGCCGTGGACGGACCAGATGCTTCTGAAGAGCAGACCCGTCGTCGAGAAGTTTTCCTCAAGTTCTGGAAATGGAATGTTGAGACCAAGGACTGGGAGCTAGTTACTCGAGTGGATGCACCTCACGAGTGCCCAGTCTCTGGCGTGTCTACAGGACGTGTTTATGGACTTCAGGCAGACCCATCATCGCCGGGTTTCGCTACCATTGGCGAAGACGGCGCAGTCCGTATCTGGAAGCCCAAGACACGACTTCGGAACGGCATCACCGTCCGCGGAAGTAACGCCGAAGGTTTGACCACCTGGGGCTGCGTGCACACTGTTGCCCTTGATCGATTCAGCCAAACCGACAGCGCGGATCCCGCGCAGGAAAATACTCCCATCCGACGCGCGTGCCTGGCCTACTCTGCCGACGGATCCACGCTGGCCGCATGCATTCAGGAGTCCGCCGAGACAGACTCTGGCGTCGTTCACTTCATCAACCCTGCGACCGGCGGCGTCCCATATATCAAATCCGGTCTCTACCAGGGCGTAATCTCCGCCATTGGGTTCGTTGGACGGTACCTCGTTACGGTGTCTGATCTGGTTCTTGTCTGGGACGTAGTCGAGGACCGGGCCTCTTTCAGTTTCGCGCCACCTATCAGCACATTTACCGAAACCCAGCGAGCATCGATGCTCCATCTCGCAATTGATACCTCCAGCGAGACCTTTGCAGTAGCCATCCCATCTGCCGACAGCACGAAGAGGTTACATCAATTGCAAAAGGCGCATTCCCAAGTCGCCATTTTCGATCCCGCCAATTCTTCTCCAATCTTCACGACCTCCATGCCTCGCATCGTAACCTCGTTACTTCCCACCATTGGTTCAAAGGGTTATCTCACCATTGATGCTAGCGCCCAAATCCGCGTCCTCACACCTCGCAGTATCCCTGCTGTGTCCATTTTCCGTCCCGATCCTGAGCGCAGAGAAACCTTGTCCGGATTGGAGAATATTTATGGAGACGCAGATAAGGAAGATGAAACAGTGGCCGCAACCACAAGCACTGCCATGGACAAACGCGCCAACGAGAGCGACGAGGAGGAGGATGATGACGAAGACGCTGGCCAGGACGACGCTCAATTTGCGGCAACGCATCATATCGAGGAGGATAATGATGACAATGATGAGGACGATGCTCCCGTGGTTCGTCAAGAGCAACTCACGCAGATATTTGACGTGGGTCCTTCATTCGCTCTGCCTCCTGTCAGCGAGCTCTTCCAGCAGGTTGTTAGTCTCTTTTCGCGAAAGCCTAGAAATGCATAGGGCATTGTGTGTACGGTCGAATTATATTTCCTTTTTTAGGCCTCGTCAAGTGGCATTCCGGGTGTATCTGATCTTACGTTGTTCTCTTTCCCCCCAACTTTTTTCATTTGATTTCTTTTCATCATTAGGGTTTTCATCTAGACGGGCCTTTTTTTCTCTCGGTTTTGAGGCATTTAAATTTTTATATTAGCTATGGGGCGATTTATATTGATTTGGCTAGAGAATAAAAAAGTTGAAGTCCTTTAATTCTCACGTCGATGCATTTTATAAAAAGGCATCCATCTCGTCTTGTTTATTTCTACAATGAAAACTAATATCTACAGAAAATGGTACGCCAGATGGCAAATGCTTCCTGCATAAACCCCCATTGTTATTCGCTGGTGGTATGCAGAGGTTAGGTTCAAAAGCAAGGAAAGCTAAGAAATCCTCCAGAAACATGCGCCAGTGAAAGCACCCTACGCCACAAAATCGAACTCATAAAGACGAATTTCCACTCCAAAGCAACGGCGCCAGGGAATGCTTCTCGATAACTTTTAGAGCAAACCAACCTAGTTCATCTCCATGCCTTCCTCTTGTTCGCCATCGCCATCTTCCATTTCCTCCCCAAGGAGTATTCCCGTGCCAGAATTCAGGCCCTCGTTGGGTTTTCTCCCATACCAACTTCCCGCAAATTTGAGCTCGCTGATGGCCTCCATCTCTTCGCCGGTGATGAGCTTACTGTCGTGATCCGATTCCTCGCACAACTCCAGAAGGCTCTGGCGACTTAGTCGCTTGAAAGCGGCAGTCCTAACAATTCGGCCCCAGTGAGCCAAGCAAAACCGAGCCGCCCTTTTTCGCAGCCATTCTTCATTTGCAGTCCCAGCGCGCTCCCAAATAATGGCAGCATGGTCAATGTCAAGTTCGCGGCTGAGGCGATTAATACACAGCAAACGTAGCCGTGGCATATCATAGATATTCGCCATGACCAACAAGCCAGCAACGTCCCCCAAGTCGGCACAAAATTCAGGATGAGGTGTGATGCTGTCCGTGTAAAGGTAATATAGAAAAGCCCTGACCACCGAATATGGCTCGGGAATGTGCATCTTTTTAGTATGAAATTCGGCCATCTGCGACGCGTAGAGACGGCTAAAATGTGGCCAACGAGCTTGAAGAATAAGTTTATGAACATGTATTGGCGGCGATGTTGGCTGATTAGTTGCTGCAAAGCTTTGCGTAGAATCGACTGCATCTGGGGCGGGCCCAAAAGCACCTTCTCCTGGGGGTGCATCTTGGGAATCTCTTTCTGCAGTTACCATGAAGTCAACTCCACTGCCAGTCTCAGGAGGCTTGTCAAACATCCCCACTAGGTCCGCACCAAGGCCCGTTAGATCAGAGCGTCCATTCCTATCGGATGCAGGCAGTTGACTACGGTCCGCATGTTGCTGGGAAGCCATGTGGTTGCCGAGCAGACCAAACTTCTTGAGGTCAATGGGAAGCACGTCGCTCAGAAACTCGTCCATCATAGATGGTGCGCCTCCAGGGGGAGGCTCAGTGGCACACCCAAGTAACCAAGCTTTTGTGCCATCTTCGTTCATTGCACAATACTGCCAGCGATATCCCTGACTGAAGATATCAGAACCCTCGGCCAGCGTCTGCCAACGTAGCGTGTCCAGCTCGAGAGCAGAAAGGCAACATTCAGAGGAGCGAATTGTCGAGGCAGGAGTGACAAAGTCCAGGAGCGCTCCAGAAGAGAAGACGTGAAAGTGACTTCCTGAGGCCTGAGGCGGCAAACTGGGTCCAGAAACAAATTTTAATGATGAGACGGTTCCTGGTGGTATCGCGGAATTATAAAGAGTAGGAGTCGATGCGGGTCTTGGTGTTGCACGAGAGTTCGCAAGGTATCCTCCTGTAGGCTGCTGGGCTTGGCTCGATCCATAACGGGAATTTTGCTCCGAGCGGCCTGTCAATGTCTGTTCTTCGACATTAGATGTAGATTGGGTTTCAAAAGCGGGACTGCCTTTCATGTCTAGCCACCAAATCTCGCCGTTACGTTCCATTTCCTCTCCCATTCCGCCAAATACCCAGAGCCGACCACCCCAGATCCATGTTGTGTGATCATAACGCCCGACAAATCGCCATGATTTCGACCATGTCCAAGTCTTGAGATCAAGATAGCAAATATCGTCAAGAAGGAGATTGGGGCCAGCAAGTCCTCCGACGACAAACAATTTGTCATCATATATTGTAGCGGCATGTCTGGCTCGGCCTCGAGGAGTAGGTCCTGAGATCTCCGGTAAAGTCCAATACAAGGTCTTGAGGTCAAGTATGACAACATCCGAGAGGAAGGTTCGATGTTCGTTTTCTCCACCAAACACAAGAAGCTTGTCTCCTTGCCAAAGAGTGGCGGTATGTCCTAAGATATGGAGTTAGCTCTAGGGAAGTGGGGAAAAGGAAAGGCGGTAGAAGCCTACCCATGCGGACACCAGGAATATCCCCATAGTTGTCCACCAGACTCCATTGCAGAGTGGTGAGATCGAGCTTCAAGACATGGTTGTACACTGCCAGAGATGGGGTTAGTGCTTCTGATCTATTTTTCAAAAGCAAGGTGAGTCCAAAGGGAATATCCCGCACAAACCTTCATCTGTCCACCGATCAAACCCTCCAAAAGCATAGATCTGATTGTCGCCGCAGTACGTGACAGATGCATTGACCAAACAAGCTGGTTTCTGACCAATTGTTCGAATCACGCGGGGCCTGTAGCCTTCACTACTTCCCCTTCGTGCCTTGACTGGGCTCGTTGACATGAGAAATGTATTGGTGGATGAGCCAGCCGATGACGGAGTTGCTGCTAGTGGATTGGAGGCGTTTGCTGGTGTGCTTGGTGCGAATCCGGTCCGAGAAAATGGAAATGAAAATGGTGTCGACGGAGTCTGCGCCATCCGAGCAGCCGTTCAAGTGATATACTCAGTGAGGAGGACGCAGTCCTCTCAATGGAGACAATTAGTGCATTGATTTCCCCACGAAGTCACGATAGAAGACAGAGTTTCGTGCTCTCCAAACGGAAGAGCAGAATGAGAAGGCCCAGAATGAATATAACAATGATTTCAGTATTTCTTATTGAGAGACAATAGTGAGAAGGTTCAGTAAGGCAAGATTGGTCGAGCCTGTAAAAGAAATTGAGTTGAATGACAGATTGATAAGTTGCAGGCAATGATGTGCATCGTCAGTATCGGCTCCGGCGAAGGCGATAAGTATGCCTGGAACAGTCTAGCGTGGAAAAATAAGATGAGTCGCGTCCGGGAGTCTCCGTCGCTCTTTCCCGCTTTTGGAACCCCTGTCGGTTCCCCAGTTTGGTCGCCGAAAAGGGAAGGAACTACCGTCATGTCACTCTGCCAACCTCGTTGACCCAGAAACAGCACGGGCCATCCAAAACACCATAAAGATGCCCTTTCCATCCATCTTCTGTCGAGTTTCTTTTTCTTCTTTACATACCAAAAAACCAAAAAACTCTCTCTGCTTTCTCTGCACTCTCGTGCAATTTGCACGCATCTCTCTTTTTCCTTCGCCTTGAAAAGTGTCTTACAATCCACTAGATCATTTGTTTCCGTCTTGGACTTCTTTGATCGACCCCCCGATTGTGGCAGCTTTCTCAACGAAGGATCGATTAATCAACGATCTCCGGATATCGCGACTATTTAAAATAATACCACGACGACAAACGACGACAAACTAATCCAAATCATCTCAGGATCCATTCGGTTGAGACTCTTGAGAGCTCGTTCGGTAACCGGAACATTTACAGCAACAACCTCTCGACAACTAGAGTTGGTTAATCGACAACGTTACTAACTTGAAAGACGAATCCTGTCTTTCTACTTACAGGTCAACGATCGAAACATTAGCTTGTCTATTCGATCTATATTCAGCACAAAAATCACATCATGGCAGCTGTTTCAGTTTCTACTCCCCTCAAGAGCCATCACGGCATTTTCTCTACTCGGACCGCTGGCGGCCGCATGCCCCTTACCCCATCTCCAAGAGCACGTACCACAGGCATTACCTCAAACTTGGCCAATGACTCTCCATTCACTCCTCCCAGACAATGCTCTGAGAACACCCGCGCTACCTCAGTCTATGGAGGCAACCTCACCTCCCACTTCGCTCGCTCTGTGTCGCGTCCTTCATACCAGAGCTCCCCCAAATCGAACATCGCCCGACCTGCCATCTCGCCGAGACGGCTCGAGCTGGGCGTTTCGGACTGGACATTGACTGGAACCGGGCCTACTGCAAAGCCAGTTGTTTCCAGGGAGCGTACCCGGAAAGAGGGTGTCTCCAGACAGCGGACCGGAAAGACTACGATTCGTGTTGCGCACAACGCCGCTGATCGTTTCATTCCAAACAGAACAGCAAGCGAAGCTGTGTCCAACGTCGGCGTCGCAAAGGTGGATATGGAAGAGCGTCGCTCCAAGACGAGCAGTGCTGACGGTTCTACTATCCTCGCAAACTCGGCAAGTGCATTCAGCATTGGCGGCCGAGTTTCAGAGGATGATGCTACCAGCGCTCTGGAGAACTTGAATTTGGATGACGATGAGGAGCGTCCCAGCACCTATAGCCGCCCAGGCCCTGATGCGCTTGCCTACGAATCATCTCTTGCCTCTGCATGTGGCGTCTCTCTTAACACTCGAATCCTTGCATTCAAGCCTGCTCCCCCGGAAAGCTCGAAGCCCATTGACTTGCGTTCTCAATACAATCGTCCTCTCAAGCCAGCTGGCTCTTCGGCCCAGTTCCGCCGACGCGTCATGACTGCACCGGAACGTGTTCTCGATGCGCCCGGTCTGGTTGACGACTACTACCTGAATCTCCTCGACTGGAGCTCCGGCAACCAAGTCGCGATTGGACTTGAGCGTAACGTATACGTGTGGTCTGCTGAGACCGGCTCAGTCAACTCTCTTCTTGAGACGAGCCCTGACACCTACGTCAGCAGTGTGAGATGGAGCGGTGACGGTGCCTACGTCAGCGTTGGTCTCGGAACTGGAGAGGTTCAGATTTGGGATGTGGAAGAAGGCACTAAGCTTCGAAGCATGTATGGACATGATTCACGTGTCGGCGTCATGGGCTGGTCCAAGCACCTCCTCTCGACGGGTTCCCGCAGCGGCCTTGTCTTCAACCACGATGTTCGCATCGCCGAGCACAAGGTTGCCGAACTCGTATCCCACACTTCTGAAGTGTGCGGCTTGGAGTGGAGACCCGACGGCGCACAGCTTGCCACTGGCGGAAATGACAATCTCGTCTCTATCTGGGATGCCCGCTCTCTTGCTGCTCCCAAGTTCACTAAGACCAACCACCGCGCCGCCGTCAAGGCTCTCAGCTGGTGCCCGTGGCAGCACAACCTCCTTGCTACTGGCGGTGGCTCGTTTGATCGCCACATTCACTTTTGGAACACCACCACTGGCGCACGCACCAACAGCATTGATACTGGCTCTCAAGTTACCAGCCTTCGCTGGAGCCCCCACTACCGCGAGATTGTTAGCTCCAGCGGCTTTCCCGACAACTCGCTCAGCATCTGGAGCTACCCTTCTTTGGTACGCAACATTGAGATTCCGGCTCACGAGACTCGTGTCTTGCACAGCTGTCTGAGCCCGGATGGTCAGATGCTTGCTACGGCTGGTAAGTTATACTTTTCCAACATGGTCGTTTGGCTCTTCCCAAGCTAACTGATTTTCCCAGCGGCCGACGAGAGCTTGAAATTCTGGAAGTTGTTCGAGAAGAAGCCTGCTTCCACCTCTGCTGCTCGTGAGTCCAATCTTGGACGGAAAGGAGCCGACATGGTTAAGCAGATGACGATTCGGTAATCAACATGATCTCCTCGTTGATTTGATTCGTCTTCTGTTCTTGCTTGGTCGGCGCAGTCGGGATTGGTTCAATGATACCCAGGGGCCATAAGAGGCATTGATGGTTTTCGGTGTAGGCTATTACTGTGTTATGATTGTGTTATGCTGTAACGAACTTTTAGCTTTTCCTTTTCTTTTTTTTTTTTTTCCTTTTAATTTCCATTCTCTTAATTCATTCACTGGTCAAAGCTTGTGAAGGTGAGGATGAGCGAAAGCATTTTATAATTAGCATTGTACATATCGAAGCTTCGGACAATTCTCAGCCTCTGTGTATTAGGCTTTAATATTGCATTTCACAGACACGACTCTGAATAGATTACTTGTTCTCAAAGGGAAGAAGTTGAATATTGTATTAGGTCGTCTCCAGCTCTAGCTAAGACATTCTAATTGAGCGAAAGATATACTTGTTGGCTTGGGGGGAGGATTGGAGTGAAGGAGGTTGGCTGAGTCAGGCGAGAGGCTTAAGCGAATGACGGAGCTGACACCTCTTGGGTGAGGCAGCATTTCACCGTTACAACCCACCTTTACCCCAGGGCGACCGGCGATCAGTGTAGCACAAGAACGTGGGTGATTAGAGGCTTGATTTCAACTCATCATTTATCAAGATCTAAGTGACTTCTTAGTCAAAAGACCTCAATCTACGTGGATTTCTACATTGCATCAATCGAGATAGGTGCGAAAGAATACCCCAGTGGAGAGCAAGTGACAGTGGATCTGCTACACGCGAAACCACGTATTGGTCCTCTCAATCGATCGCGCACGAGACTCACCATCGCACCTGTCATCCGGGAAACACGTCATTATCAACCATCATCAACCATCGCCCCTAATCATAGCCAAATTTCAGACGAAAAGATGTCGAACCAGCTAGTGGTTGGTTATCCTCCGTCTTCCTCATTCCGAGAGTGGGCAGTCGAGGCATGCTGGCGAATGACGAATGTCACTGACTTCGCGGCCATCCTAGGGAACGGTTTATAGTCGCATCATCCAGGATGTCATAGAGGCCTCGCAGGTCGACTTTGAAGAGGGTGGTGTCGACCAGCAGACGCTCGAAGACTTGAGAGAGGTGAGTCTGTGGTCATGATCAGTTGCGCCCTTGCCACTTCAAGCTCCATTTGACTCCCAAGTTCATGGAAGGCGATCGTTCTGGCCTCCTCTTTTTCTTATTTTCCGTTTGAATTTTTCTTTCTTGTTTTCTTTGCGGCATTCATTTTCCCGCGTCTTGAGCTTTCAAAAAAAAAGTACGCCGACCTGATGGAGCTGCCTTCAAAACATCTTGGGATTGACCAAATCCGTGGTTCGCCTGAGAGCACTCGGGAGAGCGGGGGCCTGGCCTGCTTTTGGGGCGACAGAGTGGTGGGCTCTTTGAGTGTCTTTTTATACCAGCTTTGCTGCTTTCAATTGGCTCGCTCTGCCTCGCCGCTTTGGGTAGCTCCCTAATCATCGGACTGTCATTTCCGATTGGACCACATTTCCTCGCACTTTCCTTTTTCGGCGCAAACAGCCGCAACTCCAGCTAATCACGTGATATGCTCTGGATTTTTGTCAGCTATTATTGTTTTTGTTTCGTTCACAGGAATTCTTCACAAAATCAAAATTGACACGAAACGCTAATATTTCTCATTGCTTTTTATAACAGGTCTGGCAGCGGAAGCTTTCCTCCCTAAATGTTGCTGCTTTTCCATGGGATCCGGCACCGGTAGCACCCCCACTTGCCAACACACCTACCGTACCATCGAATGCTTCCAGAACACCCATCACGCAACCGGGGGTTGTCACTCCTACGCAGGCTCCTACCACTCTTCCACCCAGTGGAGCGGAACCGACTATTAAAACCGAGCCGGGGTTGGAATCCGGTGCTCCAGTTCTGCCTCAGGCCAATGGGATAACTGCTGCCGGGATCAATGCCCAGGCCGCCCAGCAAAGGGCGGCAACCTTGATGCAGCAGCAGTTCGGTGACCAAGCTAGCCGTCAGATTGGTGCTCTGCAGTCCGGGATAGCTCTGCCTGGTCAGCAACGCTCTCAAGGGCTGCAGCTTCCCGGTCAGCCAATGCCGACTCATGTGCCACAACAATATCAAACGCCGCAGCCTCAGCAACCTCAGCAACAGCAGAGAAATGGCTTGGGTGGTGCGCAGACAGATGGGGCTGATGATGCCATGGAAGAGTGGAACGCCATTGTTATGCGGAGAAATGCGCTTGGTCAGCATGAACAGCTGGGCACAGTGGCAATCGATCGAATGATTCGACGTCAAATTGAGGATATGGGTCAACGGATGGAAGGTGGCGGTCTGATGCTTCCTCTGAGCGAACGAGTATCAACGATTAGCAGACGAAAGCGTGGCACCAAAAAATCAGCAACAAGCAGATCCCGGAGCGGACTGCGTGCCAGATCTGCTCAGTTTCAGAGCTCCGATCCCCGTGAACTTTTACCGGCGGTCTCCGAGCTTTCAATAGATGCAAATGAGCCAAAAATTCCGCAGCTTGACGGAGGTGATGATTCCGACGATGGTATCAAGGGCGAGGATTTCGATGAGGACGCAATCAATTCCGAACTGGATGACTCGGATGATAATATTGCAGAAGAAGACGACGAGGACGAATCTATCGGGCAGATTATGCTTTGCACTTATGACAAGGTCCAACGGGTGAAGAATAAGTGGAAGTGCACCTTGAAAGACGGTGTTTTGACCACGGGGAACAGAGAGTAAGTGCCGTTCAGTATCACCTGGGATCAACTCTAATGCTTTTTAGATATGTCTTCCACAAGGCGCAAGGTGAATTCGAATGGTAGGCAGTTTCAGGAGATGTAATCCAATACTATCTCCCTCGCTTTCTTTTCAATATGGCATTGCGGTACAGCCATGATGGCACCAGAGACAGTGAACTTCTTCCTCTTCCTCTTCCTCTTCTTCTTCTTTATTTCCACACCTGCTTTCTCTATGGTGTGTACTTTTTTTCCTCAGACTTTTGTTGTCTTCATCGGATAAGTCTACCATTGAACACCTTTGAGATTAGAGAAAACACAATGTTTTTCTTCCAAGATGCACTCGATCGACTATTTGACATGCTCCCTTGGGTTAATTTCAAGATTTGGTGGCTTCTTTACGGCCACTTCCTTTAATCATTTGGCACTGATTCTTCTTTTCCTTTTAAATTTCCCACTACGATTTGCTTTTCCTTGGGCGTTTCATTGATTTTACTACTAAAGAGAAATTGGCCAGACTACCATGTGCGTTCTACTGGAAATCTCAAAATCCCCGCGCCCGTTTATCCTAGTGGCACTTAGAAATGACCAGTAACACAAGCCATAGTATCAGAAGATTAAGAAATATATAAGAAAAATAATTTGATGATAAATGTGTTCCATTTGTACTGGAAATGCTCTTCAGCGATGATTACACTCAGACAATAATTAAAAACGATTGATCTCCACTTGGACTATTGTTTTCCATACATGAAAAAAAAAAAGATCAAAAGGGGACGCTTTCCCTTCAAAGTCTGGCCACTTGCATGATATACAATGAATCTTCTTGCCTTATGGTATTTCTTGGTTGTAAATGTACTGCATCCGCTTAAAAAGATCACTCTTTGCTGTCTGGTGTAAATAGATGAAGTACAAAGACAAAATGCTACCGCTGCATACAATGCACTGTTATTTCCCCCCTCTTTTGGAGGCTTTCCGTCAGCGCAAAAAAAGGGCAAGATCGTAATTAGACATCTCGACTCTCCCTCATAGCCACACTCCGCTGGTGACCCGTCTCCCCGTCATCCTCTTCTTCAATCTCGACTAGCTTTCTCTTGCCAGGATTGCTCTTCTGCGCGGATGCTTCATCACCATCGTCATCGTCCTCCTCGTCCTCCCCGCCATTCCACTCTGCAATTTCCCACTCCACGCGCACATTGCCATCTTGAGACTGCGATTGCCCGGCCGACCTTCTACTCAATCTGCCCAGCTTGCTTCCATCAATCAGTGATTCGAACCACGGGAGGTGATCGAAAAAGCCATCATCGGTGCCAAACACGCGAGACAGCTGCTGTCCCAAAGCCCCTTCCTTCTCCTCCTCGGCGTCTTCCTCTTCCGTTTCCACCTCCGCCTCATCCTCCAGTGTCTGTCGCTGCCGCGTGAGCTGCGAGTCGTTTTTGCTCTCGTCCGACTCCCGGCGCGCCTCAATCTGCTCCTTCTCTGTGAGCGCGTCGTCAACCGCCTCGGGCGGAAGCAAGCCCAGTTCTTCGAGCTCAAGTAGGTCTTCGCCCAGTAGGGAGCCCAAGGTCAGCGAAATAAAATCGGCTTCTGAGTGCGGCGACTCGGTCCAGTAGCTCAACGGTGTTCCGCAGTAGCCGCAAAACTGCCGTTTCGTCGATGGCGACGCGGCCGGTGTGAAGACGCGACGAATCGTCGCGTGGGATTCGTCATTGAAAAAGGCATACGTGCTGCTGCGGTACCAATCCAGAGGCACACGCAGCCATGCGCTGAGAGGCGTAGCTAGATGCCGCCCTGAGGTTTCGCCCCAAACGTTAGCACAGGTTCTTGCTGAACATCTGCATTATTGCGCAGAACGAAGCTCCCTTGAATAAACCGGGTAATTGGAACTTACGGCTGCCACTTCCTCGATCGAAGAAAACTTGAGCTCGTTCAGTCGAGTCTTCGGGTACTTCGACTATGTATTGGTTTCTTCCGCAGGAACAGCTGCCGCGCAGAGGCCTCTCCCTGCTCATGATGTGCTTTGGGAAAAGGCGATTTGATTTCGTTGGATTGAATTGATCTGATCCAATAGTAACGCAAGATTTAAAAGTCTCCGGTGTGAGACTTAAGCAGAGAATACGAGGTGTGTTGTGGTTGGAGCAGAGTGACCGTAAGATTTTACAGCGGAAGAAGAGACGCAATTCATCGCGGAAGTCGGAATGTTTTGATTGGGTGATGCATAACGTCACTGTCCCCGTTATGGCGAAACCACTGACGCAGAACTTCTATATTCTGATCCCGTCAAGGATGTATGTCCTCATTGCATTGTTATACTCCTACAATTGAATCTTTTTGTTCGCAACTGCTTGGCGTTTACCAATGAAGAATTTTTCTCTTCAAATTCTCTCCGCCCCAGAGTCCCGGAGCGCCTTCAATAGTCAACCTAGGTAGGTAAGTAGTCATAACTAGAACAAATTAGTAAATTAAATTTTATTTGAGAAGTGCTCAACCGGATTTAGATGCAGAGGAGACTCTCCTACAAAACATTTTGCATTGAATTTGTTTGTCCTTTGTTACATAGCGGTATCTCAAGCATTAACACGGCAGGATTCACAAGGTTCTAATAGGCGGCGTCACTGCAGAGTGGTGTCTCCCTAGAGATGGTATATATAATTTGATAATCCATGGATTCACGAGAAAGAAATAAATACAAGTACTAGTAGACAGAACTCTCAGGCAGTTCAAAGTCGTGCCTTCCCCATAAAGGGATTCCCGGTTACCAAGATGGCCCCGAGAATACTCCTTCAGGTTGCAAATTTCAGCTCCAAGAAAGCACCAACTAAACAACGCTCCCGATTCCACGCGTTCGATTAACCGTAAAGTATTGAAAATTACTCGAATGTCTCGCTAGCCCGAGGGGCCCCTTGAGCAGGAAGAGACACCAGGAAAGAGTCCGGTCAACAAACAAGATGAAACAGAACAGAGGCATAACTCCGAGACTTGCTACGTTCCTCAAAAATTCAAAGGCGAGCTGCCAAAGCTAGTGAGAGGCAGAATAAAACGGCAAGAACGCGCTGCTTTAGAACATGAGCTGCGTATCGACGAGGATATGCTCCACTCATAATGGGACGAGGCACATGGGGCAGAGGGTCTTTGTGCAACTATGTGCCAACCCATCTTCCAAATGATGGAAGAAAGAATTTTGGCACAATATGGAGACTATCTACCGATCGGATGCCGACGTACGCAACCTTTTCCGCCTCTATAGCAACTTTTCGTGGCTAGATGTCCAGAAAAGACTCGATGACGAGAGGGAGGAATCCGATAACACGAGGACTCCTTGGACCAAGGCCCTTGTTACTGCCGCAGCCAAGCTATACATTCCTCGAAAACAATTTCTTTACGAGATAATGCAATATGCAACCCGAAACAATCGAATCCACAATGAAATCGAAAAGTTGGTAGACGAGTGTGATTGGAGTGACGAGGGAACACAGCTCTATTTTGGCATGGCGGGACTTTGAAAAATCCTTGGAACACAACACCATGCTGAGCATGAGCTCATGTATACCTGTATCCAAAATCTTCAGCAAAGGTTTTTCGAAGGTATATGGGAAGAGGACGGGGATCTCACTAACCGAGGATAGTTTTTGCTCTGACACCAGAGGCCCAAGAACGGACGGGAAAGCGAATGGTGCGAAAGATTCAAGTAGAGGAGAGAAGAAAGTTAAATCTCCCAATTATAGGCAGCCCATAATATTAATTTCAGGTATCTGTGTTATTGATTCCTTCTTCGTTGTTCAAGGATTGAGGAAGAGAAGTGCTACGCTCGACCGTTGAATCATTGAAATAAACTTGCTTTTTGTTTAGACGAGGTGGACGACACATGATTTAGAGTCAATCGTTTGAAGATTCAAACGCATATATTGAGTGGAGGAAAGGAAACAAATCATGTTGAATATATACAGTATCGTACCGATAACAAATATTGACATAGCTTAGTAGCATGAAGTATTATTCGCTCTTCCAGTCTTATCCATGTTTCATTATATCATGGGACAGAGCACAGCGGTGACTCTTCCTATAGTAGAGGAAATATCAAAGGACGATATTCTAGCATCATTGAGATTCGTAATATTTTCAAACATCAGCCAATAAAACAGAGGCTGATAGTTCATCCTTTCCTGTCCATGTATAAGAATTAGGAGAAAGCTGAGTGTATGTCGCATCGAATGAGAATGTGCCACGGTGACACAAGGAAAGCACATCGACCGAAAGGATCTCCCAGCCTCTGCGGCGCTGGGAGTCATGCATCGTTGAACAGCCGAGGATTTCACGTCTCAGCCACAGCAAACAGTCGTCGCGCATGCATCACTAATTGCCCCACGTCAGGTCTCCATCAACTAACATACAAGGCCCGAGCAGAATGATCAACTTACTTGCTTTTATTCTCCTCTGGACGCTCGTAGCCAAACGTAAAAAATCCGAGGAAAGCGCCAATGAAGATGCAAATAATAATGTATCCGTTGTAATACATTGCAAGAAGCATGACAAAGTATGCCACAGCAAAGGTTACCATGTGCAAGAAAGAGCGAATAAGGTGCTGCAATATGGTAGGCCCTCGTCGTCTCATGGGAAGGGTGTTCATTGATCGGGAAGAATGGTCGCAGGATTTGTTTGGTGCATTTTGAGCAGGTGATGCAGGAGGACTGCCAGCTAAGTGCGAGAAAGTGGGACGCCCGGACAGATACTTGTCATATTCACGGCTCGCGCGTCGAAGAAGCTCTAGGCACATGACAAGGAGAACTACTCCTATACAGGAGCCTGCAAACATTCCATGGCTGGTAATATGCCAAGACCGGGCAAGGAAGCCTATATGAATTTAGTAAGAGAACTACTGTCCCCACAATTGAATAAACGGTCAAGCCGTACAGCTGTCGATAGTATACCAATTCCAAAGCATCTAAACAGCTGTTAGGATATCGAAGATATTGACAACGGTGAGGAAACGAACCGATATTTTGCATTTTCCACCACCCATACTCATCTTCATCCCGGTTGAGGTCGCCGTGGCCGCAGTTGAAGTTGCTGTGCCCATCATACTCATGGCGGACGAAGTTGTGCTTGAGGCCATGTCCATCATATTTGCAGTTGTATGCTGGTTTCAAAAATGGTCTGGTTGTGGTCTGCCGTTTGCGTTTGTTCCAAGACTGAGAAACCGCGTGATATGGTCAGGAACCGGTGGGTTTTAATGGACAATTGATTTAATTCTGATACAATTTTCATCCCAGCAGGGCAGAAACTACAGGATGATTCATAGACTTTATACTTGAGTGCTGCCATTCAAAGCGTTGCCCGCATTCCAAAGATGCCGGATGAGCAAGATAATTGTCTCCAAAATTTTCCGTACTTGTGCAACACGAAGGCTTGGCCATTGTCCAAAACCCAGCTGCTGACCCACACATGGCGTAAATGTCCACATTCACTTCCCGCGTCTGATCAGTGCGTGGAGCAGAAGAATGCAAGCACATCTTGGTATGTTTATAGAGACTTGGTGGTCCTCGATATAAGATGTTGCATCGGCATTGGTTATCGCCGACGCCCAAGCGCCAATCAAGCACCGAGCACCACGTGCAAGGTCGGCAGGACTCCACCTTAATATGCTCAAATGTGCTCATTCTCTTCAAGGATCTTTGTAGGATCAGCTGCTTTGACACATTTGATCCAGTAGCACAACAAGAAAATTTCTACCTTGTTGTCCCTCGCATATATCGGTACACAAAAGCTAGGATATCTCGCACAAAATATTTCTTGGTGATTCTGGTAAGAAAGCTAGAAATGGTTAAGCGGCTTCAGGTAGTCAGCCGAGTCAGACGTAGCGACAAAGCGACAGAGCGACAGGTCAAAGCAACGTTCGCTTATGCCTTGGGTGGCTTTCGAACCCTCCCTTAGCGATAATTAACCGGAATAGAAGCAGTTTTAGTCGAAGCACCGAGAAGAGCTCTTGAACACTCATTGTTTTATCAATCCCTGGTCAATACCCTTCATTTCTTCTTTTGGGGCATCACCACTGGCAGCTTTGAGATGACGGAACGGTTTGACGCGATTGATTTAAAAGAAAGCCCAAAAATTGTATAATGCATTGTTGAAAGGAAAGATAAAAGTATCAGTATCTTGGTCCCAAAAATAAATAACCTCCGATGCTTATGGTATCACCAGCTGACAAGCAAAATATTTCAAAAGAATTTAGCTTTGGATAAAAAGGGTGAGGCAGAAATGACCGAATGCACTGTTAAGATTGTGGGCATCGTGATGCATAAATGGACGAGAAAAGACATGGAAGGACAAAATGTGGAGATTTGAAAGCCGTTCATAGCTGTTGCATTCCTTGAAGGATCCTGCTCCAGGAAATGCGTCTTGGGCGAGTCTTGGTGGAGAATCGTTAATCGGGTCCACCATTTGCAAAGCCCCGTTTATTATACCAACAAATATGGCGGTTCGATGAAAATTGAATTGTTTCGCTCAGGTTTGAAAGGAGACACCTCGACGAGTTTCAGCTTCATCGACGTGGAAACCAAAGACAAGCCGGAAAAGATCATTCAACCACGCGTACTGGCCGCTACGGCCCATCCACGCAACAGCTCGGGCAACGTCAGCGGCCATTACACGTGCTGAGGGAAGCGGTACCGACGCTCCTCGAAAAGCGGGGTCGGTCAGAACCAACTTTTTGTAACTATCGAGTAGCTGAGTCTCCCATGCATTGCTGCCAAAAGAGTTGGAGGGAAGGGACTTGACAAATGCCGAGAGCGATTGAGGTTGCGAGCCGCTACGCTGAAAGCCTGCGTTTTGTGCTGCTTTGAGAATGAGGAGTTTTAGCCGCATAAGATTAGGATCTTCGGGTTGCGCAGCTGTCGCCGTCGCTGTAGAAGAAGTCGATTGTCCAGAGAGTGTTGATGCATTGGAAGACCAATGATTGCGCCGACCAATGCTTCCGGAACTCACGCTATCTGGGCCAAGGACAAGAATATTCGGAACGGGAGCTTCATCGGGCGATAAATTTGTGTCCTCAAAAATTGTTGTAGGAGTTTCCGGGTTCATAAAAGGTATGGTTGACTCATTAATCGAGGATAGCTCTGGTTCCCTCTCTTTGACTTGATTGTAAACTTGGGTAAACGTTGTTTGACTTGGCCTGGGAGTTCCTCTTTCGGGGCGAACTTGTGTCCATCCTTCACGAAAGATGTCACACAACTCCCAACAAGCTTGTACGGCAGAACCAAGGAGTTCTTCATCCGCTTCTTTTCCTTCGCGCTTATTCTGACGGATACTGAACAGCATCTCCGCCAGTGACCAACACGCTCGTAAGAGAGAATCTGTCTCCTCTGCCAGCTGAGTTCTCTGTTTCATGAGTCGATGGCAGAGTGTTATGTAGAAATCAAGAGTGCGCTCACGGAAAGCTTCTGGCAGATTCCGGTCATGAGTATTGTAGAGATGATTGTTTAGCTCGAAGCTGACCCGAAGGACCGAGTCGGCAACATCGTCATCACGCTGCCGTACTTCAAATAGCGCTTGACAAAATTCTCGACACAAGTCTAACGTTGGCCGGACTTGGCTGCTGTAGTCCTCGTCTCGAGTTTCGTAAAGTTTTTGGCAGAGCTGCCAACAGCACTTCCAAGCTTGTTCTTGTACAACACCTTTAACCTCCCAATTAAAGAGGCGCTGGCGGTGGATTGAACTTAGCCCAGCCAAAGTATTGCACAACGTCCAGCATTCTCCTAGAGCGGTCTTCAAGGCGGCAACTTCGTCCTCGGCCTCATGAAAAGGGGGAAGCATCCGATGCTGGACTGTGTCATCTTCGTCCTCTGTGAGTTCCTCTTCCGGGCCATGATCTCCATCCTGTGCTTCTGGGATATCTGTACAAGCGTGAGCTACAACACGTACTAAGTAATCTTGGCAGACTGGTATTACACCGACCTTCTAAACTCAATGACCGTTGGCGCCAAGGCTTCTCTTGCTCCAATTCTTCGGCTTCTTGCCTTGTTTGCGCCCTTGGTGTGGCACGATCAGAGGAAAAGTGAACAGGCGCAATGGCGGTTGATATTGGCGGCGGCGAAAGAGGACTAGCGGCGCGTTTCTTGAACACGCGTGAGCTGCCATTGTCCACTGGCTGTTTTGTATCAATAGGACGGACCTGTTCACCGTTCTTCTGATCCATGGGGGATTTTACGGTGATATCCGATCGTTGAGATGGCGAAGGCGTTGAACGAGACGGTCGTGGGGGAGACTTTTTCTCAATCTTTATATGTACGAGCGTCTTTTCAGCATCTGTCGCAGAAATTACATAAAGTCCACGGTTTACTTACGAATTGGCCAAAACCTGGCGGCGCATGTATGACGGATTGCGGCGGTTCATCCGAGTCCGATCTTGGTCGACCTGTTACGGCATCGTCTGTTTTAATCTACGCATGATTAGTCTCCAGATAGGTCAGGTGTAATTGCTATCGGGCATACCGTGAGGCCAGCTTGCGGCGCTTCGGTGGTTGGGGGCTCTTTTGCTTCTGGCAAAGGCGGCTCAGGTTGCTCCGCCTCCACAACCAAGTCGTCAATTTCAGTAACCTCGGTGCCATTTGACGTGCTGGGCGATGGCCCGGCAAGATCACTAGAGTCCGATACCCTTTTGGAAGAGGCATTTGGGTTCAGCGAACTACCTTGATGATTTGACCTGCGTCTCGTCACACTTGATCAGTCGCAATTCGAGCCTGTGACGATTGCATATATAATGTTCATGGCGAAGCTTACATGTTGGAGAACCGCGGCGATCTTGCCGGGGCAGGTGAGCTTGGAGAGTCTGTGTATGGAGAGAATGCCGACGTGAGCGTATTAGGCGAAGGCATTATCGGCGGATTCATGGCCATGGCCATTGTGGAGAAATAGTGTCGTGGTCGAGGTCGTTGTGATTATTGTGGCTCGGGGACCAGCTCCGAGCCGCGAATGCGACCTTGACAGGTCGACCAGGAGAATGATTTACTGTCCGCCAGATCTGCTCGGTCCTCGAGGGAAGAAGAAGAGAGCCTGCTCTTCAACAGCTGACCAGCCGACACCGTCCTTGCCCGGTGGTAGACGCGACACGTTGTTACTACCGAACGAGCCCGAAAGTGGGCGATCGACGAGCGAGGGAGTGACGGAGAGGATTGGGTGCCTGAACGAGGAGACGAGACAGCGCTGAAAGAGGAATGCTTCTTTTGGCACAGCACGGCACGGCCTGGTAGAGCGACTGGGGTAGGTTGATGGTTGAAGGGGCGCGAGGCAAAGAAAGGGACCCCAGATGACGAGCGTCTGGCACAGCAGAATGACCAGCCGATTGGCCTTGTCTGGGGGTATCTAGAGCGGGTGTGGATGGGTTTCAATGAATTATTTTATGAGAAATGGAGTACCTCATGCTGGTAAAGATCAAAGAAGAATTTCAAGACAAAAAAGGATAAGGGTAATAGCCAGAGAATGTAAATTGACTCTAAATACAAAAAAGGTTGCCCGGCATCTGATAGTTTTTGGTTCAGCAATTGAGGCCAGGCGAAGGGTTCATATCTCGCGCTCAAAGAGCAATGGAGCGGCGGGACGAAGGGGTCAGTCGATCATAGTGAACCGAGCCATGGTTCATGGCGCTGGCGACCTCGTCCCGTCAAACTAACGACAACAGTCTCTCATGCCAAAGTTAAGGTATCTTAGCCGGAACTAAAAGACTCGGAGTTTTGGACGCTTTTTTTGTCGGTGCGGCTTGAATAGAAAAGCCAGGTCCAGTACGGAGTACGAGCTACCTACCTAAGGTAGGCCCAACACAACCGATAGACCCCTCCCGAAACCTCTTTTATTACTGAGAGCTGTTTCCCTGACTTACCAAGAGATATGCATTATCGTTGACATGAAGCGTATTTTGAGAGTCGTCAACAATTGGCGCTTGTCCTACTATCCTTCAATTCATCCGCTTCAGTCTGTTACCTCCCAGTTTACAATAGCTTGACTTGGGCAAGATAATTCACCAACTTAGTCGTTGGAGCGGGAGGGGTGAAATTGGTTGATGCATGAAGGGGGCTGAAAGGCTCGACAAAGCGCCGACCGAGCGCGAATTCCATTGGTCCCTTTGCGCGTCCACGGCTCGGTCGGACGAATCACATCCAGGAAAAAAGCAACTTATGCAGCTTCATCCTCAATCACCCCAAGCATTTAGACGCCGAGGATACAACGTGACCATATCTGCGATCCGTCTTTATTGTGATCGATTCGATAGAACCATTACTACCAAGCTCAAGTAAGACTACTCAGACTATCGGCTTATGCGTTCAAGATAATTACTGCCCGTTGCACATTATGGAGAAAGGGTTCTGTCATGGCGGTACTTACATCAGATAACTTGGTTAAGCTAAAGCATCACAGCAAAGAATGGTGACCTCATCTGTCTTGTGGAGGTTGGTTTAACTTGGTGTGAATATCTTTGTTGACTCTTCCCCATGGGCCCATTGAATGTGATGGAAAGGGTGCGAAGGTACTTGCAAGCGAATAATAATAGGTAAGGTACCTGAGGTATGTACAGAGTTGAGGCAAGTGTAATGCAGCAACTACTACAAAGGTGCGGCCAAGGAAACGACAAGAGAACCGGCTTGATTAGACACAAGGTCATCCACTTAATGAAATGTGCCATTGATTAGCTATTGGGAGTATTTGTTGTAGAATACTTGTCATAGGATATCATCATTCTAAGCGAGAAATAATATCATATCAAAACGTTTGCTAGAGTAGAAGTATAAAAAATAAACGGAAAGGGAAAATCAAAAAAAAAAAAGAAATTCTTCTAGCGGAGAATCACGCGTTATTCTTGAAAGACAAGCACTGATCCGGGAAAAAATAAATAGATCCTATTTTCGGAGCAAGTAC